GAACATGCTATTACATGTGATCATAAAACTTACAGAAGAAACAAATTGCTTAAAAATTTTGAATCAATTTAATTGAAAAAAACAAGAGATTGCAACCTTGTAGGATCTTTATGTCTTATAATGTTTTAATATATGTTTTACAACAAATGCGCCAAACTTAATTTTAAGTTCTTTGATGATTTTCCGCTCGAAAAATGAAAACCGCGTATGAAGATGGTATGTGGGAAAATAAGCATTATTTATTTTGTTTTTACTTCTTTATGAATGAAAGTGCATTTTATATATAAATGCTTCTATCCCGTATTAAGCATTAAAAGAGTAATAACATCGATTTTTATAAATTACGACGATGTTGAACATGGGAGAAAAAATTACCTCAAATTACAAGTGAGTTGTTTTCATGAACATCGATGTTCGGTAATATATTTAATAATGCAACCACAAAAATTCTTTATAGACATTTCTAATCGCTACTGTCATGATCAAATCAAAAATTATAAACCAAAAAACTAAATTGCACAAGTGTCGGTTGATTGAGCACATAAACAAAGACTCAGTCTAGTGTAAAACAAAATGGAATCTCTTACACTGTGTACCACCTTAATGTTCATTAAAAATACAATGTTCATGGTGCTTTGATTCGTTCCCTTCTCTTTGCAACGCTATACTTGACGATTAAATTTTGCCATCAAGCGAAACCATGATGGAGTTAATCATAAATTAAGTTTTATTGATATTAAAACAACTGTTGGTGGGAAATGTAATTGAAAGAAAAACGTTAAAATCGATTGTCTCAATGCATGATGCATGTAAATATTCTGTTCTCATTCCCAAATCTTATGCAAAGAACTTCGAGTGAGTCTCGTACTAATTATAGAAAAATGAAAAATCGACATAAGTGCCGAAAAGAAATAGAGGTAAATTTGAACCGTAACAAATGAGTCACAAGAACATTTTTCTGGTTTAAATATCTTTGACAGATTTATTATGAAAAGTGCTGAAATTTGTTTAAAAGTCATGGTGACATTAGATATTATTTTAAATTTTTCTTTTTGTATTATTAATGAACGTTTTGAATGATAAATTAATAGCTATTTAAGTTCTTAAACATTTCAAAGAGTTTCAGTGGTAGAAAATTAAAGTTATTTCCGATTCATGCTACAAACAATGAGTAAATATTTAGTACAGTCACTAATCATTCAGGTATTAGAACATTTACGGCGATGGATTAAAGTGTTCACTTGTTATTTACCGAAAATGTTATTCTAATTTTCTTGTCACAATTGATGCAGCGTAAAACTGAAGCACTTAATCGGATTAAAAATATTTGCTTTTGTCGTGTTTTACTTATTGTTCAGGTTCCATTATTTATGTAATTTGTTTTTCGTATTTTCCTTTTAAGAACAGTTAATGTGAAGGAATTGAAAAGGATTTCGATTATCTATAAATATTTATGTTTATTTTAAAATATTAGTGACAAGTGTGAATATTTAAATTTTGCTGTTTTATGATTTCACTTTATCGTTCTAGAAGTTAAATAAATGCGTTCCATTTAAAGTAAAATCATTGAGAAGATGGCAATGTGTGTAGATAAAGGAGAAGATTGAGTGATTCGATTTAACTCATTTGAAATTCTAAACAAAATGATTCAGCGTGTGTGGTCGCTTTTTAGATCTCGTGAAAATTAATTAAAAAGTGAAGAAGTGGAATGCAAGCGACAATTATTCTGATAATCATTGAGGAAATATTTTCATGTTCACAATAAAAATATACTTAAATCAATATCAACGATTTTAACAATTGGTCTCTAGAAATATTTTATCCAAAATTCCTTCTGATTGCAACTTTTTGCTTATCCCATACAAATTATATGAAAGTGAAAAATATTTTCAGCTTTTCGTAATTTCTGAGAACACGTTTAATTTTTGGGAAAATATTTTAATCAAGATTCCGCGACAACAGTAGCGGGTTGATATTCAGACATTCCAGTATTATTTCAAGATGTTTATCAATTTTATTGCCATCGTAGCAAGTATCAACCAAGTCGTTACATTTTTTATGTTCCGACCTTTAACAAATTTTTTTGAATATCCAATCTTGATTTCTTTTCCTTAAAAATCTCAGTGTTAATAAAATCAGTTTGATTCTTTCCAGGTTCACGTTATTTGCACCCCATTGCAAAAATAAAGAACAAGAATTTCTCTTTTATTTTACTTTCGCATTATGTTAAGTTTTTCTTGGAAAAAATTGCTCATTTGTCATTAATGTGTTTTGTTATGCTTTGCTACTAGCAAGATGAACATTGTAGTGTAGAAAATTTCTCAGAGATGCTTAACAACTGAAATCTATAACTAATGTTGGAAGTCATAAAGCAACTTGATGTACTGTTATTAATTATTGTCTATAAATTTGGATTATGTAAATATCTTTATAATTTCTCAATGCTTCCACAAACATAAAATTATTAACCACAAATTGACCAAAATCTTTTGTTAACCATAAACATGTGATGCAAGCGAAAAGTTAGTAATAAAAGAAAAATAATATTGGAAATATAAAAAAATGAATAAAAACTAAGGCCTTGCTCAGTCACGATGTCATCAAGTTTTAATAAATGTATGTGTCAACCAATTTTGAAATGAGACCCTCAAACGAGACCGAACTGAGATAGCATAGACCTAAAAGCCTTTTTTCCTTCTATCATCTAATCAAACATGAAAAACGTTTCAGCGAAGATATCAAGATATTTTGATCAGTAAGAAATATCAGTTCGAAAATATTTGGATATATTTTGACGACAATGAGTTATATCAGATGAAAGGTAACTAACAAAAGTCTGATATAGTCGGCTACTGTTCTTAAAATGCCTTAAATGAAAAATGAATTTCAGACACAATCTGAAGGCGAATCGATATCAATTTTTTAATGTAAAACTCTTTCATAGCATTAAAAACTTCAAGTAAATACCCATAAAATTAAAGGATTTTATTAATAACGAAGAATGGTCAAGAAACAAAAAACACCAATGTTGATTATGATAAGACCGCATTTAAATTTCGAAATAGCCCCATGAGTGTGGTTTGCGGTGTTAAAGCTCATGAAAGCAACAAAAAAGAGCAATAAAAGTGACCTTTCTAACCATTAAGCTATCGTAAAACAGGATGTATTTTTACACCATGGTATAGTGAAACTAAATTTATATTTGTAAAGGGATTATTTATTCATAACTATGTGGATCATGGAAAGAAGAAAACATTGGTTTTTGTTTAGCCAGTCAACCGTATTTATGCTGAGTATTGGAGAAAATAAACAGAAGCATGACCAATACATATTTTCAACAAAAACTTTTCCTCTACATTCATAAATTTAAAACGTTAATTAGAAAGTCATGTTTTCACTAGAAATTATAGTTTTTCTTTTTTTTTCATATAAAGTTTTGAGAATTTTTAGAGATAGTTAAAAATTTAACTTCAATAAAATTTCTTTCTGTTTATACCTTTGTGAAATTCCACTGCGGAAATTTGTAACGAACTTGAACGAAGTTAATTGTATAAATGTTGCAATTAATCTAGTTAAAGATGTAACAAAGTACATTTATGCCATAAAATGGCTCAATTTATTAATTCAAGCATTTGTCGCACATTCATTTGAAACACTTCATGTGTTTATAATAAGAAGTATTTAATTATAAAACGTGATATTATTCATTTTGCTTATAAAGTGTATGTCGCGAAAAATTTTAAAATTATTTAATTGCTATCATTTAAGTCTCGAATGCATCTGCTTTGATGTTGATGCAGTATTCCATCTTTATTAGCGCCGATGTACTCAATTACAACATAAACTTGCTGATATTTATGAAAGCGAATTAATTTAAGCACTTTACTTACATCTGTATAAAGTTTTTAAGTCGCTAACTCGTTAGTGGTAGAATGAGAGGCGACAAAGTTTTTCATTAAATTAAACTTTCATGAATATATCTAATAGAATTTAAAATATTTTGTCATGAAAATATAACAAAACACAAGCTGAAGTGCGATCCAATCAAGTAATTTTACAGCTTTCCTCATTGAAAATTAATAGCACATTGCATTCAATGTTCAAGACGATTTTTGTAATTTCTGTTCTGACAAAACATGTTAAAAAGGCGAAGGAAACAAGGAAAAAATATGCACTTTACGCAGACAATTTCCTTTGAACAGAAGTAACTTTGGGATTATTAATTTTGCTTTATATCTAACTCAGAGACATTCTCTCAAAATAATAAATAATGCAGTTTCTTAAAACATGCTACAGAATTCTACAGTTAGTTTAACGATAAATTTGTGTCATTCAAAGCAAACATTTTTTACGAGAAAAACATTCTTCTTGAAATCTTCTAATTTGCAGTCAGATTTTATGTACTAATTTAATTATGTTTGCAACAAAGAATTTTAATAAGCATTAGATAGAAAGAAAAAAGCAACAAATCAAGTTCAGACATGAATTTTACTTTATTTCTCATAGATAATTAGAAAAAGAATTGCAAACACACAGATTTGAAGTTGAGAAAATTCCTTTTTCGATTTCACGAAAAAGTCAATGCAGGGGAAAACTGCATAATGTAATTTAACAGATCCGCCCAATCATCTGGCATTTAATTAAATTATCTTCCTCGAAATTTTCGGCATCAACGAATATTCTTGTAAGTCTCAGTGTGAAAAATACGTATATAGATAATACTTATGTGTAATGAAGTGAACATCTTGGCCATTTTCCCATCTAATGAATTTATGTGATTCAACATCGCAACAAATGAAGGGGAACCAAAAACTTAGTTTAATTTACTGTCTATTTAATTCGATAAATTTTACTTCCAGCGCTAACAATTTTTTTTTTTGCTTTTTCTAAATATTTAAAAGCATTAATTATAAAATACAAAAATCTTTATGTTGTTAAACATTTCTTTCAATCTTTTATTTAAGTTGATATATTTGTAGATATCTGACAGAGGCAAAAAAATGATTCAGAATCAAGATCAATCGATCAAAAAAATGTTTAAGAAATGACATGTGTTAATTCAACTTTGCTCTAATTATTATTTAATGTTTCTTAAAAGACAATTAATTATTGAAGATATGCTTATGAGGGGAAAGTCGTGCGCCTATTTTTGTATCACATTTTTTTTAAAAAAACTTCATGGTACTCAAATGTCATATTCAACAAGATATTTCATGCTACGACAACAGAATTTATGATGAGAACTTTTTATGTGTGCAATCGAGAACGAAGAACGAGAGTCGAAAGCAATAAATTAATTTAGAATTGGTGATAAAATACGAATTAAGTTTCAATATCTTTAATTAGGCTTAAAATATCACAACCCCATGAATGAAGAATCAAAGTTTTACATAATCAAGTTTGGTTATATTTTATTTTAAATTCAGTCATTAAACAATTAAAGTTTGAAGCATTTATAGTCACATCTCATCAAGGAGAAAAAAGTTCGAGACTTTTAATAGCAGGTACGACTTAAAAAACTTTTTTAATGCGTCTTGTTTTTATAAAATTTCATAGATTTAAATTTCCCCTCCGAAAAGTATTTTCGTCATTTTCTCATTCATTGAGAGCATGTTTATCAATATTATTATTAAATAACAAAGAATATACAGCAATATTCGTTCAGATCTACTAAAAGGAAAAAAGAATAATAATATTAGCGAAATACAAAAAAAAGCTGTGTTCGTTCATTCATCTAGCCCACGGGTTACATGGTTGTGGTTCCTTTTTTGATTAATTTCGTGAATATTTATTCCTTGACGATCAGATTTTCATTCTTCAGTTGCCTTTCAAAGACTTTTCATAGTTCCAAACGGAAATGCTTTCTTTCTTGAATAGCAGGTTGAAAGAAAACAAGCATGTATTATAATAATCATAAACATTAGGCGAAAAGACTGGGAAAGATTTTTAATGCGTGCAACATGCTAAGCTAAGATAAAAACCGAAAAATTATTGTGATGATGAAAGTTATTTTTTCATTATTGTATAAGATTAAGAGTTACTGATGATAAACAGGAGCGGAAGCATTTTGCAAGTATGCAAATAATGAACGAACGCTGGAGGCTTCATAGGAATAATGAAAGATTTAAAGAAGTTGCCGTAGTTATTTGATTGAATATAATGAAGATTTACTGATTCTTGAAACGTTGAAATTCTCTTTTCTTAATTATTGCGAGAAACAAATAAAATTATTTAATTAGTTATAAACTCGAAAACGCGAAAGAATTTTTGCAAAGACTCGAATGTTGCTGCAGGAGTGTCAATTTTGCCAGGTAAACATTCATAAGTGTTTCGAAACACTAACAATTATAATTGCGAACAGAAATCAATAAATTTGTCAAAGTTATCAAAATTTAAATTTTAAATGCCTTAAGGAAGAATAATTGAACGAAGTGATTTAAAAACTCTCGCAATTGGATAGCCGCTTGTTGTCACAGCTTTAACAACAACAACAAGAGTTTTCTTAATAAATCACAAATGTTTAAAGGGATTAAAATTGTTGCAATTTTAAAGCACAACATTTTAAATCAAAATGCTTTTAGAAAATTTCCTACAATTTAAATAAATTTAAAATAATTCTGAAATGGAGAAACAATTCAGAATTAACATTTTTAAAGATAACTTTTTGTGAATAAAATATTTTTTTTTCAATCGATTTCACAACTCTTATTGTTTCTGTTTAAATTTCATTGAAATTTATTGAAATTGAGAAAGGTCTGTTTCTTTCTTAATTGGCTATTGAATGCAGCATATTAAATATATGTTTATGTATTTATTATTGGTCGATGACCACCAATGGAGTGGTAGAAATTCGGTAGAGTTTAACGTTGATTTATTGCATTAAAAAGCTGGCTAAATGAGGTAGAAATGAATAAGGGGACGAAAAATAATTCAATATCGATTTGCACGGTGATTATCAAATGGTTGATTATTCGTCTGCATTAGCATTCTGCAATTTAGTCAAGTGGACATTCAAAAAGAGTAAATTTAGGAATAAAACCATAAAATTTTCTAATGAAACTGAAAGCAATGCAATTGTTGCAGTTATTGCACCACTCAGAACGTAAACAAAACCTCTCCAAATTGATATTTTATATTTCACAATTATAAGCATTTTGCATCTCAAGCGGAAAAGCTATAAAATAATTATGTAGCAAATAAAATAATATCTGCATAGAATCGCTCCATTAAATGCTAATTGGCCCTTTTGAAATGTTTCGGTCTGTTATTGTTGTCTGCGTAAATGAATTAAAAGCATTTTGCGCTTGTAGTTCTCTTAGTCATTAACATATGTAGTGCATTCTAAAGCTGGGCCAATGAATGCATGCACCACAATAGCACCACAACGTATAATTTTCAATTAATAATGTTTATGAATTGCCGTTCATAAATAAAATAGCTCACACTGGTGTTAAACACGAAGTTTTTGGTTTTATTGGATCATTTTGGACAATTTTATATCGGATATTTATTTTCTTTTAAGAAAATCTTCATTTCGAAATGAGTTTGAATCTTCATGATGTTATTCTCTGCTCACTTTAATTTAAGCAATAAATAAATTGAAATAGTTTTGTTTAATAAAGTCTCTTTGCATGAATTTGTTCACGCCAATAACATGTACTGAAACTATTTTCTTTCTCTGGAGAATTTCGGAGGGTGTTGACAATTCAAACATAAGGAATGTTATTGAATCATTTAGGTCTTTGACAAGCAAGTTAAACTCATTTTCAGAACTATAAATACTACATATGGAATGTACACAAATCTAAACTGGTGATGAGTTAATGTTTAGTTTTCTTCAATTGAATTTTGTAAGTCAATCTTAATCTTACAAATTTATCAATTTCAAGAGACGAAAATTTCTAATTTATCAAATTTAGTGTTTTAAGCTAGAAGTATTTTCACAAAAAGTATCTATGTAGGTATAAACAAAATAAATAAATAAATAAACAGAAGGAAGAAGTACAAACTATCTAACGCCAGGCGCCATATGTTTCACGCGGTTCTTTACCTGACCTTTTATCACTTGATTCCATAGAAAGCAAGATATGAAAAGTCATATATGACAAAAGCAAAACAATAAGAAAAGGGCATCTTTGACAACACATCAACATGTCGAATCGTTTATTATTTCAATTCAATGTTATGGTTATTGGTGCTGGCTTGATTGTGAGACCTGAGAGTGGAGGTTATAAAAAAACAACTCACAAATGTGTACACATAAATTTCATATGATAACATAACAATACGATGATGTGTGTTTTTTATGTTGTGAAGAAGAAAAGCCATAACAAGAAAGAAGAACAATAATCATAAAATGAATGAGAAATGTTCGGTTGGCAGTTCCAATGAATTGCCAGATTTGCATCGTCATCACGCATTTTCACTCCTGTGGTGATGAAGTCCAACCCAAAATACACAAAAGAAGATCACAAAACAAAGATATGGAAATCATTTAGTAAAATGTTAAAAAAGATTTATTTTCAATTATTATGTTTTTTTATGATTTACTCAAACTTCATTATGAGAAAAAGAAAGAAAAAATATTAATTTACTAGATCTGTGAAAATTTATTTGCATCATTATTCAGTTTCACTTTTCTCTTTCAAATTCAATTTCAGTTAGTAAAAAATTCACAAATCTGTCAACGAACAAATTTAGGAAGGAGATGAGATGAGTTAAGTTACAAAGCCACCGCGTAAAAAATTATTACCAACTGTTTTGTATCACTCTGAAACGCAACGTGTCGGGTGAATGTTTGAACACATTTATTTATTTTTGGGATCAACAGAGGGGAACATCAGCTATCAAGTATTATTAACACTGTCACAATTGGTTGGCATGTGAGTGTGAAAGCAATGCCCCCTTGAAAACTATTTCAAAACAAGTAAATGTCACACTTAATACTCTTTGTCATTAAATGATCTTAGACTCCTTCGCCATTACCATGATTTTATATTTAAGATTCACTTTTTCTTTGACGAGACAGTTATGATGAATTGGAATATTGATATGAGCACGTTTCAAGAGCTAATTTTAAATCATTTAATAATATTTATTTAGGTTTTTATGAACTCAAAAATAAAATTATTTTTATTGTCGTCAAAAATCTTTTTCTTTTCACACATTTTTTCTGGTTTGTCAGTGAAAAATATAAAATAAAAATCACTTAGCTCTTGTAGGTACAAACAATTCATCTTTCTCTCGTCTTAGAGATTTTTATTTATTTTTTGTCTGTTTCCACTGTTTTAATTTATTGCTTCGGTAGAACGTAATAAATTGTTTCGAGAGCATCTTTTGGGAGGTCTCTTCGTATTTTATTTATTTCCTCAAATGTCACAATTCATTTGATTTTAGCAACTCGAAAACATTTTATTTAAAATTAGATTGAAATTAAATATTTTCTTCCCACAATAATTGGCTTTTAGGGAAAAGTTAAACCGGAAGAATAATGAACGATTAAACTTTCAATCCCTGAACTATCACCACTAATTTCTCTCAAGGCTACAGTAGAACAAGTTCCAAAATTGACTTTCTTTAAGCCACTAATTATCCAATCTTTCAAACCGTATCCTACATTTTACTGTATACAGTGAACATCAAAATAAATCATTTAACAAAGTAATAACTTTGAATTACAAGCTCTTTCAACGTGCTTGTTAAGTCAGAAAAGATCACGCAAGTCTTAACAATCCCTCAAGTAACCTTAAATCACATCTTACTTCTAAGATTGTTAGATACATCAAATTAAGTTGTGTAATAAATGTCACAACATGTAGTTAAACGAATGCTATAACCCGTCGAAAATCTGACAGATATTTTCATAAAGTCTCTTGGAAATCATTTAACATTTGGAAAAAATATATAAATTTTCTATGTTAGCTTCCCAGCTAATTTAACGGCAATTATATGTAGCAGATGTAGACAACTGACTGACTTACTGCTTAGTTTTTCTTCAATCCAGAAATAATTTACTAATATCCGGAGGATTGTAGATTGAATTTCTAAGGAAATTCCAAGAAACGATACATTGCAGAAAGAAAGAAGGAAAGAAAATAAAAGACAGACGTTGACTACTTTTATACGATAAAATCACTAAAATCACTCGTCATTTCTCTTTCCTTAAGTAATGGATACTTTTTATACATATTGCGAAGAAAAGGTCAGCTTGTAACAAGTAATGAGTTGGAAAGAACTAACCAATGTCTTTAAGCGAAGCCTTATAGCATCTTCAAGATCAGGAGAAAATCAAAGATAACTGAACTGGAAAGTTACACAAAAAAAGCAGACGTAAAACAATAAAAAAAGAGAAAAACTGTTGCCAGTGTATCATTTCATCAGCATCACTTTTATCAATGGATCATGATCGCCAAAAGTCTATTTTCTTCATCTTTACACAGCACCACACGACGATTTTTCTCTCTTAAATCGCTCCTTTGTTTCTTACATAACATTTCTCTGTTTTTGTTTTTTTATTTTCTTTTTCAAACATGAAACTTTTGGCGCCGTTTGATGCCATAGAAGCATTATTGTCCTTTTATGTCTGCATAACTTTAGTATCTTCACTTTTAGTTTTCGTTCTTTATTTAATAAAAGGAATTATGATAAGAATTTTAATGTAGAAGCAATAAACTCTTTTCTCTCAGTTTGAAAAACGTTAAGCAATGTTCATAAATGCAAAAATGAACAGCAAGACAGTTATTGCTAAGCGATCAAGCATTGTGAAATGACTTGGTCATCATCATCATCATATTTGTAGAACATTTCATATATTCATTAATAATAATATTAAATGATAAAGCTTTGAGATCAGTCATGAGTTAAGGCAACCGCGGGAACATGTCTCGTACATATGTCCGACTGTTTGTTGACACTTTTCATTTTTTGTAAAGTCTAGCACTCGTATCTGACTCCCATCATATAATAAATTAATATCCAAAACAAAAGTTTAACATCCGTAAAAGATGTTAACAACAATAACGTTTTTCTGTATGTTCGTTGAAAACTTTTCACGAAATTTATAAGTTTGTTTCAACATCTCATATCGTAATAAACGTTTCATACACAATTTACGGTTCAAACAATCAACATAGCTGTTTTACAAATTTCTTGGTTGTCCCTGATACAGAAATTGCTAATAGAAGTGCTGGGCTGTCAAGATGATGAGTGTAAGCAAGCTGATGAATGTAGTACAACACAGATTTTTGTTAAACAATACAAATTAGTTAAACAATTCTAACTTAGAATAAAAAAAGTCGTTCTCGATTTTTTAATTAAACTTTGTATGATGCAAAGCTTGTTTAATCGATTGAACATCCAAACCGTATTTCACTATCGCAAATTCAATTGTTGAAAACGTTTATATGTATATGATGAAGCTTAAGTACATAAATATCAACATGTATAAGTATGTATGTTGGGAAAAATGTACGAAAACGTCAAAAAGGAGGAGATTACAGCAAAACCGTATATTTAGTGAAGTTTAATGTCGAAATACAGAAGAATGTTTGAGTTCATTTTTTAATGGAACGTTTGTCTCAACCAACTTTATAGATGGAGTAAAAATATGTAAACATTGCTATTTTAAATATAAAAAATAAAAAAAATCCCACTCGCTCTGAATGCTCGAGAGATTCTTCGATGTTTGTAGGTGGTAATTAACCAGCTCATCATGCATATTTAATAGCTCAACATTTCCTAGTAATTGCTATAAAAATCATGCTCGACATTTGCTCGAAACAAGTGGCGAATAAAAAAAAAGATTAAAACAGAAAAAGAGCAGAAGTAAATTAATGAATGAGAAAATCATGTCATATTGAAATTAATTTACGTGATTTTCGAGAAACAGTTTTTTCTCGTAAAATAAATAACTCGGTAGGACACTGAAAGTGGCGTATAAACAAGTATTTCACTCTGAGCTTCATATGTACAAGTTCAAAAATAAGAAAGTAATTCTTCTTATTGACACGATGAAGAAAATATGTCTCCGAAACAGATTTTATTTAATTAATGATCAAGAATGAAAACTCTTGTTTCTGCTTGTGCTATGATGTTAAAATTTTGTAGAATCAGCTTGTAAAATTTTTATTGCTACATCAGAAATATCACACAAGCAACATAGAGATTATTAAGCAGAGAGACTCACACTTTGTTGACAGCGCACAGAAATAAAAAAATAAAGAAGGTGTTGTATTAGCTGAAAAACTTTGTTTGCTTTACATTTATACGGACACTTAAAATCATTTCAAGATGCTCGGAAATCATTTCTAATCCATTTTTCGTTAAGATTCAAACAAGATGCTCGTGATTGAAGTTCAACGCAAGAGTTACATCGTAAGCGGAAACCTTTACTTGATACAAAATCTTTCCATGTCATCGACAAATGAGAAGCATATTTTGTTTGTTGTGATTTCACATGCAGAATGCTAAGAAAAACTTTATGTGTAAATAACAATGTGAGACGATTTGAAACATGATTTTTTTAATGGAGACATGCTGTGTGTTGTGTAACAGAAGTGCGATTCATATCCTTAAAAGGTTTCCATTTCGTGCTCGTAGATGTTGTTTCGCATCAAGTTTTCATTCAAAAACTTAAGAGTCAAGAGGGAGATGTTGGGATAAGAAATCAGTGAACACGATGATTAACGACTTTGAAAATTGTGGGACTTGACTCTGCTATTCAAATGGAATGCAATGTCACTTATGCATAATGATGCGGCTTTCCTAGAAAATATTTCTCTCCATGTTGCTTAGACCAGATGAACTTTGAATAAGATGTCTCAAATATCTTTGGTTTCATCTTCACGCATTTATAAACTTTAACAAAAATGCAACAATTTTACATTCTTCCAACGCTATATGTCATCGAATTTGGGTAGAAAATCCCTTGAATGCCAGATAGTTCTCTGGAAATATTTTCACCCACTTAAGATCGAATCGTTATTGATATTCTTGTAAAGGGACACTTTTAAAGTGATTCTTGAATCCTGATTCCTTATAGTTTCCATTACAAAACCTTAGCTAATTTTTTTTGAGAGTTTTACGGTAAATATGAAACTCGACCTTTTTTTTCTTCGTTTATCTATCCTTTTTCTAAAATAAAACGAATAGTGTATCTATTTACAACGAGAATCTGTTTTGGGCTGTTAATTGTCTAACGAGAAAAAACTTTGTTCGACATGATACTCTTGTTTGTTTATTTGTTATTTATATTTTAGAGAGAATGAATTCTATGAAATTTAAATATTTCATTCAAGAATTTATGGATGTCATATTTATGAATGCGCCACTTGGAGGGAATTATTATGAGCAGAGAAGTCATGAAGCCAAGATTTAACATTATTCTCTGTTTGTTATTATTTATGACGTTTATAATGAAACATAACTTAATTATATAATATTCTTTATCTTGTCGTGGCATATTTAAAAAGAAAGCATTTTTAATGAGAACACAATTATGCAAAAATAATGTGAAAATAATCATCTTCTTGTTACATGGTCGAGGTAATTAAACTTCTTATGACATATGAAATTTAAAATTATAAAAAACATATCTGCTTTCTGTGAGTTACAATTAAGATCACTCATAACAAATGTTAAGTTGTTAACAATGCATGAGGGGTTTTTAAAATTAACCGATCACGATGTGATAAGTAATTACACATAGCAATGATCAGTAAACAAACATTGTGTTTATGATGTCTCACTAATTGAATTTTCATTTTTTTGAAGACGCCACCATTTCCTGCTCTACGAAGACTTTCTTCATGAAACATGAAAAAGGACGTATGATTAGCATAGATATGTATATAATTTAAATATTATTTAAATAGTCTCTACATATGACGGTAATTTACATGAGTAAAGATAATAAACGTGTTCACCCTTCAGCTTACAGGTTGAATGAAAATTTACTGAGAAGAGAGGTCACATGACACCTTTCAGGATCTTTTTCTCTATTCACAACATTAGAAATAAATAAATGAATAAAAAAACATGTGAAACTTTGTCCAGTCTCCACAATAAATCCAAATTAAAAAAGATCTAGAGAGATGATACCTAACTATCTATGAACTCTTCCTTACGAGCCTCGTGGCGCCAATGTGCCGCCTACCCTTCTCTCTATGTCTAATTATGTGGACATTTTTTTTAACATCTCACAATTTAACAAATCAGTTGATTTATTACGCAACATAAGTCGACCTAATTTCGAACGACAGTCAACTTCCTTTGAAGCTCAGATTACTGTTAGATTTGTGGTACAAAATATGGACGAAACATAAGCGAAGATTTCTCAGAATTTTAACACATCGTTTCGCAATATTATCTGAATTCTTGAAAGCTGTAGAACGCTTATTATGAGATTCAAGATCGATTTAGATATCTTAACCCATAATTAAGATCTATCAGCAAAAGACTTTTAATTTAATTATTGATAACACGACATACCTGCAATTTAACCAACTGTGGATGCTCCGATGCCAGTTTCGCAAGTTCTTGATAGTTAGCGCGAGCCGCTGCAAGCATCCACTCCTTTGCCTTAGGATGATTTGTCTGTGAGAAAATATCGACGACATGCAATTTTAGATTTCAAAAGAATCTCAAGATGTTTCTTACCAGACTTTCAGAGCTTCCAGTTGTTTCATCCAAATTCTGTAAAGGGAAATATTTCAAAATTTAAACTAAGTTCAATAAATTCAGTACATAAAAACATTGTGAATAGAAATCAATTATATTGATAGAAGAAAATATTTTTTAATGGTCAAGGGAAATTTAATTTTATCTTGTTTTTTGTTAACAAGAGTTGGAAGATGATAAGTTTGAAATGAGACATGAAGTGATAAAGGAATGTTCGTAAATTAGGTCATCACAAAACCAATCTTCTCATGAATGAACATTTAAATGATTTTGATTATTTTTAAACGATTAAACTTTAAGAACCTTTGACTTGCGACTTTAATTCACCGATTACTTAAGTGTAAATTATTTCTTATTAATTTATGTAATTTTGACATTGTTTTTTATTATTTGCCTTAATATCGTGATGAGAATTGTGAGTGTTTCTTAAACAACAATTTCGTAAATTACTTTCAATCTCTCACAAATGAAACACATTTCTGCAATCATCAAGAACAACAAGAACAAACACGTCGAACATAAAATTTGTACATTCGAGTGTTTTTACTTTTTAAAGATATTGCATGGTCATTTCCTGATACCGATAAGAATCATCAAAATGCTTGTAAAACACCCAAAATAACATTCACTTGTTGAGCAAACAAGCAATTTCATCCCGATCAGCGAGTGATTAACGATTTGTTGTTTTTTTAATTTCAACGATTAGTTGCTTCGTTTTGAACATTATCGACAGTTTTTTAATTATCTTTTTCTTGGGTTTCTCTTTGTGTCTTACATTGACTTCATTCCTACTTAAAAATTTTATGTTCTCTTTTCCTTTTCTCGTTATTTCAATAATTTCGTAATCTCCGTCATAACATTGTGAAAGTCAGAAAGATTTGAAAGGAAACAAAAGTTACCAGCACCTAGCGAGATGATGAAACATGAGTAAACGCTCTTTTTGACAGCGTCATATTAGCTTACGATGACTTGAATTTTATTTACTTTTTAAAGTTTTTCTCGAGAAGGAGAAAATGATTTGTCCAATCAAACATTTGTACATTTTCTCACTCTTCCTACAGCGCTCAAGAATAATTTTTCAATAAAACATGAATGAAGATTATTGTAAAACAAATTGTACACAAGATGATAGCAAGAAAAAAAGAATTAAATATTTTGATACATTTCTTCTCGTCTGAAATTTTAAAGGAGAGAAATAACAATTGTAATGAAAACAACCACAATTTACAGATTGTTTTTCTATTCGACCATGAATAATTAATTTTTTTCTAGCCACCTCATCTGATCACTATCAATGTACAAGGTAATTCAACAAAATGTTTGAAATTAATAAATTAAATCTCTCCACTCGGCTACGGTCCTCAAGAAAATATATAATTAAATGTTTCTAATAAATGTGCTTGTACCAAACATCATCAACAAGATTGAACGCGTGCTGGGACTTCTTTTTTTTTCTCTTCTATTTACTCTCCACCAACTACATATAATTGTTCCGTTCTGAGAGAACAATTGTTCACCACAACATAGCTTTTGTAACATCCAATTATAAGTTTATCTTTTGTATGAAAAATATTTCTCGTTTAAGGACTCTTTCGTTCGCTAAACGACGTTCAGGTAATGAAGTGAAATAACTGGAGGCGAATTGACGTCGTTAAGTTTATGATACCAACATGTTTCACATTTTTCTACGAATTATTCCTCTCTTCACGCTGCTGCAAACGTTCGTTCGTTCTGTGTCACAAGCACAAAAACCATTAATTAAAATTGGTTCTCATCCGCCCCCATTAGAATAGTGGAAATATTTTCCGATATTCCTGTTGAAGTTAAACATAACAGGAGTTAATAATGATGATAGCCATTAACATTTAAACAAAACTTCAACTTGAAATTCTTCTTTTTTTTGTCAAATGCCCTTAGATAAGAAATAATTTGATTTGTCTTATAATTAGAAGCGAAAATACAAGTTTTGAAACAAAAGTTCTAACGGGATTCATTTTAATTAAAGGTTGAGAGAGAGGCATTAAATAAATTTATTTTCCAATAAAGTGCATTTGTAATTTTTAAAGGAAATATGTTTAAGGGATTTTCTTAAATCAGGCGTAAATTCATTTGTGGCTTTTGCAATCGTTAATTGAATACTGTTCCATGGTGTAGAATATCTCTTTCGCATATCCTACGTGGACTTATACATGCATACATGAATGAATACAAAACAGTGTTTAAACAACAAAATACCGTATTTTAATAAAATTTCATCTTTTGCGGGTTTCACAACTAACCCTCCCCTTAGTACGAAAAAATTTCGATGATATTGAGTTTTAGAGATATTTCTATGTGTATAAAACATTATAACGGTAGACAGATGAAGTTATGAATTGAGAATTCTGCTTTTAAAGAGAATCACTAGTAATTATGAATATATTTCAGAAGCATTTTAATGTTCGTCAATCAACACGTAAACTTTCATTTCAAAATATTCGAACAGGTGAATATAATTACAAATAAAAAGTTCACCATATTCGTCTTCCAATTACGAAAATAATAACATATTTAAACAGCAACAAGAATACTTGATGTCCTTATCACAAGTTAGTGTATATAAACTTCTAAGTAATTGAATAAAAAAACATACCCAAGAAAATAAATGTTGCTGGTTATTGGCGCTTGGTAGCAATTAAAGAAAATTATTATGTATTTAAAAATGAAACATTAAAGTGTTCAAACCCTGCAGTAATAATTGAAAGTAAGATTGAAAGGAATGTTAAAGTGCATAAAACTGAGGTTGAACAAATTATTATTGCGAAAATTTCTGAAGAAATAAATGAACTTCCAATCATCTAAAACATGTTAATTTTTGTTTATGTTCTTGGAGTCTAAGATGGGCGGATACAGTTTTACAGTAAAAACTTTAGAATTTAACATGAAAACATTTTTTTTTATATTTTTTGTTGACTTTAACAGTTTATTCTTTCAATTAGTGAGGAGCAAATGATATTTTCGGCTAATTGGTCGTTCTTTGTTAATTTATTCTTTTCATTCTTATGAAGCAAAGTAAATTGAGCAATCAACAAATGAATTCTTTTAGTATGCAAAAGTTGAGATAACGTCAACATGTTTCTTATCAGAACAACTTGAGAATCGATGATAAATGTTTAAAGTAGATGAAAGGCTTTCAACGCTTTAATGACCTAACGAAAGTTTGATAAATATGAAATTTAACTTCTGACATTAATCATTCTAAAGTTTTATTTTGATTTGTTAACAATTGTTGAGACAATTTATTTTTAATGTGAAAAGCCACTTAACAGTAACATTCATTAACTATCTTGTAGAGCAGGTGACTCATACAACAATTTTTCAAATTTCTTGAAAATTTTTCTCATGGAATACATTTTGTCATGTATTTGCTTCTTTTCTTTTTGCGAGACAAACAAAAACTTTTTCATGTAAGAAATTAAGCAGAACAAATAAAAGGAAAGATGCTAACATGTAATTTCTTTCACGGAAATAATTTTTCCTTTCGGTTGTATGTGTGGCAACTTTTTAATTTACCATGTTCCTTGCCATGTTCTAAGTTGAAGAACGACAAAAAATTTTAATTCCTTTCATTTTTCTTAAATCAGTGAGGAATCTTTCTGAGCAGGTTTAGCTTTTATTTTTGCTTTATTTTCGGAAAGGAAAATAATCATCAGCAGTTTCCAGTGACAGAAATGAGAATGACAGCTGATTGTTTTAAAATGAACACTCACGCTGGCGGATCTTTTAAAATTACTCAACGTGTGTTGTAGAAACAGAACGCTGCGTGACTTATGTTATTGATGACATTTAAGTAATAGATCATGTTTATTTAAATATTAAGATTGACAACATCACTCCCGACTGACGCTAGAGTGTCGTTTCACGTTTTTCGATTTCTTTTCATTTCTTTGACAAAATCATGTCGCATGTTCAATTCTTTCATACGTGCTTTAGAATTTCAGGCATTTAGAAAAAGGCACGATTCCTTTTTTCTTCTGTTGTTGAGCCACGCTTTTCAATTAACAACATGAACCAAGAGACGAAGGTAAACAAAAATTTACGATGCTTTCTGAATCCTAAATTATAAAGCTCTTCCGTTGGTTACAATTGCATTCATAAACAAAAGACGATGCTTATAAATTCGATAATCCAGACAAAAATTAACATATTACATTAAGCAAATAAGATAAATATTTTCTCTTTTATCGTTGATCCTTTTTCTGTTTGAATCGATAAATTAAAATTGAATAAATAAGCCGAGTGTCGAAAATAATTGAGTACTTAATTAAATATGCAAACATCATGCGGCGCTAAACTTCGCTTCATGTTTTGTGGCCTACAGCGCAGCAAGATAGTTTTTATAAGTGCCCCCTTGTGTGCATTTTGAAGTTCCAATAAATGTTTTAAATTAGAAGATGCATGCAGTTGCAGAAATGTTATTAATTGTCGATATTCAATAAAAAAGATTATTATATGTAAATGTTAAGACGGTAAATTTAAGATTAATTTCACGCCCACACATTAGCTTACTAAGTATTAACAGCTCGGGGTTACCATCGCCGTTCATCTAATCTTTCATATCAAGTTGAGAATTTTTTTCTAATTTCAAATCTCATCAAAACAAAAAGTTCAATTTATTTTTATGATATATTTAAATGATCACGAGAAAACAATAACTTGAATGATTTATGTTGTTACTGTTGATCTGACAAGTTACTTTTTTTATAGAAGAAAACGGCACCCAGCCAATGATGATTCCGCAACTTTCTTTCTCATTTTCGATTTGATCTATTCCCATCATATTTCAATTATTTAAACGAGCATTTGATTCGATGATCTAATGAATAATAATTAAACAAGGCTCTAACAATAGACTTAACTGTGTTGCGCAGCAAGAGTCGTGATCAATTTGCTGAATCATTTCGATGAAAAGTAAATTTTTTAGTTAATTTTGAGAGTTGTGGAAGAAACAGTCATTTAGACAATTCATCATTCAGGCAAAGTTTGTAGCGTGGTTGGCAATATCTATATAAATATGAAGCGTAACATCTCATGCAAAACTCACCTTTTCTGTTTTCTTATTAGCTTTACTCAATGGTGATGGAATCTTTGCCTCTTCTTCGGAGGCATAACGATTGAATTTCATCATGGCTTCTTTCACGCTAATTTTATTTTCGTCTGTTTCCGTTGGCAATGCAGGAACTGAATCGAATACTTGGCAATTCTCCTTATTGTTGTCATCTTTTATTGAATGTTCGACAGAATTTTCCCGACTGATTGATCGATGATCCACACTACTCCGTTTTCGTGGTGGTAAACTTGGTGGCGTCTGATCTTCAATGATTTGCTCAAAACTGTTTTTACGGCTTGTAACATCGACACGATTTTGATCGAGAAAATTTGACATCACTTGTTGGAACTCATTAACACATTCTTTATATTGAACTTTTGCTTGTGGCTCAACAATCGGAAGCCCTACAGTTGTCATTGATGGAGGAACAGATTGATTTATTGGAGGAGTAGTCGGAAATTGTGGTGGCTGACGATATGGCGGCGGTATACGGCTTGGCGAATCTCCAAAATCAGATGACATCGACATCATGCTGACAGGACTCATACAGGCACTTGCATCCGACATGTAATCATCCGAAGGTAACTCATTGTAATATTTTTTGCGTAAAATCAAATATTTTTCATTTCCCTCGCTCTTGATGGTCGCTAACACGTTCACATATGTTTTGAACTGTTTTCTTGCTTCATCTATTTTGTGGAAGTTTAGAACACAGTTATTATTTGTATTTATCAATAAATAGATATATTTAAGAATAACGAACACTGCAAATAGAGCAACAAGTGGTTTTTTGCATCTAAACTCATTCAAGTTTCGATCATTGCAATCAGTGGAATATTTTAATAACTACACACATAACAGAATTAACAAAACAGTATGAACAAACCACAAATATTGAACTATTTATATTTTGATGATTCAATTTTCTTTTTTCTATTAATAATACTTACTAATTTGACTTCCAGTAAGAAATTTGCGAAAATATTTAACCAATTGTGTGTTTGTCACTTTACAATTATTTTTGAGAAAGTAAGCATGTATTTCTCTTATCGATAGTTCACTTGGTTCCTCCATTATTGATTTAAATCTTTTGATTTCTTTAAAAATATTATTTCTTTGCAATTTCTTTCCTCAACACGAAACGTAAACAAATTACGAAGTTGTTCCCTTAAAAGCCCCTCGAAGTTTTTGAATTGACCGTTTTTTTCTGATCGGTGTCGATCATGTCTTTTATAAATAAATCATAATAAAATATTTTATTTTAAACTTTTTCTAAATAGGAATGACTATTTGAAGAAGTTATCAACACATCGAGAAACTAAAAATTATTTTGAAATCTTGCATAAAAAATCCAACTTGATAGGTAAATAAGTAGAACAAAGCCGTTTAATGTAAGTAGAGTGTGAAGCACAAATTAATCACTTATCTACTTCACTAATCAACTTTCAATCACTGATTACTTTTCCATTACGGTTCAATTGAATGAATGAAGAAATCGGTGCTTTATTAAATATTTCAAAATATTTCCAGGAATTAAATTTTTATCAAACAATCGAAAAAGAACTTTAAATAGATAATAATTCGTCACTTCTGTACATAATAAATAACAAAACATGAGTTAATTTTAAATCAAGAACATATCACTGGAATTTACAAATGTTATAACACTGAAGAGGTATTTATTGGTCACAATCATCATTGAGATTCCAACTCATTCATAAATAAACATCAAAACACCCAATAAAATTTCATGAACGCTGATCCATGACCCCAACTGTTTAAAACGTTGTCTAATCCATCATAACTTTATAACTAACAGAAATTTAAAGAAGAAAAAAAATTATAAATAAACAATGAAATGTTTGGAATGAGTATCGCCGGATGTGGGCTTCTTCCAGAATTTCAATTGACATTTCAATGGAATATTACTTACACCTATGAAGAATTTAATTAAAAACATGTAAAATCTTCATCAAGAATCGACGTGGGGAGACCTTAAGCCAAACCAGAGAAGAGGATGTAAATTGTCTAATGTGATTAATTATACAAATCATCGAGACCTCACATTTTATTATTAGTTTTGATTGACCTTTAAAAATGTGTTCGCATTCAACCATTTAAGAGAAAACACCTGTTTTAGAATTTCTTCATGTCTTCAGTTAATTTTATGTGAACACTTTTGAGGAATTTCTTGTAAGACTAATGACCAGCATGTTGAACAAATTAACTGACCGAATCCGTACAACTAAGGGAAAACATCAAAACACATTTAATTTCGTCACGAGAACAATGAACGACAAAAAGATGATGCTTTTCAAGAAAAAAGCTTTTACTGATAGCAATGAATGGGCAGAATAAATATTAATTAATTTTTCTCTCTTTACCCATGACTCACAATGAATTAGAGGCTTACAAGTGTTTCCCATTTTCCGAGAAAGAACTTCTATTATGAATATTGAGATTGGGACTGCCCTCATAAATGCTTTCATTATTTGCTTAATATACATCAATGAACTTCCGTTTCCACTCGAGAACTCAAATTCAAAGTGTTTTGAGACCAAAATCCATTATTCATATTGAGATTCCTTTTTACTTCTGAATAGTTTACTGAGTAAAGAACATGTGTATCATTAGCATTAACTTATACAAGCCCAATTTGTGACCCGCTGGAAGAGCTTGTTGTAGCTTTAATTAAGACATTTTTTTTACGTTAAACAAAAATTTGTTGCCCATCAGTGAACATCGCGAAATTAATTGGACCATGAACATTGTGAGAAAGAAATTCGTTAATTGTAATTCCAAATTTAACATTTATTAAATTTGCAGAAGTTTTAATTAGGTACGTTAAATATTTTCGCGCCTTATTTAATGGAAATGTCGAGGAATGCATTTCAAGAACACATTACACAATTTCTTGTTTATATTTTAGCTGATATTTCGGACACAGCCATTCCGATTTGAACATCAACTCTCGACCGCACAATTTCTTAATAATGTTGAATTAGTAAAATATTATTTCATAGAAACGGTAGTTTTAGACCTCACACAAAGCACTCTTAATATGCATTGATTGATTCGATTTTTCAATTCAAAAAATTAATTAAATGCACTTTAAAAGTTTGATAAAGTTTCGGTGTTTCGACACTTTGGGGAAAAACGCGCGTGGCATATCAAACAATACCATGAAATTTATTTGTTTGATTATGCCGCTATTAGAACTCAAAACATATTTCATTAACTTTTTTTCCTGTTTAAATTGTTTTTTATATCGTCGGCAAAATCAAGTTGGTTTCTGTTCTTACTGATCGTTAAGAAACATAACAAAAACTTTCATTATCAGTTAAAAACAATTGACAAGAAATTTTTCAATACTTTAGCGGTTTGTTGTCTTTAATTGATTGTCATTTCCTTTGCTGATAGGCGTCCTAAGAATTGAAAACAAAGGAAATGAAAAATTGAAGTCAAAAATATTTTTGGGTTTCTTTTCTTGTGGTGACTTCGACGACCGAGTTCTTGAAGAATAATTTTTTCCATCCCTCCGCCAACACAATTTTTCCCCTTTCAGATGAAAATGTTCAAATGAAAGCTTTTCTCTCGATGAAGAAAATTTCTCTCACGCTTTTCTCTCACGAAGATTGCACACCATACCTGCGTGTGGGAGTTTGTAATACAATCACAGGATGCTCATGATGAAGAATAATTCCCCATTTCCTTATCGCATCAGGCAATCGTTTTTCTTCTCTCACAAAACTTCTTACCATCTAACACATTATGATGCAAATTGAGGGGATTTCTGATGTTTGTTGCGATTGCTTCAACTCGAAAAATTCCTTTACCGGTGTTAAAAGCTGTTCTCTCCTTCTCTTCTGCCTCAACAAGGAACCGAAAATTTATTTCCACTTTCCGAGTTGGAGTTTATTTCATTTGACTGGGAACATGGAATCATGGAGAACATTTTAATATTTTATGTTCCATACATATACGAGAATGAATGCTATAACCCGAAAAACTATATAAAATATACAGCACTCTGGTCATTATTATTATTGTTGATCTTATGCCGATGCGACTGTTTATGCTGAGCATTATGCTTTGCTAGCAGCGCCGAAGAGCTGAAATGAACACACAGATTCCTAACAATTCGAAAATTTCCATGTCAGTACTTGATAGAATATCCAACAAGTCGAACATAAAATTTTGTGTATCACAATCAATTCACATCACCAGCGAGTTGATAGCATAGTTGTTGACACATGTGGTCCACTTTTTATTGGAACCATTTAGATGACAATAAACAAGTGTTGTGTTGCTTGAGATTCAAGTAAAGTGTTGCGCTAAACAACAAAGAATAAAAAGCATAAAATTTTCGCTAAATGCGAAGCATAACTTTGAAGGAAATCCAGACGACGTGTCGAAAGTGGTAACGAATTGTTTAATGAAATGTCATAGACATTTGAGTTCTTTTGACTTTTGAAAAATATATATTCGACATGTTATCGCTTTTTTTATCAAAGCGTTCGCACACAAAGAAAAACATTTGAGTTTTGACACGTTAAAAATCATTTTCGCAGGTTCTGTGTGAATCAGATCGTTCATGTTGCACGACGTTCTTTTTGGTGATACAAAAAAAAAAGATTCTTAAGTGACACTGACAACACGTTGAATTATTAAAGTGTGAAGTACGAAGCAAACTGTAATTAATAATAGGAATGAATTGGATTGTGAAAATTGCAATTTTACGCGAATATATATAAAATCATGTTAGTCTTGATGAAAAACTATAATTAGTTAAATGCATGTTCTTACAAGTGCATTAATTAATCAAAAAAACTGTAAACAGTAGACAGACAGTGATTCAGAAAAGCTTGTTCATTGTAAAGTTATTGTGTGTATACTTGAGATTTTTTTCTCGGAAGTTTTATTTTAAAATGGAAATGGCATGTGTGAATGATGATTGGGAACGCCATATGGTAAATCCATTGCTTCAGGACATGAATTGTGGAGACGATGAGTACTTTAACACACAAGATGTGAGTACATCCTTATTTTACTTTTCCTCATTTTATTAAATTTTAAACACAATTATATCAAAGTCCAAAGAAAAAACTTTATTCTGAATAATTGAAATTGTGTAAAAGCCACGTGTTACCGCATGAAACTACAAGAAAATAAATTTCCATCTCAAGCGGTTTACATTTTACTTTCAATCCTTCAACTTTTTTGTATGTCAACTATGTTGAAAAAGAAACGATGGGAATGTGACACAGATTCGTTGAAAGGGGACTAAGAATTTCTAGATTTTTAAATATATTAAGAGTTTATGTACTTCGGAGAAATAAAAAAAGTTTTCCATCCTAATCATCCATAAAGTCTTCTTTTATTTCATCTGAAGATAGGCTGAGTTTTATTCTAAGGAATAATAATAAAATGAGTTGACTCATTACCTCTGAAAAAGTTTCTTAACTCAGCCAGGATGTGGATTATCAAGTTTTGCGATGATAATTTTTAATTTTCTCACCCTCGTATTTTGAAATTAATAATTAAAACAGAATGTTTGGAAGGTGTAAGGAATGATAATAAAGTGAAAAAGTACGAGAAAAGATATTTTCATCTCTAATTTTTCATTAGAAGCATGAGCAAAAATGTTTCTTATTATTCTTATTTTATAATTATGCTCCACAATTCGCTGATAACTCTTTTGACGACTTTTTCCAGCAACAAAAAGTGAGAAAGTTTGTCGATTTTTTTGTGCGTGTGTCAAGCTAGTAGTGGAAAGTAAGCATGTGTTATGCTATAATGACACATTGTAATTATAATCCGAGTAAGCAAAAACTTTTAAGTTTCATAAATTTTCTACACAAATTGTACTTATGAACATTAAATTTTTATTTTCCTCCTCTGGAATATCTTTAGCGAAAGAAATTTTCTTATACCATTTCCATGCACGCCGTTTCTATTATCACATTTGAGAGTCGTTTAATTAACATATAAATACACGCGAGGGATTTTAAACACATGGTAATAAGAGGCAATTTTACGCGAGATTCTGATGTTTAATTGCTATAAGGGCTAAAAGAAATGTCGCAGCCCTTTCATATAATGATAAAGTTACAATTTATGCCCTTCAAGTTCATCTTGATTATGTGCAGAGATAAATGACGCAATTGACTTGATGAAAATTTCAAACATGAGTGCAAAAAAACATTAATGAAAGGGTTGTTATGAGAGAACGATTTAATTAACATTATTCTCTAGTTCATTTATTTCACAAATTAAATTAGAGAAAAAAGATTTTTAAAACCACCCACGCTTAAGATTATGTTTACCTTACTTAGATATCCAAAGGTTTTATGTTTATTGTTTAACTAAAATAAGATTTGTCTACAAATGCATTAGTTGATATGTTTGTGAAATTTTAATGCTCAATTTATGCTCATAATTTATGTTCAATTTTGTGCATATTAAAAAGAAATAAAAATGTTATGTTTCATTCAATGTTCTCTACAAATAATTTTTGGCAATCATTTTATTTTCCAGTTAATATTAAATTGTCAATTTTTGTTGGGAAAATGAGAGAAGCAATAAGGGGAATAAGTTTAATTTCATGCAGTCAGAGCTGCACAAATTGCGATCGCTGATCTACGTTTTGAATTTATACGCTTTAATTAGAAAGAATATTTATTGAAAATTGATCATCCATTTTGGGATCTTCCAGCACTGCATTCAGCTTAAATATATAATATGTATTGCTCCCTCAAAAATGCACATTTATCCAATTTGGATTCGGGCGGCAAAACGACAGCAATGGTGAATGCATTTAAATTACATACGTTCGAATACGTGCATACAATAAAATTAATTAAACTTGTCTCCATAATGCATTATTTAACTCGATTGGAATTAAATTTCTTTTTTGCGCTGCGTAAATTGGCTTTATTGGTGAATAAATTATGTTTTTTCTTTTTTCCTGTTTGTCACAATTGAATTTTTTTTATTCGTTTTAAATTTCAAAATAGAACAAAAACATATTTTTTTTATTGAATGTAGTTCAGCATAGATGAAAAGAAATGGCCTGAAATGATAAACGGGTTTTGCAAAAACCGCCAAAACTACACGTGGTTTTCATAATTGATTTTGCGTAGCAACACTGTGTTCTGTGGATATGAGCATATGGTTGTGGAATGATAAATAATGTTCATTTATGGTTTAATGAATGTTAAAACATTTTGCTCCAACTTAGATAAAGCTTCATCTCATCGCTTAATAAACTTTTACGCATGGATTATTTATATTTTGATTTTCAACACTTTTCTCACGAGATTGATTCGAAACATTCGATTAATCATCGACGCCTAGCGTTATTCAATCAAAAATATGCGGTCATAAAAAGCATCTAAACATGCAATATACATTTCAAATACTCGCACAGCTTAAACGGTTTGTTTTCTTTTCAATTCTTCTCTCCTTTTTGTGTTCATATAATTTTATTAGCCACAAAAGGCAAACAAAATGAGAAACCAATAATATTTTATTTTTATTGTTATTGCGCCAATAATTTCTTTACGACACCAAAATTCAAAGCGTTTAAGAATGAATTTTTCATGCCTTCGACATTCTTTTAAGTCTACAATATTTTTTTTGTTTTTATTTTGGAAAATTGTTGATTTGCGGAAACTCAATCGGAGCACAATGCTGTGATTTTTTATTATGAGGCAATAGTTTTATTTCTTTTGCCTTTACTTGGTGGGAGCAGCGAAATAAAACCATCAAGATTGTTATTTTACGTATAAATTCTCAACGGCACCGAGGACAAGGAAGGTAAATGTGAGACTTCTTATTCGTCTTATTGCTTTGGATATATTTCGGTTTCATTTCAATGTACTCGTTGCCTGGCGCTTCCAATTATATGGCATTATAAATAATTCGAATAACAGAAAAGAAGGTTTTCTTTCGTTTCTCCTGCTCTTTTTTACTTAGCTGTTTCTACAATTTTTAATTTATTTATTTCGTTATTTTTATTAACATCATTTCGAACTTCTTTACTTGCGTCTCGATTTTCTGCTTTGCTCAATCACCGGACTTCAAGTTTCGATTGAGCCACGTTTTTCCAGTTCACTGTTAAAACAGATTTTTCGTGATTAAACGATGGAAGCGTCTTGAAACTTCTTTTTTTTTAATAAAAAGAACTTTTTTTTCTTTCATTCCATCTTTTGCTATATAACAATTTATTAATGGGAAAAGGTGAGTTGCAATAAAAACTTTGGAAAATGAATATGTTTGTAAGAAAATATTGAACATTTATCGTGATGGTGACTTGGCGCTCTCTAATGAATTTCATCTTTTAGAATTGTGCGGTTTAATATGTAATCTGGTAAAGAAATCTACTGCATTGAGTGCAAATATATTAACAGCACGAATTTTTTACACATTTAATTTTTATGGCTTTATTTATCAATTAAATTAAGACACCCTATGCTATTGACAGTCAACAAAAAGGCAAGAAGAGAAGGGACGACGACAGTAGAAGTTCAAAGTGCAAATAAATATATCCATTTCAAATATGTCCCGTCGAGAAAACGAAGTGAGCGAAAAGCACTTGGCGATTTTAAGTGACTTCTTGCCATTAGAAATATTTTCACTTCCATACATATGCTTCGTCAGAATCATCGTTAATTCCATTTAGTTTATATGAATACGCAATTTTGTTTATCCCTCTTGAAAGTAACACCAGGATTCCTGATTGATATAACGAAGAAGGGTGTCGGCACGGCAGTCAAGAGAATGCATTTAAAAGCACATTTATTATGCTTTATCCAGTGACGTAGCTCTGTCACTCTGTCATAAATAAATGCCAATACTCGACAGTTGATAAATAAACACCCCTGGAATAGAAAAACTGAAAATTTTCTAGAGTGGAAACCCAAACATATGTGGCATATTTTCCCTTCTCCCCGAGAGACTTATTGTCTTCTGCGTGATGTTTTGAAGTTTTTTAGTAATTTTCGACACCAAGCATTTCATTTAGATTGAATGAAAATTTATTACAATTGCTTTATTTTCCGTGACAGTTCACGATGACGAGACTAGATTTATTTACAGTGATTTCTCTAGTGAAAATCATAAAAATTGAGGGATTAAAGTTTGTTTTTGTCATGGTTTCTTCTTTCAATTTAACATCGCACTTCGCATAAAAATAATTGACGATCGGCACAATTTTTTTCTATCGTTAAAAAGGTGTATTATAATGACATTTTACTTACAATTACCGTGACATTTATGCATTACCGCGACACTGTCTATCAAATCATTTAACATCAGTTGTTGATATTTCAAATTACCAATTCTCCCCATCAAAAGGTTTAAAGCACATACTTAAAATGAATAAATAAATCTTAAAAATAAAATTATCATTGATATTTAAAATGTTTATAACATGAAAATAATTTGTTCGTTATGTTAAATATTTACCTTAGCAATTTATTGTTATTTTCTGTGAATACTTATGAGCATCTCGGCACAAAGAAATAAAAGAGATTTGCTTTATAGCACCATTAAAAGCATTGAAGAGTTATCATCAGTCAATATCAATCAATAACTATCAAACGATAAAATAATTATGAGCTGTATGTTGAGAGTTGGTCGACGATCGCTCTCAGCACCAAGCCATAAAAAATAAACATTCAGAAAGGTAATAACAGCCACAATCGTTTAAAATGAAATTTCATTCAAAAGATTTCAAAAAATAATATGGAAAGTCCATAGGAATTGTCTCGAGAAAGAGATAATATTTAGTTGTTTTCTCTTAAAGATTTCAACTAAAAAATTACCCCCTAAGGTGAAACAAATGACTCTATAAATGTTTGTTTTTGTTAAGATACTGAAAAACTAGTGAATTTATCATATTCTTCATAAACACACGAAAAAAAGGAACTTTTGAGGTTGTTTTATAAACCAAATGGTAATTCATTGAAGATTTATGGAAAATGCTTTTTTTGTATGCAGAATGCATTTGTTGCGATGAAAAGCAAATTTTTATAATTTATTAATTTTATTCAATTTGTAAATTCGTGCTGTGATTTAACTTAAACTAAGTAAGGAAAAGATTCTCCCGTTACTTCTAAGTTCTTAACTTTCGCAATTATAACAGTTGTTACAAATATAAAAGCCTAAAACACATCTTAGGAAACACCTTAATGGTCATCTAATGTTAAACATTTATTATTGAAATTTAATTTCCCTAGAATGGTTTAATTTTATGATATTTTTGTGATCATGGGATTAAATACATAAAAGTTTTTAAAAAGTTTCTTAAAGCCACACATTAAGTAGTTGAAATGAGAAAAGTTAAATGCTCGTTTAAATAGTTAGCGAAAAGATTTGCTCTTTATCTGTGTACAACTCTTAAACGATATTAAAAATATGCATTCAACCGACAACTGTTGCGACAGTCCATATAAGTGTAGTCAGTTATATTTTAATGGTCTTGTAAAAGCGCTGTAAATTGTGCCAACTCATTTTATTTTCTTTGTCCAGACAAAACTTTGCACATAATCTTATTATCAGAACAAAATGTTCATTTTCACTTCATAACAGATTAAAATACTTTTATCCGTAGAAATTTCCTTCTGTTCAGCTTGGAGTTGAATTAAAACTTTCCTTATTTAACTACTTTGCATATGTATCTTATTTAATATTTAATAAAAGCAAAGAAACATTCATAATTTTCTTACTCATAATTCATTGTTGGAAACCTTTGTTATGCGCTTTCTCTACTTACAATCAAATAATTTATGCTGCATACAAATCTAACAAGTTGAAACTTCAATTGTAAAGTAAAATTTAGTTAGCAAGTATCAAGAATCTAATCATTTTTTTGATAGATTTGAATTTATAGTCATGAACTGACCACATTGCAAACAATGGAAAACTATTTTTTGTCATTTTTCAAACAATTCAAACTTTCTAGAAATTCCTGCAATTTATTCTTTTTTGCAATATTTATTGACATCAGAAATAGATTCAAGTTACAAAAGGGCATCCAATCATGAGCAATAGGATGTCTTCCTTTTATTATTGTTTCTTATTTTTACCACCTAAGTAACGAACTCGTTTTGCAATTATTTATTTATTTATGGGAACAAAAGCCTAGGGAACAAAGCCCAGATAGATGTCAAGGAGTGAACAACTATTCTCTTGGCTAGTTTGGTCATCATTGCGTGAGGTCTCAAGTAAAATGATGACTTTATTGATGCTCAGAGTGATTTATGGTTGTTGATTTCAAAGAATTTGAAGGTTTTCGTCAAAATATTTTATTTCTGCTAAAGTGAATGCCCAACTAAGACGATGAAGACACAAGTCAGTAACTATTTATCTAGATGTTTGATTTGAACATTCCATAACCTGATAAACCCAAAAAAACAAAATCTTAAATGGTTTAAAATATTTGCAAACATGATGGAAACAAATTTGTGTTTGTGATAATCTTTCAACAAGACCTTTCCTTAAGTCATGACGAAACTTATCATGATCTAAGCAAGGGTTTAAACAAAGTAAGAACAGGAAGCAAATTTGATGATGCTTGAAGTTAACCCTTGCTGAAAGAACCATCACAGTTTATATTTACAATATTTAATGTTAGTTTATCATTGCGAAATTTTTCAACTTCGCTTCGACTTTTAATTCTTTTTTAAACAGTTTTATTGGAATGGCTAATGGAAGAAACAAATTTTAAAAGTAACATTTTGATAAATCGTTCTTCTAGAAAGTATAAATTTCACTAATTATCAACAAAGCTACCTGCTCGAAGGGCTGACTCTTCCTGTAGACAGATTTGATCCCCTCACGCTGATATGTGAAAAATGGGCTTGAATTTGATCCCTAATCTAACAAAAGTGATCAAAACAAATTTATAAGCTTTATAAAGTAGGAAAGAATGTTTGTTGTTGGTATAAGTGAAAAAGATATCTTTTTCCAGTCACTTAATTGATATGAAATATTTAAGGATGTTTCTATCTAAGTAAAAGTTTTGTGATGCACGAAAATTATTGAAACGAAGGCTTCGTTTTTGACTCATTAAAGACGTTACGTTCGGATGAATTATTCATACCTATGGATGAAGAAGTTTAAAAAATATTATCTATCAAGTAAGCAGAATTTATGTGAATTTGGGGTAATAATAGCAATAATTGAAAAGTGATTAATTAAATATAAAGGTAAGAGGATTTGCTACGGATTATTAGCAAAATTATCTTAAGTAGACATTTGCAGAATTCTAAAATTATAATCCTCTTTAAAGGCTATCTGTAAACTTTAAATTGAGATGAATAAAAATTGCAACGTTGTGAAACTTGCTTTTAGCTAATGTGACACTTCGTTTCACTCATGTAATTTTAAGTATTGCAAACTTAAACTATTTAAATAACTTCATTCATGATGAACTGAACATGATTGAGAGAAATCAGCTTCAACTAAGATGATTTAAATTTATGGATTATACCTGAAACGAAAACAAACAAACAAACAAATAACACAAAACAATTTTAAGACATAAAGAGATCACTGAGGAATGACGGTCTTGTTGCATTTTTTTCCTATTTCTCATTTTCTGCCTTTTTTGCTCTTTTTTTGTCGACTCTTTCTTCCATTCGCCCCCGAACATGCCACAAATTTTAACAATGAACAGCAAAATAAATTTCATTTGTACCCTCAAAAGTGAAACCAACAGAAAAGAATTTGTTAAAAAACATTGTTGAGAGTTTTTTTCGTTTATTTTTTAGAACTGTTAACAATGAAAATTAAGCTTAGGGTGGCCTGGAACATAAACATTCATTCTATGTGAAATGAAAAACACAGTCATGAGTGGTCATTTTGCTATTTCAACGTCTTTATTGCCCTGGCAATAAACATTGCAGTAAATGTTTGAGTATAAAGTAAAAGCAAAGATCATAAAAGTAAAGGTTTTTAAACTCCACAGATCATAAAAGCAGTTGAATTTGTAAAAGTCAAGAAACTGTTTGGTTTTTACTCTTTTGGCAGTCTATAATTCTATCTAAGTATCTTGCAATATATTTGGCTAGATTCAATTTCATCAAGAAATCAATTTTTTTATTAAAGAATCTAGCAATCGCCGTCAAATTCAATCAATCATAATCATCACGAAGCGGTAAAATATTTCAAAGAAGATCGACTTGAATGTCGATACAATCACAAGACAAACTAACATATAAAGCAATAAACTAGAAATTGTTGAAATTAATTATTATTTGTCGGAGGCAAGAAAGGGAAAAATTCAATTTATGGATCAATTACTTGTTTTCGTCGCCTTAATTTGCAATATCAATTTAAGTTTTAAGTTGAAGGTTTCAGCTGGTTTCAAGCAATTTTCTTACAATGTTGTCCCAAAGGTTTAATAACAATTTCTCTTTCAATAAAACTTCATTAATCAATCTTTCTTTTCTTATATTTTTTGTTCGTTTTTTCAATCAATTCAACAATCGAATGAAAGAAAGATGTCCAACAAGTTTCATTCGATTGAAAATGTAATCCATGTAAAAATAATTAAACCGCCCATTTCACACTTTTTAAGCGTATCCAATCAGTTCGATTGATTTGTTAGATTGCTGCATGCATGTAAATTTTTATCCATTTTTCATTTGATAAAAAGAAATCTGGTTGAAAAGCAAATCGACAGCTTATTCGACACTTGAGAGCTCATGCAAATCGTGAATTTCAAAATGAATTTCTTACACGTGAAAAGTAGAAAACTTTTCCTTTACGAGTTGAAGTGATATTATTCTGTTGTCTCGTTAGATGTGTTGTACTACTCAATGTTAATGCTTTCTGTTATATTGCTTTTTGTGAAAATAAACACTTGTCGCGCTATTTGTTAAATTGTTTTTCAAGTCGTTTTATGTAGATCTGCCATAAATACGAATGTAGCATATATGTAGTTTAATATATCAAATTGTTTTCTGTGACAATCAATTGTTTTTATGTAAGACTGATGGTAAAATGTATCCATGTGTGAATCCAACCCTTTTTGTTCTTCTTCCAACTCCACTTTTGAACGAGAATTTAACATCATCCCTACTGTTTATTGATATCTTCACATCCTTTCATATAAAAGACTATTGATACAAATCATTTATTTATGCATGAAAGAGAACAAGCATATATGTGACATGTGTAGACTTGAAACTTTTCCCCCACCTGAGAATGGCTGTCGGCAGAGGAACTGAAAAGTCCTTTAATTGTGAAGAGAAAAGGAATTTAAAGGGGAGCGTCTCACTATGCATTTCATTGATACAAAATAAAATTTAAATCCCCTCCGTTGTTTGAAAATTTTGTCAAAGACATTGCAACATGAATAATAATTAATGGTGAAAATTCTCTGCACAAATTGCTTATTCATTATACGACTACAAATTTTCTCCCGCACATTGAAAAAGTTATTCATCGGCTCACCGATGTTCCTTTTTTCCTTTTTCTTTTAAAAAAAGAAATAGGAGAAGGAAGAAAATCGAAAATAGGAAAAAAAATGTGAAAGGAAACAAAAAAATAAACGTTGAAGTGCGAATTTATGGTAAAAGAAATAGATGACAGAAATACAAACATTTAAACATTTACAACATTGTTATTTTTCGGTTCGATCATTTATAATGAATACAAGGATGTTGTATGTTTTTGTCCCCTTTTCCATGGATTGTATCAACATCCTGCCTCTCTTTTTCTGCGCTTTAGATGCGTTGTAAGCTTACAGAGCTTCTATTAGGTCGATAAAAAAATTAAAAAAAAACATCGTTGACCAGCGTGACTTTCTTACGAAGAAAAATCTCGCGAATGTTAGTCCTTACATGATGGCTGAAAACAGACGAATGTCTGTGGGAAAAATCACGCTTTGGAAGTTTTCTTTCGATAAAAAAAGCATAAAAAATATAACGCGCAAAATATTTGCGCATGAGCTTGATTTCCAATGTAACGAGGGTTGCTTCCTTTTTCCTATATTGCGGGATGAAAATCATGAACGCTAGCAAAGAAAATGTTATCAATTCAGGCTCCTTCAATCCTCTGCATTATTCCTCAATTGTTAATTCACTTTTCCAAAAGGGGATGTACATAGCATTCGCCACGCCTTTGAATCAGGAGTGAAATGACTAAATTCTCGTACATAATCCCCACCAATTCAGTTTCGAATAATGAAGTTGTTGAATTTCACAAGAGAGGTGGAGCTTAGTGACATCGAAAACATTCTCATTGGTCGAAGCATCGTTTATTCGAAAATTTATTTCCATCTCCTACACAGAAAAAAACTCGTTTTCTCCCCGCTTTTTGCTATGCTTCGTTTATACAACTGCTCTGTGTGCCTTTCACATGTTTGCTGTGGAAATAGTGGAATAGTTGGTTTTTTTTCGTGAACGTGTGCGCATCATCGCAGTACACGCATTAGAATAAAATAAATATTTTAAAAACTCGCTCGAAACGGAAATTTTTCTTCGCCGAGATTTTCAACGGTAAAAAGCGAACAGTGGAAAAAGAACCCCAAGGATTCTTTAAAAAGGGAAAATTTTCGTTCAGATTTTTCCCTCGCACAGTTGTGTTAGTGAACAACAAAGGAAAAATATCCCGCTTTGCTTGGAAAATTCCAAAGCAAAGAATAAAAACGATTGCCTAAAACGCTTAGTGGAAGCGGGAATTAAATTATGTGAAACTAATTTCGAGCCTTCGAGTTTTCCTTTTGATAATTACTATTTGTTTTTCACTTTATATTTCCCCGACTGTGTCGATGTAATTCTCGTTGTTGTATTCTGGAACAAAAAGTAAATTCTAAGTGAAGTAGATATCTACGTTCTTCAGTTTGCTTGTTTGTTTGTTTACATCGACTCATGAATGACGAAGATTTTATTCTTGTGTTCAATGAATTTGCATAAATACGTGTAAAAATATTTTTGTGACTCTAAGCTTCATTAATCAAAGACAATGACGGTGTATAAGAAAAGCAGCCGAAAGAAATGATAAGAGATTGATATTTATATAACAATTTGCTCAAACGCTTATGAGAAAAAGCAACAACGGATTAAATCGTATGTGAAAAGGACAATCATAATATTGTTGATATCTCTCAAATGCCTAAAGATTGTAGTGTGTTGATGATTTTGTTTGCTCAATTGCTAAACAAAATTTATGATTTAATTCTTTGATAGTGCAAAAAGAAGTTTTGCGAAAACGGAGAGAAAGTTTTAAATACCTAATAAAAGTATAAAAAAAAAATCAATCAAAAAGTGCAAAAAAAATTATTTTAATTAAGGGATTTTTTATAAAACAAATAAAATTAAAAATCTCATATATTATGGCATCGTATGCTCAGTTTGGTTATTCATATCCGTCGGCTAGTCAGGTATGTTAATTGAAGATTGTTAAAAGTTAAGTGTTACATATGCGCAAATGACTCAATAAAGTCCAAATTTGAAATTTATGTGAATCCCTTTTCTGTTGACTTTGCAGAAACCAAATCTGTGTGAATCTGCTTCATTAAAATCCATAGAACTGTTTGAAGAAAAACAAAAAGTCGTTTAAAAGCAACACAATGACTTATAGTCTCAGATGTGTCAGTTTCGTTTTCTTTAATTTACTTAATATTTTTGAATGAAATTTATTTCTCCAATTGGTCTTAAAATGTATAAAAGCAACAAAGTCACGTCATTGATTTTTTTTTCTTATTTGTCGCAAAAAAACTGACAAAAAGGGGTTTCATTTTATAAGAGGAACGTAAAATGCAGAAAGATAAAATAAATCTGAGAGGGTCATGAGAAATTCTAATTTCAGTTTTAGTGAAATTCATTTAAAAGTGAAAGATTTTTCCATCTTTCGAATTTAGTTTTGATAGATTTCTTCAATATTTAGAACAGGGGCTTGGTTAGATTTACTTTTATCAGATTGAAGTTTGATAGAATATTCTGAGTTAACTTGCCTAATAAATAATTTCCAGATCATGAAAAACATTATTTTCAAATAAAATTAAGATCTTAGACACGAATGTCTACATGGCTTTAGAAATTTTACAAATTTTCTTGTTCTTGGAAATTTTCAAGTTCCATAATTCTTTATTAAAAAAACTGAAGTCAAAAAAACGTTAAAAAATTGTTGGCAACAATAAAAGGGACGAGAAAAAAGAGAGAAAAGTTTGCGTTAGTCTACCAACAGGTACGCTCCTGATGTTGACTGTGGTTCTAGTCACAGCTTCTTTTTACACATGTTTTCTGCATCAAGCACTTTGAGTAGATATTCATGATAAATTAATATCGTTCACATATTTACCACAATGACAAATTCTCTCGACAATCAATATCCTTATGGAATTTCAATGTGATTTTCCAATAAGATTTCTTGCGCATTTAATTATTTCAGACAATACTGAAAACCGGCTCGATATTCTGAAGGAAAAACGAAGCTCAATTCTGAGATGAAATTAATATTCAGATTCCGTAGCGAATTCATGATTTCAGAAAGTATTTTTCCCCCATCTCGATTGAAAAACAATCAATGATCTCCAATCTTTGTGAAATTATTAAACGTCTGAGTCTCACCATAAATTCATATTTTTGCTGCTTCGTCTAATCATCAGCAACAGAAAAACAAAACTTTTGTTCTTTTCGCTTGATAAATCTTTTTTCTCTCCCTTTCCTTTCTTAAAGACAATAAAAATATTTCTTGGCCACGATCGTACATATACTTTGAAATATGTGAGATATTTGAAGTATTCATTGCTTTGTTTCGCTTCCAGTCATTTCTTTCTTGTTTTGATTTGTATCTCTGAGCTTGTGTAGCATTTAAAACAAGTTGAAGTTCACTACTGAAAATGTTTTTTTACACAAAGTATAAAAATTATATTTTTTTGGGAAGTTGAGAAATTGAAAATCATCATTAAAAGATTTGAAAAGTAATCACAATTCATAAATCAAATGAAGGGATTTTTCTTTTCTTTTGAACTGTATCCGTTAAATGTCAACGAGACGTAATGAACTCAAAAAATATGAAGAGTCTCAAAATTGAGAAAAAAAGGTATCGACAACCCATCCATCGATTAATTGCACAATGAACTGAAAGAAAAATGCGAAACAGCTTACCACGCAGTTGTCATAACATTTATTATTTCTTATTTCGTTCTTTTCTGATTCAACTTTTTCACCATCATAACTTTTCTTTCATCGTTTGAATGCTCAAAAAATTGAATTATTCATGTGATGAAGTTGATTGTCTTCATAATTCATTTTTTAGTTTTTAAATGCTGTCGTTTCATGCATATATTGCTTTTTTGTGCAAAAACGTAAACATTTAAAGTTTTTATCTCTTATCAAAAAGCATCGATTAATGTAATGGGAAATTAACTTTTCTTTTTTGCAAATGCAGCATATTTAATGCTGTTGTTGTTGAGCTGACTCTTTAAACACTAAAATTAGAATTATAAAAAATGAAACCACAAATCCAATATCCTAACAAGTTGAATGCGCAATATTATGAGTATTGATAAATCTATACATTAAGTCGTCGTTATGAAGTCAAATTTTCTCAGCATGAACTTTGATGTATTAACATAATTGATACTTTTATATTTTTTCCTCGAGTTCTCCTGTTGACTCTCTGTCAGTTTCGTATTGAGTTGTTTTTGGAGTTTCTCAGTTTATAATATAAAACTTATTTACCTTGGTAAAGATAGAAATTTTTAAATTTTACCAATGTATTATTTATGGTGTCCTTTAAACATTTAAGGAATTTTTAAAACAAAAATGAAATAAACTGTCACAAGAAGGTTTGATTTATATCATAATAAATATTACAACTACATGTTATGCATACATATATCTATGTTAAGATTCTTTAATTTCTTGCGTGTCATTAATTTGTATGTAGAAAATTCAACGAATTTTGTATCATAAAAAATCAATTTTATCAATTCATGAATAGAAACATGCAATTGGGAATGACATTTGTAATAATTCTGATCACATTTGTACTTGTGACAAAGCCTTTTTGCAAATAACGCATTCTTATCCATATTCTCAACTAAATATAATAAATATCTGTTCTATCTTGCTCCTTTCATTCTGAAAAACGAACTAAACTGTCAGTATAATAAATTAATTTGCACATGATTTATTATTCGTTATTCACAGATAAAATTTTTAATACAAGATTTGAATGAATAGCAAGTATTTAAAAATAGCTTTTTGGTTGACTTCATGTGTGAGCTTCATACAGTCATGACTACGATGATTTCATTTTATTGTATCGAAGGCTTCGTTCGAGAAAGAAAACTAAAAAGTAAAACGAAATTGTTTGTCAATCGTTTGAATCTTGATAAAGGCTCACGGAAATAGCTTTTCAAAACATTTGTGACGATTGACGAAGTTAAAGAAATCTGATCAAAAGTGAAACGAAACATTTCTGTTACTTTTCTAATCAAACAATTTGCCGCACTCGAAACAATCATTTCCATTTCAATGACCATCATGATTTTAAAATAAATTGAAAAGTGTTGAAACACATTGACACTTTGTTAATAAAGATTTTTTCTTTTAGTAAAGTTCTCGTTGAACCTTTTTTCTTCTTGTTATTGACTCACTGAATAGATAGATATATGTAGGTATATAAATAATTATGTAGATTAGTTTTCATCTGTGGTCTTAAAAGAAAGAATAAATAAAACGAAAAGATCCCAAATTAAATATTTATTCTCAAGATTTGTTTCGACGGGATTCGATTATGTCCGATGATTATTTTTTGGTTCGCCTTTTTGAGGCAAGCATCAAACGGAATGGATACAAGAGATTGAAAAGATAAGAAACTTTTTAAAAAATCTAATAAGATCACATAATAGCAGACAATATGAATACATTTAAGCACAAGTATCGAGTTTCTCAAAAGCTTTCAACGAACAAATAATTAAAATCAATTTTATGCCGTGTTATGTTAGATATAAATGAGAATATTTTAACACTTACTTGTTCATGTTCGCAGAAAGAAATCAGATTTTTCCTCCTCTCAGTTTATCGATGATGAGTAATTAGAAATTTATTTATAAAGTTAGTGAGAAGAAAAAGTCTCTTCATCTGAACTTGATGACAAAACCTAACATTAGCGATGAAAATATTTAATTATTAATTTCTTCGTTGCAGAATGAATAGCAGCTATAGCATAGAACAAAGCATAAAACATAAAACAAACACGAACAATAAAATCTCTTCCATCATAAATTTATGTTTGGAAAATTATGTTGTCTTTTTTTTGAATGAGTTAAAGCACTGAGAGTTTAACAAACAAAGCATGCTAAAAGTTTTGTGATTGTTGTCGACTACTGCTGAGTTGTTGCACACATAAAAATAACAAAACAGAGCAAAACTTCATGATAGTTTTTATTCAAGTGTTTAGAGTGTTGAACGAGTGAAATTTAGGGTTGTTAATTAATTTTATAAAATGTGTTTATTGTCATCATCATACACAATGTAATGATGGGGTTTAAGAATGTTTTTATTGAGAATATTATTCGAGTTAAATATATTGGAGACAAACTCTACCATGTCAATGCATCATTTTTATCATCGTACAATCGAAAAGCAATAAATTAAGTCTGACCACAGTTAAGACGTGCACATTTCAACACAGAATGAATGAATCAATGAATGAATGAATATGGAATTATTATCTTGAAGAAATTGTCTGCTTCTGCCATCAGACGATCTGAAGCATGCAGTAATTGATATCATCCACTCAGGTGGTTTAATTAATTGGCTTTTATCCTCTTCTTTATTTGATATTGTTTTTGGTTTTTGCGTAAGTACGAACATAAGTTCGAGAAATAAAATCCAAACAGCTCAGCCCTTCGGAATACGTAAAAAAATACGAGGAACGAGATGCGGAATCGCATCAATAAAATAAAAAATAAATAAATCCTGTCGATAAAGCGCTACGTCGAGTACAAGCTCAACTCACATAAATCTAAATTTTATTATTTGTTGTTCCACAAATTAATTCTTTTTCTCTCTTTGACCGTGCTTCTCTCTCCCTTTACGCGCATGGACTTTGCTTTTCCCAATACCCAAATATTTGTACATCCACTTAAAATGAAATTGTAATGTGATTGAGAATGAGAGATAGACTTTTTATTTATTGTTGATTAATGGTCTTTTAGCTGTTTCTATCATACTATAATACGTTGTCTTTACAGATGGGACTTTCAAGCAATCCATGAATGAAGGTTCAACCTTTCCTTAACTGTTCAATTTAGTCGAGGAAATTTCATTCATTCGAGTGCTTTTCAATTAAAATTACTTGATTAATTGAAAGTCCAATTTGAACCCGGTCAAGAGCTTTCACTATGTCGTTAATGTTTTAAACATTTAATTAACAATTGCAGAAAAAAAAATATCGATTAAGTGTTGATTCTCTTCGAGTTCGACTTGAGTGAGTGATTCTCAAATATGTTTACGTTTACCAAATAAAATAATTGTAAAATAATTATTTGAATTGGAATCAACTCGAAAAAATCTGTGTCGATTGGAATTTCAAAACAAATAATCGATTATGTGTTTGATCATGGAATTCTCTTAATGTTTAAACTTCTAAATCGAGTTTTTATTTAATGAAAAAAAAAAGAGAGGAAATCTTTTTAGCGTAAACCATGTTTAAAGTAAGCCAGCAAACCATTTTAATATTTTATGAATTTTCAGCTTCATTTCACTTTTATCATGGCAGAAAGATGTGATAAATGGCATGAATGCGATGATCGAGTTATTTTCTGTTATGCACTGTTTCTCATGCGACATTGTAACGTGATATCTTCATCAACATGATGAATTTTTATTTTTCATGTATTCCCGCTTGTTTTGCAAAAGGGGAATTTGCACAAAAAAAATTGTGATTGTGTTATAATTTGAATTTATTCACTGCAAATTTATAATAAGGTTAAAGAAAGTTTGCAATGTTTATGAGATAGAAAATTATTTGAACTTAAGACAATTCACTAAATAATCGTTATGAAGCTCAATCTTCAATCAGATGAAATTGTGTAGGTTTCAATAATGTTCAAATGATTTGTATTCGACCAAAAAACCAAAGTCTTAAAGGGATAATCTTAGGAATTTAATTAAAATCGATCCCAGGATGATTAAATTCATTTATTTTAGGACTAATAGACGAAAAATCCCATGAAATTAACCAAATCGAAATTAATATCAATTAAGCATTTCTTGGGGATCCTTCCGAAGATTCCCATTTCAATTTTTTTTTTACTTGTACACAACTCGCCTTTCCTCATTTACAGTCTGCTTTTATAAATGTAATTCCACTTTGTAGGCGACCAATAGAAGACTATCTTTTAATTTACCTTTTATTTCTAATTGAAGAATTTTCCAACTTATTTGAGCCTAGAAGTAAGGAGAGAGAAAAGGAAAAAATATAAAGAAATAGCAGTAAAAGTTATTTACATAAAATCCATTAGAGACATTTTGATGGTAGAATGAGGCGGACGACGAGAGGAAGTTTTAATTATTTTCGTCATCGTTAGGGCAAAGTTTTATCCACCGAAAAATAATAGACCAGAAAAACGAGCGAGAGTAGAACAACGATGAGACTTAATGGGTCATAAAATATAAATTTCAACTTTACTTTACATCTCTTTTGTACCTTTTCTTGAGATAAGAGCTTACAGCTTCTGAAGGTCGACCGGAAAGTGTTTTGGTGGCATCAAGTTTCATTTGCATTTGAGAAGAATTTTTTTCTTATTTTCATTCATCGTAAGCTTGATGATTGTGGTGGTGGTTCAAGAGAACGAATTTATTTCATTTTGTTCTCGACAAAAGCCTTAACCAACTAAATAATGTAATCAATTTATGCGTGCCTTAACAATTACTTTATGGCAAGTAAAACGTGGGGAAAGATGAAATCGTTTTGCCTTCGAAATCGATTTTCTTTTGCTATCCACTCGAGGATCCCATTTCTGGTGTGTTTTCTTAATTGAAACTCAAATTAATTGGGAATTGAAATGAAAATCGGGGTTTGTGGAGATGTTTAAATAATTAGAAAATCATTAATGGAATTTGCCAAAGAATTTCCTTCAAAAACCTTCCTTCCTTCGATTGAATAAATTAATTGTTTGGGCTTCGGCTTTGGTGGTAATGAATGCGAATCTCTTTCTTTTTATCATCATCGCAAATTTACATTTTTTTTCGGTGGTTTTAGCTGCTGCTTCTTTAGCCCTTTTTCTTGAAGCGAATAAGTAAAAAAAATAACACGAACTCCCAAGTCGCCGTTCGAGTCACTTCCTTTCAATGAACTTTTCGATTTCAATTTATTCTCTTCTTTGTTGATTCTAAATTATCTTCATGATTTTTGATTGTACTCTAGAGGTGATGCAAGAAGCCGTTGAGTGGAACAATATTCAATTCCAAGTCTTCTGTTTCATGTGTAACAGTGAAGAAAATATTGCTCAAGTTAACCTTTAGGCGCTGATTTCTTTTGCAGTTAAAAATGTTTAACAATCATATGCGAACAAAATTTATATTTATCGATAAAGAAGCTTCTTGAAGAATCCCCAAGAGACGAAGAAATCTTCATGAAATAACAGGAAAAATGAAAATTCCACGCCAAAATCGGACTATCATAACCAACGTATTGTCTCAATTGAAAATTCATTCAACTTAATTAAATAATTGAGAAAAGTAAGTATCGATTGACTTTTCTCCGAACCTGTCGCTGATTCTAGGGAAATTCAATCTTAATTGAGACTTCATTGGGAATTGACTTTGGAATTCTCCTTTCTTCTGTTCATATTATGTCTTGTTGACCTTCTACAAAACTTTTGTTTTTGTCTTTCTTCCAATTTAAGAACCAAAAAGAATTCTTTGAATTTTAAATTTATTGAATTCGAAGGGTATTTAGATACTCAATAAGTATAAAAAGCGTTAAAAAAGTTAAAATAATGATTACAATTCAACGTAAACAGACGAAACTTTGTGACATCATGTAATTATGAATTGCCGAAGAGCCGAAAGAATACTTTGATATTCGGTTAGAGATCGTTTAACGTCAATGGCGAGTGGTTTGGTCCGACGGCTATTTCAATGAAAATTTATTAATGGATTTAAATTTTCTTTTTCTTTTAAGTGCTAGACATGAGAGTGCAAAGCCGGCAGCTCTCAAACGTCTCTGCATTATTAAGAATTTACCAACAGAAAATTTATGTCACAAATTAGTTTCCATGTTGTTGCTGTTTACAGGGCAACATCGGTTCGTTCAGGCCTCGATTAATAATTCATGAATTTTTAATTAGTCGAATCAAAAATTCCAAAATTACTTTCCATATCTTGAGAAAAGAATCTTAAAATATTCTTGCTTGCAAGGCGTTGTTGATGAAAGGTTTTCTTCATTTTCTGCGCAAAGGGCCTCAAAGCAATATCCAGTTTAGTTGGGTTGAGTTGATTGCACGAAGTGAAGACAGAAGACAGAAGACAATGTGTCGTTTTAGGGAAATATTTAAGCTGCATAAGAGCTGCACAGCACATATGTACGCCATTTATGTGTATAATAAAGTCACCGTTTACAAGCATTAAATATAATTTTTAGCAACCTCTCAATACAACAAGTCCACGATGAAAACCTTTAGCGGTAGGCAGACAATCAGATCAAAATCTCTCATCTCCTCATTATTTATAACAACAGAAAAATTTGTAAAGCTTCTCGATTTTATATTCTCTTCGCTTGTCTTCTCATCGCCACGATGAAAAAGTATCGCCCAGAGAGATTTAGTCTCAACCAACCACAACAACGATACTGATTTAAACGCAATGAATTGTTGTATGAAGAAGATGAAGAAGTTCTTTGAATCTCATTTCAATCTCACGAAACAGCGGCGAGATTATATCAATAATAATTTTAATAATAATAAAAAATATTCAGCACATAAATACTTAAACTGCAATGTTAATAATAACAATAACGATCATATTATTAGTAATAATAATAATAATAATAATAATAATAATAATAATCCACAACAATATAGACTCGTAAAGCTACTCGACTTTAGTGCTTTCATTATTTAATTTTTCTTGTCTTAAAAGTGCCTCGCAAAGACCAGCACAAATTTCCCACTCATCCCCTTGGGGTCAAAAAGAATGTGATTATGATTAAGTGAAAATTTGATATGCAAATTACGCTTTGCAACGTCTCGTCTCGTTCTTCACATTGCAATGCTTGACTTGAGTTCATTCCATTTGTTTAGTGTTACAATTTGAATAAAATTCTTGTTCATCTAATTATTTAATATTTCTTTTTATCACTAAACAACTAATTTTCTGATACGCAGCACCGTTTAAAATATTCAAAATTGTATTGTAATTGCTTTGGCTCTTTCAATGACTTTTGAATTGAGTTTAGTTTAAAACGCCATTAGTGTTTAAACTTTTTCTTCTTTAATTAAAACTTCTTTTGTGTCATTAGACACAAGACATTCAAATAACTAAAGGGTTAAGCTTATTAATTCCATCCAATCCCATTAACTCGAACAACATAAGTCTGATCTTAATTAAACAACTTTCAATGGAATCCGATATTGATCATCATTATGTTGGGACTAAGTACTAATGATTTTGTTATTTTCGACTTAAAACTCTTTAAAATTTAAAGGGTTGAAAAGACTTGTATGTAAAAGGGCTATCTATTGTCAAGCGAGAAGTTAATTGAATTTTAATAACTCAATTATGTGTAGGTGCCAATGCTGAGTCGCAACATTTTATGCTTAGATAAGAATTTCAACTTCAACTCATGTTTTGTTTGTTTTTTCTTTGCAGCTCCTTGTAGGACAATCGGCGACTACTGCACCGACAACAACATCCGTAAGTGCCCAATCGCCATTATCGGAGACTAATCCACCTTCTTTGTCACCGAATGGTGGAACACAACCAGGTGCTTTGAGTCCTGGTGGACTCTCGCAAACATCTCAAAATGCTGGAACGACTAGCAATACGTTGAGTAATGGCGCTGGGGCAAACGGTGGAAGCAATACAGCTTCAACTTGCTGTGAAAATGGACGACCAATAATGACTGATCCTGTATCAGGACAAACTGTTTGTTCATGTCAATATGATTCAGCTCGTTTAGCTCTTTCGGGTTACTCGCGTCTCCCCAGTGCAGGTGTTTATGGTACGCCATATCCCTCAACAGACCAAAACCCTTATCCTAGCATTGGCGTAGATAGTTCAGCATTTTATTCACCTCTTGTAAGTATTGCTTTAAATTATCTTCCAGTTGATAGGTTTAAGTGTTTTCAAATGACGAAAACTTTTCTCGTCTTCATCTTTTTTTGAAGATTCTTCTTAACTACGCATCTCTTCATAATTCTTTTAATGCAATTTAACCAAAACACTGTAACACGTTATGAATACAAAATAAACTTGTTGTTGTTGTGTTGTTATCCTTCGTCGCTTGAGATACATTTAGTTACTCTTCACATGCATATGCGAATAATGAAGGAACGAAGGGAATCAAAGAGAGAAAAAAATAATTTTTGTAGATATACGAAAATATGAATGAAGCTCAAAGCTGGCAAAAAAGTGAAGATTTTAGCTGTTGTGATACGAAATTATATGTTAAGAGACCATGAAGATGGTGACAGTAAGCGACTCATTTTGCATGAGTAATTTAAACCTTATTATTATGTTGATGCGCATCATGGCTGCATTTTGTGTGAATCAGCCATAAAGGTTTTGTAGATGAAGCACTAACAAGAAAGGAAAGCCAAAAAAGTTCTTACTAATTTCACCTGTCAAAAGTTACACAAAAATTCGATAAAAAAATAACTTGAACAAGTTTAATAATCCCTTTAAAAAGCTTTTCCCTTTGTAACCTAAATCAATAAATGTACAACATTTCCCATAAGAATTTCCTAAACTAAATCCTTGCAAATGACAAACCACAAAATTGAAACGTTTTTTAGATGATTAGTCTAAAGTAGCTAAGCTAATACATTTAATTTGTCAAAAAGAACAGAAGAAACGAAAATTTACATTCATTCACAATCCTTTCATATCTTTGAAATTGGATACATTTGACGACAGCTTTTTGTAGTAAACAAACTTAATGACTTTCGTCGATTTTCTATTTTGAATATTTATGTGAAATTCTTTATTTATTTTTGGTAACAAATGATGATTCATGGTTATCTGCTAGAATTTCTACGTTCAGATCAAACATAAATGATGCAATCATTAAAGAAGGAAATATTTTATTTAAGTGAATTTTAAATGTTTTCCATTAAACGACGTCTTTTAATTCTTTATGATTCGTTTTATATCTTTAACGATGTTTCGTTTAATTGTGAACCTAGAAAGTAAATGAACATGAGAAAAGTGTCGAAACTGTCAATTAAGAAAACAGAAATGTTTTATTAATGTTCTTGTTTTTATGTGACTGAAAAACAAAGTTGTTAGACAATAGATTCAATGATGAAGAACTAAATCCTCGCATTAGGCTATAATTTCATTTTATTTCCTTCCTATTATTGACGTCTTTGATGTCGTGTAGATTTTAAACTTGTTACTTCTCTTTGTTATAATTTAAAGTTTAGATGGCAAACATCTATGAAATTAAATTGTCATGATAAATGTCTTAATCGAATGTTAAATGAATGCGCCTTTAAGGTGTTTGAGCACTTGCCTAAAATTTCATTATTCCATATCTAATCACAGATTAGTCAAATTCAAATAGAAGTCTGATTAGCATAAAAATCTACAAAACAAAATATCAATATCGAAAGCACATATGGCATTAAAAAGTTTACCATTACTAATGAAAAGCGAGCTTAATCCGTAGATAGAAATTCATGCACGAAAAAGGAGGCAAAAACCATGAAATATCGTTTATAAATTGTACAGCTCGTTTTGCTTCTAATAATCCAATTTTTCAATCAAACAACAGCAAACAAATTATTCTCTATGTTAATCCACTTGACGATAACAAAGAAAGCGAATGTCGTGTTTTGATATCGAGTAGTGTAACATGATATTGACGATACGAAAGGGTTTCTTCATTCGAAGGGATTACGAATTCGTACTGCTGTTATTCGGGTCATGTTAAACATAGAAAAGAAAGAAAAAAACAAATCGTAAGGATTCCATTTTTTTCATCAACTGATTCACGCATAAAGTCCATAACTGTTCAGCCTGAGTTGCGCGAATTGACAACGACGTCTAGACTTGAAACTCTTTTTTCCCCAAAGCATACAAAAATGGACATAAAAAAGATCTGACGACATTCGCTTGAATTATCGAAATCGAAACAAAAGCAAAACACAAGAGTTGCTTGTCGTATTCGGTATTGCAGCAATTTGTATTGTCATTATAGATTGTAAGTTTTTTTTTACTCTTTTATCAACTTTCAAGGGATTCTAATTGCTTTCCTCGGGAAAGATTCTTTTAAAGATAATTAATTAATTAAACGTTTGAGATATAAATAAATTTAATTCTTCTTCTCGTAATTTCTACACAATAATAAATATGAAATTACATGAATCCGATCTTAAGTGATTTTACTTATTTTTTTTTTGTTTTTCGTGCGGTTGTTTGCTTCTTGATTCCATAGAGACACAATTCTGCAGCAGCAGCCCATTTCGCGCATATTTACGTTGGAGGATTATTTACTTTTCTTTTGTCTGCCTTGTTTCCAACACAAAATGCTTTTTAAAATGTTTTATTGGAATTTGCTATCTGAAATTTATCTGACAAAAGAAAACCCTTTTGTCTGCGATTACGATATGCGCATTTTATTTTTTCTTTTTGGCTTTTGAATTTGCATACACACCATCGAAGAAATCGGGACATATCGAGAATTCTTGAGAACATTCGGAAATATTTTCCCATCGATCGTGCAAAACGAGAAGAAGAAAGAAAGGTCTTGGGATGAAATTTTAAAATAAATTCTAATAAATAACACCTCAATATTATCAGTTTGATGCCGATATAAAAATTTATTCCTTCAGCTTAGATTGTGCAAATTCGCACATATTGGCAATGTGATGAAAACCAGTTTGTTTGTGGCTTGATACCCAAAAAAAAAAGCAGTTTCAAAAGAACAACAAGAAGAAGAAGTTGATGGTTGGGATAATAAAGAAGTGGAACTTTTACATCGCACGTTGATTTGTTTTCTTTTTTGTCTTAAACATTTTCAAATAGGCTAATAAAAGGCAAAAAAGAAGAAATATTTAAGTAGATAAAGATAGACAATAAAGTCATCGATTGTGGGTGAAGATCATTACGCTTTTAATTTAAGAGCTCGATAAATTTGACATCGGAAATCGAAGAGCAATTTGTAAAAATCCATAAATAAACGACATTATTCAAATGAGCACTTTGCATGCGATTTCTTTTCCACGATCTTCTAATTAAATGGTAATATTATTTAGAGAAATATTTTTTCCGATTAAAGTTGTTGTTCAACCTCATGTAGACAATTATAAACACTTGTTCTAGAGTATGCTTGCTGTTTATATTGAGTTTTATGTCATTGCAATTCATTTTCTTTACCATGCGACTTCCTTTCATGCTTCATAAATGTATTTGTGTATGTTGCAAGTTGCAACGTGGTACTTATTTGGTGCAGGTTGTTAAAATGCAGTTAAAAGTCCTTATTAATAGCCGTCTTAAGAAATAAAAGTAAACAACGACGAGCTAAAAGACGATAAAAACTTTTTCTGATGTTTATGTGGTAATTAAATTGGAGTTTAAGCGATTAAGCACATAAATAGAATCATTTAACACAACAAATATAAGACAAAAATCAAATAAGAAGTTAAAGCTTAACTCTCATTTAAAAATGAGTTTCATTCTGACATTCACTTTCAAATGCTAGACAAACTGACAATCGTCACGATATGAACTGATATGAAGTTCAATGGATTTCTATTTTATCGCCCACACTACTCGAGAATTCATTTTTTACGTTTCTTCATTTCTTTACTTTAATTAAATACGCCACTTATCAGTTAAGCAAACAACAATTTCATGTTTGTCAAAGTTTTGATTGGATATTTGTTGTGTGTACAAGTTGTCGTCGTTTGGCATATCATAATAAGTATCGAGAAAAAAGAGAACATAGAATACGAAGTGTTGAGTGTGTCGAAGCGTTATCATATCCGTTTTAATCAATATTAATCATTTCACACCCAATATTTTATTTTTGAACGTTCATTTGAAAAAAAATGCCATCACAAAGAAAGCCGCCGCGTGATCACACACCAATTGATCAATAATAAGCCGTGTCGAAAAAATCGAAAAGTTCAAACTTCCATTAATAATTTCATTTGACATTTATTTTTAATTCGAATGCTTCAATACATTTTGACATCTCCATTTCAATAATCATGATTTTTTATTTGCTTTTCCCTTTCGCTTGTTCTTTTCTCTTCAAACGTGTATAAATAAAGAAATTTTCAACTCTTATTGTCATCATTTGATGGAGAATATTTAACGGCTGAAATGTTGCATACTTTAACCATCTAAAATATTGCACTGCGTCATGAGTGTCGTTATGCAGTTATGCGTCATGAAATTTGCATTTCAAGAACTGAAACTTTTATCTTTGTATTGTTGACTTCTTGTAAAAGCACCAGATGTTACGAAAACTGTAATAAGCATGCATGAAGTCCCCTCGAATGTACAGAGACTCATGCAATGTAAACATTCAAGGTTTTGAAGTCTTCCTTAGTAGACAATTTCTTAAAGAAAACTTTAAAGAAAAACTGTCAGAATTTTCCAAAAATTCAAGCCATTAATAAAATTAGTTAAAGTTTCAATCTCTGACATTTATCAACTGCACCAGGAAAAGATTCTAAGAACTTTTCTCCTTTCTTTATATTCAGCTCTTATTTTAGTGTTTAACTTTCAAGTCTTGTTTCAGAAAAAAAATCAATGCAGTTTATGGAATTTTTCTGTGAAAACAACAGTGAGAAAAAAGAATGAAAATACTTTTCATTTAATTCACACGGAAGAATGTTATGTATGAACAAAAAAGTGTTTTTGTAAGCCTTTGTTTAAACACAGAATGCTCAGAGAAAATATTTACTCAATTTACGTGGGATTATTTCGTCATTACGTCACAATATTTTCACATGATTTATTATCAATAATTTTTTCTTGTTTCCAGAGCAATCCCTATGGACTTAAAGACAGTGGACCAACTAGTGATATGTCATGGACAACTGCGGGACTTCAACCAACAACCGGCTACTATTCGCCTTACGATCCAACTTTGGCAGCCTACGGGTAAGTTTATCAAGCTAATTAATCTTTCGCAAGCAACTTCAAAATCTGTTATAAATTATAATACATCATTCAAATGGATTACTGCCCGCAAAAGGCGTCGATAATAGAAAAATTGCCATCAATCACGTCATAGTTTTTATTGCAATTTTCCAAATTGCATTGCTAAACCTTATGAATTATTCACATGTACTGCGTGAATGTTTTTAACGTTTTATATTTCTGTTGCCTCGAAGCCGACAAAAAGCTGAAATAATTTTCCTAACCCCTTCTGATTTATTATTAATTTCTACTCGAGTTGGAGCGAAAAAAGGAGAAGAAATGTTTATTTTACCACCCGCCCTTTAAATATAAGTTGTTTCCTTGTCCAAAAACTTATTTTCAAAGTCGTTATCACATATATAATGGAGAGAGAATTTCTCTTAATATAAAAAGCAATAAAAGGAAGTTTAGTTCCCTAACTCAATAAACGAGACAAAAGGCAAGACTGGAAAGCGTTTAAACGGAAGGAAACAATCACGATTCAGTGGTTGAGTTTTATAGTGCATTCTTTACTGCCATCACCACTTTTATTGAATTCTTCCACATTAAAAATTATTTGCGTAGATGCAAAGGGCGAGGAAGAATGGCATGCTTCCGTCGAGTAATTGGTTTCCAGTAGTCACCATATCATAAATCAAATTCATTAATAATCCACTTTGCAATCAATTTTCTGAGTGTCTCTCATTCGCTGTTTGTTGTTTTTATTTCACTCTTCCTTCAGTCATACAGTGAAACTAGATTAAAACAAAAACAAAAAGTTGTGAGATGAAGTAGTCGTTAAAAAGATAAGGAGAGGAAAGAATTCTTAACCATAAAATGCCAGATTAAAGGCTTTTAATTCTTTGTTCCCGCTGAAGTGGAATAAACAAGCAGCGTGATTCTAACGTTACTCCATTTATCAAAAAATGAAACTATTATTAACTATCACACACAACGATATCAAAGCTTGTTGTATTCAACTCTCTCTCTCCAAACGCGTTACGATTATTGACTTTTTTTTTTTGGTTTTCCTTCTCTCCATTTCTTATGATGAATGTTTTAATAATGAATATTTATTTAAATTGATGTTTCTATTAATTCATGATATAAATTACCAACAATTTATATCTTAATTTACGAATCCAATAATTCCAAAGCGCTTTTCCAAAATTGTCGTTTTCTGGTTATCGTTTTATAATTGCGTTTGACGCGCGGACAAAATTGTGGTTGATTAATGCGCCTGCCAACGCTGACCAATGCAAAATTTAAATATCTATTTTGTTTTATCTCTTCGTTTGCTATTTTCCCTCTAATTTTTATCGATAAATCATCAACGCTGTGTATGGTAATCAATGAAATCCAATCTTTACTACGCTTCACAGCAGTGGATCGTTTCCAACAGTCCATCTCGTCGCTATTTTCAGCTTAATTTTAATAATCTCATTTACAGAGTGTTTTAATCAAATCACTGAGATTTCAAACTAAATATTGCTTACTATGCGTTTACAAATTGAACTATTTGTATTTCTTTATGTTTATTGTGTACTCAAAACCTGAGGGACTATTTACGAATGTCGTCTCAACTCAATTCCCTCTAAATAATTAATAAGTGAAATAAAAATTTCTTTTAATGACAACATGAACGTTTCAATTAATTCATAAGCAGTCAACTGAAACGCTATTGATGAAATGTCTTAAAGTCATCACTTGTTTTCCATTCCTCTCACCCAACGACACAATTTCCGAAAAGTCTACAATGAAAAATGATGGAAACTATAAAATTATAATAATGAAAACAATACACGTGAATGATACGAACTTATCACGGAGCATTGCATGTTACCATCAGATTGACTTCTTTTTTTTATTCATTCCTCTCTCATTTATTATTATTGTTGTTATTTATTAAATCTATTACAAAAACAATGTCGAGGAGTCGTTGTTGTGGCTTTTTTAGCCTTTATGGATATTTTGAGTTAAGCTCATTTTTTCCGAGCTATTATCACGTCATCCAACGTTTTACAGATTTCTATATTTTGATTAAATCTTACTGTGATTTTCCTTTTATTATTATAATTATTGTAATAAAGCTAAAGCATTGAAAATCTTTTCAATATAAATTAAAGACTTAAGACAATGAATAATCATCAAAGTTTGATGAACATGTTGAAAATGCAGCAACAACTTACAATTCAAGTTTTCTTTATTAAACTTGCTTTTAACAAATTAAAATTTAAACAAATCCACCACAAGCTCATTAAAGTGTTCAAGTCTTCAATTTACACTCACTTTTCCTCGATTTTCCACTCAACGGCAGTCGCAAAATGATGTGTGCAAAAAGTGGCTGCGTGCAATAAAATAAAAACTTACATGTTTGCATGTTAGAAAGAAATAATTCATTTTACATATATTTTCAATTTTTATATGCATCCAAAAAGCATTAAACTGTACATATGTGTTGCACTTGCATTGCAATTATAAACTGCCTTCTACTTGTATGTGCATTTGCACAAATTCATACTGCATTTTTAATACGTCAGAAAACCAAAAAAAAAATTAATTTCATGAGTCGTCAATTCTTAGCAGATTGTCTGATAATGTTTAAAACGCTTCTTCGCTTCTCTTTTGTCAAGAATGAACTTGTGGAATGTTCAGCAAGTGCGTGTGACGAACTCATCTATCTAGAGAAGAGAATAATTAAATCTGCTGATGTACGAAGGCACATGATTCAGATATTTAAGTATGTATAGATAGTTGCACAACGAAGTAGACGAAATATTATGTTAAACATGAAGCAAGCGTTGAATGATCGTGAACAAAAGCAGCTCAACGAACAAGAGCATAATTTTAATTGCATAATGCGGGATGAAAATTCTTTCTGTGTTCACGCATTGCAAAACCTTTAATAACATTATTTAGTCATGAGATCCATGCGTAAAAATTATTAACAAGCACAAGTGCACTTTCGTGCATTTCTCTTTGTCTCTTATTTGTCTTCCCAAGTCTTTTCATATTTGCAAATTATAAACAAAGTGCAGCAGCTGTTTTTGGTTAGCTCTACATAGTTGTAAATAGTTGATAAAGTGATGTGAGAATCAATCTCTTATGTTTATTGTCTAATTAAATGATATTTCCATTGTTTTCTATGCTGGAAATTAATTTGAAACTTCTGCAGATGAGAGAGAAAGGCTCACAAATAATTTACATAAATATAGCAAAGAGTTTATGCAAATGAAGTGCACAAAACTGCATGTGAACGACATTAACTTAAACGAAAAATGAAACATTATTTATGTTCATGTATTTATGCTCAAGAAGATGTAGAATCACTTGAGATATTAAAATCAATGTAGCTCAGACAATTTTCAGGACTTAAAAGTTGTAAAGCTTTAAAGCTCATTTTATTTCGTGCATCCACAGATTGTCGTTGAAACCTTAAATCGATGTATTAAAGCTTACGATAAAAACAACAAGCTTTATCATCCGACAATGTATCAATGAAAAACTTTTCATTCCTTTCAAATGCACACATGCGCAAAATATAAATTGCCAGAACATGAAATCTGAAAATGAGACGAGAAAGAAGATAAAGGAAGAAAAAAATAAACTCTTGAATCTTCTCGGCTTGAAGTTGGCAGTTTCTTTCCCTTCTTGTTTGCTTGTTTAGTTGCGTACAAACACAATTTTTCATTCAGATCTTTCTCATGTTGATACCAAACATGTAAAAGGGAAATATTTTCCAGCAAAATGTTGTAAACTTTTATATCAATATCGTCATCTCATCTTTAAATGAAAGAAGTTGTACACATTTTCATATCTCTACTTGTTGTCTGTTTTGTCTCTTTTTGCCATTGCCTTAATAAGATTATCTCACGTTCTTATAGAACCTTCATTTTTCATTCAACGGATGTTCCTGTGCTGATATACATATCTAAGTGGAATAAGAGTGAAGTCTTTTCCAGGCGCTTTCATCTCATGTTCAAAGCTGTGCGAAGCTTAACCATAAGAAATTCCTAATTTCCCTAAAATTTCTTTTTATCGATTATGAAAATTTGCCAAGAGAAATAAAACTTCTTTCATGTGTCTACATACAAGCACTTTACCATTTTATACTAAAATGCCATTCTGTGAATACAAAATTCAGACGAGAGAGAGAGAAAAAAAGTTTTTTAAAAACGATGAACAAAATGGCGACGTCTAATCGATTTAAAGTCATGATAAATAATATACTATGTGAAAATTGTGGAGAAATCTACAAAAAAATGTGAATTTCCGTTTGCTAGGAAGTTTTATTGTTGTTGCGCTTTTTGAGAGAAGCACGCGGCAAAGTCGAGGAAAATTTATGCGTTTTTAAATCTTCCAACGAGTGTTTAACGCTAAAGAGAAATCGATAACTCATGAGAAAATAAATAAATCATTAGCTGTGGCCCATTAAAGCACCATACACAACAAACGGTATAAAAATTTTCTTGGTTTTCCTTTTTTCTCTCTTTCTACTGTGTGATCAATTAAAAGGCCATCAATAAAAATCAAGAACCAATGAAATTCAGATTCGGTTACAATTTTTTGTTCTTTTTTTGTGTGAAAGTTGAAGGATAGTGATTTATCGTTTACTTCTGGGGAAGAAGAAAGTAAAAAGTGGCAGCCAACCTTAATTGTTTTCTGAATAAGTGCGCAAATTTTGCTTTGTTATCAAAGCTCATATTAAGAACTAAAAAAATTTAAACATTTAATTCACCTACAACCATCCAGAAAAAAATGATATTCAGAATAAACTAGGAAAGTAAAACGACATCCAAAGTCTGTAACAAAAGTTTCAACATCGAAATAAATCAGTTCGAATTTTTCCCTTCATCCTAAGTATCCAACTCCATTGAGATTGATACACATGTTTCTAGATCAATCACTGTGCTCATCTTATTTTCTAAAGCAAAATGTAGCAAATTTCCTTTCCTTTTTTCCATCTTCTTAAAGTTTTCTCTTCGTTTTCTTCCGCTTTTATTGTCGATAGATTTTTTTTCACAAATCTCGAAGCAGCAAAGGTTGAAGAAGGCTAAAAGGGTGGTCTTATCGCATTTATAGCAATGGAATGAGATTGGCTGGAAAATGATGGAAAATAAAAGAAAGGAAATAAATTTTTATTCCGTAATACTTTGACCGCCTTAACGTTGTAAAAACGTTTTATATTTTCCAAAAGACATCAATTTGAAGGGATCTGAATACAGTTTGAGTGTGTAGATTGAACAATATGCTTGGCGTTCGTTTTTTTTTTATTTTATTGCCACTTTCTTTCTCACGGAATTTAAGGACGAGAAATAAATGAAAGAAAAAGGAAGAGAAAAGTTTTTTCTCTGCTTTCGTTTTGGATTGAAAAGCGTAAAAAAGAAAGGAAAAGTGTAAAGTGCTGCTGTAAAAATTCCCATCAAAATCAATCGCTGTCAGCACTTTGTTCCAACACAAAACACTTATTTAATTAAGATCTATTTTAAGGTTTTTATCTCACGCTCATTTCTTACTTGATGGTTTAATTTCTTTTGCAAACAAGAGCTTTGTCTGAATAGTGTGAGGGATGATTATAAATAATGATACAAAGAATGAAATAATTAATTACTTAAGCTAAATTCTAATGAGATTTTTTTGTGTTTATTGGCTTGGGTTATCTTGCAAAGAAGAAGCGATGTTTACACATTTATAAACAGACAGACAACTTTATACTTCTTTTCTTTCAATACCGAAAAAAAAATTTAATTTAAAATTTCCGCTCCAATTCTATACGTTTTACACACGATAAAACGTGATGGAATTATTATTGGGTTTTTCTCTTGCAAATTTCATTGTATTTTCACTGCCTCTGATAAATATTGTGGAGCAATGTGAAAGAAAAGAAAAAAGCATTCTTCATCTCATTCTTCAAACGGTTATTGAAGATTTATGTAAATACAAGCGATTGAAGGAGCAGAGAACGGAGCGAGAAGACATTGAATTTAAATACCTTGAAGATTACAGCCTTTGAATACATAAATAATATCACAATAAATCAAGAGATATGTGATTTCTTTTCTTCCTTCTTTTTTCTTTCTATTGATGAACTGAGCTTTATTGAATTGAAATTTTATTCACTGGCATCTCCACGTGAAAACATATTGAGGTCTGTGTTTTTTTGACAAATTTCTCTCTTTTCAACATCTCACTATTCCCATGTGGACATCGACCAATTTGGAATTTTCATGCTTGTTCTATTTACTAATTATAGTTAGTATCAACGTTTTTTCTTTTACAACAAGCTCTTCATAAATATTTTGTACTTGTTACAAATTACCACTTTGAAGAGATTCTTCATTTGTACAACATTCAACAAATAATTTATCACAAAGGAACGATCGCCATTTACGTTCATAATTTAGAACAAGCGTAAAATGAGTGAATGACTTATGGGATGTCAAGTTACGTTGATTTCAAATTAATTTCATTTATGAAACAAGTTTATAAAGTATTACATTATGTACCTTCGTCGTTTTAAAGGGATGTCGCATTATTAAATTGAACTTCATGAAGTCGAATCATTACGCTCAAATCGCGAGCAAAAATAATTTTCCATGAGCTTCATTGACCAATTATAAATTCATAAAGTTAGAAAATTTAAGAAAAAATTTCATTTGACACAGCAAATGCATAAAAATTATTATTTCATGCTAAATGTCTATTCAATCAGCGGAAAACAACAGCACTAAATGAATTATTAATGTTTCATGTTCAAAATGTTTTTTATTCTACCAAGCAGAACATGAAAAAGCATTGGCTAATCAGCAAGCATGTGTTTCAATTTTGGATGTTGCATTTTTACATTTTTAAGGTTGCATAAATGTGTAGCCAATAAATCACTGATTAATTAATGCGATAGATACCTGTGAAGTTAAACACAAGGAAAACAGTTGAAACAAAACAAAAAGGAATTAGAGAGAGAGAAGTAACGCAGCAGGGGACATTGACGCTGACAAAGATGAAAGCGAGAGTTGGTGGGAATGCTCAAAGATGTTTTGTTTAAACTTTAAACTGCGCCCTTGGGCACATGAAAGAAACAAATGTGCAAGTGGAGAAAATTTATTTAAATATTTTTTGGAAGAGACACAACATGTATAGATTAAATGTCGATTGAACTAGCAGACACAGTTTTGCGAAAGAGAAAAATCAATAAAAGCGACGAAAAAGCCTCTAGACTCTGGAGATTTATTCTCATTTTTACTCGAACTCAAATCGAGGCTTTCAAAGGAACGTAAAGTGCTTTTTAATACTTGGAAAAGAACGACTCGACACACGGTAGAAATAATTCACACAATGCCAATCCCCTGACGTCGATTAAATTTCGGGAAAGAAAAATCTAGAATAATATCTGACAATTGATACATTTGGGAAAATCTTTGTTTCCTTCATACCAACCATTCTGTTTTTTTTTTTTTCAATTGTAAGTGAGAATGGTTGAAATAAAAAGCAAAAAAATGGAATCGTCATCGCCATTGTATATTTTTATCGTGCTTACATTATCGTTCCTTTTTTTTGTGGCAATGATGAAGCATAAAATTTAGCGTTTCAGCAAACGACAACATAGATTTATTCATTATCAGATTTATCATTATTGTGACATACGATATCGCTCTTAATTTATTCATAATTTTAAGGAACGATCAAATGTATGTATGGATGTTTAATTGCTGCGTGATGTGTACGTAATGAATGTAGAAAAGTATTGTGATAATTTGACATAATTCTATTTCTACCGGACGACGCTTCATCAAACACTTTTCCACGTAAATAATTGGTAGCAGTCATCAAATTGAGTAGACTGACTTGTTGTATTTGTGCACATTTAGGCGTTTTGCGGAGCCATTTAGATTAGACATTTGTCCACCTATTTGCTGTAACAATGCAATGGTGGAAAATGATTAATTATAGACATCGTCAACAACCGCACAGAAGAACGTTCTTTTCCATGTTGTCAATAATTTCTTTCCACATGCAACATACTGTATGGTAAGAAGTAGAATTGTCGACAAAATTGTGAAAATTGCGTGAAAACTTTCCAATTTTTTCTTTGAACAACACACATAAGTTTGTGATCACCAAATAATTCTTATTCATGAGCTCGATTAGAATTGAACACAAACATGAATGAAAACCCCTCGACGATATTGAATGATAAACATTGCGATAGAGAAAGGGCCAAATGGAAAAAACAACACTACATGAAATGCAATTTGTTAGATGAACAGCAGAAAAAAAAATTCCATGAAATGTCGAATTGACAAAAACAGCAAAAGTTTTCGTATCTATCGTTTGTGAAATTTGTTGAGATGAATATTTATGAGATTGTTAAAAATAATGTATCGAATCGACATGAATGATATGTTGTGGAAATATATTTTATGCAATGATACACCAATTGCTACGAGCAGATCTGCCATAGCTCAACAAGCAGCAATTTCTATCTTCCTGGTTTTGTTTTTGTTTTGTTTCGTTCAATTTTCGGGTCAAATCGTGACTAATAAATTCATCATCATTGTTTCTTCATTGCTCTCTTGTTGCTCTGTCGTATTTTCTCGCAATAAATATTTCTGTTGTCAAAGACACGAAACGATATTATACAAGTTTGTTTTATAGCATTCGATTAGGGTTACATCATAAGCCTGAGAATAAAGAAACAACAAATAAAAGCATGAAGAAAAAAAAAATAAGAAATAAGAAATCCTCGATAAATAATTGCCAAAGATTAATTGAATTTTCCTTCTGTTTATTTTCTCATAAACATAGTTATGGAGCTGGTTATGATCTCGCCGCAAGACGAAAGAATGCAACACGTGAATCAACAGCTACGCTTAAAGCGTGGCTCAATGAACATAAAAAGAATCCATATCCGACAAAAGGAGAGAAGATAATGCTGGCAATCATCACCAAAATGACATTAACTCAAGTGTCAACATGGTTTGCAAATGCTCGCAGGCGACTTAAGAAAGAAAATAAAATGACTTGGGAGCCAAAAAACAAGACCGATGATGATGATGACGCAATGGTTTCCGACGATGAAAAGGACAAAGACGAACTTGACGATAAAGCTCGCGATCATAAAGGTAAGAGAAAAATCAAAACCATAAAAATTTCCTTCAACTTTTTCGCTGTCTCATTTATTTTCTTACGTTGACAATTGTAAAAGATTTTCACGCCTAATTAAAACTGTCAAGAACAGCACACAGTGGACGACCATAAATTAGACAGTGCTTGGCAAATTAATGGCGCACTTTCATTCTTCAACTTTAAACTTTCGGTCGTAGCATTTGTAAATTTTAATAATTTTTAATTAAAAGGGTTGAAAAATCTCTTCTGTGGCACTAAACAGTAAGCAGTGAGAGAGAAGATGGAATGAGTGGATGGTACAAGTGGAAGATCTGAGTTACGCAATAATTTATTTATAAACATTAAAGTGTCAGAAAAATGAAAGTCACATTTCATTATCATAATTTTCACTCTTTTTCCTCCTCATTCAGCTTTAAAGGCATCAACTTGTGAGTTGCTGCCGGCACAAATCCCTTAAGAGAATTTATTTCCATTAGGACGAGGCGAAAAAAAAAACATTTTTTGTTCTCCCTCCTTGGATGAAATGATGGAAAGTGAGAGAAATGTATGTGTGTGTGCGTGAATGTTTTGAGGGAGAAACATTTTGTCATTTCATTGAAATCTTATCTTATGTTCCAAAAAAAATTAATTTAACTTCAAAACTCTTAAAGCTAAACATGAGTGATTCAGATCATGAATCTAAATGAGAAGAGGGCAAGAGAAAGAAAGAAAAAAGTGAAGTTGCAACTAACAAGTGGTCTTTTCACTTAACATAATCGGATAAACGAAATTATCACGCGCACCCCTCAGGTCTGAATTCTAAATCTCTCAACTGTTGGACTTTATCGTCATCATGAAATCTTCCCTCCATCATCAACTTTGCCAAAATTTCCACAAATGGAATAAAAATCATTCTCGTCAGTGAGCATCAACCACTCAATTGAATCATGTGCACTGCGTGCAAAAATGATTCCTTCATACCATTTCCGAATCAGTATGCAAGCCTACTTCCAGTTGCGTTTCTGTTGAAACCATTAAAAACAATATTATGTATTACGTATGTAGGGTGAGCTAAAATCGTTAAAATATCGTACTAATAAATTTTATGTGCTTTTCTCCGATGCTTCTTTAAAGAGTGAGTGGGATCAGAGATTTGAGAGGGTGCAAAAATATATAAATGGTGCTTGTGCCATTCAAATATTTAATTCACCATATCAAATTGTTTAAATAGAATTATTTCATTATTTAGGGATCAGTGACATTGTTCACATCATCATAATCGTCTTCATCAAATGGCTTTGACTGGCGTGCATTTTTATTCGCAGTCACTTGGTTGACAGGTTATTTAAAGAAGGGATTTTCTCGTGAGGATTATTGAGCGTCCTTGTCCTTTTCTGTGTCAGTAAAGGAAAAAATCATAATTTAAAGGATTTAAAGATATTTTGAAGGTCTTGCGAATGCGAAAAGCATTTTCCGACGACATTACTAATGTATGGAGGGTAGAAAAATGTTCCTGAATTCAAATGCTGTCAACAGCATCAAACAGGATAGAAAAAAGTGTGTCATGAACTGACGCTTTCCTATTTCTTCTCTTGTTTTGTTTTGCGGTAATGTATAGGATATATCTACATAGATATTTATGCCTTGTAACGATCGAGAAAAAAAAAACGAAACTTTGTAAATTTTTTGTCGATGCTCAAGCTTTCTGACAGTCACTTAATAACACAAATACAATTTTCGTCACATTCCACATCCCCAAAAAAAATGAAAGAAAAACTTTCTCGTTGTTTTTGTTGTCATAACTTTTTTCTTTCTTTCTTTTTTCATCTCCCACTACACTAACCAACCCTAATGCACGGAAAAAGTTACGTTGGGGAAAGGGAATCACTTAAAATAGAAAATAATGAAATGTTGCAAGGAAAAAATATCATAAAAGTCCCTTCATCTGTTCATTCATTTGCTGTACGCATCTCCAAAATAAAATAGAATCTTTTTCCCCTTCAACATCTCATTCGGTGTGTGTGGCGGTGGTGAAGAAGTAGAAGGAATATGTGCCGAGTTTATTATACTTTTCACGCTCTATGAAAATGGCAAATATTAAGTGAAAATAATATTTATGCCTTTATGATACGGTGTGTGCGTATCCAGAGAATGAGTTCATATAAAAGAATGATATATGGGGCGATAATATAAAAGTGTGTACAACAAGCTGGGGGTGGCATAAAGCTTTATAAATTTACGAAACGAAAGGAATTCCACTTCGTGTTTATTTATTTTCATATAAAACACTATGAACAACGATTTTACCGCCGAAAAATCACCACTTCAAGTTTCGAGACAAAAAAATAACGAGAGAAAAGAAACATAAAAATATTGCAATCATGAAAAAGAAATCATTGTTTGATTGTATGTTTAGGTGCCTAGTGAAAATGTAAGTGTTGATAGGGCTGGCGAAAAATGATAAATTATGAAAAATTGCAATTGATTTGACCACATAGCACTCACTGCTATTTCTCACTCAGGGGGATGTGATGACGTAGTGGCTTTTCCTTTCCACGCAATCCATGTGACTTCTCGGCTTGAGATGATTTATGAGCACGTGCCTTTTAAAGAGCGATAGCTTCAAGCAAAATAAAGAAAGAATAAAAGAAAGCAATTTCCTTTTATAACTAACATAAAGGAATTTTCTTACTGTTTTATTTGAAAATAAACTTTATTTAAGTAAGTTTTGAAGTCGTCGACTCCAAATCGCTTCCAGGAAAATTTCAATTTAATTTAAATATATTTTTTCTTCAAACTTCGTTTTGTTGCTTGTTAAGCTTTTGCGGAATAAAATTGTAAATTTTTAGAGAGCAAAAAGTGATAATAACTAACACACAGCATTACCTTTGGGGACTTAACAAGTGGGATTAGTAAAAACTTTTAGTCATTTCACCCTCAAGTCAATTTCTAAAAAGGGAAACTTTAAAATGGAATTTTTTTCTGGTGTTTATGTTTAATGTCACTCTTTGTTAAGTTTAAATTTTTTTTTCCACCTTAGTTTCACGAAATAAGAGTAGATACTTGGTATTCATGTTTCAATATTGTTATACAATGTGTTTAGAATAGATTTTTTGTTCACGTTATAATCCTTTTTGTCTCCATTCTATCAAAGTTCTCATTTTTTTGCACAATGCGTTGGTATCGCTTGCTTCTCGCTGTTTGTTCACTTTGGACGTCGATGAATGTGGAAACATGTAAAGAAAATGCCAAACACAACCAACAATAATTCAGTTTATATTATTATTAGTTAAGGGGTTGAAGCATTCTCAAGTTTCGCTTTGCAGAGTTTTGTTTTCTGCTTTCATTTCATAATAAATTTCATGTCATATATTTTGTTGTACAACATCGTCATATTTATTAAACAGAAAAACAACAAGCTTATAACTTTAGAGAATGTTCATTCTCTTCTTCAATCTTTATGAGATATTTCGTAAGAGCTGAAGTGAGTGAAAAGCATCATATTGTCTTCCACAAATGAGAATACAAAACAACCTCATACCATACGCTGAAGAACGACGACATTTTCTGTGTATATCCTCGAGCCGAGATTTTGTTGTTGTCAAACATTGAAGATTCTATACGATCTGAACAACACTGCATGGAGCACAATAATGTTCACCCATTTGTATCATCTTGTTTATTTTAAAATGGTGTGCAGCCCATTCAACTCCAACCCTTTTGTTTCTTATCCAGACATTTTGTATCCAAAGCAAATTGTAAAGGCTTTTGAAACTTAACACACAAAAAGTGGGAGACGGCTTGAGTCAAAAGCAGACATTTGATCCGAGAAACTGCTCATTGCATTAAATCATTTTCAAGTTGAAAACTTATTCAGACAGAAACCAATCGATCAATTTGATGCGTATGATGGATAGAATGTGAGTTGTGGAAGGGATTTTCGTTTTCGTCAACAAAATTTACATACTTTGAACTCGTTGTGTGTGCGTTTTTTATATATGAGTGTTTGAGGAAGTTGTCATGTGTGGGGTAAAAGATTTACATATTTAAACATTCACTAGAAAATGCCGGTCGTCGTCGCTTGGATATTTCTGTTTTGGTTCTTTTTTCTTCGAACCGTGAATGACTTTTTTATTTTATTCTGCTCGCAGATATGCATCATGTTAAATCAGAACATGAAAAAGATGATGATGATGACCTTGATGATGATCGAAAACCTGAATTAGGACATCATGGACATCACTCGTACTATCAACATACAATGTCGTCAATGAGTGGACATTATAATAACAGCCATCATCATCATCATAATTTAAAAACAGAAATCGATACGATTTCAAAAAACCAAACGGGCAGCGACTGTGGCGTGCCGATTCCAGCATCAAAGCCCAAGATCTGGAGTCTAGCAGACACAGCCGCGTGCAAGACTCCACCACCACACTTACATCCGAATGCCGGAGCTTGGGGCTATCAAACAACAACACACCAGCATCCGACATCGCAATACAGCAATCACACCGAATCACCAACGCTCAATCAGCATCGAATAGAACAACAATATCAACCTCAAACACATCTCCAGCAACAGCAACAAATGCACCAACAGCAGCATCAACAACAGCAACAACATATGGGGATGAACATGCAAGCAAATGGGGCAGACACGGCAGTGGTTGGTATGAATATGAATATGATAACTTCAGGACATCACAATCAATCAATGAGTGGAATGATGAATACGTTCGGAGGCAGTTCGCCATATTCCCGTTACGGGGGGTTTCTAACAACCGGTACGCACCCTATCCAACAACAAACGCAACAGCCGACGCTCGCTCATCAGTATATCAACCACAATCATTCGGGGGGCTCCACAACGCCGGTTACACCGAACAGTACCGGCCAGCCTACTACACCCACTCTTCAACAACAGAGCACCACCAATCAGACGAGCAACAATCAAACGATGGGGTTTCCCGAAGTACAAACAGGTAAGCAGATCGACGAAATGTCTTTTGAAGCTCTTACTTAATCCACATTCTCGACATTTCTCTTCATCAGACACCCCACCACAAACTCCACCGAATATGAAGTTCAACACATCCAACACTACTACGACAGGTAATAAATAAATTAAAGAACTGCCTTCAATTCGACATTTTCCTATTTTCATCTTTGATATGTTAAATTTCATAAGAATTTTGTTGTAAACTCTTGTCAGATACCATGAGTAATGTCATCAACAACAATAATAATAATAACAACACCTACATTGGAAATTTTCGAGTGCAGCAACAGAATGATAATTCGACATCGCCACAACAACAGATAATGAATCAAATGACGGATGGTTTTAAGCCTTTCTATAAAAAGTATGAAAGTGAATGATTGATCGATGGAAAATCTTTAAATTGAATTTCTTTCTTTTTGCTTTTATTCAAACAGTAATCAGCAGCTGGGCAACAATTATGTTTCGCCTGTTTGAGAATTTCTCGCGCATCTATCCCGAAATTACGTTTAAATTGCACTTTGATGAGGTAATTATTCATTAATTATTCATTTAATTAATATTCAATCATATCGAAATCGATATTTCCCCTTTGATTTTCACCACCCAAATTTCGTTGAATTCGTTGCTGAACAAACAATCAATATGAAATCCCATTCGTAAACATACATTATTTAATGCTTATCCAAAGTATATTTAAACAAAATGCATTAGAACGAAAAGTTCACAAGCCTATCTCGTGATACAAACAATAAAGCAATGAGAAGGCAAACAAAATGAACAATTTAACAAATCATTTAGTCTTCTCCTTTTTTTTGGCTGTTAAAGGTTTTCTTCCTATCGGAAAAATTAAATAAAAGTCAATCATTATTATCATCGCAAAGTGCTTGGAATTAGCGAGGGTTGTAACAATGCCATGAGACGAGAGATTTCATATTAAAGTAAATAAGGGGTTGATAGAGATATGTTGTTGATGATGATGATGATGAGATTGGAAGTTGTAAAGAAGGCGCAAAGAGTGAGGAAACTATGTGAAAATTCTTTCAACTATGAAATGATCTGAGAAGCAACCCTAGAATATCATCATCATTTTCAATTTTCTAACCCTCGACCTTTATTCGTCCCGATGTAAAATATCTTTTTCTTATCACTTTCAATGATTAGAAAGTGGCGGAAAAACTTTGTCATATTCAGATACATGATATAAGGAACCCTTGGCAATGAAGTAAAATTTGTTTATATTTTTAAAGAAGATTCTGACACTTAAGAGATTGCGATAGATTTTGAGTGTTTCAACATATTTTCTTGATAGAAATCATGGCAACTTTCTTCCTTGATAGCTGGTCGTGCATATGAAAAATAATTCTTTACTTGACTAATTCAAATTAAATTCAGTTAGATTTAACTGCATGTATGCATAAATATAATCTTCAGAAAGTAAATAAATTCATCTGAAGGAAGATACAAACATAAAAGTTTCTAATTCTATCTCACAAGCGATCGTATTATTTTCGTAAATTAGAAAACATGTACACATTTCTCCATCTTCCTATACATACCTATAAGTATAACCCATGATGGTGCCAAAGTCATTTGAAATTCAAATTTTCTTTCGCATACATAAACACACATGCATAAATTAAGGAGACGGAACAAAAGGATTCATTTTGTATCCCAAGTTGGGGAGAAAAAATTAACATACAGAATATCCAAACCCGGGACTTTTTGTTTTCTGCACATGATATTGTTTTCTTAATTAAAAAGTTGTTGAAATTAAAATCATCTCACTCTTGGTTAAAGGTGCCGAGAAGAGATGAGTGTGTGTGTTTAAGTGAAGGGATCTGCATGGGTGGTTGGATTAAGGATTCAAAGATAAAGCCAACATCAGACATAGAAATTAATTTTCGAATGAAGACAATTTTAGTCTTTTTCAAAGGGAGGCTTCAGATTTTGATTTGTCCGAGATAAGAATGAAATGCTTAAAAGGGATTAAAGGAACATTCAAAATTTACTGACTCGAAATTTCTTCACTTCTTTACGTTTTCACCATTTTTGTTCAAAGTAATTTGCAAGAAAAAATATTTCAAAAATATCAAAGACAATTAATTTTATTTATCGTGACATTAAAGTTATTTCTGATTTTATTGCGACCTTCCATGATAAAAACAGAAGAGAATACTTTTTTAATACAAACTTTGCAACCCGTGATGATTGATTGTTCCAGTAATAAATCCTGTTTTCTACCTCTCGAGATTCTTTTTGTCGTTTCTCCATTTTACTCAGCTGCCTTCAGCGACATCAACGATAATCCAATTAGAGTTGAATAAACATTATAAAAATGTAGATGATTATCGAGTTGTGAGTCGGTGCGCTCTCTTTCTACCGCTCAAAATGGATTTGAAAACGAAGACGAAGAATCATCGAGACATTTTTTGTCACATTATAAAATCAACCGAAACGTAAAATGCGTGTACGTGTATTGAAGAATTGTTGGCAACATCAAAAGATGGAAAAGAATTGTCAAATTACCGACTTTTAGTAACACACAAGAATAATGATTTGGAGACGTAGACAAAGTGAAGTATTTTTTATGAATGAATGAATGAACGAACGATACACGAAAGTGAATAATCAGATTCTTTGGTTTTTGTTTGTTGAATCTTAAAGGAAGAAACGAAGAAGACAACAACAACAATATCAACAACGACGACGACGACGATTGACTGTCACATCATCAATTTCAATTTTCATCATTAATTTCTTTTCAATTCACGTTTCAATTTTTGACGTATTATTTATTTATTTATTTATTTGTTGAAAAGGTAGAATGAAAAGGCGTCTAAATAAGTAATGGATAGAATAGGAGTTTGTTGGTGATGTTGCTCTCATTCTCCTTCGATTTATGTTAGTTTCAAAGTTGACTTGACAATCATTACTAGTACAAGAGATTATCAGGCTCACTTTTCATTCATTCATAGGCATCGTCGTTAGATCTAAACTTCCTTTCTTTCTTTGTCTCTTTTTTAATTTTTTAAAGCCTCGCAAACGAGTTTCTTATAATTTATTTTTATTGAAGAATTAAAATTGTATTTTCTTCCTGATTTATTAACGTCTCTCAAGTGCCGCACCTTTTATCCGAAAAAGCAGCGAATGCTTTCTGTTTTCGCCAGAGATGGGCAAATGTTCCGTTCAACTCGATTGACTGACTGACTGACATGTCAATGTCTTTCAGTCAGTCAGTCAGTCAGTCAAAATCGCGAACAAAAATATTCGCTTGTTGGGACACGTTCATATAAATGTTCCGCTCAAGTCGTTTGACTGACTGAGTGACAAGTCAATGTCTGTCAGTCAGTCAGTCAAATCCCAACTCTGGTTTTCGCCGAGTTGTCTCGAAATAGGAGAAATGAGACAATGAAGGAATGTCTGACAATTTTCGAGTCTATTTAAAGAATCAACAAACGCTACAGAATTCTTCTGGAATAAATTAACGATTTGAAGAAAATAAAATAAATTGTCGGCCTCGTCTTCCTCCAAAATTTAAAATACTTTTTCCGTGATTTCATTCATAATTTATTTTCCCTTAATTCTTGTGCGCTCTTTTTTGTTTGAATCTCTTTTTTGTTTGAATCTCTTTTTTGGATTGTGACTGAGTCAAATCTGATAACGATCTTTGATGAATTACAAGCACAGATTAAAACAAAGTTGTTTCTTGCCACGGTGTTTATTAAGCCGGTGCTAGGGCAGATCTTAAATTGAATATCAGATTTCCAGTTCACACACAACACACTCATGATGTGAAAACGGATGCTAAAGCTTTCTTAGTTATCTGAATATGCTTAAGAGATGAAATTTCATTCTTCAGAATGATTCTTCAACGTCCATAAATTACCAAAGAAAGCGACTTCGAGAGACTTTTATGAATGAAGCGAAGAAGTATTTGAAACAAAATAAATATTTCCTGTTTAGTACACTTCGATTCAACTTGATAAAGCTCTCCAATTCATGGATGGTCCGTCCATTTGACTGTTCACGCAATTTGAAATCGTATATCGTTCTCGCATATCGTTCTACATATTCTGCTTTCCAAAGCTATAAAAATGACAATAATTGTGTGATTTTGTTCGCTCGAAGGTCGCAATAAAGGAAACGAATGAAATCGTAGAAATAAATAATTTTTACGACTTTTTAAAGTGCACCAGATGAATCATGAAGAGAACTTTTGAGAACGAAAGAAATAAAGGTTGAAGTTTCATCTGCGATTCTTCAAGTTTGTGTGTACACGCTGTGGGGAAAATGAATGACTTGGATGGACCCGGGAGAAAGAATCGCGACTTATATGTGGGCGGAAGGGAAAAAATATTTTTATTGCATTTATTTTATTTGCTCTTTTACTAAACAATAAACAGAAATGTTTTATGGACGAGACTCGAGAGATGGCGAACACTTCAAATTCGCTGATGCCGGGAAAATTATTTTCGAATGTTTGTTTTTATTTTATATTTTGGTTTGTTTGTTTCTCTGAATGCACACACAAAAAAAGAGCTGCCATCGGGATCGGATAAACATATTTCATTTTGAAATTAAAGATTAATCTTATGACGAACAAGTAAGAAATCTTGAAACATTCGCGCACACTTGGAGAGAAAAGGGACAGAAGGATAAAAAGATTTCTTTTAACGCAAAGACGAACTTGGAATTGCTCCTGCTGTCTTTGGTATTTCATTCCTTTAATTCTGTTATGAGGTTACAAATATTAAATTGATTAAATTAATATTAAGTGACAAGATATTCTTCTTTCTGTCATTCGTGCTCCATAAGATTCCTTGGAAATTATTTATGCGCATTTAGGAAGAAAAGTCGTAAAACCTTAATTTGCTTATCCATAAAAGCAAGCAAGAAGTGGAAATAATTTATGCATTCAGCTTCAGCAATCAGTTGACGATCGTTCATTGTAAATATTTATGAACAAGGAAGCAAATTTCTTCCAAAATTACCTGACAATGTTCTATGATAATTGAGAAAATTTTACGATACGACTGATATTAATATTCAAGAATAAATTTTTGAAGGAACTAGTAAAAGTTATGCTAATAACTTTCTCCCAAAGTATCTTCACCTTTACTTTCACGTTAATGGATAAATTTTGTAGCGCGAAAAGTTTTCATTTACGGCTAATAACTTTATCAATTAGGATTCATACTTTTGCTATTCAGATGGTTAAAAATTCCATAAACACATTTTATGTTCGTACATACTTAAGCCGTGGGCATGTCGATTGAGAGAGCAAAGGCAGCAGGAAAGATGCAAATGATTCCTTCTTCATGTTTTCGTATGTTCTCAATAAATATTTTTACTATCCGTTTTAATAGCTTACGATTACGATTTTATTCAAGCGCACAAAATATAAATTAAACAACAGGGAAAAAAACTATTAAAAGCGTTTGTGCCTTATGCGAGTTTCAGCTCTTTCGTTATACATTAGCCGACTCTTAAAAAGATCTATGCATGCAAATAAACTCAACCAATCCACAAGCAGTGGGATTACAACGTGTAGTAATAATAATTTAATTCAATTTTCCATGCCACACAATTGGGTTTTCAATTTTTTTTAATGAAAAAAACTTGTCGGAGTTTAACTTTGCCTCTAATTGAGTTTCTCTATAATAGGCAAACACAAAAAAAATTTATTTAAATGCATAAAAAGCACAAACTCGCGTTTTTTTTTTCTCTTGTTTGTTTGGCTAGAATATGCACATGAAAAGTAAAAGTTAAAGAGTTAGTTTTTGAAAACTTTTCTTTTGTTCGCCGCATTAAATAAATAAAATAAAAATGAAATTATGGTTTTATGACTGCAATTATTTTAATGTGTTGTTTGTCCATTTTAATATTAATTTATTTTTCTCTTTCTCTCTTTTTCAGTTTTGATGCATTTTTGATATTTTAGAGCAATGAAAATGTTCATAGTGAAGTGAAGCAAGATTATTCAGGTCACAAAAAGCAACACAACTAAGTATTTAGTAGCAAGGACATTATGACACCTTAACCAGCAGCAAACATTAAACTTATATCTATGTATACGACTTCAGAGTGAACTTTTTTCTCATTTCTCCTTTTAATCTAACAGAAAGAAAGAAATTCAATTGTTAATACTTAAATAATTATTTATACAGAATAAAAGCTAAAGAAAAACTTGGGCTATGTGCAAATATGAAAGGAAGATGACAACATAACAGAAACATAAAATCATTTGTTCAATTTTTGAAAGCTCTTTCCTAAAGCATTTAATTTTCTTGTTCATTTTTTATCACTCAAATATAGATATAAAATAAATAAAATTGTTTAGATGATAAATAAATCATTGAATACAAATTAAGTTCTCTTGCAATAAAAGCTTGCGATTTGTTAAACTTGAATATTATTAAAAAGAATTTCATCAATGATGATGAGAAATTAAATGATTTTGATTCATTAATTCATGTAAATATTGTACTTAATATTGAGAAGAAAAAAAAATTGTAATTTTAGTGCAATAAGATTTTTATTTGTGCATAAATAAACATGAACGAATAGTTAATTAAAATGGAAAGAATTTGAATAAAAAGTAAATAATCGAGGATGTTTCTTTTTTCATTTTCACATGATATATAATTCAAAATTCATCAGAATGGAACTGCTTATACATATACCAATCACGTTCTATTAATTTATTTGTTTTATCGAATTAAATAAAAGAATCATTGCGCATAAAAAATTGCTTAAAATTCATTTAAATGTGAAAACAACTCATTTGTCCTTTCAATGCTTTTCAGATTTTTCGTAAATTTATGTTTTGTTATCAAATATTCTGATAAGAAAGGCATTTGAAACTGTGATAAAAACAAAATATAAAAAGAAATTCATATTTAAACAGTGATGGAAATTCAAAATTTAAATTATTTCCGCATCAAGATTATATTTGTAATATGAAAAGAATTACAAATAAAAGTAATTTGAAGAGAAATAAATTTTAGAATTTGCGTAGCGCAAGTGAAATCTTTAATGTTAAAATAAAACACAATTTCTATTCATTCTTGATTAATCTCAACACATTTGCTGTCCTCGGTCTTTGTATGGTTGAATAGAGAATGGAAAAAATTATAAAACTGTAAAAAAATCCTAAATAGAAATATGTCCAACACATTTTGTCGACTTATCATAGCTGTTTAATTTAGGTCAAAGAAATAAAAAAAACATTACACGATGACTCATCGTCGACAAAATAATAAAAAAAAGTGAGCGATTTGCATGCTGTCAACAAGAAAAATTAATAAATTATATTTGGAAATTATTTGAAAATATTACGTGGTATTATACAAAACAAACAAATATATTTGAAAAACTATAATTTGGAGGAGTTTTTTTTATTTTTGTTTCTCATTTTCAGTTTTTTGCTTTTTTGTCATGAAAAAATTCTGCAAGAGGTAAAAATCAATTGTTCGTAGCTTTTAATATCCAATTTCTGTCATTTTATATAAAAAATAAAAGAATCAAAGAATCGTGACAACAAAAATGTATTTCTTACAAATTATGTTGGCATTATTAGCTTCTCTGCCGAAGTTATTCAGCATTCGAGAATTAAAAAGAAATTTAAAATGCTTCGATAAATATATAAAAAGAATTATCATGAAAATTCAAAGAGGGGCATTGCCGGCATAATAATGAGGCTCCAACTAGAAGCCCTTAAAGAAACAATAGAAACTTTTTTCTTTATCTCATCTCGTCGAAAAATTATTAATATTTTCATTACCCAGCTTACGTTTATTGTCTGACTGCGGTCTCAATAAAAAAAACTTTTCTCTCTGATCTTTATGCATGATCAAGATTATTGTTTGTAGCATTGTCAAGCACAAGGAAAGGAAAATGCAGGAAGGAAAGACACGGAATAAAAATTAGAAAAAATACACTTGTCAGGTGGCGCCAAAACAAAGCAGAATTTTTCCCATTTATGTTCCCATCATTCGCCTTATTTTGACTTGTGTATGGCTGAGTACGTTCACCAATCTTAAGTTCCATGCACTTTAGGTCATTTTGTCGTCTTCTTCATCATGTGAGCTGAGAAAAGAAATCTTTTTACTGGTGATTTTAATGACATATTTCTTATGACAAAATAAAAAGAGTCATGAAACGAAACTGTTTTGAGATTGCATCACGATCTCCCGTCGATGGACAAAAGAGAGAAAGAAAAAGTTTCATTCAGTTCTGACTTTTCTTTTTTGCGCTTGACATAAGATTTATCGTGCCTTATTTCTGATGCCTCAATGCTGTATATGGATCACGCCTGGTTGGACACATCAATTCATACACATGAGAGACACGACAACATTCCAATTCTCAGCGCGAGAGAACGAAAGGAATTTAAAATTTTAATTGTTTGCTATTAATAATTGACAAAACTAATTCTTTTGCTTTGTTGTGTTTTAAAGATCGAACAGAGATTGAAAATATAAACATTAAATAAAAAATTGTGATATCACACTGTGAATTAAAAAGGAGAAAAATTATTTTGAATTTAGATTCTCGTGCCTACCATTAATCATCAATTCATATTTCTTTTTTCTTATTTTGTTTACATTTCTATGAAGATCTCTCAATATTCAATTTTTTTTATTGACATACTGACCCTTAAGTGGAATAAGGCGGATTTAATATTTTGTTTCTCGATGATGATTGTGAAAGTTCAAAACATATTTTCTTACCTAGTTGAACATCATTTAAGAAGAGATTAGAGTCATACTTGAGCTGTATTTAAGTGCGAAATATTGATTTATATTGCATACTCATTTGTTATTTAGTGAATGAAAAAAGAAGGGAAGAAATAGTTTGATGATAAGTCAACAGCCATAAATTGAATGTTGCATGCTTTGTAATCTGAAATAATAAATAATAGTAATCACCCCAAACGTCTCCATTATTGAGAACACAAGACGCAAGAGAAATCTTACTTCTCACATATTTTCATATGTTTTAATAGAATAAATAATCGCCTTTTATGAACATGAAGATTGGCCACTTCTTATGAGAATCAGACACGACAGACGAGATGTGTTTATTACATCAATATAAGAACAATAAAAAGTTGCAAGCCAACAATAGAACCCAAATATGATTTATTTCTGCTTTAGTATTTCTTATTAGCTAGATTAAGATTTAATATCGAAAAAAATCTTTTAGAAAATATTATTTTTCGAGATGTGAATAAATAAATAGAAGGAAAATATTCTAAAAAGATTTATGAAGTAAGATCTTGACAAGTAGAAAAATCACGAACTCCTTAATTGTAATAAATTCTTGATTTTGCGCTTCTTGAGAAGATTAGCAAATTTGTTACGACTCTAGAAGTTCGAGATTTGTCATAGAATTTCCTAAAGAAGACAGAAATTGGACAATCCATTCACAAAAGAATAATTCATATCCATCCAATATATCTGTCATGTTTAATTATCTTAATAGCGCGGAGTTTATCATATTTCGGTGTTTGACTATTCAAATTATAACAAATATGATCAAAATGAGCCGTTAAATTCACCTTAAGAAAATTCTTCTCTAGCCACTCCAAGGAATGATTTTTCAAAGACAAATCATTAACATACTTAACAAGACCATTAAGATATGTTTTAAAAGAAATATTTTTCAATATTTTCCATAGCTGAATATTCGGAAGAAAGATTTACGGGAATAAATCGTCTCAAACATTGGAAAAAAGGTGAATTTATGAGCTGTAAATGGCTTTTGTCGACTGCCATCGAATGAAGTTAACTTTCTGGTTTCTTTCTTATTTTATTAGAAATTATTAATTATTAATTGATTTGTTAGTTTGAGAATCAAACTGTTTCTTCATTTGAAATTTATTCAAAAAGATAGAAGATTTAGTTCCCAATATATCATCATTTGTTGCAATAAGTTTCTAACAAGAAAATAAAAATAAATTATTAATCTATGGCTTATGTGTCGTTATTAATAGTCGACGGAATTTATGGAAATTAACAATCTGTTCAGTAATTAACCGATAACACAAAGGTATCTGCTAAAATGAGTTCAGTTTGGAAATTGTAAGATTAGAAAGCCAAATGTGATCAGAAGTCGAAGTGTTTAAGTCATTTATTGGATCCATTTTGTGACCCAACACATTCAGCTGCTTTTCATTCATCGTAAGATTTATTTGTTCTTGAATGAAGTTAAAACATTGACAGATAAGATGAGAGAATGTAACACCTTTTTAGTTGGTTTTATTGAGTGTAAACAAGAAATGATTTCTGAAGAGTTCTTCGACTTTTCAAGATGGACAGAATTAACTAACAAGAGAATTCATCAAAGGAAACAGACAAGTTAACATTTTTCAAGTCAAACTGAAGTCTTATTTTTCTATGTTAATATATTTCACTCAATAAAAAGCTTGCAATAAATATCTTTTATCAAGGTTGTTGCTACATTAAATGATTTTACTTCTTAATAAATTTCTTTTTATCTAAATGGTTGCATTACTTTCTTAACTTTAAAAGAATAATAATTGAAACTAAATTGGTGTTTGACTTGAATTTCTTGTTTAATTTTTATTGCGTTTAAAATGAAGATTCGCGGAACTTCCTTGTGCCTTTGTTTAGTTTTAGACAAACGTTGAGATAAAGGATTTTGTTTAATAAATTATTTTCAATAAAATCTTTCGAATTCAACTCTACAGGGAAGAAGCTTTGATGCTAATCATAACCGAAATTTTGCACAGTTTCACAAAAATATTAAACCTGAAGCCCACTTTATTTATTCAATTAACTTTTTCTTACTCAATGAAACCGCTGGAAACGTAAAAGTCTTCTCCATTCACATTTCGACTTCATAATGAAAACTTATGACTTGTTCAAAAACGATGTTTTTATTTATCAATCGACTATAATCAAACATACGCTCAACAACTTGTTTCACCGCATATCCGCCCGGTGGAGCTGACTTGAGACAGCATTCGTGCTGTGAAGTTTATGTTTGCTTTAAATTCAAATGAAGAAAACTATGTTGAAAATATTAAAAATATCATAATTTCATTGGATTTATGCTGGTTGCCTTTTTATGTATGCAGATTGACAACTTTGCAATTTGTTGGAGCTCTCAAGTTTTCATCCCGTCGACAATGAAAATCGAAGGATAAAGTTTACTGAAATTTTTTAAAGATTTTAAATCACAAAACTTTACTTTGATAAATTGCATTTGTGAGTTGTTGGTATCAACTGTCAAGGAAACAAAATGAAAATTTAAATGCTACGTTCGTTGTAACAATGAGAAAGACAAGATGCATTTGAGCAAAATATGAAAAAAGCTGAGCAAGGAAAATGTTGTTAGTAATATAAAACCACCCATGTTGGGACTCGTTCCACATTTATTTATTACCATTTCGTATGTAAATGCTCTGCAAAAAGTTTCTCGCTAGCCCGACAGTACATATATTCGCCCCCGCACAAACAATATCAATGAAAATAAATTAAAGATTTTTTTTTGTTTGTTTATAATTTTTGTACTGCGTGAGAAAGAATTTAAATTTTTTTAAATTTTTATATAACAATTCGTGAAAGTTATCGTGAAATACAGAAAAGGATTTCTTTTAGAAATACTTTCTGAAACGTCTGATTACTCATAATAGTCACAAAAGTCGTACCAAATAAAAAAAGAATTAAAAGAAAAGACATTTCTTGATTATCCTAATGATTATCTACATCATCGGCATACGAAACGTATACAATTTCAAAGCAGTTTTACCGCAAAGCCATCGATGTCTGAGATTAAACAACCACAATCAAGTGAATTGTGTTGATCGTCCCAACAACAACCTGTTAGCGGCATCAATCTATTGGAATTTGATTGATATGATTTTTCATTATTCAAATCTGTTATTTGGTCATCATGTTTGCTTAATGAAAATTTAATGTGACTCATGTTTAAATCTTTTCTTTCATTTATTTCTGAATAATGACACATGATTGAAAATGAAATGCGAAAATTTTTTCTGCTTGTGATTTCTTCAAGATTTATGTTATTTGAGGTTTTCAGGTTGTAAATTTTTGGAGATTGTCTAGTCAGAAAGGTATTTACTAGAGATTTCAATGAATGAAAAAGAAAACGTCATCAGTTTGCTTCGAGATACATACTTAGGGACGAAAAAAGTAACATAGATGTAAATCAGATAAAAGTTCTTCATCTTGGCGTTGGAAATCGACCCTTTTCTGGCACTGAATGTCTTGTCCCAAGATTTTATCATATCCACCTGATGTTGCAAGACTAAGAACAAGAATTCATTCAAAAATAAATGGATAACATTTAATTTTACTACAGGGCTCTCATTGTCAATGTCTTATCTTTAAATTCTCTTATTTTCTTCTTAAGTTTTCTGATTTATACTTAAATATTTTTGTTAGGAATGTGAAACGTTTTCTTAGCATTCTACCTGGTTAGATGAAGTGAAATTTTAGTAGATGTCAGTCGTCTATTATGAACACTTTTCTCAGGTTCTCAATTTGAGTGAAGAAAAACTCTTGAATGAAGAAGCTACATCAAGTCATCAATAATCATCTGACAATTTAAAATCTCATTTATTTATTACTTTGTAAGTATGTAGGTGAAGTTTAGCAAAATTAACTGTAACAGCTTAATCGCTTCTAATTGTTAGTAAAGACATCGATGTCCATCCATCAATAGCAACTTCACTTCATTTTCTTTACAATGTCTTACGTAATTAATGAACAATTCACAGCCGGACACCAACTTCAGATTTCCGATGAAAGAAATCAATTTATCAAGATGCTAATTTTTTATTTCTCAGATTCTCTCACAGCTCAAGACCATTATCTGGTGGATCTAACGTTAAACGAATCTCAAGTGATATACGATGGAGTTTATTTATTTTTGCCTAATTGATGTGTCGCGCTGAAGTTTTTTGTGTTTTTTTTCGATGGCAACAAGATTTGGCCATTAAGATTCGATTAAAGTGTTTTTGCTTTCTTTCTTTTTATTTTGAAAAACATTTATTTTTGTTTTCCTTTCTTTGAATTTTCAGTTGAATCAATGTATCGTGAATCTTTTCAGAGATACATCATTCATTATCTAATCGAGAAGACTTGATATTTTCCTTTTATTTTCGTTATTTAAAAACAATTATTTAAAAGAAGTTCATTTTTGTCATTCCCAAATCCTTTGCTTTCAACAATGTAATGAATCTTTTTGTCATCAGAATGAAACCATAAAATATTTTCTGTTAAATGGAGTGAAAATGAGATCCAAATATGATTACTTTGGGCGTAATTGAAGGTATAAAACATGCTTAAACTTTTGAAATCATATCAAGTGTTTGTGACCTAATGGAGATTGAAACATGAGAAGAAGAAAAGAAAGGAGATTAAAAAATATTTCGAATCATATTAAACGAGAAAAGAATGATTTCATGAAATTTCACAAAGGAATTGCTTGGTATGTGGGCAGATGTATCAGTTAAGTGGCTAAATTTTCAACTTTCATGAAATAAAAATAAATATTAAGAACAAAAATTGAATGATCAAATAAATTGCACTATTGTATACGTTGCTGGTTAATGTTATTAACAATTATTTGAAAACAAAAATAACGGCTAAATAGTTTTCAAAACTTTCCGAGTGTAGCGCGTGTTGCATCGTTCGCCTAATTTCAAATTAGTCGTTTATATACTTTTCATAAGTTTAATTAAACTTCAAATGACAATAATTGATAATTTCAATTTATGATTAAATTAATGAAGAAACCCAAATTATTAAATCGTTTTTCGTGTTGATGTATTCATCCCTAGTGATAGAAAAATATCTCGATAAAGAACAACCCTCGTTGTATTATTTTTCAACCCCCGCAAACAGCGACCCTCAAGCTTCTGACGTTGATTAAATTAATAGAAGGATGTTTCGGATTTTATAAAAAGGATAAAATTTTACTCTTCCAAATAAATTAATGAAGTATTTTCCGATTCGTTATTTGCGACATCGCTGGCATGTATCTAAAACAGAGGAAATTCAATTGTTATTAGTTGTTTGTTAAATCTCATGATTTTTTTGTCTTATCTCACCATAGTTGCATCACGTTGGATAAATATAAGCATGTGAGACTGTGGACCACCCGAATCTGATGAGATTCATTCAAAAAAGAAAGCCGAAGAAGAATTTGATTTACCTCCGATAATCATCCAACTTTACATGAGACTACCGTTCATTGTTTTATTTTAAACAATCGTGGGTTTATCCTTTTTTCCTACAAACTGAAATTAATGACAATCTTCAAAAAAGAAATCTTTTAATGTTTAAATATAAAAAGCATATAGAAAGAAGACAACATCAAATATAAAGCTTACACGATCAAACCATTACAACACATGAATTTGAATCTCGGAGACAAAAGAAAAGACAATAACAATTGTGTTGAAACATCGATGGAGTTGCGCTCTTAACTTTTATGTTCATCGTCTCCTTCATTCCCCATAATCTGTTTTCACATAGTGATTCATTATTTATTTTTCTTCTGACATTCCATGTGATTATTATAATTAATTATTTTAAATGTAATCAAAAGAATGCCGACTTTGTCATTTTTCAATGCTTGGAAATCAAAAAAGGTAGATAAATGTGAACAACAAGGGTTTGTTCTTGCTTTTTCATTCATTCAGTATTAAGTTTCAGTATTGATATCTAATTGCTTATAAATATCGACTCTTAATTTGCATTATCTAACTTCTTAGTATGGCTAACTTGTTTAAAATGGCAACACTGTGAATGATGTTAATTTAAAGAACTTATTGCTATCTGGAGGGCGGGAAATAAGACTTCTGTTTACATACGTATAAATAATGATGAAGAAACGAATGACGAAACTAAAATAAAACTCTCGATATATAGATTGTTTCAATCAATCAAAACAGAGAATAAAACTGGTTAATTTGAAATGAAATCATGAGCTTAGCAAAACATGAGTAATAATAAATTGCTGGATATTTAATGGAGGCAGGCATCGCCTTTAAATTATCCAATATTCCTTCATTTCATTCCAGCTTCTCTTCATACTACAAACTTACCGATTGCCTTCAGTCATTTTATTAAATGTTTTTGATTCTTATGAAATTTACAGAAGAGTGGATAAGATGAAAAAAAGAGTCAAAGAACAAGAAAAATTTCATCAGCTTTGATGTTGCGAATCGTATCATAAATGCGACTTCATCGAAATTAAATTTTAATAGAGGAAAATATGTACGTATTAACATTTCAAAAGTAAATGAACGAGACGACGAAAACCAAAGAAATCTGAGACCATTTCAACAATCTTATTTATTCTCTTGTGCGGCAAAAAGTTGAAAATATAAAAGGCAAGGAAAAACAATTTTATAGCCGCGACTGTTAACACAACCGAAAGCAGAAACAGGTTAAGTTGTCTTCGTGGTCTCAAATCTCCTTTGTAAACTTTTTTTTTATTGATTCTTTCCTTTCTTCCTTTCAGGTTTTCTTGTAAACGTAATTAATTGTTTCAAAATATTTAACATTGAAGCAAAAAAAAAGAATCAAAACAAAAACAGAATGGAGAAACCCAAACGCCATTTAATGGGCCCTTTTTGCAGACCAGGTATCATTAAAAGTTAGATTCAAGGTACTTTGCAAAATTTACTTTAAACATTTGTCGAGAGTTCAAGTTCATTGAACGAAAATTTTTGTTCTTTTAATTTACTTCAACTAAACCAAAATAGACAACTTTATTTAGCCAACAAACAATTTAGGGTGAAGAAAAAGGGAGAAAACAGCAAAAAGGTAGTGTCGGGTGATCTATCTTTATTAAGAGCATCCCAGAAGGGCTGTTCGCAGAGGAAAAGGCAAAGTCATTTATATTTCTGATTCAAGAAAAATATGCGAGATTTTTCCCCTGTACCAGCATCTGAACCCACCGTGAATGGTTTTAACCCAGTAAGGAAAAGTTTCATACATGAAATTGAAATGTCTAATCAGTCATCGTGAAAATTTAAATAAATTTTAAATAAAAGAAATGAAATTTATTGATTATTAAAATAAAAAAAATAATAAAACGATGATTAAAGCGTCATAAAATTTCAAATTGGGTATCTCCAAATGATTTTTACTGTAAAAGTTTTTCTGTTGCTTATGTAGCAAAATTAAAGCTCAATAGAACTCAAATTCAAGGTTATTAAATATCGATTTTTTCCAACTGAAGAGAAATACTTAAGCCACCGTATTGGAATACTTACGTTAACAATTTCATTCTCAACGTTATTGGATTTGCTTTTAGAGGGATTTGTTATTTTTTTTCCCACAGCTTTTGAAGGCGCTTCGTCGATGATCGTCTGGTTGGAATTAAAAAAAGCTGATAAAGCGGCTTGATTTACGAATAAAAAACGTGTAATAATGAATTCACATGAAGAAGTTTTCGCCTTTTGCTTTGGTTGTTTCTTTTGAAAAGGAAAGTTTTTATCTAAATGTCCTATAGTTTACAATATGTTCTTTAATTTTATATTTCTTGTTATCATGAAATTATTAGTGTCATTGAAGATGTTTCAAGTTGAAGCTTCAGTTATCAGGTTTTGTCTTAATGTCACATGTGTCCACCGTGTTGTTAACGAAGAAAAAAATAAACTACCAGTTTGGTTATAATTCAGAGGATTAACGTGTAAAGTTTTAAGTATCGTTTCGATACGAGACAACATGCTAATGCTATTAATGATTGGAGATTTCGACATCATCCATTCTAGATGCTTATAAACATATACTCAAACGAGTCTCGTACATGATTCCCAAAAGAATTTAAACGAACGAACGAACGCATTTCATTTCTGCGGTTTAGTGACTAAATTTATGGCTCTCTTTAATGTCTTCGATTGATTCCACATTTTATGGACGTATAATTTAATTCATTCTTCAACTTGATGAATGAAAGACACTCAATAAACTACTTGTAAATCGCATTTACCCGATAAATTCAATTTTTCTTCTGTATTTTAAATTGAAATGTGAACTAAAGCAATCGCCACTGAGCAAATATCGATTACCGAAGAAATAAAAAAAAAATTGAATTTTAATGAAACAAACAAAAGAAAATATTTTTTTGGAGTTTAATGTTAATCAAATCATAAAATCGTATTTATTTAACATTTTGGGAGCACACTAAGAATTTACATAAAATGTTTAAATTAATTATCATAAGTGAACAATTCGAAATAGTTTTATGTGAAACAGAAATCAATTCTTTCGAGGTCACATCCTGGAAATAAAATGAACTGAAAAAAAACCACGAAAAAAATGTAAAATTAAACAGTAGTTGACAAGCACGTTTAGTTTAATTAAAAATGTTTTCATGTCTTTCAAAGTTGCTTATAGAATTCAAATCACTGCATTAATTTTATATCCGTACAATGGGCACAAAACATCACCAAGCTCACGACTTTAATTTAGGCAACTGAATGTCAGGATCTTATTATTCGTCTAATAAATTGATGAAACAATCTTTTTATTCTTTAAATTTGTGTGGTATATCCTACGGGATTCCTGATGGAAATGTTTTCTTAGCTTTCACGCCAAGGATAAACAGATATTCAATTTCGAAACTTTAATTTCGAAAATGTTTTTCACGATAGGTTTTTCCTAAGTAGGTAGAGTGAAAATCTCGAAAAGTGTCTCATTCTCTATCACGACGTCGATGATGTCAGATCTGTTGTGCTTCCAATAAGAATATTTAAAGTTAATTTTATTTGTGTTGTTATTAATATTTTCTAAGTATCACTTTTTTCAAATTATTAATTTGTAAAGAAAAGGTTTCTTTTATAAAAAGAATAAATAATAAAATCCAAAAATAGAACCTAAAAGATCAAGACGAAATTTTATGCAATGCAGTGCAAAAAAGCTCTCTCAGCAAACTGAAAGCTTTTGTCAATTCTTTCTCATAAGAGGCGGAGCCAAACACACACTTTCAAACGCTCGTCACACCAACACTTTCACAATCTCTGAATTCTTTTTCTCTTCTTCCTTCTCTTTCTTACAAAATTTAATTTCGCGACGACTTGAAATTGAGCTTTTAGAATTATTCAAATTGCTGGAATGTTTATGTCGCCATAAATTCACTTTTCATGAGATTTCGGATCATTATGAACAAGAGTTAAATTAAATTGTTAGAGTCGAGTAAACCATGATTTTGATGATTTTCTTAAGATAAGAAATAAAGACGAAAATGATCTTCTTTGCTTTTTCCTCAAAGTTATCCTTTCAACACTTAATCGAATATTCCGCAAACAAAAATGAAGCAAGCTGTTATGTACAACTGCTTGAGTGTTTTTCTTATAAGATATAATACATTCGATAGCTTCTGGCTGATTCTTAGGGTTGCTTGAACTACAACACGATAGACGAGAAAAAAAGGGGAATAAAAATAATGTTACATTTATTTAACAAATGATAAACATGGATGTTTTTAATAATGTTACGCTTGTTTGTATGATATGCGAGAGAAAAATGCTTGAGGGGTAGGGAAAGAGAAACTTTTCGTCTATGTAATAAAAAAAAGGATAATAGAACGAGATGTGAGGATGTGTAAGCATATACATCCACAATATGTGCTTTGGGATGTTGAGTAAGTGTTTGGAGAAACATTTTGCTGAACTTATTGGACAAGGACTCACACGATGTTTCATTTCCGCTTCTTACGCTGGAGTGAGTTACGAGGAATATTATATTAAATAAGTTTGTTTCTTTTTTTTCTTTTATTTCCACTGAAGAGAACAGAAAAAAACATGGACGAAAAAGATAATCAATGTTCAACGAAAGACGATGAATCTAGTCAAATAATCTGCTTTACTGCTGCTTATTTTCCCATTTAATAAAATAATTTGATTACATTCATTCTATTGCTTGTGCGCTTGCCATCATCGTCCAGAAGATTAAAGAATTAATGAGAAAAATTTGAATAAAAATGAGAAAAAATGATTAAAAAATTCTTTCGCATCAGAAAGCATATATTTTGCTTATTCACCCAAGGGGCAGTTTTGTGTTTGTTGAGAAAACTGTTTTGGTGCCCATTTCTGCCCTTCTCCCATTCTTCTTGTCTCTAGGGAAGAGGATTAAATAATGTTAAATACAAGGAAAAATAATGTTTCGCTTTATTCAATGATAAAAAAAAGAAGCCCGACGAGCAACTGTTTTACACACAAAAAAAACAAAAATGCTTTCGAACGTTTTACAGTCTTTTTTGTGTTCATTGCTTGCAAATTGTGTGTGCCAAAAAATCATCTCCACCACATCAATTGCATGTCCTCCTTCATTCGCTCTCGAAGGGGGGCGAAGAGGATGAAAAAAAAAGTTTGCCATTGCGCAAAGCGAGAAAAAGAACATTTTTCGCGCAACCTTTCCGTTTTATTTTGATGGCAGCGAACATGATAAAAAAGCATCGTTTCTGCTGCTGTGTACAAGCAAAGAATGTCGGAGTATATAAATTTCTGTGTAATTACGTACAATACAAAATCTCTTATCATGGCACAAAGTGGATCGCTGTTGTAAAAGTCGTGTTCCGTTCATTCATTCATCTCACGATGAGGAAGCTTTTTAATGTCGCTTGAAGGGAGATATTTGTTAGTTAAAGTCGTTATGAGAAGAATAATAAACTCACATGAGACATCAAAAGATCTAACTTAAGTGGAAAAACAATTCAGAATTACATACATTCAGCTTTAATCGTTGTAACATTACACGCCGACTGTTAATTTGATACTCGAGGGAAGAGTTGAAAGAAATTAATAATCAATTAAATCATACAAATGAGAATATCTTTCCAATCCATCATAAAAAAATTATTAACATTAAGTTTTAAACGTTCATAATTTAAGATTACACACATCGTATAATAAAAGCAACTACTCAGCAATGAAAGCTTTGATTGGAAATTTTCTTCTTTTTCTCCCCCCAACTCCAACCCTGCTTCGATAACGCCATTCTTCTCAAACCAAAAATGTTGTTTGCACAATACAAAATTATATTTTTAATGAATCTTTCATCTTCCCATCTACTCTGAAAAAATATTTTCCTTTCTGTCAACAATTAAGTTTTATATTCGCTTTTAAAATCAACTCAGTCGATTTTATTTTATTTTTTTCCCTTCTTTCCTTTTTCTTTTCTCACTTTCTTCTTCTCTCTTTCTACGATTGTGTCAGTTTACATGTGTGCGCGATGTTCTTCGATTGTGAAACATTTTTCGTTTAAGTGTACAGAATAACGAAAAATAAAGTTGGGATGTGTCTTAAAATTGTTAACAGTTTTTTTCTCCCTGCTTCGATTGTGTGATGTTTTCTTCCTTTTATTTACACACACTTTCAGAAAATGTCGATTTGAGAAACCCTTCACGAACTTTTTTACTTCTTTTCGCTCGGTAATGAAATGAGTTATGCTCCTTTGATTGTGTGAGTTAAGCGTACATGTTTTTACAAGCGATTTCTTTGAAGAGCGAACGCGAGAGAGAATTTGTGAATGTGGGAAAAAGAACACAAAACAACACTGAAAAAGAAAAGTTTCAGGTATCAGGCATTTTACAAGACATAACAGTTAGTTAAACGTTAAACACATAGGAGCGAACAGCATTTTATATACTCTCTAGCTTTTGTGAAGGAACAAAACAGAACATTTTTTCGCTACTACGCTTACGATATTATTTTATATGTGACGACCAGCGACGATTATTTAAAAGGTCTCTTATATACGCGCGAGCGACGGAGAGAAAACGAAAAAAAAAACAACATTGAAAAACATTAAAAGTTCATGTTACGAGTATGTTCTATAAAATTTTTTCGTGTATTTGATAATACTTATTATTGTTGTTTTTATTTTTTCCTTCCCCCGTTGTATTCGAAGAGATACAAACGACGTTCAGGAGCCTGTAACTATTTTTGTCGTGTTCTGTGGTTTAATATTAATTTTGTACTTGAAGCGTATAGCACTCGATACGAACTCTCGCGCGGTAGCAACGTTTTAAGTCGCTAATTGATTTAAAATTTACACTCGGAGTGAAGTGGAAGCAAAAAAGAAAAGAATCAAAAAAATATTCAATAAGAAATCGAGCGATACTTTTTTTTGAGCGACGATTTAGTGTTCGACGGGAGATTCAAAAGTTCAAATAACTCTTCTTATCAGTGATTATATTGAATATTTTATTCGCTAATTACGCAGTGTGAAAAAAATTATTGAATGAAAAAGAATCTTGGAAAATTGGATTATTCACATTGATGAAAATAAAAATAAAAATATTAAAAATTTTAAGAGAAAAAAAATTACCCAAAAATATTTAAAAAAACAAAAAAAAATTGATTACTTAGGAGAGTGAATAAAATTAAGAAAAATAAAAGTGGAAATGTGGATTTATAGATTTATAGACAGTAAACATATTTGATTGAATGATTGAGACTGTGATTCGCGAAAGGCGATCGAACGGAGGTGAAAAAACAATGTCACAAGTTTCACAATTCCGTGGATCGCCAAATACTCAGGTGAGCAAAAAAAAGTGATTGATTTTAAAATATTGTACTTGCGTGATTTTTCTTGTTCTATTATCAATCAAACAACTGACAAACATTCGAATTCATGTTTTTGTAAAAGATAAACAAAGTGCATTGTTACTTACAAGTTAATTTTCTATTAAATTTGGATCCTTATTCAATGTGTGTGTTCTTCTCATGTCCCAAATGTGATATTTACGACTTCTCGTTGTGTCATTCTGATGCACAATATAAACCTTTTTTCCGAGAGAAGCAAGAAAGGTCAATTGAAGTAAAAGGAAAAATAAATTCAATCGGCAGGCAGGCAGAATGCGTCGAGATGGCAAAGATTGATGAGATTTTTATTTCTAATTTTCTAGCGCTTTTATTTATTTCTCTCCTCCGTTTTTGGAAGTTCCTTTGTGCAAGATTGTTTTGTGTATAACTAAGTGAGTGGAGAAAAATGTGTTAGAAGAGGTGTTTCATTAAATATACATAAAGAGCGTCTTAAGTGGAAGTTAGGTTTGCTTTGTGTAAAATAATTTTCATCGAAAGCCTCAAAAAATTTCTGTTATTCTTCAATTTAGCAAAAGAAATAAAAATCCAAGGCATAATGTTTAAATGCTAATTTGTCAGAGTTTTTTTTTTCTTTTGAAAGTAGATGAACGAATGAGATCGTTTGGTGGTTAATGGAGATTCAATTGGCTATTCGATTGAAGTTTGTTAAGCATAACTGTATTGTTGATCATTTTCTAGCAAATTTCAATCAAACATCATCGTGATTAATTATAGCAAACCGAACTCATTTTTTATACAAACAAAAAGAAGTTTTTAAAAACTTTTTTGACAAAAAGTTCGTTTTTAAAGAAATTTTAAATTGAATAAATTTTCCGCTATATGCAAGAGTTCATTTTTATATATTTTCTCATCATCATAAAAGTCAAGATTGTAAATTTAATTCTACTTACTTATTATTATATTAAATAATTAACAAATTCATTATTAGCAAATAAGAATTCTTCACTTCGTTGCCCATTTTATATTGCTTGCTCTTTAAGATAGAAGTAAAGATGAAAGTTCTTGTTTGCACGTAACGTATAAGTATAAAAGCAATGTTGCACGAGAGAAGTGATTTTAATGTTAATTTATGATGAAAAGGGCTAATAATCATATTACATGAAAAGAATAAAACTTCTTCCTTTGTCACACTCTTTTCTTCATTATAATCGACTCGGCTCGCTTCTTATTCCAGCCTACAAAGACGACTTTTTTCGTTGTTATTGGCTCATTTATTGTCGCTCTCTATGCTATTCCGGCTTGTTTCATTTCACAATTTATTCATGAGCAACAATGGGAAGGCTTGTTTGGAGTTCCCAAGAAGAGATTCAAATTGTCTTGATGTTCACTTTCTGGCAGTTTAAGCACATAAAATTAATATTCATATATGTCGGGCTTACAAAGAAGAGAAGGGGAGGCTAAAAAGGCAAGCAAGATATTCTTGTTCATTCAATGCCGGGTGGTTCTAAGTAGTGACGATGATGAAAAGTCTTTTGTCGTCGCATTCAATTTAACATTTTCAACGTAAATGCACTTCATGTATGTCGACTATGAGATAGCTTCCGGACATAAAATAACCACATAAAGTAATTGAGAGTTTCTCCAAAATCAGGGCAGTGTCACCCTGTACAGCGTTGTTTTGCGGGTGAAAAACCCTTGTTTTACAGTTGTTCTTTCTGTCGAAAACTTTTTCTCAACAAAGACTTCTCGAATCTCCTTTCTTGTGACTATTTTAATGACTATTTGCTGTTGTACAAGCATACCAAACATACAAAAACCATAACAACAAATAAACAAATAAAATAAAGAGAGAAAAAAAGTAAAATATCAAATTATTGTGAAACAACCATTAATTTTATCATAAAATTATATATTTTCAACTTGAAATATTTATTTAAACAAATAAATCGTTCAAAGCGAGTGCGGTCGACAACGAACGAAAAGCCACGAAAAGCCATTTTGACTTTTGGAGAAAAGTCCCTCGAAAATGTCGTCGAAAATCTACATATATAAAATAATCATAAAACATTTGTAATGTTATTTTATCTACAAACAAAACGACAAAGCATAAAATGTTTGTGGAAAATAATAATTTTTGTTTTACTTCTCGTTGTGTATTTTGAGACGGAAAAGTGTGTAAATAAATTTATTCAACGATTTGTGTGCGCGCTATCAGTAAAATGAGGCCCGAAAACACGATGTACCGAGTTACAAACGTTCACATACCGCAGCCATCACGCCGAAACTCTTCAGAATTGCTAATAATAAAACTATACAGCCACGGTTTATAATTTTCTCGCTGCTTTTACTGATAGTATAACTAATTTAACATTTTTTGTTCGCGTTACTTATCAGAGCTTTTATGTTGCTGAATTTTCATGGAAAATTATTTTGTTGTAATGTTGTGCTGCGATATGAATGACATTTCGTCAACAATATTAACATTACCGCCCCCCAACCACCCACCCTCTCATTCTTCTTCTCATTCCAATCCAATAATGTATTCAAGTTTGAAAATTCTGAAAAATTAATTAGTGAAAATTTTGTTAGTTTTATGACAATGATTATCGTTGATTTTCGCGCTCAAATGAGAAGTGACAGAACACAAAGCGATTATGGGAAATAATTGTTTGTCTGTTTCTAGGCATGTTATTGATATTAATGTTGAAGCTGTTGTTATGTGTTGTATATGCCTCCGCACAACGCGAAATGTTTTGCCAATTAAAATTTTGTCAAATTGGTAACAAACCATCGTCGATTGATTATTGATTTGTTATGTTTATTTCGCGCTGCTTGTTTGCGACGCTTCGTCGATAATTTATTCAATTTTTTTCGTTGTTTCTTTCACTTCAGCACGAAAAATTTGCGTTTCATGAAAGTTTTTTTAGTTTTTACGATTCATCGAATTTACAGCGTGGTTTATGAATACTTCACGAGTGTTGAGCCCGACACTTTACCTGACTTATTATTTTCCAAATGTTTTCTTTTATATTTCTTTTGATAAAGTTCAGTTCAGCACGAATTTTTCTTTTCTTCATGCGAAGAATTTTTTTTTCTCTTCAATTCCACATTTTTAACAGTTCCCCGTCGCTAAAATGAATGTTTTGTGGAAACGTCGAATATGTAATAAAAATAAAAGTTGACAAAATAAAATTCTTATATGGTTTGACGATTATCATCGAGTTAAAGTTTTAAATATTATTAAGCAGCTGATTCAAATGCAAATGCCTAATAGAAAAATCTCAATAAACAGCTTCCTTTACTTATGTACATTTGAAGAGCTTAACTTCGTAAATGATCATAAAATATCTTGTTTTGTGCCACTCTGAGCCGCAAATTGGCTCAGCTATTAACGATTAATTATTGATTCATATACGAGAATGATTAAGAAAGAGAATTTCCAATGTGGTTAAAAATCCATTCGCTCAGCTCAAAGCATTAATGAAATCTTTTTTACATTAAAGCCAAAAGTTAAAATGGTGGAAAATTCTTCTTTATTCATCATAAATTAATCGCCACGTCCCGTGAACCAGCATGAGTTTAATCATTTTTTTGAAGCTTCTGTGATACCATTTTGACGAATCTTTACATATTTAGCTTCTCCCTCGCCCGTTTCCATTCTTTCTTTCGCCTCTCACATCGTAATCGTGGCTTTCAATTAATTAAATGCATTTAACAATTAATTATCATGGCGTGTTGAAATGTTATAAACCAAAATGAAACAAGCTGAACCGTCGACCATCATTGTTGGACGAAACGGCGATGAATAAAAAGTAAACACTTAGATATCGACCAAAAATAATTTTCTTTGTTTCATTCAGAAAAATAAATTCAGAAGTTCATTAAATGTTTTAATGTATCCGATAACAAGTCAAATAAAATAATTTTGTGATTTCTAACTCTAATAAAGAAAAGATATTATAGAAAGTCAATAATTATACAGCAAATATCATAAATGCAATTTTGTTTCATAATAAAATGAAAGCATTAACTGTCAGTAGTAATAATTGGCGTGGGTGTTAAACAAGTTTCGTCCTCATAATGATTGTGCATGTTCCATTCAATGTTTCTTTCTTTTCTTGATCGCAAGACTTGAAAGAGTTTAAAATTTATTGATTTGTGTTTCGTTGTCTGTTCTGTTACCAAATGCAAGTTGAGATTATTATGAAGGTAGAAAGCAGAACAGAAAAAGGTGTTTTAGGTATGAAGATTCATGATTTGATTTCTACAACCTCGAGTAAAATTAGGATTTTCATAGAGTAGATGCAATCAAATCTTGTCAAGGATCAAAATATAAAAGAATTAAGTCACTTTAATAACAATTTTGTGTCATTCCCAGACTTTATGTTAATTAACTTTAAAAAACATTTTTAATATCTCACTCAGATCTTGTGCTTGTCCATTTAAAGACGAAACAATTTCGGCGAATTAAAATTGATACAAATATAGAAAATGTGGAGGTTAAAATTTAAAGTTGAATTAGCATTGAATCTAATGTGGTAAGCTGTTTTAAGCGGATGTTGATTAGAATTTACTGATAAAAAGACAACACAAAGTTTCATTAACAAAGCAAAGTGAAGATGGAAACAAAACGAAAACAACATACGGGCATCCATGAAATGTTTCAAGACGACAATCCCAATAAATCATTTTGTGTAAATTGGAGAGTGGCTTAGTCGCACCACTTTCTTTACTTCTTCTTTTCAACTTCAAGCGCGAGATTTGATGCTTAAAGTAACCCGTCTGATGCACGATACATTTCATTTGTGGAGTTGTGGGGAAACATTCATTTAAAACGCACGACATCCGAGATGATCGCTTCGTATTAATATGGTTATGGAAGTATTAATGAATTTTGATGATGATCAACATTCTTCTCTTTTTATCTCGCGATGGTTAAATGTTTTCGTCGTTCGCTTCTTATTTTTTTTATTAGATTGCATTAAGTGGTGTTTGATGTCTCGGAATCACATCAAAAAAGCGTTTTATTCACAACAGTGAGCCTCTTTACCGATATCGGGTTTCGTCTTTTATTAATTTCCATTGTGTAAAGGTTCGAAGAAATTAATGTTTCGTCTCTGCGATGTAATTAATTTTCCTCTACTCTGCGCTATCTTATTGTTAGGTTTTCGGGGAGATCTCTCTCCTTTGGTGTATGATAACACTTTTCTTTACGTAAGAGAAATCAAGCAGTCAGGCTAAGTATGTCTTTTGTCTTTGCCACTGTCGAATCTTTCTTTCTTCTTAAAATGAAAACTAAAATATAAAACTAATATCGAAATTAATTTTCAGTAGAAATATGGTAATAAATCGCCGCGAACATCATTAATTAAATCTCTGTTTATTTCAAAGTATTCGTTGGAGTTTTTCTCCTTCTTGTTATTACTTAAAACAAAAACCAAAAAAGCCATTCCGTCGGATATGGTAGCTGACTCTTTTTTTTGTGTGTGACTCTTAATAGCTCTTAACGGAATGGCGTGAAAATCAAACATTAATTTATAACAGAAACTTTTTCTCCGACACTTTTCATTGTTTATTTAGTGAATTAAATCGCTTTGCTCATTTCTCGCATGAAGATTGATATCAAAAGATTTTTCAAAGGGCCATTTGGACTTTGAAATCGAAATCCTGCCACGGAATTGCACCACCGAGTGAATAGATAGAAGAAGATAATCAGTCGCAACATGTGTACCATTATTATAACGTAAAAGAAGAATGTTTTACTTTTTCTGATTCCCCTTGATTTCAATAAGATTAGTTTTCACATTGCTTGTAAATTGTTGACGCCCGCTGTTGTCGCTCGTTTCGTTATGTCCCGAAAAAAAATAAATAAAATAAAACAGAACAACGACGAGAAAGAGATTGCTGTACAGTATGTGTTATGATCGTGATTATCAGAAAGTTTAAATCAGAAGAAGGCTATTTAACTGCTAACATTCAAGGCGAGGAAAGGAAGAAAAGTCAATTGAAGTGTCGTTTTGGTCATATGGTGCGATTGTCAGGTAGAAAAGGAAAATATAATTTGGATAAAAATATGTGTCATGTTTTTCCATTCAGCAATCATCAATTTCAGTTCCATAGGATCCTTGAAATACATAAAAACATTAAAATTGAGTGTTGAGATAAATTTAAAAAAATTTAGAACGTCAAATAAAACTACAAAATGTGGGACTGACTGAAGAGTGACGGGTTCAGTATTTTATTTGTTAGATGAAATTTTATTATTGTCATAGTGGCAACTAATGTTGTTAGCGAAAAAGCATGTGTACAAATATATGACGGTCCTTTTAGAGACGATCCAATAAAGTTTGATTATTTATAGTTTCACGTCATTCCATGTGACATTATTCTATAGTTTAGAGCTTAATATCCTCGTTGGAGTTTTATTACGTTACATTTGGCGTGGAACTTAGAAGATATTATTATAAACATTAAATTCCTGATGTTACGGAACTTTTGTACACACTCCACATTTTTATTTTCTAACAATTTTATTGCCAAACCAATGAGTATGTTTTTGAACGACAACAAAATAATGGGGAAAAATTATTAATGTAAAGACGTGCATGCGCATTAGTAAGAGGTCGCGTCATGAAAGAATAAAACGAAAAAGAAGAAGACTTGTTATTAATTTCCCAAACAGAATCGCTTATGACAGCGAATCAACACATCCTGTAGACTACTCATTCATTTTTCTTGCTGTTTTTTAGCCATCATCAATTAATTCTTTTACTTTTTACTGCTGAAAGTACAATTTGCTGACCGTTGAAAAATGGCGCCCGTAAACAACACTTTCCGTTCTTAATAATTCATCATTTCAAATGAACACTTTCAGCATGATTACAAATTCAAAGTCGAGAAAACATAACGTTAACGATTGTTAAATATTTCTGCAAAACAGAGAAAAAAAAACAATCAACGACGCTTTTATGAATGACTTTTGGACACCTTAAAAAGCTCACCAAAAATATTCTGCAAGCACTTTGAATGTAAATTAAATTCTACACCATCCAAACCCTAATTAACTCAGCCTAACTCAAAGGAAGTGTTAAAAATTCTGCATAATCATGAAAATAAAAAAGTCGGTAGATTATTGCTTACATTTAGTGAATATTAATTTAAACATTGATTCGATTAATCATCAAAACTTTTGATCATAATTGTTCGTTTGTCATTTAACAACTGCATTCAGGTGACAAAATTGCATTTCTTGCAAATCTTTTTTCATGCAAGCAGCATTTAAATTTGAAATTAATTATGGGCGCGCTATGATATCATTTCATTGATAAATTAAGAACTTTAAAGCTACACGTCTATTCACATAGACAAAACTGGTATTTCGAGAAATTTATTATTCATCGTTTAACATCCTCGACATCAACAACAACAACTCGACTTTTGATGTCTTTCTTCTCTGTTGTTTTATCACTCGACAACAGCCTCTCTCGCACGGCTTTCGACAAAGAACCAAGCGGATAATAAAATGCATTTTTATGGCTCCTTTTTTATTGGAACCCTCGAAAAAACACAAAAAAAAATTAATGGAACATCTACAATAGTTTTCTTTTGACATTTTTTTTATTCCTTTTTTTTCTGGTTCTCTTGCTTGTGCTTCTTTCTCCTGTCCCCGTCTGCTGTGTTCTTATCTCAAAAGACGTATATTTTTTAGACGCTCGTATAATTTAGAATTCATCTTTATACAATTTAATTTCTGGTCAGCAATTTAAAGCTCAATAAAAACAACTTAAAAGACGAAAAGTTGCTCGCTTAACAATCACTTTGAGGCGATTCGTTCCTGCTTAATTTAATTTTTGAAATTTTATTACGCTTCACTCTTTGCGGCATCGGTTCTCATTCTTTTGTCTCAAAAACAAAATCTTTTCTCTTAATTTTTATAGTCCATCTTTACATGAAATTACATTAAAACAAAACATACAAAGATGAGTTGAGTATTATTATATTTTTACGATCTATAAACAGGTAATTTTAGAACGCCAACACTCGTAGCGCGTTTTTTGCTCTTTCTACTTAAATGTTTTTCTTTTTATTTTGCTTTGGATCCGGAGAATTATTCAATGTACAATAAAAGTGAATAAAAGGTGAGATTTTATCTTTTTGAATTTGGCAAGATTCTTTTTGCTCTTTATTTCACAATAAAAAAATGCCTAATAAGGGAAGAGAACTGCCAAGATATTAGCTTAATTAATTAGATTCAAAATGAGTTTTCGCTTTTTAAAACATCTAATGGGTGTATGTTCTGTGGAATACTTTGCAAGAATCAGACCACCTGATGGATTGGTTTTGGAATGTTATGAAGAATCTTAAAAAGAATGACAATTAAAAAATTGTGATAACAATCGTGATGCTAACTTCGCCTTCACACTATTCGGTACAATCCATTTAACTTCAAGAATAATAATAACTGAATCATCTTATCGTAAGAAGATTATCCACTGTACCAATGACACAAAACTACATCAACAAGGTGTACCGGTTGGAGCGGGCGAGGATCGAGCTGGAGGGGGGACGAAGGAGAGAGCAGATTAGTCTGGAGCGAGCAGTGAAATAGATTAGATTTGTGTATTATAAAAGAGAAATAAATAAGTATTATAACGTCGAAAAGACTTTAGTTTTACTTTAATTCACGCCGGAACATTGGTGTTAGCGGTGGGATGCTCGAGTAGAGCAGTTCAAACTATTATTATGTGAGTATTCTTTGTGAAAAAAAAAGGTGACAAGAAAATGGCGTCGGTCGCAGAAATGAACGTGAAATCAAAGCTTTCTTTTAGTGCTTTGACAATTTTTATTTGTTTAATTATGAAGTCTTCAACTTTAAAAAGATTTAAATAAGTGCAAACGCATGAATGTGTAATTGTCTCGCCAAATTGACAACTTACGTTGAATTTTTTTAGTTTCAAAATGCACATAAAATTAGATTTAAAAGTGCTTTGTAGAGGCTGGACATAGCATTTATGACGTTGAATAAGTTCATTCGTCGCTTCGTTGAATAACTGGACGAAGTTCTATGTATTTGTTTCATCCAATGAAATCTAAAAAGAGTTCTCGAGAAGAAACACAATTGAAGTCTCACAATCATAGAAATTGAAATTTATTGTCGAATGCACACCTACATGAGTTATCGTCATGTGTTCTCGTTGTTTACGAATTCATATTACATAATTTCAGTTGTCAGTATTATGAAGGTTACATTCCTTATGCATAAGCGTCAAATGTTAATTTTATTGTCCGTCTGCATTAATTTAAGACAAACCAGACAGTTTTAAGATCTATTATAAGTATCTGCATGTGATGGTATACGTCAGATTTATTGCATTTCATAATTGAAGCTCTCGTTTATTGTAATTTTTAATTCTTATGATCAAAGAGCTGAACATTTAAAAGAAGAAAAGGAGGAGAGTTATGATCATAAAATTGATGTTATTTAGTCTATTTATTAATTTTTTTTGCTGAAAGAATTTATCAAAGTCAAGCTTTATGAATTGAAATAGAACGTTTGAGTTATTAACGACGATCCACAGTTGTTGACTTCCCAACAGTTTAATTGATAGACATAATGCAGTTCATTCATTTGAAAAAACAGAAATTTCTTGAAATTCTTAATTTTGTGGCATTCAGTTGATCCAGAATTTTCTCTTTACATATTTTGAATGAAAAAATAGGAAACTTGATAAAAAGAGGCTGAGAAGCTGATTTGTCAGGTTGAAAGAAATAGTTTTTATTTTTTTTTCTTCTCAACGTGAGAAGGTTTGTTTTGTTTTTGGATAGAAGATAAATAAACAAACTAAAGATACACCTGGGTGGTGGAATTTGATAAAAAGAGGCGGGAGGCTGATTTATCAAAATTTTAAAGAATGTTTTTTTTATTTTTTTTCTTCTCAACGTGAGAAGGTTTGTTTTGTTTTTGCAAGAAGATAAATAAACAAACTATTGGGGCACCGATAGGGTGCAAACTTTGATAAAAAGAGGCGAGACTGATTTATCAAGTTAAAGAAATGTTTTTATTTTTTTTTCTTCTCAATGTGAGAAGGTTTGTTTTGTTTTTGGATAGAAGAAAATAAACAAACTAGAGATACACCTAGAAAGTGGAATTTGATAAAAAGAGGCGAGATGCTGATTTATCAAAGGAATTTTATTGTAATGAGACAATATCTATTTGTTTCTTTCAGAAAGAGAAGACGATAAAATCTTTCAGTTCAAGAAGAGCAAGTGACATTAGCATGAGAAGTTTTTTTCTCCAGCAGTTGGATCAGAAAATTCAAAAGATAAATTGAAGATGAAGTGTGAAATATGCCAGTCACAATCTTTTAAATACTCATGTCCAAGAGGTAACATCGAATACTGTTCGTTAGATTGCTACAGATCAGAAAATCATGAACAATGTTCTGAAGAATTTTAAAAAGAGTGTGTCCTTGATGAGTTACAACATCAAAAAGCAAATAAAGATGATGCAAGGAAAATCTTGAAAATGTTACAGAAGAATGAAGATGAACCAGAACAAGACTTAGAGGTTTGAATTCAGACGATGATGAAAGGAATGCAGGTGACCTTGAAGAACGATTGGCAGATGTAAATTTGAACAATGCAGGTGCAGTATGGGATACACTAACGGATGAGGATGCATTGGTGTAGTCAATCGTTCTCAAAAAAAATATTGAAGGAAAGAAAGATATCACATTGGCAATGACAGCAGCCGAGAGAAAATTCTTCCTTAGCCATCCATCATATCGTTACATGGCTGATAAAACGGGAACACCATATTTGCAGAAAGTTCTTAATCAGCAACTTACAAATCACATCCGTGATACTTTACCATCTTTGAGAGATCGTTGGCAAAAGCAATTATTGACAGTAGAAAAAGATGTCGACCAATCTAAGCATTTTCAACCCAACGATCCAAGCATTAAGACCAAAGCAATATTGCAAATGATTCAACAACTCCAGTCAGATTTTGAGCGAACTATTGAAGGTTCCGGTTCTGCTTCGGTAAACACTAACGAAATATCTGATGTTGCCAAGATTAACCGAATTTTCCACGAAAGATTGTGCGTTGAAATTGTGAAAATGTCAAGATGAGAAAGAATTACACTGTAAAATTTCGTTTCCAATGAGTAATATTCATGGTATGCGAGTAGGCTTATTCACACCAGACATGGCATTTGGAGCTATAACAAAGCGACAAATTGGTCAACTTGAAGAGCCAGTTTTTTAAATGCAATTGTTTTAGTTGTTGTTGAACTATCAAATGTTGTCAGAAATTGTGCAGAGAAAATGAGTCGTTAGTCGAGATTACGGTTAGAAGCTGAAAGAATTATCACCACCCACATCAGACAACGTGAGCAGAAATGCAAGGAACAATTAATTCTCATGATTGAGTATGAGGTGGCATATATGAATACAAATCATAAAGATGCTCAAAACAATACAGGAAATAAGTCAAAGGCAGGAACTAGAAGCTTGGGAAATGAAGTCATTCGCAAAGGACACATGTGTATAAACAATCTTGGCATAATGAAAGGAAGATCCAGATCATACTGGTTCGTTCTGACGTCAGAAAGTATTCCATGGTTTAAAGACGAAGATGAAAAATAAAGTAAAGAAATTTATGTTGCCACTTGATGGACTTAGATTACGTGACATTGAACAAGAATTCATGTCAAGACGACATACTTTTGCTCTTTTCAATCAAGAAGGAAGAAATATTTACACAGACTACATACAATTGGAGTTATCTTGCGAAAATACTGACGAAGTTGATTCATGGAAAGCTTCTTTCTTACGTGCTGGTGTTTACCCAGGAAAGGATTCATAATTAGCAATGGTTCAAGAAGCTTTAAATAACTTAAAAAACTTTACTTAATACTTATACATTGAGTTGCATATGAAAATGACGTGAAAATGTTTGTATTAAGAAGGAATTAAGGCATGAAATTTCAATGTAGACTATAAGCTATGAGTGTACATGTATGGTGTATTGAAAAAGTGCTAAATTGGTGTTTATTGTGAATTCGCGGACATTTAGAAAAAAAAATTTCTTTTTACATTAACTTAAATTCTCGAGAGTAATTAAAAATAGATGCTGAAAATGAATGAAGAGAAGAAGAAAATATTTTTTTCTTTGGGCAACCATGATGTTTGAAGCACAGTCCAATAAAAACAACCACAAATGAAAATCACAATAATCATAACAAAACTGATAAAGATTCTGATGAAGTCAGTCTGCAAATGAAAAGCGAAGAGGAAAATTTGAAAAACGAACGTACTAAAGAAGTTGACGAGAGTAATCCAGAAGAAGAAGATGTTGACAGTTTATTGAAAAAATATCCGAAGTATTAGAAGAAAATTCTGATAAGAAAGAAGAAAATGATTTGCAACAAGAAACAAATGCACAACCCTTGGCGCTATCAGAAAATGATTCAATTGACCAAACAGCTACAACTTCATCAAGCATTGATAAAAATTCATCATCAGTTACAATTGTGGAACAAAATTGATGTAATGGAAGATTCCCTTAACTTTTGAGTGAAAAATTCATTTGGATTATTAAAAAATGAATCGGTCGACAATGAAACTTATTGGGAATAAAAAAAACAATCGAAACTGCATTGAATTCATGGAATGGAGTAATAAAATGGACTTGATTGCTTTAATCAGTGATACAGGTGAAGTAACAATCAATCGATTTAAATGGGACATGCCAATAAAGATTCCACCACCAGAAGAAAAAACTTCTTGTAAATAAGGTCTATTGCTCGGCGAATGGGTGAGAAAATTATTGGGATTGCTTACTCAAATGGATTAATAACATTGGTTGATTGATTGTTTGCATAATTTCTGTAGTTTGTTTTCAACATTTTTTTAAATTAAATAATTAATTATTCTTAATTTTTTTNTTTCGCCTTCACACTATTCGGTACAATTCATTTAACTTCAAGAATAATAATAACTGAAACATCTTATCGTAAGAAGATTATCCACTGTACCAATGACACAAAACTACATCAAGAAGGCAGATGTTTTTGACAGAAAAAACTCCAACAATTTTAACAACGAAACAAAAAGAACAAGAAAAGAAAAAGAAAATTATTCGGAAGTGTTTGAAATTATTTTTATGTTTCCATTTGAGAGAGAAAATTAAAAGAAATTATTATGAATAAATAAATATAAAATTAAGAAGAAATAAATGTCCATTTGAATACTTTCAGTCAGAGCTGTACATTCATTTCATGTTAAAGATCACTATCGCTGAAGCATTTACAATGGTTTATAAAGGAAAACAGTAAAATATCACACACTGAGAGAATTATGTATTTTCTCCTCGGAAATCTACACTTTTTCCATTGTCAAGTATCACTTTATCTTCCACACAACTAGTATTCGTCGTTTGTACCTCTGTTGTGCGAGAATTCAAATTATTTCATCTCTACCGTGAATGTCATTATCGGGCGCATCGTTGTGAACGTAAATTTATTAATGTAAAATTTTTATATTAAAAATATTTGAATTCATTGTGGATTTATTGGTTGGAAATCCTTTCACAGTGGTCGCCCCATACCAAAATGTTTGTCGCTTCGGTTGAAGTGAAAACGAAAGGCAATAAAAAATTCTGATTAAGATGTTTTCTAAAACTTAACTTACTTATGTATAACAAGAAGATCTGAAACACGGTTAAGATTGTGCTATGAATTTATTAATCTAATATATTTTAATATCAAAACATTCTACAATACCAACTGGTTTTGAATTGACTTGAGCTCTTGGAACGTCGTAAAATTAAAGTTTTAATATGTCTCATCAGTTGGAAGTCGCTATAGAAATGTGATAAGTGCTGGTTTAGTGCTACCAAAAACCGTAATCAGCGATAAAATTTTCCTCAAATTACTAATTTAGGTTAAAAGATTTTTATTGAAATTTGATGTTCGTTTAAGAAGAGAAGCATAGCGTTAAATAATCTATACTGATGTAATTATATACATTTAACTCAATTTTACAGTTAATTAGCATAAAAATATATTTCGTGATAGAGATCAAGATGTTTCTTTTGTTGTTTTTAGAATACTCGAAAACCTTAAACAAGAAAGGTGTTGAGAGCTTGCAAGGGCTAAAATAGCATTTCATAATCAGGCATTAAACTGTCTCAACATTCATTTTAATCTTTCTAAGAAGAAATATTCTTTTTATGCTAATGCAATGTAAATTTCCCTCACTTTCTTATGCTTCATGTCAATATCAATTGTCTTAACTTTTCCTAAAATGTTTTAATTTAAATTGAAAACATTTTTATTTTCTGTTCAAAGGCTTTCAAGTGAAGACATGTAACATCAAATGAAAACACCAGAGAATATGTCAAAACACAAAAAGTGATATTTTTATCTTATTTCAACAATCATTCAGAGTCTCAGAACGAGAATGCTGTTCAACTTAAACGTCGACAGTTGTTTCTTACTTTTTTCTTGCAAATATTCATGTTTGTAATTATTTATCCAGAAAATTGAAGATCATTTGAATAATTTCTTCGATAATTATTTAGTTTAACTTCCAATGATGAGTCATCAACTTAAATTTTATGTAGAAGGAAATGAAATTCATTCGAATGATGTGTTAAAACTGTCTCATCTTATCTTAGTAATTCTCACGATCCTCCTTATTATTAGCCTATGAAAAAGTCTTAAAAGCATCCACAACTCTTTATGCGTTAAACGATAATTTAAAAGTTATCTTGAATATAAATATTAAACTCCACATGTACACACCTTAATCAAATGATCTCATATTGATCAACATTGTCGCAAGTTACATGGAGTTTTATAACTGAACAACAAGTAGCTTAAAGTGAGACAAAATGAAGTTTTCCATTAAGTTCTCTACGGTTATTAAAAATGTAAATTTGCTAGTAGGTAATGCTAGCTTGAAATATATTTTAAGATTAGTTGATTGGCTGTAATTTGTCGTCTTTGTGATTATTCCATACTGTGGTCAGCGATAATATTTGCCTGTTTTAATATATATTTTTTTAATTTATTTAAATTGTGCATTTGCTAATTAAAAAAAGGCAGAAAAAAATGAATTTATATCTATGAATATTCATTAAAGTTTGCGTGAATTGATCCAATGAGATTCTGTTAGCGTTTAATCATCTAAAGTGTAGATTGAAACCAGCGACTTAACATATTTTCTATTAATAAGTTAAATGCAGTTAAAGTTTTAATAAAGAGATGCGTAGTATGTGCAAGATGTAAATAAGAAATCTTGAATCGTCATAACAAATATGCATATTAAGCTGTCTTTAACTAAAACAAGCAACTAATGTAAAACATGAAACTGGCGTCATTTCATTAACAGTTTACATTACTTGTTACTCATTAAGAAATATTCACAACATTTAAGTGACTTTTTTTTCGTGCTCAAAAGTTTTCTTATTTCTTATGTTTAAGGTTCCAAAACTTTAGGTTTCTCCTTAATTTCATCTATTGATATTATTCTCGTGATTTCGCGTGGAATTTTTCCAACTCTAAATCTGAGTTGAAACGCAACAATTTTATTATTTTCATGAATTAATTTCTTCTTTTATTATTTCTTTTTTATGTTTAGCAAGTCTGAAAATACGAAATGTGCAAAAGGAGAAAATGAAAAGTTTAATGCAATAAAGCAGGTTGCACATTTGTTGTTAAAATGAAACTCTTTATAAGCTCATGTATCTTGAGCTTACTTTAAACCATAAGAAAACATTATTTTAAACTCAGCTTATTTGCTTCCATCTCATTATTTAGCCTAGTAGTCAATTCCTCCAGTAATGCAATTACAAATGCCTTTTTATGTAATTTGCTTGGAAACCGATGTAATGCTTTAATGTTATCAGGAAGACATGCTTGTTTGTGGAATGAATATCTACAATAAAAACGAAAAAATGCTTCTGAATGTCTGATGCAATAACTTAGCAAAGCTCTTCAATATGACTTGCTTAGGTATTTAAAGATGAAAGCATGACAATGTGAATAAATCAGACGCTTGTTTGTAACTTACATCAAGAGATTTCTCTGAAAAACCAGCTTATAATAACATCAATTAAAATCAACTTAAAACGTGAATATTTGGACATAAACACCAAAAATTTATTAAGTATTTTCTTCAATAAATTATCGCTAAAATCCGTTACAAATACTAATGTACAAATTTGTTTACACAACAATGACAAGTCATGAATATGATAATTTTTCTTCTCCACTAAAACTTCTTTTCTTGCCTGACAGCCCAGTGAAAGAAGAATTTCTTTAAAAGTAGAAAAGGCAAACAATAATAAGCCTAAAAATGAATTCATAAGACCGAGACGAGCGAACGACAGTGAGAGGAAGGCAAGCACACACATATAATTCATATGTTAATTTTTAATCCGATTTTAATAACATTATAGTGTTGTACGATTATATTTAATATCTTTTGCTTCACACAAAAGCCGAAAGCTTCTTTAAACTTGCAATACCGATAAATCCTCTAGTCTCTAAATAATGTTTTTGTTAACAAATAAGTAAATTACGAGAAACACGACTTTTTGAGCTTCAAATTAATGCTTTGGTTTTTTATTTATTTTTTTGAATGCAAAATAACATGATCTGAGATCATTTTTAATTTATGCAAACATTTAAAGTTTGTTTTTTGAAAACATTTAGTTCTAAACTATGATTTATTTTTAACAAGGAAATATATTAACAAATAATAAGACTTTAATATCATTCAGCTACCACAATTTCCATAAATTTAAAATCGTTTTTGATTCAAGAAAAATAAAAGCAATAAAAAGAGTTATAATAATAATAATAATAATAATAATATTCAGTCATAATATAAATCTCTTCTAACGCGATTTCAAGCACATTCATAGCTCGTATCTCTTGATATCTTTCACTCTACCATCTTAAGCACATCTCAATATAAATCCATTGATGGGAGAGTATGAATAAAACAACGTGAGCCAGCGTGAGCTATTAAGCATAGATATTATAGCTTCAAACAAAACAAGTTTCGATTTAGTAGAAAAAGGAATTTTATAACCGTTTTGAATTCTCAAATGGTCCTGGGTCATTTTAAAGCTTTAAGAATCAGCAAAACAATCATTTTTATTACATCCATCACATTTCAAATCAAGAGTGATTCAAACATCTACAAAAGTCTATACATAGACGAATTAAAATTCTCATAAGGAGTGCGTGATTGAATAAATGATTTAAGAGAAAAAAATCTTAAGCAGGAAGCTTCACGATGAAATATTTTCAATTAGGAGCAGAATTCACATCCAAACAATACCAGTTTCTTGATTCGGCGGATACAAGAGCTACCCATTCACAGAATATTTAGTAATCATTATTAATGATCGCTTCAAAGTTTTAACGAGATTTTGACGTTAAAATTCTTCAAAATGGATTTTTCATTCGGCCGAAGCAAGCTGTATTTATCTTCCCCTGAAATATTATATTTAATGATGATTTTTTCGAGATTTAATTCATATGCATACACCAAATATTTATGTTTTCAATGTCGAAGGACTATAACGTTACGAGATTTAGAGACCTCCTTTGTCGATTCGATATTGAGCGAGTTCAGATTCACACACAACCATTCATTTTTTTTCCATAAACCATCGCCCAATATTTGTTTTGTAGATCATTGTTAATGCTTTAGAAAGAACATTCTGATATTATTTCTTTCTTTTTCAAAAATTCTTTTTTGTTTGAAACCTCAATAAATGATTTTAATGTGTGTTCGCCACATAACAAATCTTCTTTAATGATTATTGATTTATTTGTTTATCTTTATGCGACCGTAACATGGTAATTTTTCATTTAACTTTCAGTTCAATAACGAGATCATTAAAACTGAAGAAATTGAAAAGGAAAAAAAATGTTTAAGTTTATGTTGAGTTACATAACTCTTTATTAAGAAATGACATTAAAATTTAATCAATAATTAAAGTCGACTAATTTCGACATTTCAAATTACCTTTTACATACATTTTTATGTCATGAATGTATGTTTATGTTGTAAGTTACCCACTTGTTAAACTTTCAAAGTACAAGAAATTTAATGAATCTGATAAAGAAGGAGACCGAAGCTCAACTCAACTCATGATACAAAAAATTAACAAACTCGAGAATGAGAGAAACTGTAACGATGCAAACTCATGAAGCGCATGTGTGATACTTGAACATAATAAAGAATTCACAGAACAAGATGATGTTTTTCATCAAATAATCGCTAAGCTTTAAGTGTTTTTGTCTGAGTGTTACAACCTCATATTGTTCTTTCTCATTTTTTTCCTTCATGATTCGCGCATTTTATATAAAAATTTTTCAAAAATATTGTCTCACCATTTTGAAATTGAATGTTGATACTTTAATGATGATTACATTTTTTTCATGCTTCAAAATAAACAAACATTAATAAATTTTTATTGTAAAACATAAAGTTTCTTTTTTTCTTTTTTCATCCATGGAGTTTATATAAACAGGGGATGATTGTTGTATAACATTTTACAGTTTTGCAATTGAATTTATTAATGCAGTTGTATTATTTATATGAACAGATAGATAAACACATTTCACATCTTTGAGCATTAATCCGAGGGGTGAACAATGACATTTTGAAGCCAAACTATCTACAAAACATTATTTTGTTGTCAAAAAACGAATCAGTTATGAGTAAAGTTTGTTATGCTTTGCTCTCACCTTTTTATACTTACACATAAATATATTTTATTTTCATCGTTAAGTACATTAAGCATAAATAGGCTCATAATGTGAGCATAGAGATAGTTAAACAGTTTATATTGAAAAGGGGGAGAGACTGAGAAAATCATTAAGCTGGAACAATGTTATTCAACGAAGAATTTGTATAAATGTGGTTCCATGTGATTCGTAAAAAAATTTATGATGCAGTTGGAAAGGAATAAATATATATTCCTTTTGTTAAGGGTGTTCGTGCAACGAAAGGAATAAAAATGGTGGAAGCATAAATATATACATGAGAATGAAGGTACTTTGTTATGGAATATAAGAAAGCATTGTGCAATAGCTGCCTGCAGTGGTAATAAAAAATTTTGCTTTATTTAACCCCTGAAAAGAAGGAAAACCATTACAATTTGCAAATATTTATAATTTTATATTAAGGCGCCATATTTAATTTGGTTTTTCTTGTAATAAGTTTACCTATCCGCATATTAACATATTAACTAGCTGCAGTAAATTTGCGTCGATAGATTTCTGTTTTATGCATGAATGAATGGGTTCGGCAACATGGCTGCAAAAGGCATTGTTAAGCATATTAACGGATCCTTTTCTATCCATTCAAATATGAAATTTCTCACACACATGTCCGTACATAAATTTGCTGTGTAAATTTCTTTTCTTCTACTTTATATTTTTTTTTATCATGGTAAAAATTTCATTGCGAACCCATGTTTTATACTTAACGTGAAGTTTTCTGATACTGTTGTCCGTTGTTCTACATATTATTTAAAAAAACGAGAGATAATCGGATAAAACATAACATAACTAGCAAGACGAGGGCAAGGCGTGGTTATTGTAGTTTCTAGTTTCCATAAACAAAAAAGGGGTTGTTGGGAATGAAATAAATTAACTTTTTACAGCTAAATAGTTTTGTTTAGAGAGATAATCGCCTTCAAAGTCTTTAACACAAGGCACTAGCTTGGACGACATATAAACTTAAAAATAGATGCTAACAAATTACATTCATTCATGCCTAAAGGACAGAGAATTCAATTTAATTTCATTCCGTTTCCAAATACTATGCTGAAGCATATTTTTGTCCTATATTCAAAAAAATAGAATCAAAAAGTTGTCAATCCAATGTTTTTTTATTTTATTTAGATCCTTTCGGAAACCTTTAAAAGGACAACAATAGTTAATCGGCTTAGACGAATTTTTATTATTCTAATGTCATTTTCTCTCTTCTTGTTCCGAAGTAACAAACACACAACATGAAACTGTAACAATATTTATTGTTCGTCTAGTTTTGATGAATTTATTGAGACCTTTGAGTGAAAGGAAGTTATGAAATGTGCAAAATGTGCAGCAAAGTTCTTTTGTTAATAAACTATGACTTTTTTTAATCAGATTAAATTAAAAAGAAGCATTAAATGCAGTGAATTATTAAGATAAGTCATTGGACTTGCATGATGTTTGAAGCGATTTAATCATAGTGAAAACAACTAAATATTATAAACAAACATGGATAGGTCGATTCTATCATGTCGAAGATGAAGCAAAAAATCATTTAACGCTCAAATTGAATTCACTATGCATGAAATGAAATGTTTCATGATTCTGTGTGAAAAGTTGATGACAGCATATAGAAGTGAAGAGAAGGAAAGAGAAGAACAAAAACTTCTAAAGGCGAGATTGAATTCATAAATATTGACACAGATGGTAGAGATTTCCACTTCTTCTCTATGTATCGGTTCTGCCATCACACATCTCATCTCATTAGACGGTTTAGTTGATTTCTCTGCTTCGATGTTTTTATTTTACACACTTGAAGCTTGAGCAAAAATATAAACTCCACTCTGATTCGATCAATATTTGCAGAGCTCTAAACGATGTTCACCTTTCTTATTGCCGCTCATTTGCCTGCCTTCTTTTACCTTATTCCGATTCGCATTTTGTTTAAGCTCTATTTGAGTTTCTAGTGTGTCATTATTTGACGTTTGAAATAATAATTTTTGACACAAAAAAAGTGATTTCTGCGCTAGAAATGAGAATCGTCCTAAGATGACATCGATCGATCAGACACCGACAAAGAATTCTTCATCATTCTATCAACATGAATTTCAATTTTTATTTATTCTCCTTCAGTCGTTATTTTAATCATTTAATAAAACATCCAATATTTATTTTTATGTTCCTTTCAACGACATTGCTTGGTGTCAATTTTCAACTGATGATTGGATTTGTTTGGTTCTTTGTTCCATTCCGCTTGTGTATCTGTTTTATTTTAATTCGGCGAGCTTAACACAATATAAAGAACGATGTGATTAAAGACGCGAGTGATGTTAATGTTTCAAGTTGAACAACGAAATCGATGTCTTTGTCGTTCTTTTAAGTTTCAGGTTTCTAATCATGGTTTAATTTTATTTACCTTGCTTAGCGACATTTTTCTTTCTGGTAGGTGTTCAATAATTTGAAATTAATCATTGTCGATCGACTCTTGTTCTTACAAATAATCGTTTCCCTTATAAATAAACAACTTGTTCAAGTATGTTTCGCAAAAAACAACATAAAAGTTAGTCAAGTCGCGATATCTGATAACTGAATGTCAACTTATGATGTTTTATCAATTAATGTACACACATTTTCTGTTTATTGAATCTCAAACTTAAACAATATTTATTTAATAAATCAAAGCAGAAATCACAACACAAGAAAGAAAGGAAAATAAATTTCTTAAACATTCCATTCGCGAAGGTTCTGATAACACGATGTACGGTAATATTTGTATATAGCACTTGTTTGCTGATTTATTATTAAAAAAAACTTTAATAATGAATGTGTTGTAAAAGTTTATGTAAACAACAAGTTAAATGTGTCAACCGACGTGATAAGAATTTTTCTCTGATTGGTCAGACAGAAGAACATTGAAAAGATCTGTTGATGCGCACATGCAAGTTGTTTGATGATAACCATTTAAATATTATTAAATCATTGAGACATTTTCTTCAAAAAAAAAAGATCAAAGAAAAATTATCAGCAAGTATTCGAAATAATTTATGAGAAATTTGACATCGGAATCGTTTGACATTCTTTCCGCCGGTCTAATTGATTTTTTTATTTAATTGAATATTCTAGAGTAACGTTTCTTCAGCACCACCGTCCCCGCCTCCAGCTCCAATGGCTGTTACATCAACAACAGTGCCACCTGGTGCTCGAAGTGCATCACCATGTTCGGCAACATCAAATGGACCACCAAATTCGAGATGTTGTGATACGGGCCGACCGCTCTTTACAGATCCTATCTCGGGACAAACTGTGTGTTCTTGTCAGTATGATCAATCCATAATTAATTACCAAAGACTTGCAAGCGGTATGGCTGTAGGTGGAGCCCCCGGGATGCCGTTATCTATGTATAGTGCACCATACTCTGCTGAAACTATGGCTGCATATTTTCCCGCTTTAGGTGGCGGAGATCAACCGCCATTCTATCCGAATCCAGTAAGTACTTTTTTTGTGTTACTTCACTCAATAATCATAGTTAGGAAAATGAACCAAAAAAAGAAGAGTTTACATTTACATGTGTCGACATTTTTTCAACATTTTATGATAACTCTATTTGTGAAAAAAAGCAATGCTCGCTCTTGAGTCGATTTTTTTCTTTTTCGCAAATGCTAGCAAAAATAAATTTTAATAAAACGACATGGATAGTTATTTTGTAGAACAATCAACTCTCTTGGGGGTTATCTTGTCATGAAACAGCCACGGCAGCAAGCAACGAGAGTGTATAAAAACGTTAATTCCAAGCGAAGGGACATAAAATGTTGAGTTTATGCAAATAAAATCATAAAAGTTATACCAAGCCATGCAATAACATTTCTATTTTCATGTGCAATCTCACTTGAGTCTCTCCCTCTCTTTCTCCTTCAAAAGAATATCAAATAGAATGATAGTCGTTTCGATAGTTTGTTGCAAAGTTGCACAAAAATCTGTCATGTTTTCATATTGTTTGCCAGTGTCTTCTTAATTCGTTCACATGATGGAGATTCGTGAATTTTGTGAAAATGAGGTGAATAAACGAAAATTGTTGATGGTTAGCGTCGCTGCTTTCATTTATCTTTTGTAATGAATAACCTGAAACAATGGTTCAACATGAAAATGATGTCTCATGTTACACAATTTCTAACTCTGCCTAAAATCAGTGCGTCAAGCAAACTCCCTTATCATCTTTTTTTTCCTTTCCCCGTCGACATTGTCGGGATGGAACATGTAACGTTGAAGCGAACGATTTTTTTCATTATTATTTTTTACTTCGTGAACATGTTTACATTACATATATAGAAGCATACATCCTTGCAGAAACCTCTCTCGGCTTCATTCGCTCCAAATCATGTCATACAAATTTTCAACTATTCCTCCATATAATGTTCTGCAATGAAATAGCGACAAGTAAGCAAGCAAACGAGAGAGTGAGAGAGAGAGAGAGAGTTCAGAGCAAGCGACAGACAATTCCCTTAAGGCACTTTTGGAATTTTATTTCATTTCATGACTTTGGTTGTAGCTCAAGCATGTTTACATAAAAGTATGTTTCTTCCTCGTTATATGTATAGCTGAGATCTACAGCCTTTTCGACATCGGTGTTTACTACCAAAATTTGTCATCAGCTTTTTCTTATTCCTCTTAGAATTTAAATTTTTGATACTTTAACTTTCATTCTTTCGCAATTTTTGACTGCATCGTTAGGTATTGACGTTTGACATATAAGAAATTCACAGATAAAAAAATTAACTATGCTTTGCCAAAGACATGAAAAATTGTTTTGAGATTTGCATTGTGTCTACAAAGTTTAGACTTCAGACGTGAATGAAGTTTATCATCGACAGATACGGATTAAAATTACATAAAACCGTAAAAGAAAGAGAAAAAACATGTTAGATATGTACGTTGATGTAATAAATTCTTGTCGTATTTATGCTCGAAAAACTCATATTTAAAAGCTTTTCTTTCAAAAAAATCACCAAGACATGATGTCTTAAAAAAGCATTGTGTAAATTTTGGAATGAGAGTTTAATATGAGATTATGATTATGTTATTAATGTTCCTTTATTAGAATACAATGACTTATTTAATAGCCATTATCACTAATTTCATTGCCTAACCTCTTTCTAATTCCCTTCCTCTCGACGTAACTGAAAAGACACCAACACGATTGATGATAAGACGTGAAATAGTAAATTGAAGAAGCTTGTTTCATTTATCGTTTCTTTATAAAAAGTAACAAAAAAATCTTTTTTTCTCAGACATTTATGGCGAGAAATGTGTGCGACAACAAGCTTTAATCTCGTGTTGGTAGTTCTCCTCTCGTTTTCAATTTTCAGTATAAGCATCAAGTAGCATTGGGCGTTGAGCATTCTGAATAATTTCTCATGACAGTAATTTGTTAATATCGTATTTTAACGTTTATCACTCATCTTTGGAACAAAGAGTGGAACAATATTATTTTACATACATGTTTGCCTTTACTTCAACAGAACATAATACATTAAATCGTTGTTATTTGTCAATTGTGAATGAAAAATCGTGTTTCTTATGATTCAGAAACATATTCTCAATCGTGGTATAACAATTATCTTCCTTCATAAAACCGGCATTATGTTTGCGAGTTTAACGAGTCATTTTTGAGAGAAATTAAATAACAATATTCAGCAATGTTTACAAAGCCCTGTGCGGCATAATGTTGTATATTTTATGATTTAATTCAATACCAGGGAGAAAACGAGAAAACAATGAATCGTTCCGTGTGTGGTCAGAAATGTTGATTCTTTATTTAAGAAACTTAAAACTACACAAAATCTGCTTAACTCCACACATTATGTGGTTTCATATAAACATGTTTAAGATTGTTCTCTCGCTTGCTCGAAAGCAGATACAAAAAAGGAGAAAAAAGCTTATGGCTTTAACCTGACTATCGAATGAACAGAGCATTGTGTTTGGTCTTTTATAAACCAACGATTGAGTAATGAATTATTTCGCTATTTATATGTTATTCAATTTTTCATGCGAGACTTAAGGTGATTAGCATAGAACTAATTTAACTTTTTTTACTTCATTGCAAACGCTCTGGTTGACTATTAAAGTTAATTTATTAATCATGTCCCCAAATCTAGTTTGTTCATGTTGTCAAAAAGCAAAATCTTGTCGTAATTAAGCAACAGTCATAATGATTTCATAAGTTTCATTAACATTTTACAAGATGCACACAATATTCGGAATATTGAATATTTATGAAAAAGATTCCAAATGTGAGCTTAGAAGAAATTGAGAAGCGTATTATTCGATGCAAATCACGGCTTGCCAGTAATTAGTTTACCTTGTAGGAAAGAATTTTTATGACCCTTTGGCTGTGCGTACATGACCATTTATTAATTATTTGTCGATTAGCATTCTCATAGTCAGATTAGAAGACTTTGAGAGTGAGAATAGCGATTGGCAATGAACAGCAGTAATATTTCCATAAATCAACACTTAACTTCGAGTTCATGAAATGAGCGCACAAATGAAAAACAGCACAAACTGTTTAATGTCTGATAATCATGTCATTTAAAATTGTTTCATATTCAATTAGCTCGCAACTGGAGCTTAGCTTTGTGAGTGCTAAAAATCACATTTTTATTTACAAGAATAAAATCTGACAGTAAGATTATAAAGGTCATAAAGTCGCATGTTGTTTTTTATTTTTTTACACTTTTCTCTGCTTCTTATCATACAAAAATAAAGCAGATTAATGTGACGAAAAGATTTTTTTGAGACTTTCGATTATTGCAAAGTAAATTAATTTCCTTTTTCTTTCAGGCTGCTGCCGGTTTAGATCTTAAGGACAACTTAGCTGGAGGTCCTTGGCCTTATCCTCCAGTGTATCCAGGGTATGATGCTGCATTAGCAGGCTATCATTTTAATGGGTAAGTCTTGTTTCTTATTTCATAAGATTATGACAATATCGTTCGCTAGTTAACAAGAAGCTCAGTTTGAAACAATAGAAATGAAGGAGAAAAAGAAAAACTCACGAAACTCACTAAGAAACAATTTAAGAAGCTGAAAAAGAATCTGTTTCACAACATATGATAATTATGTCAATCAATCATCATTTAGACATCAAAAGAATTCTCTCTTTTCTCCTTGCTTCAGACGAGATGAGTCATTTAAAGATTTATTACATCTTAATGGAAAATGTGCGACAAAAGAAATGTTTTTTCGTTGTTTTGTCATGCGTCAGCAAATCAGCTTACGCTAGTTTGTTGTTTGAGAATGAATAACCTAAGAACATGCAATGTTATCGTTTGTTTAGTTGCTGGGATTTATTTTCACTCTGAAAAACAAACTAATGAACAAGCAGTTTTGTTAACAATAACTCAACGAAAAATTCTTGTGAATTGTTAATGACTTTGAGATGAAACTCTGCCTGCGTATACATCGCGATGCTTGTTATTTGCTTGCTCTTAATGAATGATTAAATTTGTAGAATTCTGAAAATAACAAAAACTTTTCACTTCCCGAATTATTTAAAAGAAACACAAAAGAAAAATTGAAACAATTCTTAAATAACTTAACTTCGTAATTTACAATTTGAAGCAGATGAATATCGCCATGATACATAAATTGACTCAATCAGTTGATTGATTTATTAATAAAATATCATCAGATCTTTCGATACATTTATTAAAGTTTTAGAAAATAATAAAAGAAAAGTTCTGATTGAGTTGTAAATAAATGAATAAGTGTTTGCTTTATCAATGACATTATCAATGCTTCTGATGATATGAAACAAAATTGAAATTGATTGATAGACTAACATGTAATGTCTGAAAGAAAAGTTTCCAAGAAAGTAAATGTTGTCGTCGACGATTTCGAATATTTGATTTGATGATTTGCAATGACAAATTTATTGATTTTCGAGTCAAGTCAAATTATTTAAGCCATAAATGTTACGTGCAAAGAAAGCAAATCTTTGTTTTCATCCGTCTTGGGATCGTTTTGGAATTTCGCGAGCCTGCTCAATATAATCGATTTCTGTTGCTCATTGGTTTGCGTGTGGGGATTGCTGTACCGCAATATGTTAACGTGGGGCTTGAACGCAACTTTAGTCGCGTTTTGCAAGAAACGAAAAATATGCAAACAACTGACAAGACTTCGAACCGATCGAAATTCAAAGAAATAGAAATAAATATGTAAATATGTAAATAAACCATAGAGCGAAACATTATAATGTCATGTTATTTATTAACGAACATTTCCTGTCTTTATTTAAAATCACCGTTGCGGCTCTCACAACAAATAATAAGAATTTTATTATCAAACTCTAAAACGAACATCATTTTTCGAGTTGAAAACTTCACTGTATACATATACGCAAATTGGACTTATTCTTTTATTCCCTGTTTTAATGTTGCCCATTAAATTTCATAATAAAAAATCGAATTAAAAATTAAAATTTTTATTCAATTTTTCACTCACGGGCACACAAATTCAATTACAAAAAAAGCACAAAATGCCACGGAGGCGTTTTTAGCTTAACTTACTCGATTGCTTTATGTGTTTTTCAGAAGCAGCAGTAAAGAAGTTAAATCTTATCTTACACATTATCTTGAACTCATTACAAACGGAATAAAAACGCGGTTGCAATTTGAATAAAGATATTATTGGCGAAACCACTTTAGATGTTCAAGAATCTTCAACCCACATGGCAATCGTCTTTCGCTTTTCATTGTTTCCTTGTTGTTGGCTTGTTGGTTTTACGAACATTCTTTCATTCGGAAATTATCTGCAATCATAATCATTTGAAATGTCACCCCTAGTGCATCAATGCATTAAATAACACAATTTAGTCACAATGTCGAGAAAGTTAAAAAGAAAAATAAAGGCACGCATATTCAATCTATATAAATAAATAAACTAGCACCTGCAACGACGTTTTAATGGAATTTCAGCCTGAATTCATTTTCTTTTTTATAATTTTTTGAATATTTGTCTTTAGTTTCTTTTTTTGAAGTGCATAAATTTTCCTTTCAATTTACTTGTTAAAAGTTTATGTTAAATGACTTGACGGGATATTATACTAGCTACTTAATATTACTGTCATTCGGTTTAGACATCAATTGCTGTTTCTCGAAAAGCAACGTTTTCAATTGAATTTGACTGGTCAAAGTAACTGTAATCTGTATTTGTATTTATGACAAAAATATATCAAATGTTTGAATTCGTACACAATTGTTACGAACAAAAGAACGATATCTACAATCAAAAACAAATTGAGTAAGTTCTGACTAATTTATTTATATTCGCAGCGGCGCAAGCGAAGAGACAAACACAAGGGAAAATTAAGCATTCATGACAAATTACATGTGATGATCAAACATTGTTAACACATATGCAGGAAGAAAATAAAATAAGTTTACAAGCGCTCCATTACAGTATCCATATATTGCTTTGCTTCGTTAAGCCATCACTCGCATTTCATTATTTTCATTACCGGAAATTTACATACAAATAACTGATCACTTTAAATGAATAAAAGTAATAAAATGATTTCTTTTTTTCGAATATGGTGAAGCAGTCAACGACAAATCAGTCAGTCGGTGGTATGAGATTTCAAGCTGACAAACATCACAATGCTCAGCACATCGTTTTATAATGTTCTTTAAAAATTCATTAACATTTTTTGGTGTGCACACGTCTTGAGCTATAAATGACGAAAACATTTGAGCTCCTCTGTGTGGCTTCATCAACTTACTTATTTGACGGTTAACATTCTTGTCTATTGTACAAAAGAAGCCCGATTATCTATCTAAAGATGCGTCATAACACCCGCGACACAAAGCATATTTGAATAAATTTGATATTCATTATGCAGCAGAGACAGGAAGTGCATTAATGTGCAGAAGACTATTTTTTAAACTTTCGCGATTAGCGTGGGTGGTCATGATTGATTAGAATATATTAGATATTTTATGTTCAACGGTATGGCGACTTGTTTAGAGTAAGTCTCACGACAATGGATAGTAAATTGACCTCTTGAGCTTCGCATATAAACGACCAACGGAAGCAGTTAACATACAAAAGTTTTTGTTCCAAGTATTTTGCTAAGTCAACGTTTCATTTAATTATATAATTAATGTTCATATTGATGTTTTTTTTTTCGAATTAAAACGAATATCTATTTATGTCTTTATTATATTCATGAATAAATTTAATTAACTTCATAGCAATAAAAATGAGTTTTAAAATGAACAACATGTTGAACAATTACTTTAAAATTAAAACGTAATGTTATTGTTCATATTTTCAATGACAAATTGGCTTATATCGAACACATAAATTTATTAAATGAAAATCATTTAGAATCCAATTAAACTTTCTGAGTGGAAATTTACTATCAAGCATTATAAGAAATTCTTCCATCTCTTGTGCAGTTCTCTGATGTCCGTTTGCTTTATTTATTACACTTTAAATCAATCACTCTCCGTCATTCTCATACAGGTACATAAACTCACTCTATATGCCATGAAAACAATGTCACATGAAATGCATTTATGGTGAAATGAAACTTTCATTTCCATTTAGCAAGAATGACAATTAAAAAATAGCAATCGGTTGGATAAAAAATCAGTCGCCTATAAATATTTAGTAGAGACATAAATGCACCAATGAAACGATATTCAATCCCAACTTCTTCCTTTTATTCCACTTCCTTGCCTATGAATTTTTTGGCAGATGCTGGAAACTTTTTTCCCCGCACATCATTTCCACATATTTTCCGACATGTTAAAAAAAGCAAATGCATCTGAAACTTTCAAAAAAAAATATTGCATTGTGGCAAAAAATGATCTATTGCAATTGCACTTTGTCGAGCAGAAGTTTTTTTAGGTATCCGTTCAATGGTGAATGATTTTGACATTTCAAAAATAAAAATTCTATGAAAAAATTTTGTTCAGACTTTAGAATTTTAAATAATTAATTTTCTGAGAGATGAGAAAGAATGTTTGGTGTTGAGAGACGATGGTAATTTCGTGGCTTGGACTAATGAAGCTATTAAAATATGTTCTAAAATCATGTGGTTGGATTTATAGCTGTTAATATTACAATCCCCTCATTTTATTAAAATCTGAGCAAATAAACCGCTGCGATATGACCAGAAATCGTCCTCACCGCTTATGCAAAAAATTTCACATAAATAATTCGTGTATGTAATTGCTGAAATGGTCAAAGAGAGAAGCAGATGCTAAAAATTATCTTTCGTTCGAAGCTGAAGTTTCTCTGGGCTTTGTTGGATTGAAAAATATTCAGTCAACATAATTTTCACAAATATTTTACAAAAAAATGAAGTCTAGCCAACCCGGAAAACCATTTTCGTGGTTAATACGACTTTTCATTACTTCATAAATAAATCCCGCAAAATTTCATGTACCAACATTGAAAGAACAAAAAAAAGATATTTGCAATATGTAATTTGAAGACTTTGAAAATATTTTTAATTGCGATTGAATGCCTTTTTAAAGGGCAACAGAAATCATTGGAATAGAAAAGTTTTTTAGTAATTGAATGAACCATTAAGAAAGCAAAAAATAATTGGAAAAACTTTTCTTTAAATAGACATTTGTTAAATTAAAATTCCTCTTCTATTTGATTACAGTTATCCAATGGATTTAAATGGAGCTCGTCGAAAAAATGCAACTCGCGAAACGACGAGCACTCTCAAAGCGTGGCTCAATGAGCATAAAAAGAATCCATATCCGACAAAGGGCGAAAAAATAATGCTGGCAATCATCACCAAAATGACATTAACTCAAGTGTCGACGTGGTTTGCAAATGCTCGCAGACGGCTGAAGAAGGAGAATAAGATGACTTGGGAGCCGAGAAATCGTGTCGAAGACGATGATGTGAATTTGGATGACGACGATCATAAAAGTAATGACGATAAGGACATGCTTGGTGAGTTTTTCTACTTAACTCTTAAATCTTTCGTGCAATTTTTCATTTTGTTCATTCTCATCTTCAAATAGATTCTGGAACTGGATCAAGTGAAGATGGAGATCGGCCTTCACGAATGGATCTGATGGATCGTCCACCTGGTAATCATAACGAATGGAATGAATCAAGAAATGGAAGTGGTCCAAACTCTCCTGACATTTATGATCGTCCTGGACTCCCACATCCCCATCCACTCTTTCATCCATCAGCCCTTCACCATCTCCGCCCACCACATCAAACAGGTTCACCTCCCAATCAAACTTCAACTGGTAACACAAACTCAAATTCGATTAATAAACCTCGAATTTGGTCTCTTGCTGATATGGCGAGCAAAGAAAATAAAGACGAACCTTCGAATCTTTCTACAAACTCTGGTAATCCATATCACTCTTCACCTGGTAAAATAATATCACCACTTGCTGCTCGCGGTCTTCATCCGTTACATCATCCGTATATGAGGCCAGAATTATATCGCAACTTTTATCCAACAGCTGCACATTTAGCTGGCAATCCCCACGAAGCTGCAATATTTGAGTCTTATCAACGAACATTCGGTCCATTACATAATGGAGTTCCACTGAGTTCAGTTCTGTCAAAAGGTCCACCGTTTGGACCTTTAAGTCTTACAACGTCTCCATCACATAACACCCCAACAATACCACCACCAAGAGCCTCTCCAGCAAGCAGCACATCATCGACACATGAAAATATTTCACCCGAGAAGTCTTTACCTCCATCAACAAATCCAGTGACACCGATAGCAATCAATGTAACGAAGCCATGACACTAAAATCATATCCATCAAGTTCAATAAGGTGACGACACAAATACTTTTCGGTTTTTCTTAAAACTTCAATCAATGGGACAATAAATGAGATAATGATGAAGAATGTGATTATACTTACTTACATACTTTCAACAATTTCATTCTTTTTCTTTGATTTTCAATATTTTGTTCACCTTCATTTGATGAAAATCAATGAAAATAATTCATAAACTTTATGAATAAATAGTTAATGACACCAGAAACAGGGTATAACATTTTACAATTATTGTACACACCAGAATTAAAATATTAAATGGGCTTCTTCCTTCTATTTAATCTTGTTGGTTGATGACTTTGGGATGTTCGATTTAAGACATCTTTTAATTTGATCAAACAAGAAAATTTCTTAGGCAAACAAATCTTTTGCAATCCTTTTTGTGTGTAAATGAAAGTAAAGATAATCAACGAAAAAATTCATAAAAATAAAATAAATAATAGATAATCTGTAAAAATAGCATTAGATAAGTAGAACAGGAATTCTTTTTTGTAAAATCAACAGAAAAATTGTGTAAATTGTTTTAGGAAATAAGTGAATATGGTGTAAATGTGATATTTGTGAACCGAAAGAAGAATAATCGCATATTTTTAATTTAATTCCTATCAGAAGTGAATCAATTAATTGATTGGTGACACCCACTAGGATATTTAGATTAAATGAATTGTTAAAATTCTGAAATCCTTTGACAATTACCGACATCAATAAAACATGTTGAGATATTTTTTGTTCATTATTCTCCTACTTGTATTTCTTTTAAGACTCTAAAATTTAGACCTTAACATATCGAATGTGTTTTTTTCTCAACAAATGTTTCATTATTTGATTTCAACTTCATTGAATTGCAATAATTTAATGCCATATAGGAATTATGAATTATATTAAAGCGAACAAATTTTGCGAAGCATAGATATCATGAAAGGCAAAATATGCTGAAGGAATAAATATAAGACGATGATGGTGTATCATATATTTATGTAACTAGAATTATATATCATAATGGAAATTTATGAAATCAATATCTGTATAATAAAAATCCATAGTATGTTATGTAGTTGCAATAATACAAAACAAGAAAATATTGAATAAACATTTTAAAGTAAAACAGACTTTTGATAAATATCACTCGATTATGATTTTAAATTCTTCAAATATGTTTATCTGAAGACATCTTTTATCATTTGAATTCTATGCAATGTACAACACAAATTTTGTACATCACCATTCACCTTTCCATAAAAATTATGATTGTCGTGCATAAAGCAGAAACATAAATATCGAAACATTTTTGCATAAATTTCAGAATCGTTGAAAAACAACTTAACTCACATTTAGTTCTCAACATTGGACTACGTTTCACAAATTTTTACGATCGCATTATTTCTTTTATTTTTTTACTTCTAAGGTATGTGATCGAGTCGACAGTCTACAGTCTTCAACATTTTATTTGTGGTCTTATTAAACTAAGCTCTTATAAAATAACAAAAGATAAAGTGTCTCGACTGTAATAGCGACGAAAATAAAAGAGAATGATCAGAAAACAATATTATTAACTAATAAATTCATATTCGATTCAGACTTCATCATGTAGGAAACGTTTTCACGAATGGGTAAAAAAGTTTATGTCTATCAAATGTTTTCGACAACAAATTATGTCGCCGTTTTTGTAGCAGAACATAAATAAATTTTTTGTGTTTGTCAAACATCATAAAATGTTGTACACTTTTAATAATAATTTTTAAGATGCTTCTCTACGCTTTCTTTTAGATATTTACAAGAATATTTTTGAAGAAGGAATTTTGTTAAAAACTTTTTACCAAGACAAGTTGATGTCAACTTTTTCAGTACAGGGACAAAGTTTTTATAATAAGATTTGGAATTTTAATGGTTTATTGAACAATCTGTATGGCTTTTGATGTGGGTCTTCTGTTGAGTCAACTAAATCTCATGTCATTAATTTTAAAGGAGATGGCAATCTCTCTTGTGAATCACAAACATTTTTTGAAAGAATTGTTTGGAAAAGTAAATAAGTTTCAATGAAATTTATTCTTCTGACTAATTAATGACAAATACAATTTTACAATCAAGTGAATAGGAAATGTTGCTGTAAATAATCAACCAAAATTCTCTTTTTGAATTTCCGACGGTCGCTCGACAACGAGTTTCTAGCCATAACAAATGGAAACAAATAATAAACAAACAATCATTCCTTTTTCAATATTTACGATATTATTCCACCTTTTATAACGCTTACTAACTTCAAATGAATGCCTAAGTCATAAAAAAAACTTTATTGAGCTGTGAAGGGAAATTCAGATGTTCCTTGCAAGGTGGAATCATCTTCGGTTTCTTCTTTTCCATTCATAAAATAAGGCCTAGCTGTTTAACTCAGAAACATGTCATAAAATCATAAAACATTAGCTGTTCACATCATCATAAATATTTTGAGAAATGACGATGAAAGATTGAAAAATTAGGATGTTTTATTGCATTTCACTGACGCCACTTCTTCAGCAAACAAGATTTCTCATATTTAAACTGATCGAAAAAAAAACGTAAGATAGAAACTAGTTTGAAACGAGATAAAACAAAGAAGAGTGGGGAAATTAATTCCTGAAAAAGAATGTTAAATCCGGTAGCATAAAAAGATCATTATTTAAAAAAAAATACTCAAAGAATTTAAAGATTGGAATCATTCTTAAATGATGTTTCAAATTTCTCCATTTCTTTTAATACTTCTCTTAGGGAATTTAAGAAGAAGAAATGTTGACGTTCATTTCACCTAAGCTTGAACAGGAATTTTAATAAAATAAAAAGAAAATTCTCGTATGATTGATTTACCTTTGAGATTACACAACATGTCGACAAGCGTTCGTTTTTATTGCTTTCAATTTTTATCTACACTTTAATGTTGAGACAAAAATTTCCAAGAAGCAAATGTTCCCAGAAGAGACACCTGAAACTTGAGTTGTGATAAGAATTTTAAATTTTTCATTCTTCGTAGGCAAATAAAGTGTCTGATTAGACAAAAATTGGATAATTTACATGAGCAAGTTTCTACAATTGATGTCAAAAAATAGAAGAAAATTTATTTAATCGTTCTTAAGGTACTTAATATTCTGTTTTTGTAATCTCAAAAGAATGTTTCTTGTTCATTGACCAAAAGGTTTCTGTTGTAAATCACATGCTTTGAAATGATTCTCCTTTAAATATTAAAACCGTGTGACTCAATCTAGATGAAAGATTAAAGATCGCTTGAATCCTGGAAATGGTTTTATTGTTTGAATATCTTTGACGGCATCTTATGAACTATCATTTTAATTAAAGGACCCAAAAAGTAATAGCCTGACGACAACTCTCAGATTAAATGAGTTGAGCGATCAATGCTTTTACAAGATAATCTTAAGCAACTAATGAAAGATGGTTGGGAGACGAAATTTTAAATATTTTCCTGTTTATTCTTTTCTGGGATTGTTCACGACTTCAACGACCTGCTGGTGTAATTAATCAATTTCGAGAGTTCGTCTGACGCTTCTGTTTTAATCTTAAAACTAATTCATCAATGTTATGATCTTCCCAATTAAGTCGTTATTCAGAAAGTTCTTCACTCACTTTGGAATGTTTTAAGAAACTAAACTAAAAAATATTGCTTTCGTTAAAACATAAAAAATCAACATTGTCGTAAATTTTTTGAACAAATCACTGAGACAGCCGAATAAAATAATGTTCAGACAGATAATTACCATATATGTATCTAGTTACAGTTTAAAGAAACTTTTTTTAAGTGTGAAGTGAGAGAAGATTTTCGGTTTGATTTCGAGACAATTTATTTCACATAATATGCTTTATGCTATATTATGCTAGAGTAGAAGCATAGTTTTAGAACATATTTATATAAATTTTGTAATTATACACTGGTAGCTTTGAAATTGTATCCCACACAAGGCGAACGTAGCAAGACATGTTTGAAGAGTCTCTCGAGAAAAACTCCCAAGATAATCAGTAATTAAGATACTTGAAATGATCTGTTTGTTAGACGAGTTCTTATTTAACGCTTAAAAAAAGAAGGAAGGAAAAATGTTACGCCGTGAATATCACTTCAAGTTGTTTTTGATGCATCTCTGAAAATAAACACATTACTCAAATCATGAAAATTGTTCACATCTGTTTTGTTGCCGCACTTGGAAAATTAGTACTTTATAAATGATTTTCTTGTTTTGACATTCGAGCTTCACAGTCTCGTCGCGTCTCATTTCACAGCTAAGCAATGCATGGCGAAGAGATTTCAAATAATTTAATTAATGAGGAAGTTTTTTTCTCGAAATGAACAATTTGGGATTAATTGGGCCTTCACAAAAAAGCCATGAAATAAGTCAACATGAGTGTTCAAGTGTCGGTGATATTTTTGTATCAGTTTGTTATGAGTTTCTGTCATTTTTAATATAATTTGTTACATTTAAGAATTTCAATGTTCAACAAAAGGAAGAAAATCTTTCATTGCGATTTAACTTGACAATCAGCAAGCATCACTCTTCAAAAACAATTATTTAACTACACGTTATGCGTTGCACATTTCTGTCATCTATTCAATCATTTTTAATGTTCAAATAACTTCGTAACTGTGAATTCCTTTTCATCTCTATAAAAAGTAAATAGAATCTTATTTGCTGTATCAAAATCGCAGAGAAATATTTCAAATAACAACCGAGTGCGAGATCAAAAAGATTTTATTTCCATATAATTGAAAAATTAATGTGATTTTTTGCAGTAAGCGGCAACTTTGTTCCTCAAAATAGACGCTTGGAGAAGTACATATTTAATGAAATAAGAAATTTCAGAAAGAAACTAAATAAACGGCTCGTGATCATCTATTTCATTCAATATTGACGAAAGAATTAAATCAACTGACAGATTCGTCGCAGAGTTTTCTAAAAGACTTAAGTGGCATGTTTCACTTAATATGGATTAAGTCTCAATTAAAGCCGAAAGATTGGATAACAACAAAATTTACCTCGGCAACAATCTTCTATCAATTTAGAGAGGAAAGAACTTTTCAAAACAAGATTACATTTATTTAATATGTGTTGAATGTGGCGGCACATTCTTTTTAATAGATTTTCTCTGTCGCTAATTAAATATTTATAAATGCTTTTCGGCTCTTTTCAGTCGAAACAGGAACTCTGAAATTGTATACAAACATGTAACAAGATTTTGTGCTTCTGGGACATATAACAGGTTTTGTATGGAAACAATTTCCTGACGACCAGAAAGCATTCTCAAGCGTATGTTAAATCGATCTGATGAAACACAAGAAGTAGATTTCTTTTCATTCTTTCAATACTTTTGTCGTTTGAATTGTTTGTCTCGTCATTATTATTTAAATACAACAGCGACAATACATTGTTGACGATAAGAAACGTAACAACAAATAATGTACACTCACTCGAATGATTTTCCATATAAATATTAAAAGGAAGACGATGGAAATGATTTTGCAAATAATATATGTCGACATTAATCCCTTTATTAAATACATTAATTAATTTAAAAACATTCACCGACATGAAATCTTTTTGTCGCTTTAAAAAAAGGATTAAGCATGGTTTTTGATAATTAATTAGAATTCGATGTTAAATTTCACAAACAACTTCTTACCTTTATTTAATAAAAATGATTCAGATAACTTACAGAATATTTTAAAAGAAGAAAGTTCTCATGGAAAGACGTAATAAATCATTTGTTGATTTCGAATTCAATTTTTAGTCACATGCAAGAATAAAAATCCTTCAGAAACAGAAAACAAACTTCAACGCCCTATAACGAGCATTTCAAATCATAATGAGCTGTAACCAATCCCGAGCATTATGTTTCACAACTTTCTTCTTAATGTTTAACAGATATATCTGGAGTTTAGCTCATCCCTCTAAATAGTCAGGAAAACGCATGCGGAACAAATTATTGACATCGTTCAACTAATGATGTTGAATTGAAAGCGATCTTTTCGTTTATTATGCTGTGACAATTGCCTCATATTTATTGCGTTTCCTCATAAAAAAATGTTATTTTAAAGCAACAATAAAACATCGTAAATTATCAAAGAGCTTGTAGTTTTAAATTTGTTGGGAATGTGGTTTACAAAATGTGCCTTAAATGTATTCAATTATCATAGTTATGTCCTAAAATAATAACAAATCTTTCGTTTCAAGTATAAAACTCTTAAATGTTTATTTATTTTGACGGTTTCAAAGGAGAAAATAAATATTTCAACGCTGTTATTGATGCGGTCAAATGCAAATAAAAATATCTAAAATTAAAAATAAACACTCGAAAATGATGAAAGAGTCGATTTGTGAATCACGGGAATAGAATTGATGTATTTAACTCAATTGAGTTTCCTTTCTTCAAAAATTATATAGTAAATTTAAACTCAACACCATTCACAGTCAGCATGAAAAAACATTCAATTAAGAATTGAAGAAACACAATAAAGATCGTATCTGATTTCCGTTCACCGGCCAGTTCTTTACCTTCTTTATATTTTTTTTATTTTCATTCAAAAAAATGGAAAGGAGAGAAAAAACCAAGGCGAGAAAAAGTAATTAACGATTAACGAGATTGTTTATGTGACCCGAAAGATATTTTTTTTCCTTGGTTGAGATGATGTTGAAGCTTGTTAGAAATAAATAAGAAAACATACAAACTAATAAAATGTCTTTCTAAATTGAATCATTTTTAGAGTATCTAATGAAGTCAAGTCAGTAGTAGTCAAATGCATTTAATATTTTTCATAAATTTAAATAATTTTGATCTGTCCAAACAACTTTTCAGAGGCGTGAAGTGACGAAATGAAGCAACTTAAGGTGTCAATATTTTAAACCTGGATTGGCATTAAAAACAATAGCAAATGAATTCGATTTCGCTGGATTATCAACATACGTAGATTTATTCTTCTTACTTACCAACGAGAATTCAAGGAAAAATCTCTTCGATAATATCTTAAAACATCTTCTTCGAATTCAGTATTTTGATTATATTTATTCCTACGACATCGACGATCAGCAAAGGAAAAAAAGGTGCAAAAGAAATCCATATCAATCAGTCGTGCATAATTGTTGTGTTTCCCACACACCATGCACAAATTCTTCTAAATTCTTACGGTGGATTTAAAAAAAACCACATTTGGAGCTTCCAAATTTTGGGTTGAAAAATGAATGTTGCGTTTTTGTATATTGCATTGTGTAGCTCTAACTTAGGGCATTGTTTTAAAGACAACGAGCGAAAAAAGAACTTTTGAGTGTTCTGCTTACAGGTTTTTTATTTTATTCTTTTTTAAGGAATTCTGAGGAGACAACCTGTATAAACTATCATTAGGAAAAATTGTGTGTTAAAGTGATTTATTAATGTATTATTTGAAAGTTAAACAAAGCCGCTTTACATTCGCGTTGATGGCGGTACAATTTCTCAAGAAATTGACCGAAAAAATTTGTTTCTCATTATATGTGCATAAACACGAAATGCAAACTCTTCAACAGCATCGACTACTGCATAACATATTAAAAAGAGAAATCAAAGATATCAGACGACGAAATTGCAATTTCACTCAACACTTTACACTTCAAATATTCTCATAGCTTCTTGAAATGCTTGAAATATGAATCTTGATAAACAAAATCAGAATGTTTTTCAAACAGTCGTTGGTATCATAATACGATCGCGAATTGTTTTAGCTGCGGTAGGGCAGACATCCGATCAGTCAAGTTTTACATGCTCAGAAGCTCATCATCAACTTCAAAACAATTATTGTGAATTAAAAAAGAAATGTTTCCTTCAAGATTCAACTGAATTCGTTTCGTTTTGGTGTCAAATATGTAGTTATAAGAGATAAAAGAATTTATAAGTTGGCATAAATAATCACAGACTTAGTAAAAATTGTTTATTTATGCATTTTTTTCTTACCAATTACTTGAAACAGCAAAAAACTTAATGATAGAGTCAAACATTTGAAAATATCACATATCGCACATCAACAGCACAAAACTTTAAGTTAACAAGCAAAATATCATTTTCATACAAAAAGTGTTGTTAATCTTACGTTACAGCAATTTCAACTGAATTTGTATTTCACATTTCCGGTCTGAATTTTTTACTGCAATATTTTCAAATGTTAATTTTACTTATTTCTTATATATGCAGAACAAAATGTTATTGCACTAAAAATTAGATATAAGCAATTTGTGAAAAGGTTTTTAAAGATCAAAACGAGTTCAGATTAAAAGGAAATAAATAATCATGTGACAAAAGTTCAGACATTTTTATAATTCTGTCCTATATCATATCGTATACCACAACTCATCTATTTCTAAAAAAACACAAGAAATTCCGATAGAATAAGCAGAAAAATAAGATAAATTCTTCTTCATGTAACCACAGAAGAATCATGGAAGAACGTTTATGCAAGTGGATAAATAAAAATTTTATGATGGAATCAGCAAAAAAATGTAATGGAATTGTCATTGGCATTTGTCTTTAATGAAAAAATTCTTTACTAAATTTCTTATTGAATGTACCGATAAGAAAATATTTTTCAACTAGCGTAAGGGTGAAAGGAAAACATGGAAAAATTACCCAGCAAGAATAATTGTTTTTCAATGAACAGATGACGTTAGCAAAACAATTAGATTCATAATAATTAACACATATTTCGGTTACGGTACGTTGAACAATGCAGCAAGTATACATGAACGTACAAATGCGGTATACACAATAGATTTTTATTCTTGTGGATAATTCAATTTGAAAAACCAGAAGCTCCGAACTAGAGAAATAAATACCTGGAGCTAGAAAATCATTTTTCTATATGGATAAAGCAAATGAAGCAAAACATGAACAAACTGTAATATTTAAAAATAACTTGCAACGCAATTTTATAACAAACTTTATATCTATCTACTTTTTCATTTTGTTATTTTGTGCAATGTTAAGTTAAATGTTTATTCTACCGTGATGCTCATAAAATATTTTATTAGATCTCAAACGGTGAGCTTGTTAATGGAAGCGTTTTGCTTTCATGTTGTTACTTTTTTGATGCAAAATTGTGAGAAATAAATTATGCAGTCAGGTTCAAGTATTTTTGGATTTTGTTTCATTTGAAGTCTTTATGGAATCTGAGAGCTCAATTATTTCAATTATTTTTCAACTGTATGAAAGCAAAGCGTGTAATAAAAATGAATGTACTGATGTGACATCGTCAAAAATATCATCACGCGTAAACACAGTCATTTATACTCTCTAAAGGAGCTTAAAATTTTAGTAATTTGCTTACTTCTTGTCAATGCTAAAGACGTACATGTATTTAGTGCTAGAAAAGAGCTGTGCTGGTAACCGCTGACGAAGGATGAGATATTCACTGCGAAAATACATTAAATTCAATTGATAAATTTGCATACACATTAAGCACTCGATAATATATTTTACAGTAATAAAAGCGATATTAAATTCTTCTCTTTTACATTTCAAATGTGTAAGCAAAATAAATGTGAACATGAAAACAGTGTAATGTAATACAATTTCGTTCTGTGTGTTTATTTCTGTTTGCCGCTTCTGTATGTTATGCGTGTCTGAGATATAATAAAATATCAATCCACCCATTTTTTTGCGCTTGCATGTTCTTACTTTTTTTCCTTACATCATCATAACGAACAATCTTAATACGCGGAGTGAGGGAGGGAGAGATATATTAAAACATTGTGCGGGTAAGAGAACTAGCTACGATACTCGTGTGGTTATAAAAATGTTTATTACTTGCAAAATCATAATCCAAACCATCTTATTCATAATCATGCAAGTCTCATCTCATCGCATGGAATTAAAAAGCATTTATGTCTTTATTAAGCTTTCAAGATGCAAGTTTCTTAAGCCTCTAAGAAAATTTCGATAAAGAAATTTCATGATAATGTATGCATTATTATTATTAATTCATTTCTCGACAGACAACTCGTAGGATTGTATAAGCGACTTAAAACAGCAACGTAGAATATGAAAATATTAAATTCATGAAATGTTTTTCTGCAGATTTTCATTTTAAATAAATAAATCATACTGCGAGTAGCGTGTACACATCTCGCTCCATTTTTTATGTCTTTTTTTCTACTTCCAGTCTTGCATCCATAAATAAAAGGAACATGGTTTCAAAAGAAAGCAATCAAAATGTTGAGATGCAAAATTTGAAAGAAATACGAGCGATAACAAAACGCAATATTCAGCAAGATTTGTATTTTGTGTTGGTTAAAATTTTCAATGAAAAAGTGCCAGGGTTAGGAATCCTGCAAAATTTACGCAAAGAATTAGCCAAAATAGCGTCACAGCAGTCTTTAGAAAACTCGAAATTCTTTAAACTTTCCATCCCTGATTTGTATATTCGAAGAAATTTCTAAGCCCTGAGAAGAACATTTAAAATTACGCTTACAAAAATATTTCCTACATCACATAGATAGTAAAACATTTAAGCAAGCATTTCCCACGGCATATCTCAAAAATAAATAATAACTAAGCAGATATAATACAATCTATGTTAATTTCCTAATTCACTTAAACTTTAATAGGATAATATCGTTCATTTAATCACTTTTCCCTTCTTTACTTTCTTGTTGATGTTCGAAATGTTAAATAAACAATTGATAATAAGTTTACCTAACATGATAAGTAAGCTAAATATGTAGGCAAGAATTTATGATTTGTTTATCTTGAAAATTATTTTCTGGAATAGTTTTCAGTTTCCTTTAAGCTTAAATATTCTAAGAGTGATGATTTTAAGATCCTTTCATATGGAAATTTTATGTCCACACAATACAGGCTAAGCATAAATATATTTATAGGTAAAATAAACATAATTTATCATCTCATTATGGAGGTAAATAGGAAGCAATAACTTGGGATGTGATAAAAGAAAATTCCTCTTTTTTATGTCACATTATTTTTCTTTCCAGCTTGACCATCCAAAGGTTCACACATGTTTCAGATTATTGTTTCTTCCTTTTTTAGTGTCTCAAGCATAGTTCAAATCCTCTGTTGATAGACGTCTTACATTAATGACATCTTTTATTTATCCTTAGTTTTTACACTCAGACAGCAGTTTAGTGGGAAAGAGAGCAGCAAAAAAATGGGATAATGCATTAGGTGCTGGCTGTGCTTTGAGCATAATTAAGATTGAACACTTTTTAAGCATCATGGTACGAATTTATATATTGAAAAGACGAGTCTAACTAATTTCAAATAAAATAAAAGTTTAAATGTGAATTGATCCGTTCGTTGCATTAAATTCGCGTTATCTTGGAAGTGATAAATAATATTATCATAATTAAATTGAAATGAAATGAACAGCAGCAATGACAACCCCTCGAGCAAATTCACACTCATTAATCCTTAAATTGAATCGAAATGACGACAAAGAGTGAGATGCAGAAGAGAGAAATTACAACCCCCACTCTCGACACTTGGATGAATGATAAATGCGAGATGTTGTAAAAATTCGAGGGTAATTTTCCGCTACGCTATAAAAATGCTATTCAAAGTTAAATGCATTTTCAACATTCGTTGCCTTGCCTTTTGTTAGTGCAGAAACATCAACCGAAAAAATGTGTTTTGGTATAAAAATTATGTACACAAAACGGGTGCTGAAAAGAACACTCCCACAACTTATTCAAAGAGAATATTGAATGAGATTTATGTGACGGTTTGTATGTTTGTGAACGCAATGCAAGCAAGCAAGCAAGCCAATGTGATTGCATTCAAATTTCAATAAAGTTAACGTTTTAAGAGTTTAAGTCACTAAATATTAATGGAAACAGAAACGGATACTGTTTCAATTAGAATGATTGAATTTCCATAAGGGATGATTTAAATAAAAGTATTCGACCAAATAATTGTTTGTTATCACATTTAAGAAAATAAGTATCAAATTTTATGCATCTTTAAACAACCCAAACATAAATGAAATTTGAGACTGGATCTACATTGACTGCTTCACATTATAAAATAAAAAAGTTGGATCTCTTACATTTCGTGACTACTCACAAACACGTCGACTTAGAAGACTATGACTGATTATGACATTGTAAACACAATCATGGAGTGTAAGCAAAGGATAAAGAATTGACGAAAGTTATTAAATAGAAAACTAATACAACATGCGCGTGATTTTATTTAAAATGTATTAAATGACTTGACACATATTTCGAAGAATGTTTGGAATCAAACGATTCACATTGTACATCAAAAAATAAAGAAATAGAAACATAAATCACAACATCTGTTGAAGAAAGTTCCTAAACATCCCTTTAACAATGAGAAACCAGTGTAAATATTTTTGAGAAATCTTATTCTTGAAATCTTCATTCTCTTATTTCAAAAATTTCTGCGAATATGTTTCCAAATCTTGTTGAGCGAATGACTTTTGAAAAAGTCACAATATTAATATCTTCATGTGACAAAACAACATCCTAATTTATTACATTTCTGACCACCCGTTGATTGGAAGCAGAAATACTTCAAGCAGTTTTGAGGCAAATTGTGGCATCAATTTCATTTGAGTTTCTCCTAAGTGATCGTAGAATTTTCTGTTTTTAAAAATAATCTGTGAGTAGGTAAATAATGAGAATCTATCAAATAATATTTCATTATCTATTTATTTACCTTGTGTCTTGCTTTAAGACTCTTCTTCCGGTTTCTATAAATTCAATCTCGGATTCTTTCTGTGTGTTCCACATAATGCTCTCAAAGTCATAAATTACGGTGAATTATTTTGTTTGACAAATATTTTTCAATTGTCACAACTTTTCTATTAACTATTATCCTTTGTTGTTTGCATACATCACATAGAGCAAACGTAAACACAGTTGGGTACAATAAAAAAAGGAATTTGATGACACAAAAAGCATTAAAGTCATTCTACATTAATTATCTTCATACATAGGTATTTAACAATATTTATACTTGATACATCTGGCAATAAATGAAAGCTGAAATCTGTTATTGAGAACATTATCCGATCATAAATACAGTCACAACCTCACAAGCTGTTCCAATCAATTTTGTTGGCCTATGCTGAACATTGACAGATTTCCGAAATATTTCCCATTTGAATGATTTATATTTTATGTTTTAGAAACTAATGTAACATTGATCTAAATTCATTTATTGTGTTTTAGAAAAGTCATTTTATCTGATGTTGAGAATGAAGGTATCATCTCTCCACGACATCGCATTTTGTTTGCAAGAATGAAGTTGTAGGGAGTAGGTATGACGAACAACAATGAGAATTAGACGCTCATTTCTTGGTGGTCTCTCCTGATAGAATTCTCATGAGTAACTTCGATACAAAGCCAACAATGTCCCTTGAGGTCGTTTTTAGACAATTTGCTTTTGAAAATCATTTCTCTTCTTTCACATCATTCATTGTGTACGGAAGAAATGTGTTTGAGTAAACATCCTATTCAACATGTTTTAAATTAGTGTATCTACCCCCTGCAGATCTTAAAACTTGACTTTAAGATATTCATTATCACCATTTTCGACTTCTTTAAATTTCAAATTCTTTCCTTGTTAACTTATTTATAGATATTTTTGTGTTTTCTTCTCATAATTTATTAATTGTTTCCATTCACAAAACTTTAAGTTTTTTAATATTGCAAGCTGTATATTGCCGTATAATTTCTGTCAAAAATGGTGTTTCAAAACGATATTCATAAAATATAAAGACATGAATGGCACAGCAGGTAGGTATTCTGTAAAGTAAGCTCTTGTATATACACAAAACAGCAGTTTTACACTTAATTCTAAATATAAATGATAAAGTGAGTTAAGTCTCGTGATGGATAAAGATGTTTTTCATTAAGCAACAATGAATCACATACGATGTTAAATGAGTGGATATATTCTACATCGAAGTAATAAAAAACCATCCTTGATGGAGAGCATCTGATTGATTTTCTTAAAATGAGAGGAAATTAATTTAACTTTAGACAAATCCTTTAATCCCTCGTTTAAGTATTCTGAGGCGTATGTTAAACAACAAAAGCAACATGTTTCAGAAAGTTTTCTTCACGTAATTAAAAATCTATGAACTTATTCAACCCTTTCTCTGCATTATTTTTTTAAACTTGTTTCATTACAAATCCTCTCAATCAATTTACGAATTAATAAAACATGACTTTAACAACTTCCATTTAAATGATATTTATTTGCCTAACTCATTCTACACAGAAGGGAAAACAGTCTTAATACCTTAATTTGCATAGGAAATCGGTTAAGGAAATCTGTTGCAATATTCCACAGTTTAACACATGCTGCAACTACTCAGAGACATAAATATTTTAAATTAAGTGTGATCAAGAGTGGAGAAGGCAATAATAATACCTTCGTTGACTTAATAGGAGTAGCTTTTGTTGTTTGTAATGAATATCAAATTTAATTTCTTACAAGGTTCAATGTTAGTTGTTGACAGTTAAATTATTAACTTTATAGATGGAATAATTAAACTTAACGATAATTATAATGAAATGTCAGTCTTTGATTATAAAACTCACTTCTTTTACCAAACTTCAATATCATAAAAAATATTGAGATTAAGATATCAGTTTGCGATTTAAATAAGGTTTCTTTGAACTGCACTCACTTGGAATAAAGCATCTCGATGTTAAGAAAATCAAAAAACCTACATAACATAGCGGTAAGAAACCATACATGTTGTACATGCTGTGCACGCTTGGACATCAAAGTTTATTTCCATCTTTCCAAAATTCATGTTTCTTTCAATGAAATTTCATCTGAAAAACAATGCTTTAAAATTTTGCCATGTTTGTTGCATTGAAGGAAATAGGCAAAAACATACGCAATAATCGTGGATGAATCTCTTCTTCTTCCTTTTCCTTCCACAGCGGTTTTTATTAATAAGAAACCAAAAAAAAAATCAATCTGAATGTTATTCAATAAATTTTGTCATTTGACAAGAAATTTATTACATTTAGCAAACGTGGATCGGAACCCAATGTTCAAAACTCAAAGAAGAATCAAAGAAATCATGTAAAATTTATATAAATATTTCTGCGCAAACATGTGTACATAAATATGAATCATTTCTTAATAAATTGTAATTTTTCATGTTTTTCTTTGTTATTATGTATTCGACATCATTTAATATATGCACAATGTTCATTGTTGCGTTCAAATATTATGGTCATATCATAATTTGGTTTGTAGAAAAGCCATCAACAATGATTTGAGAACAAGAACAAAAACGCTGAAATGTCTCTGAAAGATTTAAAGACAAGCACTCACAGTAAAACATTTCATTATAAATTCATGCAATCAATCAAAAGAAAAGAAAGCATAACGTTTCAATATCCAATTTGCAATGCAACTCAATTCAATCATAGACCTTTATTATATTAAAAACTGAAGGAAAAATTGCGACATCGCTTCCATTGAATGCTTTTACTAATTTGAACAAAATAATTATTCATTTATTTTGCAACAGTCGAAAGTTTAGAAATTCTCTTCGATTTCAAACTGTATAGATTGTTATGCAAAATATAAAATTATCTTTTTTATAGATCTTTAAATAAAAAGAAAAGTTTAAGGCATAACAAAGAAACATCACACCTCAAGATTAACTTTTGAAAAGATGAAATGAAAAAGCTGCTGTTCCCATTCACTAAAGTGGCTTACAAACAAGAGTTACATCTTGAGTCATATGCTGCGTCGCTAGTAACAATTGAAAAGTTATTTTCGTCAGTTTTTTCAATAAATAAACTGCCACTTTGACAATAACAATTGTGTAGGAAAGAAGCTGTTGAAAAATCAATTTCACGGTTATTTGCACAAGCAAGCGACAAATTCATTTAACATTGCGGATTTTAAGTTTGTCTAATCGCTTTCTATGAAACTCTTACCTGATGTTTCACTTCATATGTTTATGGCAAAAGTAATAACTTTCCTGTGAACATTCTTCTGACTTTGTCACACACAAGCGTAAAACTGTTTTGGTCACAAATAGTATAAAAAATTAATGTCTCAGGAAACTTCAAATATCTTTTTGTCTTAAAGAAGACTTTTTTCTCGTCCCATATCAAAATGTCTTTTCCGCATGTCCGTAAATAAATCATTTGAAGCATCCCTTGGACATTAAAAGCCAATAGTCCAAACAATCTTACATGAAAATACATTTTAAGACAACACATTTTTTCTTTTATAAAAAAAATTGTAAAATAATGTTTGCCTTTCTCTTTCTTGCCTATCTTTTGCAAAACAAGAAAAAAGAAAGAAAAAATGGAAGCATTAATAATGTATACGGTCATTTATTATGTGTATAAACTAATTTGAAACTTCTCTCTATGTAGATACAATTTTTATCCATTTGTCATCAATATATATTAGTTGCAAAAGAAACACCAGGGATGACTTCTTTCCTAGACTTAACCTGACAGTTTTTTGGGTCTCGAAATGATTCTGAAAGTTGTGAAAACAGAAAACATTTAAATGTAACGAAATTTTCGTCTGACATCTATCAGATAACATATCATCAGAAATCTAATTCGATTTCTTATAAGTTTCCTTTCGAATCTTATTAGATGCCTCAAATAAGATTTAAAATTGTGAAGTTTCACAGAATCATGTAAGAAATAATTTCTTATGAGAAGTTCTTATTGGCGCCTTAAGACAAAACAGTTTTTAAAATGTCCACGAAAGAATCGAGTTTTCATCGTTCATCTTTCTTATTTAATCTTTCTTCTTCCGCCACACCACACATAATATAAATAATGTAAAAGAAAAATCTTTTAAAAAAGAGCGCAGAGTGCACATGAACAGAGAATGAAGTAAAAAACAGCACACAAAACATTGATAAAGCATTAGCATAATTTCGAAATCGTATGTCCAATTAAACTGTTTTCTTGTTTCATTCAGGATTATTTCTTTTCGATTTATATTTTCTGTTTTTTCCTCCTTCTTCAAGTAAGTACGAACTGTAGGTATTATTCAATTATCTTTGGCGCCATCTTATAAACCATCTTACCAATTCTTAGAATGACAGCCACACGAAAAAAAAAACACAATAGGAGATAAGAAGCGAGAAAAATGGAAATGTTTTTCAGAATGGAAAAAGAAGAAAAGAAATATATTGTTAAATAATAAAACATCGCTGGAAAAAGCTACCAACTGCATTCGAACAAGAGCAACAACTTTTATTTCTTTCAACATTGTTTAACGAGAATTTTTCGTACTTTAATGCACTTCAATAGCAGATGCTTTTTGATAGGCGATCAAATATTTAAATATGTAAAAGTTGAGCACATCAAATTATTTCTATTCAGCGTTTAATTAGATAATCCACTAATAATGTAAATATTGATGCTATGTTTGATGAAATGTTATCCCCAAAATGACCCAAACTACTGCAAGTAATTTATTGAAAATTTCTTTCTTACATTTATTTGTCACTTCTTTCAACTCTAAATTATTTTAGCTGTGAGACGCAAGACCAATTATTTTTGTCTAACAAGATGTTTTACTTTTTTCGACACAAACTAAAAATACACAAAACCAAAGAGCGACTAATTAATCATCAAGCAACACATTCGACAATACATACTTTCAGTTGAGCGAAAAGAAATATTTCAAGACGAGAATGTTTGTTTGAATACCTTCTTCTTATTTATGTATCTCGACGTTTGAAACAGATTTTCAGTCATATTTGGAAACAATCGATTCTTTTGAACAGCAAAAGAAAAAAACTTTAAAGTGATTAAAGGAAAAGCCATTGTTTACAGAGGTGACGAGACGATACCATATAAAAATGCAGCATCTTAACGCCATCGTTTTTTATTCGGTCTCTTTTTTATCTGTTGTTACTTAAAGGAACATAAAAGTGAACATTTCATGAAAGTTAACACGATCAAGTCTAATGTCGTTTGAATTTTCCTTATTGCAAATATTTGCTGGTTCACTAAATCATGAAATAAAAAAACATTTCAAAGGTTGTGTTCACGAATTTTCTTTTACTCTTGTAATGAATCGCCGATGAATTTAATTTTTAGAAGTTCTTGAAATCTGAAATGAGAATTGTTTAATACTTAAAAAGTAACCTATCAAGTCACTCGTATACGTTTATTTTAATTTCATTGTCGAGCGTTTGTGGTTGAAAATATTTCTAAATTTAATTTATTACACTCGTTTAGAAAAATTGATACAAGTGCAGAATGTTTGAGTCTCTTGAGTAAAAAGATGTGAGACAAATGTCTTCAATAGATGCTGCTAAGATGAATAAATTCAACAATTTATTCTAAACTCTTGACACTAAAATCCTACAAGGAGGAACATGGAATTTCGCTACTTACTTGTTCGATACGCTTGAAATATTGGAGTGACAAAATATTCCATGTTTAATTAAAGCATGTGTATAGTCGTGTCTTGAATATTTTTTATAGAAACAATTAATTGTCGATTTAAAGAATAAAAACAGAATGCTCTGATGTCGAGTTAAAATTGCAACAAAATAAATTCACATGTTTATAGCAACATGAGATCATTGAAAAAAAGAATTTAAAAGCTTTTATTTTAAAGTCTAATTACGTAAATTAGTCGGCAAATTTTCTTTCTTCTCGGATTTACTTTCAGTTTACAATAATTGTGCGTCGGGATGCTAAAGCTGTTGTTTTTCAGCTTGTTTCTTTGTTAATAATGCCTAAGCTCGTTCTGTGACTCCATGTTGAAAATTAATTTACGCTACCTTTAAAAGCATCATCGTGCGTACTTAACGAAACTTGTCACTGGTTAAAATAAATCCAATAAGTATTTATCTTGCCTTTTCTCTCCATTTTTCCTTCGGAATGTGTAAATCATGGCTTAATTTAATTTTCAAATACACACTCAATACTTAAGTGCCTCGATTTGTTGTTCAAACTTAAATCAACTCCCAATTATCTACATTTTTGGTGTGTAGAATAAACAAAACCGCCGATAGAGAAAAGTGGTTTTTGTTTGATTAACTCTAGCCAAACAGATTCGACACTCTCTCAAGATGTTTATTTACCAAATAACAGAAAAATATCGGTCGTTGACGAGTCGCTAAGTGACATTCACAAACCAATCTTGGTTTTAGATGATTTCCACCTATTTGGCGTAAGCAAAGTAGAATATTTGTGTTTGAAATGACGAATTCCACAGTTTTCTTCTTTTTAAACTTGCTTGGTCATCTATTAAATATTTTGGAATCTATTAAAGATCGTTCATTGCAGGGTTGTTAATACTCATTAAATTATTTTTTTAATTAATTTAGTTAAATGCTTCAGACATCTTTCAAATTTTCCTTCACATTGAATTGTGGCTGTGAATCTCTCGGAGTTAGATTTATGATCAATGATTGTTCTTGGACTATCAATTCCATTCATTACACTTCTCAGGTACATTACAAGCGAGCGCAGTGAAACTTCTAGAGTTTAAAATCTTAGATATTTAGTTAAAGTATTTCAATATTCAAAAGATAAGAAGAAATAAATTCACTTTTTTTTACTTACATTACTCTTCACATTGGCACCATAAATTCCCATTTGAACAGCTTCAAACACTTCAAAAGCATTCATAATATTAGGGGATTAACAAAGAAAATCGGGAAGGAGCAAAATAAAGTACAAGTGAATGAATAATTTAAAAACAAAAAAAAGCGATCAATTTTCGCCTTAATAAAACACCAGGGTTTTGATAATGTTAACTTTTGAAGACTCGATACGAAAATCTACAACCTCTCTGTATCGAAACAACGAAATAAAGAAACATCAATATAAGTGATGCGGCAACTTACAACAGCAGTATAATATCCCCGAAAAAAAAGTATAAAAATCGATGGAGAGATAAGAATAACATGAAAAATACATTGGGATTTCGCTTCTTCTCGTTCTGTTTTATTCATTCAGAATCTTTTATAGATCAAATGAAACATAATAACAATTAAACAATGTCAATGGCAGCTCACGATAGATACTTAAAATGTTACTTAAATGGTGCTTGTGTTGAAAATCAATAGAAGAACTTCCAAGGCTATTTCCACCCAAAGATATTTTCTTCTTTATAAAGTTAACATGGCTTTTCTCATTTAAATTTAAAAATAATTAAGAGCAGTGAAAAGTCGTTTAACCGTCGGTTGCTGGGAAGAAATCAAGATTTTTAACGCTTTGATATTATTTTTTAGTATTAATCGATAATTCCCAGTGATGTTTAACTTTTCGAGCTTCATGTCTTCGTCTATTACATTGAAACTATTTAACAAATACTTCATGCTATCTCATACAAACTCTTAACATGACTGATTCGCTACTTGAAACATTGCATTTGGATATGTTCTTTGTATAATGGATTTACAGACTTGTAAGAAATTTTCCACTACATGCCATAAAAGAATAATTTTCTTAAACATAGAGGAATAAAAAATGGCAAGCTAACTTTCCTTTAATCTTTTCATACAGACGAGATGAAGTTATTATTGCACTCTAGACAAATGTGTTCTTCATCCAACTTTGGTAGTTAAAGCTTAAAGCTAATAAGATAATTTCTTTTATGTTTTCCACTGATATTTATTCGTTTTTCACAATTTCTTAATGGGACAAAAACCAAGAATCAATTCGTAGCTAAAGATTTATTTAACCCTTAAACTTTTCATTAAATAAAATAATTATAAATCATTTGGAATGCTTGTCTGAATAAACTTCAAATATAAAAAGGTTTCTAAATTTAAATAAGAAAAATTTACTCGGTTACTGCAAGCAATCAAGTTTTTAAATCATTGTTGTAACTACGCTGGTAAGCTTAAGGTTAAATGAGAAACATAAATGTAGTAAATAAAAACATTATGGAAACTGTTCAAACATCAGTGAACATCATTACTTTTTATCCCTGCTTTCACAGAAGAAAAAAACGAAAGAAACTCAATTCAATTGTGTGATGTTTTCTGCTGTTGTTTGTATAACTTACATATATTTTCAGGCATATTAAAAAAGCTTTCGAGCATAAGATGAAACTTTTCTGTGTTCAGAGATTTCAGCGTTTAGATGTTGAAGGAACACATACCAAATAAAAGTGAACTTTTATTAAACGCGTAAAAATGTTCGTGGAAAATATACGATGTGGGCGTGGCACGTTTTTATGCTTCTTTCGTTCACATGCCACCACATCTACACCACATGTTTTTAGATGTATTTGAGCTCAACATAATTTCTCAACTTGCTCCTTTTCACTCTCTCTCTCTTTCTCCTACTCGTAGATTCTCTCACTTCATGTTTTATGTGCTTTAAATACATGTAGAAAACACACGTTTTCTAATCTTTGCTACTTGCTATGTGTATGTAATATGAAAATCATAACAATTTGTAGAACTAGAGAAAAATATCGACTTACACAAAGTGTTCAGTTAATAAATGGAAAATTTACTGCTCTGTATGAAACATTCTATAGTGGGAGCCTTTAATTTTGATTGAACGATTACATTTCTTATTTTTATTGCATCTGGAAAGAAATTCTGGATACTTAAAATCTGTTTTTATGTAAAATGACTTTAATAACATGTTTTGTAGCGAATAACATGTTGTGTGAAAAGTTTAAACATTGAAAATTTAAACACCTTAATTTCATGTTCAATTCGACTCGCAACAACTTAATTAGTAACATCTTTTTATTTCTTTTTTCATTGTTCGTATCATGCTGAATATAATTCGCACTTCTCTTCGCACTAAAATGTTTGTTTGTAATCATCATGTCAGAAAGGAAAGAAAGAACATTTCTGTTGAAATCTGAAATTAAAGAATTGTTTTTATTTGGAAATTCAAATTTTAATTTAAAACAATCAAAGAGAAGTTTCTTTAAGTTGTAATTTGTGTGTTGTTTATACATTTATAATTTTTTATGATACTTTTAAAGCATTTATGAATGCTAAACTAAATTTTATCATTCTTTCTCTCTCCTTGATAACATAACGCCAATTTCATGAAATAAAAAATGTCAAGCTTGAGAAATTTAAAGAAAATCGATTGTCGACTTTATTGTGTCTTTGTGCTTGCAAAATAGGGTGAAACAGGCTTTACCACTCTACCACTCGACTAAAATCTTCTTGCTTCACAACACAATAGAATGAAAATCCCCCATTGGCACTTTGTTTGATATGTTTCTGTATGTAACATTTTGTCTCCGCACTTGTATCCATGCTTGCTTTGTAATACGCACAATATATCAATAAATCACATTGTGGAAAGCTCGTTCCCGTGATAATGGCTTTAAGGAAAATCTTTTGCCTTCGCGTTTCAACCCCTTTTCAAATATTATTGCGAATGATTTCATTTTCATAATGTTTCCATTTTTTTATTGACTTCCAATAGAGTTAAATTGATAAAATTGAAAAAGTTCACTGACGAATGGTTCAATTCAATCTAACAACTCCCCAAAGCTGAAATCGATGTTGAAAATTTCTTTTCATGAGTATTCGCCCTCTCAAATTTAAAGACTGAATTGAGTTTAGAATGCTGTGCAACATATCCTAACCCCACAAGTCAATCCTATATACAAAACGAGTATGTTTAACACGCTTTCGACATTCTTTACATCGAGCGATTCGACTTTTGATTTTAGTGTGAGATTTTAAAATCAAAGATTTAGTTCTCCAAGAAAAAGGGTTTTCCTTTTAATGCCTTAGCAATTGTTTGGCTTAGTATCTAGAAAGTTTACATGAATAAAATTAATATCACATTGTTTGTTTCTGTGGGATTTTCATGCCTACATTTAACATTTCAAAAGCATTTCTAACTTCGCTGTAAATATTCACCTGGGATTATCCAGAGATGGGGAAATACTTGAGAGTTAAGGATTCAATCTAAAACATGGAAGATGAATTAAAAAACTTTCAAATAAAATGTGTGTGTCACTCTACACTTAATAGACAACTGTTCAGATTCCCTTTAATCAATATCTAGGACATGAAATGAGATTTTTTTATTTTAAACCAGTAGGAATATTTTTGAATGAAGTGTTTAACAAATCCACAAGAAAAGATGTTGCCATTATAAACGGAATATAAGACTAAACCATCCCTTTTCAGTGAAACATCGCGAGGGTAAAAATATTAAAATGATTTATCAAAAAGAATGAAATTCGTGAATTTTAATAAAATTTGCATGCAAGGAACTGAAGTTCTTTAAAACTCTTCATAACGATGTGTCAATTAAATAACTACACATATCTACATTGTTATTTAATAACATTTTTTTGCTTTTAAAATCTGCTTCCTTGAAAGATGGCAACATATGTTGTGAGTGTTAATGCTTTAATTTATTTAAAGTTCCATGAATATTTTCTCTAGAATTTTAAAATATAAAATTTTGTAACTTTTTTCGAAACAATAATTTTGTGTAAAAGGGTTCGAAATGTTGAACGAACCTCTTTTTGCTAATACACCGTTAACAATTGATTAAAAAATGTTTTCGGCAGACGCATTAAAAATTGAAACATGTATCACACTCGGTGGATTAGGGACTTGAAGAAAGTTCTAACTAAGAAGTCGACTTCCATGTAATTGTGCCGAAATCAACTGTAGCTGCTTTCTAATTAAATTTTATGTTTTTCCTTTTTCCACTGAACACGCACTCGAACAATTCCGTTCTTGATTTGTCGTGTAACTTTATGCCATAGCAAATCCGTTCAAAATTTCGACATGATGTCACATTAAAAACATTCAACATTACAATCACTCTAAAATGAACAGAATTGAGTGTGCTTGGGATGAAAAATTCATATATTTTCATAAGCCCACCCGTTTTCTCTAGCTCGTTTTGCTCTGCACATAACAATAAATTATGCGTTATGAGGCCAATATTTTGCATCATTGATCCTCACGACTTCTATCAAGGTTTAAGCCCCATGAAATTTCATGATTCGAAGTTTTATGGTTGAGAGGTATGATGAAGTCAGAAGCGAAGTTTTGTACATTTTTATATTACGCGCGCTTTGGATTAATATTTTTCCTTTAAAGATTTATTATTTATATTTATTTACGCATTACGAACACAGAATTCTCACGAGTGAACAAAAGATTTATGTCCATCTTAACATGATTGTAACAAGTTTCTTTTTTTACAAATGACAAACTGAACTTCATCAACCTTTTAATTAAATTCATTGCAATTTCGATTCAATCAAATTTTCACAAGATAAACGAATTATGTTGGTGAGAATTGAGTTGTTTTATTTTTGCTTATCTTCGCGATGAAGCAACTAAAACGAACGACAGAATCATCATGAATGTAAATAACGTACATGTGCACTTTGTCAACTTGAGTCCCTAGTCAACGTTTGACTCTAATCCGCTATCATAATCTTTATCACAATTCACAATTTCATTTCCATTTCCCCTGCCTCACATCACTCTTTGCCTGGCTTGGCTTTTCTATTGATGAGTCCACTAGAAATGAATCTAATTTGAAGTTGCAAGAACTACATGTGTAAAAAAGAAAAGGGGGAAAACATAAAAGTCAAAATAGATATTTTGCTTCGTTCTCAGTAGTGCATGTGGACGTAAAAACAAGGAAAATAACAACTAATATTGAATTTTCGAAAAGGTCACGTGCACAGTATTAATAAAAATAATATCTTGTGACTTATTTGAAGATATAATTATTCGTTTCACTCAACTCTCTGCGTAATATTCCTAATCAGAACATAACAGGGGGTTGTTGATGGCGGAAAGGATGAAAGAAAGAACCAACGAAAGAGCATTCATCGTATTGTATTTAAGAGATTGGGGTGTATTCGTTGCAATAACATCACCACCAAAAATTTGTGTATGCGTATGCTAAATGTAAACATCATAAAATCATAATTTATTCCAGTCAAACGCCGCTTTTATCTGTGATAAAAATATCAACCGAACGATGCTTGCAAACATTGTTTACCTTACAATCTGCACAGCACAGTTTGAACAAGCGGCCAAACGCAATTTTTTTTCTTTCTTCTTATGAGTGAGTGTATGAAGCCTTTGACGCTTTTGGTTTACCTTTTACGGATGGTTTCGTAATATCTAATAAAGCAAAGTATGCAATAAATTTATTATTCATTTATATTTTTCTATCCTAATCTTTTGTTTATATTTCTCACGCTTTGCGAGTTTAGGACTTTATTAAACATTCGCTTCTGCAATTGAATGTTGTTATGTTACTGACGTGACAGTTTTTCAACTCAAAATTAAGTGAGTAAATATTTTTATCTCCCTCGCATAAGCGTTATTGTTATTATCATCACCTAAAATAAACAAATTGTGCTTAAATTTGAAATTTCTATTCATGATTTAATTGTTCAAGGAATTGAAAACATTTAAGAAAGTGTAATTAACATTGTTCTAACATTAAACTCGAAATCATCTTTATTATTATGTGATTAAGAAAGTGAGTCTTGTTTCAACTTTCTGCAACCCTCAATCTTATAACAAATTACCGTACGAATAAATAAATATTCACCAAATAGGAAATTGATTTACACAGATTCAATTAGTCGTGACAAGTTCATATTTATACCGATATAATGTATGTATGAACACAGATTTCAACTCTCCGTCTAGCCGTTTACAAAATCACTCAAATGCGACGACCATGAAATTAATTGTCGATTTTCGGACACAACAAGAATGCAGAAGTAATCGGCAATTACAATAAAATCAAATAAAATCAGCAAAAATAATAAACGACCGACGATAATTTAATTTGTGAACGTTGGGATGTCGTTGAAATATGGGCGAGTAGATTGAATGGGAATGGTCAACCACAATTGTAACCAAAACCACTATCTCAGCAGTAAGCTCAGCTCACACTATATGTATGAAAAATTCCAAAAATCTTTTGACATTTTAGAAAAGCCTTTAGATACGACATTTATTTTCGTCGTAGCAATTAATAGACGATAAATCTGAAAGAGAAATATGAATTATGGCTCGATGATGTTGTAATGGGTCAAGCCTTTACGACAAAAAAAAGCGACATACATGATCATGATATTTAAATTCCCAAGCATTTGTGGTTTGAAATTTCAAATAAACTGACGTAATCTTTACCCACTGATGTTCATTTATTTTCCCTCTTGTTTTAATCACATAACATACCAAAGATTTATGATTTCCTTCACTCAATTTGCTTATTTTCCTTTTTTGCTTTCGTCTGTCTATGCTAATTATGTTTCTGATGTTGGAAATTAATGGTTAGATGAACTGACCACCAGGATTTGATTTCAACTATCAATATTTAATGATAATGAAATATCTTAAACAAGTATCAATTGAATGGAAATAATATTCGACGAAAATCATATTTAATGGTTAACTCGAGGTTTTTTTTATTATAAAACAGACATTTTTATAAATCTACGAAAGCAAGAAAAAATACAAAACTGATGATGTCATCTTGGCAAAAATCACACAAAAGATTCTTTAATCCGATGAAGTCGATTCAAATCACATTACTCCGTCTTTTATAAGCACATATAACACAATTTCACTCCATTCTTCAACGACAATTTATCACTGTTGAACATACAAGAAAAAAATACAGAAGAGTGTCTCGTTTCGAGAAAGTGCAAACGAATAAATAATGGATGGTTATACTTCAGTGTAACTTTACTTAAATTGGGATTAATCGTCAAATGTGAAGCATGTTTCGCACTCAGCCATCCTGAGGGCTTGTAATAGAAAAAAGGGTTCAACATAATATGAATTTAACGAAATGATCTCATCATAAAATTCGATTATAAAGAAATAAACAAGAATATTGTTTTGAAATTAGCTCAATTTCCTTTGCAATTTTCAAGATCGATTACCAAACGCTAAGAATTGGATGAGAAGAAGAAAATATTTTCCAACTAATTGTCGCTTCGAGGTTTATTGACAAGGAAAACTTTTAAAAAATTCCTTTACAAATTCCATTATTAATTAATAGTGTTGACAATAAAGTGTTAACATGAAACATATCTGATTCACTTTTATGTTGCACACACGTTCATTTATTATTTAACATAAATATTTATTTCAAAGAATTTTCCTGCCCAACCTTACAATAAAAAATTGAGGGTGGAGGTTTAAAGAATCGTGGTTGGAAAGAGGGTGGTTGAAGAAGCAGCAAAAAACTTTATCGTCGGGGATAATAAAAAACAGATCACATTTAATTAATTTGCTATTATGAATTTGCCGCGCACGTCTTGATGTCTTGGGCAGGGGTTGTATCTGTAATTAATGGAAATTGTGATAAACATAACGATTGGGAGTCGACAGGCAATTTTGCTTCAGAAAAATATCTGAATGATGATCAACACTCGGTTCTCTCATTCCATCGGACGTATTAAAATAATATTTAGACTATGATATCGAAGCGTTGACAAGTGTCACTGGCACGTGATCTCAAGAATTGACTTATCCAGTCTTGTGTTGTTGTGTTTACTCAATAGACGTATGCAGTGAGTGTGATTTTATTAAAAACGCTACAAAATAAAGCAGAAACATTTGTATATCATTTCAACATCACATAACAGCAAAAGCAAACAAATTTGTTGATGTGGGGGTGGGAAAAGAGCGAAATAAAACGAAAAAACCTTTTTGATGTATAAAAATTAATATTGCTTTTTATTTGTGACATACATCATCAATTGTGCAGATACGATTGGCATTTTATGAGTTGTATCATTTGAGTCAGACTTCACTTGAGCCAAAACAAACACTTTCCGTGAATGCTTACATATTCAGTGAATATTTATCAAGTCGAGAGAGATGAAACGAACAAAAACAGGAAGACAAACAAATGAATATCTTTTGAGGATGTTGAATTTTCATAATTAATTTGGTTTTTGCAACAACGAAGAGATATTTGGTGAGCTCTTAATGTCATGCAAGTCTACATAAATACTCGAATTTATGAGAGAAGGAAAGTGAATTAATAAAATATTTTAATTTCAATATGGTTGGAGAATTCAACGGTAAAGTATGTTTAGTTACCACGATTGCATTCAATTTCATGAATATATTAAACTCATTTTATGAATGTGACATACCAACCAATACACGTGTTGAAGCTTGTTACGAAGGCGAAATGATGATACTTATCATGTTGGCGGATTATGCTGAAATTAAAATATGACAGTTGTTCAAAGCGCAAAGTTATGTTTTCATGCATAAAACTTCATGTTAGCTATTCGAGGAATATTCAAATGTCAAATGGGAATAGTACGGATGGGAATGCATTAAGCTGTTAATTTTACGAAGCGATACCGTTTTCCATCAAACGATAGAAGCTCTTAACGAGTCGGGGAAAGAGATAGAAATGTAATAAATATAAATGTTATTTGCAGTCAGCAATTTCGTCTATCTCGTGAAGTCGTCAAACAAGCGATTTCAATTCACCAAAAATTAGCATTTTTCATTAGGATTCTATGAAATGGCATAGCAAACTCTTCATTTCGCATTGCAATTCCCTGTTCTCCTTCGGTGAAACTATCACAAAAACTGTAACCGTCAAGCACTTGACAATTTGCAATTCAAAGTGTTCATTTACTATGCGATTTTGTTTTAAACTTTAGGAGAAAAATAATGAAAGTTTTATTCTCATTAAGGTCGGCTGTGAATATGTTTGATATGTTGGAAAGATTCCTCCACTTTACCTTAATAACAAATTAAATAACGAAAGAATCTTCAATCACCTACAAAGGGTGCGTTAAATTAAAATTCTTCATTCTCTTAGATAGCATAAAAATTGTGGGAAGATGCAAATAAAGACGGAAAGTCAATTCATGAAGGATGATTGCTTTTGTGACAATGTTTTGTCTTTATATTATTTTTCAATCACAATTTGAACATATCTAAATATGTATAAGAAATGAGATGAAATAAAAAGTCAAAATGAATTCATTTCAAGGCATAATATTCACACCCCATGCTTCCTTCATCTCTCCGAATAGAATGCCTGTAAAAATTGTCAACGATAAGAAGTTGGTACATTGAGTATAAGGATAATAAATAATAGAAAGGTTATAATGGATCTAACAGAGAGAATTTATTTTATTTTTGAATAAACGAAGAGGCAGACAAGAAAAAAATATGATTGATAACAGTATTTGCTGTTGAGTGTTACGGCTATGAGCGGTGTAAAAGAAATGTACATTGAGATTTATTAATTTTCATGCTCTTCTGCCTCCTTGAGAAAGGTGTAACAACGAGGGCGAAATGCTTGTTTAGCAAGGAAAAGTCAAGATTTATCGAAACAATTCCCCAAAGATTCAAGTGAGAAATGAAACGGAAGGCATCAACGTTGTAATGATTCCACTCATTTTTCTTCTCGATGTTAATCATGTAAATACCTCAAATGATGATTAATACGTTGGGCCTTTCTTGGTTCATGATATCCTCAGAAAATTGCATTTTTTCATTTTTTTTCTTTGCGCTTGTATTCCTGAGAGATTTCAGCATCATAAGTCAAAGTCTTTGATGATGACATGAGCGAATAATCAAGGTCATGATGACTTCATTTCAAGACATAAACATTAAAAGACTTTGACACATCGTGACATGCTTCAGTTTCTATCAAGCATAAAGAAGAAACTTAAATATGCAATGAATTTCATATGAATGTACGTCCTTGTTGTCCACATAACTTCATCCCGCAAAGAATTTCGTAATAATTTTTTGTTGTTGTTTGATCCCCGACGTTAACTTTAGAATGAGGGGTCGAAATATACCAGAGACAGTTTTTATGATGTGCTTACTGGAATTTGCACTTTATGTCATGCTTATGATTATTTTTAATATTAAGAATGAAGTAAAAGTGACACCGAAAAATATTCACAAATGACATGAGATCATCAATCAAATGATTCACGACTTTCCGTGTTGTCATATTTTCATTTAAATTAAATTCTCACTTGCCATCGTTTTCCATCAAAAAAATGCTTTAATAAATGTACGGGAGTGATGTTTAATAATGACGAGCAGGGTTCGAGATTGACTTTAAATTTTTAATTAAGTCAGAAAATTTTCAAATAGATGAGTGAGTGAGGTTCGAAAATTATTCAAACTTTTGATAACTTTTTCATACGAAAACAAGAAAAATTCATGTGTGTGGAAAGTTATTTAAACTTTAAATCGATTAATTGCTTACATGGAAATTAATGAAAGACGAAAAAATCCTTTTTCCTGCTTTAATTTTAAAAGATTTTTAAAAATTTACCTTTGTCTGGTTTTTGTTGAAGTTTACAGGAAATTTTTCAGGCGCTACTTGAAAAAAATTAGAAAGAATTGACAAAATAAGAGTTGGATGAAAGGTACATGAAGGATAAACGCAATCAGTCGTCAGTAGAATTCAAAATAAATTCTTTCTCTTACATTTCTGTTGCCAATGAATCTTTTCAGGTGTAAATTGTGTTTGAGTCATTTTTTGTTGTTGCACACAAGAAGCGTAAAAACAAATTTGATGAATTTCTTGTAAAAGAGAGAACAAAAACATGAGCATGGTCTTCAGTCGTCTTCAGTTAAATTTCATACATTAAAGGAGTCGAACGGTTTATTATTGATTTTCTTTCCCATCTTAGCAGTGTGAATGATTTAAGGAAAATCGATCATTATGTGTTGTTCGTGATTTTTTTCCGTGATGATGAACATAAACTGAACTCGCAACAAGCAGACAATGCAAAAAGTTGTTAAAAAGAAAGATGGGGAAAGAGAAATGATTTCGGGAAACAGTAAAAAAATCAGAAGAATAATGTGGCATGCGCATTGTATCGAAAAGGCAAGGCAAAGAAATACTTTTATGGAAAAACACAAGATTAAGAATCATAATGGACGAAATTAAAAAAGATTTTTCATAGTCTTTTGAGTGACGCATAAGACGTAATCACATTCAATTACAGCTCCGTCTGTTACTCAACGGGGAGCAAGTGAAAATCGAGGGTTGTCTGGTATGGAACAATGATGCTTAGTTCTCCAGTCAGTAACATTGGGAAGAACACGAGTGGCAACAAAATCCTATTGACACCCTACTCGACTATGCTGTAGATGCACGGGTGTCTGGTTATGTGTTTTATTACGCTTCGAACTAACATGCAGTGCTGTCATGTTTATTCTACAAGTGAGACTCGCTGTGCATTACGATTACAGTGAAGTTCGCTCTTTCATAAGAATATTCGCTTTGCAAGAAGTTGTAAGTACTAAAACTCGAGCAAATTCAATAAAATCAAGTAACGAGACAATTTTCTTGATTCCGTCTCAAGGATTTTGTTATTTTTTTCTTTTGTTTTCTTCTCTCTTGCTGCCAACAAATCATTCTTCTTTGCCTTTTCTCTCTGCATGAAATATCTAACAACAACCACATTGCTATAAAAACAACATAAAATTTACACTGCGAACTTGTGAGCTCGTCGTAATATAAGTTAAGGAAATTTATTTTGTTTTGATGGTCCACCCAGAAATTTTCAATTGGAAGCTGTTTCATGAACAAAAGCTTCTTCAAACTAATAATATTAAATCCCATCCTCCTATGCAGTCAAACAAAGTCAAATGTTATTCAGTGTGGAAATTTTATATTCTTCAGTACACTGAAAACACATAAAATTCGATATAAAAACGATACTTTTCCTTGCTGTTACATTTTTCGTGACTACACATTCACCAGATCTCTACAAAATAAACCAGTGTTTTGTTGTATAGAAAAATTGTCCTTGTTATACTCCTAATACAATGTCGCAAACGGAAAAGGCAATACGGCTATGGGTGGTTGAATCAACTTGATTGGTATGAGAGACGCTTACATAATAAAATGTTCAACTTTATCTTTTTCTAATATAAACAATAAAATAACAAAAATAACAGGAAAGTTTTCCACCGAAGAACTGAGGGTGGAGATTGTGAGCGAGCAAGAAAGGTAAAGTGTGAGTGCCGTTGGAAATGGTATCAAATAAACATCAATTTTTCATTTTGTTTTCACTTGTACGCTAGCGGTTTTGAGCCATATTCTTTGAGTTCCATGACTTCCACCCCTAGCTTCCGGGGAGAATGGTTTTTTGATTGTAGAGGGCTGTGAATAAATGGAAAAGTGTGAAAAATCGAAGAAAATTTCTTTCTCTCTCTCTCTCTCTTTTTCGATCCCTTCGTCATAAAAAAGTAGCAAGAAAGTTTATTATTAAAAACATATTTTCTAGGATAAGTTGTAATCGCAAACAAGGTTTCGGTATGGACGTAAAAAATGTTGCTGATGCACGCAATTCTTATCAATGAGGGGGATGTGGTGAATGTATACGAATCAAGATTCTTTATTGTTTAGGAATTTTGTTAAATTGTTTTTTTAAATCAAATTTAAAATGAATCATTTCGAATAAATTGATAAATTTTCCTATTTCACGAGTTTTCTTTTTTGGTAGTTGTAAGTTACGACACAAGCAATATGTTTCATTTTATTAATTTAAATGAGCTCATTAATTTGCTGTCACTGAAAGGTGAAGAACATCAAGTGATATTAATCAGTCCTTTATATAAATATATTGAATGTAAGATTGACATCAGTGAAGTTGTTAACAAGAAAATTCTTCCCGCCTTTGTGCGATTGATAAAAATTATACAATTTTAATTCTAGAGCTGCAAATGTTTTTTTTTCTTTTTTAGTTTCGAGCAGTCCATTAGGTCGAGTGAAGTCGTTTGTTTAAAAAAAAAAGAAAGAAAGAAAGGCAGAGAAGAACGTGAAAACGCTGTCAAAGATAAAACGATGAGACTAAATGTGCACAAGTGTGATGAAGAGTTGATTGTTGTTTCCGAAAAACGCAGAGAATAAGAATAAAAAACATTCTTATTGAGCGGCAGGTGCCTTCGGGGCTTATCTTTAGTAGGCCTCACTCGTGTATCACAATGAAAAGTGTATCAATAATAAAACGAAAATATACATTTAGCTGAAAGGGATTATTATCAAATATAATTTAATTAAAAGTTGAAGAATACTTCAATGCATTTCGCACAACAACATAAAAATATTTAACAACATTTTTAACGATGCAATTATTTAACATTTTTCATTTGTACATACACGTGCGTTCACATTCACAACTCATCTTGTGACTCTTGATTTATTGTCATGCTAAATACTGCGCAAAGTAAATGCCGTACAATTTTCTGGATAATTGCAATGCTTTGCTATAAAATCTAGCAACCATAAGTTTTTAATACCTTTCCATCCATTGTTCTTTCTGGATAATAAATTTTGAAATAAAATATGCAAAACCAGAGAGAGAAAAAAATTGCAGAAAGTGTTTTTATGCTACTTTCAAGTAATTTACCAGTGCTTGGGATCATGACCGCCTCAACATAATAAATTGCATTGTATATCATAACCACGACTATCTACCATGTCAATCTTCCAACAACCATTCTTAATGTTTGTTGAGTAATGGAAGAAGCCTTTTTCTTCTTCTTCTAATACTTAATTCCAGTTACATACATAAATGTATATATACATGTAAGTATTTAAGTGATACAAACAGTTTCATGGTATGCGGTTGAAAGCCATTTTTTTTCGACTTTACATTATTGTCACGCTTGGGTTGTTATCAATTAAAAATTCATTCATTAACTTTATCTCTCCATGTTCATGAAGAATAAAAATGATGACTTTTAAAGTGCCTTCTCACAAGTGAATGGTAATATTTATCTGACAAATATAAACTTTTCGCCACATGTTTTTTTTTCTGTTCTTCTTCAAAGTGTATATGTCTTAATTACCAAACAAAACAAAATTCTTTCTCAACCGTTTCTGAAAGCAAATGCTCATAAAAGTTTCATAACTTTTTGAAGAAGAACAACGAACATCGCATAATCTCCGTGTTTCACAACGAAAACTTTTCTCCAAAATAACAACATAAAGAGTTACATCCCGAAACAACTTTAGAGATATATATTATGCCCGCTCGTAAAATAAATAATTAAACAAAATGAAATTAAAGTTCTTAAAAGCAACAAGGCGTTTATTAGTTTTTATGATATCTGTTTTGTTTTTCGAATTATTACCAGTCTTCTCCTTTAACGCCCTCAAAACTTTATTTATTCAGCACTGAGAATGAAACTTCTTGTTGTCTTTTGAAAGCCACAAAGGAAATGTTTGTATTCATAGCTCGTAAAATTGCTGAAGCGCAGATGATTGTTCCAAGCTCACTGATCTCTAAATTTATTATTGTCAGTTAAAAATTCTCAATCACTTTGATATTTAGATGCGCAACAGAAAAATGTCAATTTCTCCCTCTCTGTGTAAATAACGTCGCCATATCGTCATGAAAAGCATACACGAAAAAATAAAAAGACGACGAGTGCTTCCACATCAAACATGTATGATAACAAATTCTACATGGTGAACAAAAGGTTTGGTTCACATAGGATTCAATTTATCGGATCATCTTCGTTTAAATTCAAAAGTATCCACTGTTGAATAAAAAATGTGATTTTTCTTTTATTCAAACACGATTTTCCTGTTGGAAATATTCAAAACTTTTGATTCCAATGATATTGAAATAATATCAGAAGAAGATGGAACTGAAGTGGAATTTACATTAAAAATAAAAAAGTTCAAGTGATGCTTAAATCTGATTGATGCTTGAACTTGACTAATAATTAGAAAATATTTTGTATTGCTAAATAAACACAGATTTTTAAATAACTTTCATTAGTCTAAGTAGAATGAGAGTACAATCAACTTACATATGTCGAATAGAAATTTCAATCTGATATCATAAACCGCAAATCATTCAATCAATCGATTGACGTTTATGGATTGACGATCTTAATGGGCAATTATCAACTGCAGTCGATGCATCAATACAAATCGGCCATTTTCACTAGAATCACGATATAAAAGTTATCATTCATCATTTCAGTGGTGGTGTTTGAACACAAATAGTCACTTTAATTAACAACAAACAATATATTTTCTCATGAACATTATTCACAAGCCCAAAAATGTGGAACATATGTAATTACATTTTAATTTATCGGGAAAATTCGTATCAGCAATATTTAGTGGAGTATAATTAATGACATGTTTGTACTTAATAAAACAAGTATTGATAACACTAATCAATTGTCATTATATGTATTGTGGAGTCTTGTTCACATGATAACAACATTGTTGTTCGACAAATTTTCTTGTTTGTAAATTTTTCTTTTTTTAGATGAATGCAAAAAATGTTCAAAATATTTTCCATCAAAAGCAATGAATATTATTACGACATTAAATCTTATTAGAAAGTTCTGCATAATCCTCCCTAATTACGTTCAAATTTCCATCATAAGAAAATGGCTAACACATTTTTAAATTAACCGAAGTGGATATTTAAATGTTGCTTGCGCTTGTAGCAATGCGATAATTTTTAAGCAGTTCTTATTATATTAAAATTAATGAGAGTTGGGACTCATTCTTTAGTTATGTCTTATCTCTTTTCAAAAAGAAGAAGAAGAAAAATGATTCAGACATTAAGTAAATAAATAAAAACGGAGCCCTAAGTTAAACATTTAACCCGTTTCAGTAACCCTCGTTATTATTTTTCCAGTCGTTAAATACATAAAATTTCCTCATCTTCTCCACCAAATTGATAAAGATTTTCTGATGTTAAATGGTTGAGTTCTATGTACATCTATCAAGAAAGGTATATAAAAAAGCAGAATAAACTTTTATTCTTGGTCGAGTTGATTAAGTATGAAGTGAAATTTAAAATCTTTCCCGGTCGTGTACGCATACACCAATAATCCTTAATAAAATGGGCTTGCTAAGAGAAACGTCTAAAAACATCGTAATTATCGTTTATATTAATCATAATTTTGTTTTCAAAGCAAAGTTCAAGCTGATGGGGAATGTAGACAATCCCGCACAAGTAACAATGTATAGAAGGGAAAAAAGTGCTACTCATGGTGTAATGATGTTATTCTTTGAGATCAATTTTATCTTCCGAAACTCAACACCAACAGTCAGTCCTTATACAAAATAAGTATTGCTTACTAATAAATAAATGAAGACAGAACGATGCCGTTGTTTGAAATGAAAACATATTCATTTGGAATTAAATTAAGCAAAACATGTTATAAGAACGAGAAAACAGATTTAAGCTTTATATTGTACAACATTCTGTAAAGAAAAAATGTCACGATGACACTGCAAATACATCTAATAATTCATTCACAAAATTGTACAAAATCAAATGGTAATGATTTTAAGTTAAAACGAATCTGATTGTTACAATATGACTGTGGGTGATGAATGAGAAGCTTAATTGATAAATGTTTCGTCAATCATGAGCTAGTAACAAGAATTCACATTTATTGTGGGCAGGCAATAGAAATTACACACTCAATAAAAATTCTGACTCTGATGTTATTGTAAGAATCATTCTAGTTGTGTAAACATTCGTTGTTAGGTGAAGATTCATGACAAGAAGAAAAATTAGCAATTCATTCATAGAGTCAAAGACTGTGAATTTCTACAACATCATGTTCGATGTTGAATGCTGATTGAATCACAAAAAGCATCAAGTTTTGAACGAAAACATGTGTCGAAATCTGAATTCATTCAAATACGTTTGCTGAATCAATTGAAGTGTGTTCAAAATTCAGGAATCACAAAAAGGAGAAATATTTTAAATATTTATTTAATGTCGATTCATTTCTACCAATGATAGAGTTGAATATTCCAATTGTTAGCTCATTAACCAACCTTTGATAGTTTACATATGTTTGTTGATCTTTTTTTTATTTTTGCGGTAAATTATAAAAAGAAACTTTCAAATTCAGACAGTTGGGAAAGGATGGAAGGTTAATGAACAAGCAAGCACAATAAGTTGGCAATAAATATCATAATTTCCCCATGATTCTTTCACTTTATCTATTGTTATGCTTCATTTTTTTTAATTTCAATTCAAACACAAAGACATTATTCAAAGTTTGTTATGACTGCCATCGTTAAACGTAATGCAAAACTTCATTCCTACATACATAAAAAGCATCATCAGCATTTATTTCTTCCATTTTCATTTATTATTTCTTTCTTCTCTAGTCCACTTTCGAAAACGGCGACAATAATTTTTTTCTCTCCAACAATTTTTGTCTCGAAGTTTTTCGTTGTTGTGCAATGACATATTATACAGCGAGACACCGCTCAGAGACATACCGCCAAAAGGAGAAGACAACAAATCCAACCAACAATTCCTGAAAGCGACAAAGGCTGCTTACTCCTTTTTTTTTGCTGTTGCTGCTGTGCACGAAGACAACAGTAGACTTATATGAACGTCTGAAATTGTTCATTGTTCCAGCAAATATCATCAAAACAGCATTATTTATTTGATAAAACTTATTATTATTATTTTTACTACATTCACTTCATCATACACGAGAGAATGTGAAATGAATTCAATTCGCACACGGATAATGTAAAAGAGCGCACATAAGTAATGTATGATTGTCGTCGCCAAAGTTGCCTCCTTCCCCTCCCCCACATCAACAACATCTTCTACCATCTACCTTTTGTTTTCGCTGAAAGAGCATTTTATTTTAATTTCAAAATGGTAAAATGAAAACTTTTGTTTGCTTTTACGTTCGAACTTTTTTTTTTATTTTATTCATTCGAGATGAAATGAACTCCACCTTCTCCAGCAGCACCATAAATTTAATGTGAACTTTTACATTTCATATGCAAGCACATATTTATTCGCAATTCGCATACACACGAGAGGTTTTTAATTTCGTTTAATTAAAAAAGATTGTTTTCCGTGTAATAATGTGTCTGATGTGCTCTCGTTCCCAACCCTCGTTCGTACATGAATAAGTTCTACTTTGTGTTTTAAAACAATACAATTAGCGTAATTTCTATTAAATATAAAATTGAATGTTTTATTTGCAGCACCTTGAATATTTAATGGAATTATTTATGGGTCTTTTGACACTCTGAAACAACATAAGAGGTTTCATGCTTTTTAGGCAACTGCCATTGATCAACTAACATCTAAGACGACTACCTAAAAACATCATCAACACGAGAAATAACAGGATTGCCATCAAATGCACCTTCTGCCAGTTGAAATTGATAAAATGAAACTTCACATCATGCCTCGTGAAATAGAAACCGATTTTAGAATTGTTTTATCGATTTTTATTACGATAAAGAAAGGAATATAATTTTTAATACCTTTTCCTTTCAAATAAAACAAAGTGATCGAAAAATAAACAAAGAAACAAAACAGAGAAGCGAATAAGTGGATAAGGTGTGTGTGTGCAATCAGATCAAATCGCTTTCACAGAATTGTCGCTTTCAGGCATCGTTTAGATTCAATTATGACTTAGATGATTCCGATCGATCATGTTACACACAGCAGGTGGTTTGTTCATACAGAGAGTGCCTAAATAAAATTTTATTTTTTATATTTTTCCCATCGAGGTTCATTTGTCTGTAACTCAGTATTCATATCGTATCAGCTAACAATCAACAGCATCAACCGTGTGAGCGCAACTAAATCAACTTTTGATCTTAATTCAATGTTCGTTCATATTACCCCTTGATATTACATTTGAGCATGTTACGAAAAGCATCAGAAAATCTTCCAAATACCGTAACATCGCTATTGCCTTTCCTTTTTCTTTCTCTCCTTCTCAGCCATAATTCCTTATTTGTTAAAAGCTCCGAACTACACATGTTGGAACTTAATAAATTTGTCAAAGTAGTTTTTCCAAGCGTTGAAGGAAAAGGGAAAACACAATGTATTTTCCATCGGAATGGTGCACATAACACAAACAACTTTTATGGCACGTTATGTATGTTTATTGCTTTTATTTTTCCATTTCTCTTCTTTTCTTACTTACTTATGTACCGACACACAACACGATGAAAAATAAATTTTCACCATTTTCTATTTTCTTTTCTTTTGTCATGTTTCGAATTGTTCCAAACAGTAGTGAAAATGCTTTTCCTTCTATCTAAGCTTTCTTTCTTACATATTTTGTACATACAATGTAACGATGACGATGACAACTTATTCTTCTTCAAGATTTGTGTGATGGTCTTCGTGATGTTTGAAAAGTTTTCCTTTATTTTCCTTTCCTTTCTTTTCATTTCTTTTCAATCCGACTAAAAGTAAATTCCAATTCATTCAAAATCATGGATGGAAAAATTCTGATAATAATTCAAATGAGATTTTTTCCTCAATGCATTTGAGTGAACTGATCTTTTCCTTTCATCACGTCTTTCTCTCTGGACATAAGAAAGGAATGAAAGGAAGCAAGAAAAATTATTTTCTTGCAATGTTATCGTTTTGTTTGAGGGTCAGAGTGGATTGAGTGCTAGTTTGAGGAGAATATGCTTCATATAATATTACAATCACGTACGATATTTTGAATAGAAATCAAATGGAAATGTTTTCACCATAAACAAGCTTCCTTGCGGCTGAACTTTATCCGTGATACTTTCATTTGCCCTCAATCAATTTAAAAAGAAAGAAAAAGGATTTTTACTTCTCACATTTGTTAGAAATCTTCAAGAGATTTTCTTCGCTTAGGAATGTTCATAGCAGCATTATGCAAGTGGAAAGTTTTGCAGTTTAAAAGTTTCTTGGGTAAAAGAGAAATGCAAACGGACGAAAACCTCAAACATGTGTACATATTAAAACTTATGAAGAGTTTTTTTAAGCTTAATGCTTGCTAGAAAATCATCCCCAGGCCACAACACATGTCCGAGTAAATGGTTAGTTTCATCATGGTTGGAAATATGTTTTCTGTGGAGCATAGTAAATAATAATCATGCAGCACAAAACCTAATGAATGTAAAATTATGTTGAAAGTTGAGAATTTAATTTCGTTTTTTATTAATTTAAAAAGATTAATTGGCGAAGTATTCTTGCAGTTTATTTAAGTTTCTATTTAATTATAATGCTGTGGTGATTATTTTATAAAATATCTAATAAAAATAATTAATTTCTTAATTTTTTGCCTTTTTGAAATCAACATCGCCATCACCAGCACCGCCTTCACCCTTGCGTTTTGTAATAATTTTTTGTATTTTTTGCCATTCTTGATCAATTTTTTGCATTTCAGTTTTTGTTTTACGAGTTTTACGCCCATCAGACATCTTCAAGCCATACTGGAAGGCGGCCTTTGGTAGAGCTTCCTTTGTACTCATATAATCCGAGTATTCTTCGGGAGTATCGAAATCCCATCGACCAATTGGCCCTTTTTTGTTCCCTTTGTCCATCTTTGTGTAGTCCACTTCGTCATCTGAATCAATAATGGCATCGTCCATTTCTTGCAGTCCCGGATAACATTCAGCATATGAGTCTGGCTCATTAGCATGAAGCTTCGATAATAATTGAGTTGATAACTTGGGTGGTGCTGGAATATTTATCGTTCCTTGTTCACTCTCTTCAACATCATTTGACTTATCAAAGTATGAAGATTTCTTACGACTCGATGAGCTACGTTCATAATCTTCATCATAATCTCTCCTTCGACTATGACGATCACTTCGATTTCGATAACGGTCTCTGTCTCTGTCGCGTTCTCTATCGCTTCGTGATGGTTTATAATCGCCAATATCTCCATAAATTGAATCCTCAGTCTTACGACGAGACTTCGAAGACGATTCTGAAACTGTCTTTGCATTATCCACCGGATCTTCAGGAACTTTGAAAACTCCTTTTTCACGTTTCTTATTCTTTTTCTTTCCACCTTGACGCAAATATGAGAAGATTTGTGTTAATTTATTGACAACAATGTCATTGGTGTTCAACGTGTTGAGCTCTGCTGAAGCTTGTGTTTCCGCTTTTGAGCGTATTATTGTTGTTGGTATGTCAGTTTCAGCATTTTCATCTTCAAGTTCAACCAAATATGCCATTCGACCAGGAACAAACATTTCATTTCGCTCGATGTTTTTGGAACGTTGAATTGTTATCAATCGATGAATATTTTTACCCAACACTGTATGAATCTCTAAATCATCAGATTCATTTCTCTCTAATTCAATTTTTTCAATCGCTTTTTCAGCAATCTTCTCATCGACAATTTTCTCCATTTCAGTTTCCTGAATTTGCTCTTGATGAGTTATTTCACTGCGAACCTTTTGAAGCAAAGCATAATCTAGACCTTTTACTAAATGAGTATGTTGCAAGTCACCACCCAAGAACTTTGATTCTTGGATCAATTGTCTTCGACGTTCTGCAGTGTCAATTCCACTCTTTACATCTGGCGCTACGGCTCGATATCCGGAAGTTGAATTTCTGGCATCATTCTGAGTGTAATCAGCATTAGCTCCTTCTCGTCTTTCTTTTGCTCTGTCGCGATATTTTTCAGAAAGTTCAGATAGTACGTTATCTTCTGATTTCTTCAGTTCTGAAGATGAATAAAAGAAATTTATGAGAAGAATTCAACATCCAGACAAAATTATTAAAATACTTACGTGCATAAAAATTCTTCTTTTTTCGGCGTGCATCATGCTTTTCAGAGCTTTTCTTAGCAACAGATGTTGATGCTTTAGCTGGAGTTGCTGCAGAAGATGCTGTAAAATATAAAATTGATTTAATAATGTGTTTATCTTGTTTGAAAATTTTTTTACATTTTGCTCCAGAAGCTAAAAGTTTTCGAAAGTCATCGTTTGTCAAACGTTGTGTGCCTGGTTCTTCCATAATTGTAACTATTTATTTTTGTTTATTTTTGAATAGATAATTCAATAAAGACTTTAAATATTTTCTTTCAATTTTTTTTTGTTATTGTTTGAATCGGTTTTTTGAATCAGCGTAGTTTCGAGGGGTACCGACTATAACCGGTTTTGACTTCGATTGCAGCAGGGGTATGAAATCATTTTTTATTTATAAAAGTGTGAAGATACGAATTTAATTTAATTAAATTGTTATTAAAGAAATAATGTCTGAAGCACCAAAACCAATTTACCTGAATCTTTCAGCTGATGATCCTGATTTGGGAACAACAGAAATTGAATCAATGTGCATGAATTGTCATAAAAATGTAAGTTTCTAGAATATACGAAATTCGCCACATGTAATTCATGTGTTTTCTGTTTTTAATTTTATTCTAGGGAACAACAAGATTACTGCTTACAAAAATTCCTTTTTATAAAGAGATAGTGTTGATGTCATTTTCTTGTGATCATTGTGGCTTTCAGAATAATGAAATTCAGTCTGGAGCTGAGATTCAACCGAAAGGAATAAAATTAACTTTAACAGTGAAAGATGTTACAGATCTTAATAGAAGAATTGTAAAATCTGACTACAGTGCTATAAGAATTGAAGAATTAGATTTTGAAATTCCAGCAAAGTCTCAAAAGGGAGAAGTCACAACACTTGAAGGCATCATCGAACGGGTTATTAATGGATTAAGTCAAGATCAGGAACAGAGAAGAAAAGATCATCCTGACGCTGCTGATCAAATTGACCAATTCATTGGGAAACTCAGGGAACTTAAAGAAGTTAAAACTGAATTTACTTTTATTCTTGACGATATTTCTGGAGACGCTCATATCGAAAATCCAAACGCACCACATCCAGATGAAAACGTCGTTTCAGTTCTTTACAACCGAACGAAAGAACAAAACCATTTAATTGGAATATATGAGAAAGATGAACTTGAGAATGAAGAAAGAAATGAACAACAAGAAGCGAATGAGAAACTAAAACCAATTCAAGCAGATGAATGGCCTTTGGAAGAGTTGCATGGTGAAGTTTTACAGTTTGCAACAAACTGTCCTGAATGTCATGCTTCTTGTGAAACTAACATGAAAGTAACAACCATTCCGCACTTTAAAGATGTCGTCATTATGGCAACTGTTTGTGAAGCTTGCGGTTTGAGAACGAATGAAGTAAAATCTGGTGGTGGAATCGAAGAAAAAGGTGTGAAGATAGAAGTTAAAGTGATTTCTCGTGAAGACTTTTCAAGGGATGTCCTGAAATCAGAAACGTGTAGTGTCGCAATAAGAGAATTAGATGTTGAAGTTGGACCATCAGCATTAGGCGGACGGTTTACTACAATTGAAGGCCTTTTAACTGCTATGAGAGATCAATTAGCTGAACAGAGTGCAATGTTTGGAGATTCAGCTGATAGAGAGTGTCAAAATCGTATGGACAGGTAACTTGTCAATGAATTATTTAAATATTTTGATTTATATATTCTTAATGAACTTTCTTGTAGGTTTCTTGATCAATTCAATGAAGTGCTTAGTGGTTCTAAAATGATTACAGTCATTCTTGATGATCCCACAGGAAACAGCTACGTTCAAGCATTGACAGATGACGATTCCACTGATTCTGATCCCAATCTAAGAATCATTCATTACCATCGTTCACATGATCAAAACGAGGAATTAGGATTAAATGATATGAAAGTTGAAGGATATGAAGAAGATTCATGAAAATTTTATTTTCAAAGAAAATTGAATTAATAAAAAAGAAAATTTGATAACAAAAATTAAATTTCTTCATTCAGTTCAGTTATTGGCTCGCCATCGAGTTTCTTTAAGAAATTTAGACGATGAACCATTTCACTTCGATAAGTTTCTTCATCGATATTCTCAGTAATTGGATTTCCAACCATTTTTAAGTCTTCCAATGAATCACGAAGTGCTGCAAGCTTTGAAACTTCTGTCCATTCACGGATGAGATTGTGTGCCATGTAAAGAATTTTAAGTTTCTTCATTTGTTCAATTCCTTTCATTTTATCGATTTTATTGTAACTGATCCAAAGTTGTTCTAGAGATTCGCTCACAACCTCCAACCCACTGAAACTTTTAATATTGTTACGTCCGAGTGCGAGAATCTTCAAATTTCTCATCGATGGACTGAGAATAATTTGAGTGATGCAATTCGTTGATAAGCTGAGCTTCTCACAATTTTCTAAAACAGCGAGATCATTTGTCATTCTATCAATTGGTGGATACTGAAACTGCAAACCAACTTCGACAGCATTTTGTGCTGAGTGCTCATTGCGTTCTTCCCATTTCTGGAGCGCTTCTTTAATTGTCGTAGCCTTCGACATTGTTGCAAAACACTCTTTTTCGATAATTAAATATATGTCGGTATAATTATATTTCTTATTGGTCAAGGATACAACGGAGACTGCGATTAATACAACAAATAAAAAAGCATCGATTAATTTTTCAATTAAGATTTTTATTTTCTCAAAAATTTCTCTCCTTTGTTATCACAGACTAAAATCAAAAAAAAATGTAAAACTTGTGAACAAAATTGCTTCATTCAGAAGAATTGCGATCGAACTGGGACATAAATCATTTTAATTGGATTTAATTTTTCTTTCTTCTTGCTCGCTTTTTTTCTGATTCATTGCTTACATTGAGAATGAACTGCAGACGTGAAATTTTTACAATTAATTGAATCACGTTTAAGTTGTTAACAGAAAAAATTTCTCAAGCAAATTCATTTACTATGGGGACATATTTAAAAGTTACGCCTTAAGTATCCTTCATTATGTATCTTGCTGATGAGGTAAACTTACAGAAACTACCTTAGTGATTCAAGTCTACAACTAGAATTATGTAAGGACAAGGGAAAATATTCTTATAAGACGTAACATCTTGAAGAGACGTAACATATGAACATATCTAACCCATCAGCGATGCAATAATGTTGGAAATAAAATTCTCAAGGGACAAATTGGACTATACATTAATTAATTATTAATTACAAATTAAAATAAAAAAACTTTTTGATTTACAATTAATAAGGACACGATTACATGTGGATGTACCACATGCCATCGATAAATTGTGAAATCGAACGTAACAATTAAACTAAGAAGTGTTTTAACAGCATAAACGACAACAAATATACTTAAAAGCATGATTTTTGTGATGTTTTAAAGTCGTCAGCGAGAAGTGATGAATGCATCTTGCAATGACTTCCAATGATAATTTTATTATTCTAACAAACAAAAAATATATGAATTTTCGTCTTCTGCCTCGTTTAGTAGTCATCCATAAATGTTTTTTTATTATTTTTTCATCTGAAACGGAACTGTTTTAATTTGGCATTTTTATTTTTTTATAAACTGAGCTCATTTTTTGCACAAGATCAGATTTCAAATCCAACCAACCATGTAATGTAACGCAAGGGAGATGAAAATGTAAGTAAATTAAATGTTATTGTACTGCTTATGTATATTGATCCGATCTCGTTATCATTTTGAAGTTCACCATAACTGAATTCGTCATTTTTTATTCTCAACTCATGATTTACTTCAAAACTCTTGAGAAACTTAATCAGAAGAATTCTTACACACGAAATGGATCACTCACGAAACCAAAAAAAAGTAGAAAGATTTCTCAAACATATTTAATTCCTAAAATATTCTTAAGAAGAAACGTTGCGAAAATGAAAAAAAAAAGTTGTTAGTCTGTTTTGATTTTGTCACTATAAAAGAATTCAAATCTAAAAATAAATTTGATGGTTTCATATTCTAAAAGCCGGTTTAATTTCACAAGAAGTTTCAAATTTGAGTTACATTTAAGTATCTATAACAAAATTCGGTCTAAATGTGGAAGATATTTCACTCATCAATTCATAAACTATTAACCTGATGTCCCAAAATGTAATTACAACGACGACATACTAAAAATAATCTCGAAAACATTTTGGCAATAACTTCAAATAATTTCCTAACAATTGCCAAAAAAAATTGTTAATCTTACAAAAAAAACCTGCTAGTAATTGATTGAACATCACGCATGACCATTTTCTAATCAAGCCTGAAAATTTTGACATACTTTTCGCGCAACTAACAAAAAAATTGAGAAAATCAACTCGCTTTAGAGTAAAAACTTTCGGTACGAAGAAGAATTCCAAAAATAAGAAACCTACAGCAAGAAATAATGAAAACTTAACATGACATTTTAAAGGGGACAGAAAGAGAGAAATCAGCTCGAAAGTAAAATAAAAAAAGCCTCGAAAAATTTTACTTCATGTTTTACAAAAAGTCACACACAAGTCACACTTTGACGCGAAACTCACAAAGACCTCCAAATCTATTGACCGGTATACTTATTTGTAAACACATAATTCAGCCACTGTTACTGTTTTAAGTGGTCAGTGCGTGTAGTAATGGAGGCAACGTGTTCAAATATCTTCATGGAACTTTACAAAGTGGCAAGACAACATCACCGCTTCTAACCAACTTCTCTATGTCGATGAAGACTGAAGGTCAAGATGCAATCGATCCGAAAGATGAAATGAAATATTATGTATAAGACAACCAACAGCTGAATTAACTTTTTTTTTACTACGGCTGATTCGGTAATAGGAACAAATGAATTATGTTGCAAAAGCTACCAGCATTACTTTCAACCTTGAAGTTTTTTTCTTTCTCTGTCTATGTCTCTCATTACTTAATTACGATATATTTACATCAGCTGATGATGCAAGTTATAGCTTAGAAATTCCATGAATTTTTAAATGTGATTAAAACGTGATTTTAGCATAACTTCTAAGTTGTTTACTGTTGAAAGAATCTCAACTTAGTCTGAAAAATGGAAAATCCAGTTGAGTTAAACCGCTAACATGTTCATGAAAGTTGTCATCAATAATGCAATTAAGAACTTGTTTTCTTATTATAGACAACCAGTCGGTGATGTTTGTTTAATTTAATTAACTATTTGAAGGAGTTTTAAGAAACATTATCAAGCAAACTCTCCGAAAAACGACTAAATATTGACGTTTATAAATTTTCTTTTTCGTGGCCGGCAAAGACCTTAAGCTTTTATAAATGTTAATAAAAGGCGTTTTTATGGATATGCATTCGCTTTATTTATTCACCAGCCTCATATCAACACATCGAAGGAAACTGATCTCGGTTCATGGGAAGTAAATGAGTCAATTGCATTTAGTGCTTAAGGTGATTATTTATTTCCATTATTTTTAGAAGCCAAAGTACTTTTACAAAATATCGACCTTGATTAAAGAGATTATTGACACAGAAATCAAATTCAATCGATAGTTTTTGTATTTTTTCGTCTTCGTTGGTATAGAGGAGAGTAAAAAAGTCATCACTGACAACGAAGCTACCAGCTATCTAAAGCAACGTAGTAAACAAAGAAAACGCGTTTCACGACCTTCTCCATGTGATACACAAAATGCTAATTCGACGAGCATCGACACTTAATTATCAGACTCAAAGTTTAACTTCGTTTGCTTAACGTTAACATTTAATCATCTCCCATGGTTTATTTTTTTGCTTTTCATGCAAGGTTGGTTCCTTCATGTTATGTTTAGTGTCACACTCACCAATATAACTGATAAACAAACTCCTCTCACTTATCTGAATCCTAAGAAATCAGTTAGTCGATCATTGAGTGCGTCGATCCAGTTAATAGCAGCCTTTGATTTAGGAGCACGCGTTTCAGCATTGACTGGTACATATTCCTCAGATCGAATGCAGAAATAACTGTTAATAGGTGCTCGACACATCGGGCAACGTTCGAGCTTTGCTGTAAAGTAAGAAAGAAGAAGAATTAGCAAACTTATAAAAAAAAATTAATAAGAAGAAAACTTTTCAGCTTCAAAATATTTGCTTATCACATCAAGCAAAATATTAGCAAGGAAAGTCAACATATTTATTTAGTTCGTTCATCTAACAGAAAGATCCATTTACATTCCAATGACTTGTTTTTGGAGAAAAGTAGAAAACCTCAAGAATTTCTACGACTTTATGTCTCTTTTTTTTGTGGTTTCTGTTTTCGATTCGCATCAAAACTATTGACGCCATAAGACGTGTCATTTTCGATCTGACACCTAAATGGGGAATTTATCACATTTGTATGAGTAGTTTTGAGTAAAAATTCTTCAATACGTTTTTGCTTTTCATTAACCTTAAGTGATGAGAATGAAGCTTAATTAGATAACAGATACAAAGTTGTTGAATACTTACAGAAGCAGATTGCACAGATGCAAGTGTGACGACATGGCAACAGAGCTCTTGACAAAGGGAAATAATGGCAAACCACGCAAAGTTGTTCACTTTGTTGGCCCTCACGTAAAATCGTATCAGAGCATAATAACGGCGCACTGCTGCCGGCACAAGCTACAGGTTCGGCTAAAGATAACGATCCACCTACTGACGAACCCATCGATGAGCCTTCACTTTCATTCTCTCCAGCTGCCATATACAATTGCTGTCAATAATAACATAAAATAATCAAAAGGTTGTACTTAGATTCGGGGCAAGTTGATAACTTTACTTGCTTTTTATCAAAATAAATAAATCCATTACATGAAAATGTGCAAACTAAATGCAGTTAACTCTCAATCAAACATGGTACATGACCCAAATTTAACATCATTAAAACCGAATGAAAAAATTTATTGCACATGAACTGCAAAAATGAATTCAATGCAAACTTTTTTTCTTAATTTTTAGATGCATGTTGGTGAATAAATAAGAAAACTTGTTTTAAATGAAATATTTTCCTTACTTACAAACAAATTTATTGATCACAAAGTTACTAAGTAAGTAGAAAGTGAGAATGTAATGTTTTTTCGCTTGAACTGTACAATTACAGTTACTTAAGAGTAAACGACTTAAGAAAAGCACTTCAAGCACTTTGTATTTATATTGAGTAAAGTAAAATACTTTTCCTCTGAAGATTGAAGTTATACCAAAAGTAAACCAACTTAAAAATATGAGTGGAAGGAAAATTCAAATGAAAAAAACTTCACCAGATTCCGTTAGGTCATTAAAAATCAAAAGTTGATTCAACGAACCTTTAAACATGATAGTTGGCCCGATGCTTGTTTTAAGTACTGCGCTAAGACCTGTGTAAAGAAAAAAAAGAAGGAAAGAAAGAGAAGTGGAACATCACCGTTGAGGTCTGGTGAAACTAAATCTAAAATATGTATCATCTACTCACACTAGTTGGCAATGGACAAACGGGATCTTTCAAGTGGACCACATTTATCAAGAGAACCTGAATAGAAACAAAGACAAATAAATAAAATTGTTTCTTATTTCTCTCAAACAGACATAACAAGAATTATTCTTTTCTTGAAACAGTTTCAGACTGAATCAAAGATTTCTTTTCCACCGACAAATAATCACGCATTTGACCTGAAAATGAATAATTTCAACAGCAATTTTTTTCTCATGTTTTGGAAAGGAAATAAATCTGATGGCCGACAAATTGAATGAAGAAAAAAAGTCTGAGCTATAAAAAATTAGAAAAAAGTTTCGCCACTTCAAGTAATTCACAACAAATCACAAAAAAAAATCAATTATCATCGTTTCGAAATCACTGGTAAGCAAAAATTGTTATTGCTCGTACAAACACAACCGAATGGACTTGAAATTTATTTAAGTTGCTTTTTTTTCTTATGTATTTGTCAAAATCAAGGTCAGCAAATGAATAAAATATGAATAACTCTTTTTCTTTCTTATAATCAGCCGATGCGGTTATGCCACATGGGCAAGATCATCTTCACTTTACTTGCTTACTTCTGTGGTAGTGTCAATGATAAAAAGACTCATTGACGCTTCGAAGAAATTGATAAAGTTTGACGATTATAAATTTAAATCTCTTTAAGATTTAAATATCAAAAATGACAAGAAAAAGAAATCGAAAGTGAAATCACAAAATCTAGCAAGTAATCTTGCATATAATGACATGACAATTTAAAATACAATAAGCAGCAATAGGTCAGATAGACGTTGCGAATATTTCAATGATTCATCGTACATGAATAATTATTTATTACGAACTTTCACTCCGTAGTAAAAAATGAAGAAATTCACAAGAAATCCCCAAGACAAAAGACAAAACTTAAACGCTTCGTATTTTTTTTGGATTTCCTCTTCCCATCACACGACCGATTCGCTTATACAAATTCAGATTTGATCTTTAGTTCTTATTGAGTGTTTTTTCGCAAGATTGTTGAGAAAGAGATGAAAACAAATATTCAGGTATGATGTGTGTGATGGCTTTTTAATAAATATTCACATAATTAAATCTTCAGTTACTTCATTTGAGATTTATCCCGACAATAAAACTACAATACACGTTAATTGAACTTTTGTGAGTTCATCGTAACGATTATTCACAACGAAGTGAAAGAAATCGAAAGTTCTGGCGCTAACGACTTGTTAAAGGTAGCTTCGAAAGGGAAATCAATAATTTATTGTTTTTGATGACTTGCTGTTATTTCACAACTTTCATTAAATGGCCTAAAAACGCGGATCTTCAATTAAATAATTGAATTCTATCCCATAAATTGACCTTGAAAAGAAAAACGAATCTAAACAGTCGATAAAATCATAATTTGGGGTTTGCCTTGAAGGTGTGGAAAATTTTCTTTTCTATTCACAAAGAAAAATTAAAACATTTCATCATTTACATTTGTTATGCAACATAATTATGTACTTTGGTGTATTTGTTGTAAAAACAATTTGAGAAAATTGCGAAAATTTTGTAAATATTTGTTTCATGAACATGTTATGCCTGTTTGAAGTATTTTTTTTCTTTCTTTAGTGTCATGGCAGATAATTGACTAACTGTTTGAAAGGGCAACGAACTATTTTCTGGAGCGTTTAAATTAAAACTTACTGTGTCGTCGGGATGGCTAATTTCATCTGCTTCCGTCTCTCTTATGAGAAAAACGACGAGTGGATAAGCAAGTCGCGGTGGACTACCAAGAACTAATGGAGGTTTTGGTGATTTAATGACAACAGTCGTTTCGCTATGTGGCTCTTGATTCCTGGAACACAACATAATGAATGTAAATAAAATGAAGATTGATCTGCAACATGTTCTTGTATCACCTTAAGTCAATTGCCAACTGTTGACAATGAGCAGAATCTACAATTGAGCTCACTTTAGAACAAGCAGCTTCACTGATTTCAGTCCAAGGTCGCCAAAGCGACATGTGCAGTTCTCTTATTGAGACAGCCCAAAAAGCCTGGAGGCTGTATTTAACATGACTTGAAACAGCCAATTTTACCTCTGCATGTAAGAGAAAAAGAGAGAAAAAAAGTAAACAATGAGTCAGAAATATATTTAAAACGACATTTCAGCTTTTTCTTATCGATTCGTGTTGATATTTATGCTACGAGACGTTAAGTATTTATTTATTAAAGGTTTAACACTCGACAGTTGATAAATTCGATGACGACAGATTGAAATGAAAAAAAAAAAAATAAATAAATCAACGAAACATGGCATGAGAGTAAAAACAAAAATGTTTCTAAAAATGTAGATTAATAGATATCTCTTTTTGGGAGTCCGGAAAAGAAGATCAATCAATGCTCGTTATACATATAAACTCGACAATGCGTGGAATACTGAAAACATTCAATGGTAGCTTGAAACACTGAATATGTAATAATTTATGACACACTGCTTGCTCATGAAAAAACGTAAATGGTAACTAGTCGACGAATTGGTCTGACTTATTATTTATTAAACATTTTTCTATGACGATTTTTTGACTTATTCATTGATTAGCACTGAAGTCACTTGCTTGTCATTGATACTTTGTATCGATCGAAAAATATTTTCCAATTAAGGAAGATTGCGTGGTTCAAGGTCAGCCAAAAATATAACAAAAAATTATTTTATTAACTTAAAAGATCCAAAAGAAATTGAAGACAAAATTTTCGATTTCCTCGTATCTGTTTGAGAAGCGCGATTTTAACATTTATCTAAATAAATACCTTCATGAAATGAAACGGAAATTTAATTATTTCAATGGAACTCACGTAGAGAATTCATGAGAGTTTTTTAGATCAGAAATATGTAGAAAACTATCAAAACAGTTTCAAAAATTATCGCTTTTAACAATTAAATGTTCATGAATTCTTATTCGAATCAGAAATGACATTGGAATTTACAATTAATGCAAGTTTTAGACTACACAAAACTTCAATGATATCCAACAATGAGTTGAGTTCTTGTTGTGTTTAATTTTATAAATTATTCGTAATGTAAAGAAATGTTATCTAAAAAAGTAAAGCTAGCAAATAAAAAATATTCAAATCATCAGCAAACATTGTGTTCTAAGATCACTTGCACGTTATTATTATTTATGTTAAAGTAAAGAAGCGAATGGAGAATTAAAAGACAAAAACTCGTTCGCCTTCTATGAATTGCCGAGTGTTTATTGAACTCTTATGATAAGTTAAGCGATTGGAGATTGTTTCAAAATGTTCTGAATAAAATGCCCTTGAATCGAGTCGCTAGTCCGATGCAATTTTCCTTTCAATTTTCTTACTTCAACAATGAAATGAAACAAACACTTCTTGTTTACATGTTAATACATAAGAAAAAATATCTTTTGAAAGAATCTCCGACTGCTCTATACAGTAAAATGTGTCTCACCTTCGTAAGAATTATTTCCAGTCTCCAGCAGACGGAATGTAAAAGGGATGTGAACGCGTGTCATTTTAAGTCTTGGTACTTGAATGGTGGCATTGATGGTCATCGAGGATTGACGAATCGCTTCCTCACCTTGAACTATTCTGTAAAATTCAGAAAAACTTTTTGCACTCATATTGTTTACACTAAAACAAAACATTTCAAATAAATTCACTGAATTAAATTGAAGGCAAAGATCGAAACGATCGCTTTTAAAGGAAATCTTAAGGAACAACCGCCAACAACTTTCAATTATGAGAAAGTTTACTTCTCTCTTTCTTAAGACGTTATAATGAATAAAAAAGCTTCTTCGTTTTATTCCTTAACGCTATATTTAGAAAACTTTCAAGTTGTCAAAGAGAGATAAAATGTAACTTGTTGTGACTCAAACCTAAATAGTATTGTTCATTCCACAAACAAAAATCTCTTGGGTGGAGTCGAGAAAAGCCAATTTTCTATCATAAATCTTTCTTTGAATCAAGATTGTTGTTTTATTTACTTTTACAAAATTTATGCATGTACAAAAATAAAAAATAATCCAAAATTTCACGATGCAATGAGTCATCGAACAGATAGTTGTATAACATTTTAAATATTCATGCGATTGCTCATGTTTAATGCAATTGCATTAAATATGCATGCTCAACCGTACAACTTTAATTGCATCGTGACTCTGAGTAAAGTGGTTTAACAAAGATCAGCAGTGGTAAGCGTGCTTTGTTATTCATTTTTATTTATTTTATATGTCTACATTTTTTTTTCTTTACGACCTTCATCATTATTTTCATCTTTTAGTGTATACACTAAAATTTCATGAATTCATAGAAAACTGACGATCATTGATCTTCAAATAGGTTTAATAATGTTTTGATTTTGATTTTTAGTATTTAACTCACTTGACTAAAAGCACTAATATTCCACCAACAAATATTATAAGTCCTATTAAAGGTACCATACTGGAAATTGACGATGCTGTTAGAACCACAGAATTAATCACATTCATATTAATTTTTTAAGTCTTTCTTTTCTTGCTTCTAAAACTTTTCCTTTTTTTATTGGATTTCAAAAACACTTTTTATGATTCACTGGAAGTTTTTCGTATCATTATTTTCCTATTGATAAATATTTGATTTTAAATATGATTTTCATACACACTCAATCAAGTTCTACTATGGCAGAGGAAAAAACCGGCTTCGTACTGAAAAGAAGTGTTACCTTCTCAGCAGCGCAACAAGAAATGAGCTATCCAAGTCGAAGCGATATGTTAAGAGAAAAATATTCAAAATATCACGGGTGATATCTGAAGAAAAAGAGAATGAAGTGAGCGTAAAAAGAAAATAACTCAATGCAAAATGTTGTTGTTTGGATTGCATCCATGCAATAGAAATAAATTGAAGATGTATGAAAATTTCTTATAGCAATTGCTACGTATGTTTAGAAGAAAATTTCACAATTTTCAGCTTTTATTACTTTCTTCTTTCTTTAAACACTCGATATAAATACTAAGATAATTTAATGTATTGATAAGAAGTTAGTTTTTATATTTGAACTTTGCCTTAATATTGAATTTCAATGTAAAATAAATTTAAATATTTTTATTTGTGTAAAATGACATTAAAAGGTAGCACACTCAATTGCAACTAAACTTCTCCACTTCAAACTTGCCTCCTCGGAAGAATCGCGAACAATATTTCTGTCTGAATAATTCAGACACAATAAGAATGAATTTATTTTTGGGATCTTTTCTATGAATTATTTTTCTTTTCACATGATCACAATGAATACCTTGTCACTTTGAAAGAATTTTGAGATATAATTGATTTCAAGTCACGTGAAATTTGAGCAAAATCGATTAAAATTTCTATTTTACGAAGTACAAAATTATTTTGTCGAATTCAATGTTCATTGTTGTTTTTTTGAATGTTGAAAACGGACACTTTTTTGCTTTGAGTTTGTCCGGGATATCAACTTTGTTTGCATGCAACATTGAACCTTTTTGAACTGTTAAAAAAACTTCGCAGAAAATGTTTACAAAAAGTTATGGACGGTAACAACTTTACAAAAGCAATTTGAAATTGATATTTGCAACAATGTTTCAATTTTACGTTATGCAATATAGACGACATTAACAAAGTTTTATGCACTTTTCATGGTCTGCATAATGCAACAGTTTAATCGTTCGGTTGCAATTTGGGTCAGTAAATAACATGAAACTGAAATTAATGTTTATTTTATCATCTCATATTCACGCCCAATATTCATGTTAATCGTATTTTCTTGATGATATGAAATATTTTTTCTTATGTTTTCTCTTGCTATGTATCAGATTGATAGTGCTCATAAATCTCTTTTTCTTCTTCATGTCATACCCGAATCAAGCTTTAATCACTTCATAAATGTTAATTAACTGTCTATTTATGGTCATTAAATTGTTTGCATTTTTTATGCACGTGAATCTGAGTAATGTACCAAAAAAATTTAATCCATTTTTTGCCGGTGGCATTCGATTGAAGACGTGAATTATTTTATTCGTGCTTAAATAAAGGAGGAGTTTCATTGTATATGCTTGAACCGATTTTCATCAGTTTAATGGCATGATCGCTTTTGTTATTTTCGAGCTTGATTAAGATTTTCTTGTCAGCAACAAAGTGTCTATAAATCTTTACTCCTGAAAACAAAATTTTTTATGCTTTAAAAACAAAAAATTAGCTTCGTGAGAAATTTTATTATTTAACAATGAAGACAAAAAGTCTAAAATTTTATAATTTAACCAACACTCAATACCTATAAACATACAGAAAGCTACACAATCCATGAATCATAAATAAACTTTCAACTGTTCTATAAATTTAACAACGGTTTCTTCTGAATCCCAGACAATCCCAATCAAAAGGCATATGGAATTAGTGGTCTTTTAAACATTCAGCATTGTAGTTGTACGACGTGTAGCATTTTATTGTGCGAGTCTATTTTTCATGCATTCTTCATATGTAGGTGGAGAATCTTCAACTAATACTAATGGAGTTCTTTCTTGATTAGTTCCAGAATTTGAATGAGTAGCTGAGACTAAAACTGGAGTTCTGTTAGATGTCAAGGGTTGACTTGAAGTAGACTCAGAGGAATTGACATTACTTTGGCTTTGACTGCATGGAATATCTATAGGATACGAAGCATGATGATTTTCAGTTCTTCTTGTTGTTGAGCAAGGTCTAATTTCTACTACTGTGCTTTCAGAAGGTCCAGACCTCACAATGTATAACAATCCTTTTATGATCATTACAAAAGTCCATCCACCAATTACCAGGACCAATAAGAATATTTTATATTTATGATCGTTTTCTTTCTCAACATCTTGAGCTCCTGAATAGTCTTAAAATTTCCAAAAAATTATTTCAAAAACCTTTCTTTTATTTTTAAGTGAAATTTTACCAATTTTTCTACTTTCCTCTTGTATCCTTTTTAGTTCTTCAAATTCTATGAATGTTCTTAACACTTCATCATAACTTTCTGATGAGCTTTCACTCGTATACATTGTCATCTTCTTTATGAAGATTCATTAATCTATGAAAGTCTTTGTCAAAGCTTTTCAATTTGATAATTTCTATTTTGTTGATGGTAATCGAAAAATGATTATGTGGAAAAAATTTTAGTCAAAAATTTTAAAAATTAAATACAAGATATCTATTACAACTTGCACAAAGTTGTAAATTTGTGTTACTTGAAGAATGAAATCTTTTTAAATCCCCAAAACATTAGAAGAAAAACACTCAAACGAAAGCATAAGAAGATTTTCCTTTAAAAATTGTGCCACCCACTATGAATATATTTCCATGTCGTGGAAATAATCGTCCTTAAAAAAGTGACTGTTTGGATAAATTTTCACTTTAAAAACCGTCTTAATTTTAAATCATTCTGCATTTATTGAAACATTTTAAATAAATGTAGATAGCGCTGCCTGTAGTTGTTTTAAATAAACATTTGTCGCCTCTTCTCAAAAACAAAAAATCCTGATAAAAGTCAGTAGCGTATAAACATTGACTTGTTAAAGTTGATAACAAACATTATTGTTCAGAAGTTTATTATTAGAAGTTGTCCACAATTGGAATTCAAAGTATCGTTGAAGTGTAAAATAAGATTTATTTGTAATGGATGTTCTTTTTTAATAATTCGTGAAATAAAACTGATAAGGAGTTAATCAATTAATTTGATGTTCAAACATAATAACTATAATAAGCTTTACTTGCAATTAATCTAAATTATTTTAACTCTAATAAAAGTTTATTCTTTTATTTCTTGGACACAACAGAATGATGAATTCAAAAATATATTTGCCTATTAGACAATTTGTGACACGTGCCGCTAATGAAGTTAAGGAAAAGGCAATTCCAGGACCGAAATATTATCCTTTCCTTGGTCCAATAAATGATATTTTAACAATGGGAAAAGCTGAAAAGTAAGTCATATGCAAAGTTAAAACAAAACATTCTCAGTTGTTGACAACATGATCTTCTTGATCTTTCTTTCAAGTCTTGTTTCTTTCGTATTTGAAATTTAAAATAGTCTGTGTAAGAAGATAAAAAATGGATCGTTTGATTGAATGTATTAACTGAAATTCACAAAACATTTTTATTTAAATTGTTTTAAATTTATCTATTTTCAATTCTTATCAATAATTCTCACTTAAAGTTTTTAAAATTCATGCTGAAATGGTAGAGAAATTAAAGGAAATTTAACTTCTACTCTCTTATCAAACGATCACCTATACAAAGGTCAAAATCAAATTCAAATACTTTCTTATAAAACATATGTTAAAGACAAAATTCTCACGCTTATATTTATTTATTATAGATTGCATTTGACTATTGATGAATACCATAGAAAATATGGCCCTGTGTTCAAAACTAAGTTAGGATCAACGGATGCTGTCTTCATATCATCGCCAACATTTATTCGATCAATATTCAATCACGAAGGAAAATTTCCGAAGCATTCAATGCCACCTTCTTGGCTTTATTTTAATAAGAAACATAGCATCAACAGGGGACTTTTGTTCATGTAATTTTATAAGTTTTGTTAAATAATTTTTATCAATCATTTTCAATTATTTAATACCAGGGATGGTGAAGAATGGTATGAACATCGAAAAATTATGAACTCCATTCTTATGAAAGATTCCCAGTGGACTGAAACCATAATTCGAGTTACATGTGATAACTTCATTAAAAAAATTAAACGATCTTTTAACACTGAATCTGATGAAGTTATTGATAATCTTGAAGATGAATTATATTTGTGGTCAACTTACTGTAAGTTTAACAATATTAAACTAAAAGTTTACATTATACCTAATTAATTATTTTAGCCATATTGAATCTTATGCTGGGATCATCAACACATGAACAAAGCGATCGTGAATTTGATGAAAATGTATGGAAATTTGTTACATCAGCAAAGCAAATTTGGACAACTTCTGCTAAGCTTCTGACAATTCCTCCTGCCATAGCTGATAAGTTGCATTTGAAAGTGTGGAAGGATTTTGAAAAAACAGTTCATGAGTCGATTTCTCTATGTAGGAAGTAATTATTTTTGATTTAAAATTTATTATTATTTGATTCTTTCCAGCTCGAAAAATGATTTCTGCTTTCAACGACAAAAATGTTTTCAATTGCTCTAAGGATGGTTTATTTATGAAATTAAAATCACATAATTTGTCAGATGAAATGATGACTCAAATTCTCTCAGATTTGATATTTGCTGCTGGAGATACTGTAAGCAAAATTAGTCAATAATTAGATGAGATATCTAAGATATTTCATTGATAATTCCAGACAGTGTCTACAATGTCTTGGTGCCTCCATAAAATAGCGAAACATAACGAAATTCAAAGTATGATGAGAAAATCAATCTACGAAAGTGATTTCGATTATGAAACTCCACTTGTTCGAGCATTTCTTAAAGAAGTTTTGAGACTTTATCCTGTTGCCCCATTCATTGGAAGGATTTTAGACACTGAGGCAACTCTTGGTGCATACAAAATTCCAAAGGGTTGGTTTGCACTCACATCACAATATTCAGCAGGCCATGACCCTCAAAATTTCGTTAATCCTGAGAAATTCTCCCCAAAACGTTGGTTGCGTGATGAAAAGACTGAGAAACTTCATGATTTTAATGCTTCTCTACCTTTTGCTATGGGGGTTCGATCGTGTGTTGGCAAAAAGATTGCAACATATCAAATTCATACTTTAATCACAAAAGTAAGTTCTTAAACATGTCTTCAACTACTCAAAATTACTGAGAAAATTCCTCAAAATTCTTACAGATTTTACAAGAATTCAATTTAACATCATTCAACAAGGATGAAGTTGAGTACACTCTGAAGCTCATAGGATTACCTAATAAGAAAATCTTGATTGGATTTAAGGCAAGGCAATAATTTACTTCAAACATTCTGATCTGAGAAGCTTAATTAATATTTTATTATTCATCCATATCTAAATAATCAAAAAAAATTGTGTTTTGCTTTTATAAATTTTAAAGTTTTATTTGAACATTTGAATTAACATTTAGTCAGGCACTTTTGCTTAATAAAATCCATTTATGTGCTATTTCAAGAAAATTTTAATTTAGCAACAAAAAGAATTAATGAAAACATAAATAAGATCTGAGTATATGGATAAATAAAGATCTGAATTACAAGTTTCATTTTGAAAAACTGTTAAATACTTAAGCTTAGTTTAATTTAATCTACTGTAATTGTAGTTAAAAAGTTCTTTCAACCAAAATTTGTTAATTTTTATTGAAACTTTCATATGGTGGAGGGTTGTCATGATTACTTGGCAGTAAATTATTGAAGTGTTCCTGATTTTGCTGGAATTGTGGTGGAGCTGAAGGAGTCTGCTTTACGTAAGTCACATTGGAATTTGGATTTGCTTGATTTCCATTAGTTGTTGTCAAAGGTAAGCTGCCTTCTGATTCTTTCTTTCTTTTATCAAGATACACTTTCAACCCATATGCGGCAATCCAGAAGACAAGTGTGAATATTAGGAATCCAATGAAGAACATTCCAGGAAAATACGTAGAGTAAAAGGAACTTCCATGACTTTTTGTAAAGTTTTCATGAAACTCTTGACTAATTTCTGAAGAAGATGTTAATTGAATGTTAGATATTTGTAGAAACATATCTGATTTGTATTTCTTACTTTTACGAGCTTCCCAATCTTCAGTCGACTTCTTGAAGAAATGATCATTGTCTTCTCTCATTCTTTTGAAATTTTCATCAAAATTTTTGTCCCAATCGTCATTTTTAAAGAAACTCATTTTGTGACTTTTGAATGACCAGAAAATTAAACAAAATTCGTTTTGAAATATTAAATTCTACTTTTATTTTTTTTTAATTTAGATCTTTGATAATCTCGAATGAGAATGTTTGAAGAAAACTTCCGAGTATGCAATAACACTTCTTCTGCTTTTATGATTAATTATATTAATCTCTCACTTAAAACTTCATTGCCAATTTCATTAAATTTATTTGTTAATTTTCGCCGACGAACCTGACAAAATGTTTTATTGATCTGGTGAATAATTTTTCAATGGAATTCCCGTTCTTTTCTCTTTAATTCTCTTCTTTCGCAGAGAAAAACTATTGCGTGTTAAGTTTGTAAGCTTTAATGTGTTGGTGAAACTTAAATGTATGCAACATAAATATGAAAAAAAAACTCAATCTATCGACTTCATAATATCTAAATTGGATCTCCATACATGCGAATTGGAGGCAAAATATTCTCTGAAATTTATGCTTATTTTAATATTTCAACATATTCTTGAGTAATTTTCTTGATTTTTATTCTGTTTCAGACAAAACTTAAGTTGGATTAATGAACATTGAGTAAATATTTCTTATTATAATAAAGCGAATGTAAAATTTTCTCAAGAAATTCCTTATGATGTAAACTGCAAACAACTTTTCTAATATCGTTCAAAAGCTTAGTTTTTGTTCCTGAGGCATTCTAATTGTCACTTTAAATGCACTTTGAGAATGAAATTCGTTTAATTATTAAATCAATGTTGAGAACTTTTCACATGTTGATGCTTATTCCAGGTCCCCGGTGGTGATGATCGTATCTTCTTCGTCCGTGGTAACCATCGTCATAATAACGTCGATTATAACTTCCTTCTCGAGTGTAAGTTCCAATGTAGCCATCACATTTTGGACAATTATGTATAACATTACTCAAACTGTCGCAAAACAAATATGGAAGTATGGCACATGGAAAAAGGCTGAAAGAAATTTATTTAAGCAAATATATTCTTCACTTTCATAATTAATGTATTTGTCATTAATTTACCCGCATATGCACAGTACACCTGCCGCTAAATGATTTCCACATCCAATTTTATAAGAGATTTTTGTAGTAACAGGTTGATTACAATGGGGGCAGGTGACATTCGCTGGATGAGCGCCATATAAGGGTTGTTGACTAACAACCAAAAGAGCTTCAACAATAGTTATTAGCAATAGAATTTCTAAATTCATTTGATTTCTTACGAGCTGGAGCAGCTGCTACGATGACTGGTTGTTGTTGCATCAAAGGTTGTTGAACGACAGGAGGAAAAGCTGGATTTATACCACCTTGTTGAGGATACTGCGGTTGGTATTGAGGATTCGTTGCAGGTTGCTGCATATTTAAAGGCGCTAATGGCTGATTAAATGTTGACGCGGACGGATTTTCCGTAATATTTATTTGTTCTTGTTTTCCTAGAATTTAATGTACAAATGTGTGAACAACGCTAGGAACACCTTGCGAATGAATATTCTCAAATTAAATACTTTTAGACTCACCCATTTCTTCTCCTTCAAATACTAAAAAAAACTTCTCAAAATATGCTCAACGTTCCGACGCATGGTTCTTCGCATCCAAATGTAACAAGGTCAGGAAAATACTTATTTGACAGTGGAATTTAGTAGTTTAGTGTTGGTGGTTTATCTTTTCTACTCAAAGTTCTTTCGTGACTAGGTGTTGGTAAATATTTTGCGTAGAGAAACAAAGAGAGCAATTGAACTTCAACTTAAGCGCTCAGACAGATGTTTATGTGTTTATACTTAAAACGGCTTTTCAAATACATTCAACAATAATATTTATTTATCAAAAATTCATTCCTGTGTCAGCTTAAATCTTACTTCAATCAAATAAATGCATTAAAAATTTTTAGTAATAATTTAAAAGTTAAATCTTCGACGATTTGGTCCATATCCTGGTTCGTAGTAAGGCTGATTTCCTACGCGACTGTGAGTTCCGATATATCCTTCACACTTTGGACATTTGTGTTCAACATCATATAAAGAATCGCACAGAAAATACGGAAGTATGGCACATGGAAAACAGCTGAAACATCATTGCTTGTAAAGTTTATATTTCAAGACTTAGTTAAGGATTATTCACCCAAAAACGCATAGCAGAAAAGCAGCTGAATGATTTCCACATCCTATTTTACGAGTTATTTTTGTAGTTATGTGTTCTCTACAATGATGGCAAGTGAGATTCGTTGGATAAGCGCCATATAATGGTTGTTGATTGATAATTAAAACAGCTTGAATGAAATAAAATTATTTTAAATTTATAAGTTGAAATTATTTATTTCTAAGGCTTACGAGCTTGAGCTGCTGTTACCATCATTGGTTGTTGATAGATCATTGGTTGCTGAACAATAGTCGGGAAAGCAGGGTTCATGTTGTGCGGTGTATACGGTGGGGGAGGATTCATTGGTGCATGTGGATATTGCAACATGCCCGATTGTTCTCCAAACATTAGTGCAGAGGGATGTTCCATCGTAGTATTAATATTTTCAGATTTACCTTTTGTTAAATGTTCAAGTGTTGAAAGAAAATTTAAATTCAATTTGAATTGAATGTTCCGAATATCAACTCACTCATTTCTCCTTTCTAGCATCACCAACAAATTAATAATATTTTATTATTTTTATTCTAAGTAAGCGGAGCTCTTTTGTCTACTATAGCAATATTTTGAACTCATAAAATATTTGGAAACAACTTTAAACCTTGCGTACTAAGTATTGGTGATTCATGTTTCTCTCTCAAAAATACTTTTCGTCTTTCAATGTGTGCTTATGGAGCAATCTGCGTAAGAAAAACAGAGACAGAATTTATCAAAAAATTGACCCTCTATTTAATCTAATTAAACAATAGATGAATAAATAATGAATTAATTTTTCTAAACTCTAAATATTTAAATCTTTCTTCAAAACTAATTTCTACTTTCTCAACCATTTGAGTTTGTTCATAATACTGATACTAAATCATTCATTGATCATTGAAATTATTTTTCAGTCATTTTAACTATTTTTTTTTCATTATCATGAAAGCCTCATAGAATTTTTTGGAATGGATAAATTGAATCACATTTTCATTTAAGTAGTAAGCGTGTTTTTACACTAATCTCTTTTAACGAAAATATCGTCCACCAAATCGTTTAAATGTTCCGATGTAACCATTACATATGGAGCATTTGTGTTCAACATCCTTACAACAATCAAAGCAATATGGCAAAAATACAAAAGGACACCAACAAATACAAAAAAATATAGCCGCGAGATGAGTTAAACATCCATTCTTGGAATTTGTTTTTGTCATTGTTTGTTGATGACAATGTGGACATGTTAAATGCATTGGATGTGGACTAATAACTTGTGGTTGATTGATGACAATCACAGCTGAAATTTATTTGTAAGATTACAATTTCACAATTCAACAAAGGAATGTTTCTTACTATGCTGTACTGGAATTTGTTGCACAATTGCTGGTTGTTGGTTAATAAACGGTGGCGATGCTATGTGTTGCTGAGTTATGTTTGGATGCCAACCTGGGTTCATTGGTTGTTGATTTTGGTGTTCAGATATTGGAGCAGATGGTGCTGGTGCTCCAAACACATCATCATACGATGGTGGTAGATTACTTTTTTCTTCAAATATCATTCCTTGTATTATAACTTTAAAAAAGTGAACGTTATGCTTACCTATTATATTACTTTATAACAACAATGAATCTAATTTAAAGCTACTTTGGATAATGAATTATCAAATTTTATGGCAAACAAATTTTACTTCTGCATTCTTTTGTTGTTTTTCTTTCTCTTTCTAAACAATTTTTTCAACACTTTTTTCACCACAATTTTCAATAAAAATTGCAGCATGACTCAAACTCACCACAACACATGCTTTCTTGTGTTGGAATTTTAATGAAAGGAATTTGAAGCAATTATGTTCTCATAAGAGTTCTTTTATCACAAACATCTCTTATTTGCATAAATATATTTTCCAGAGCAATCTCATTAGACATTTTTTGATAAAAATTTCTGATAAATATTTTTTCCGCTTATCAAAAAACTTATCAGCAGTCATTTTTCTCGATGTTAGTTGGCAATAATGGGAAAACCATGTTATTGATAATCACAGTTAATATTTATACAGTTTTGGTTTTTATTTCATTTTCAACTGTGGGGAAGTTCAGATCGTAGAAGGAAACTTAAACTTGACTACAGGGGGAAAGTTTTATTAAAAAATAATTTCAATTATGAAATGTACAAGCTTTACTTCAATTTTTATCTTTTTAATTATCCGATTTTCAAACACCAGTAATTTAAGCTTAAATTTATTGTGCGAGTAACTAAATTTCACATAAAATCTATTTCAATCCTTAGAGGCTTTCATTTGCATTGACTGCCGTTCTGATGAAGATGAGAATTGCGCAACATTGAAAACAAAACCAAATGCAACTGAAAAAGATTGCGGTGAAAGCTTATGCGCTACTTGGATTAAAGACACAACAACATTTCGAGGATGTGATACAGAAGTTCCTGAAGATTTGATTCTGGATGATAAAATTTGTGTTGGCCATAGATGTAATAAAGAAATTTATCCAGAAGAACGACTTAAATGTGTGCAATGTTCATCCGACGAAGAAATGTGTTCAAATCCAAATGCTGATATTTTGTATCCTTGTAAAAATTTTGTTGAGGATGATTTATGCTACACTTTCATTATCGGTAATATTTTATTCATCATTATAAACGTATTTGAGATTAAAAAAAAATTTTTGCATCTTATTCAGATGAAAATCGAGCAATTCGAGGATGTATGAGCGATCAAGATGAAAATGTCGAATCATGCAATTCTGCTGGCGACGACTGCATAAAATGCAATGAAGATTTTTGTAATGGGCAGAGTGGAAAAACCAGTGTAAAATGCATAACATGTTCAAGTGATGAAGACATTGCATGCGGATATTCTCAAATTGATATGAGAAATTCTAAAAATTGTGAAGCATTAATTGAACAGGAAAACCTTTGCTTTGCATTCAATAATGAAACGAATTTCCTTCGTGGATGTCTTAATGATTATCCTGAGTTAAAACCATCATGTGAAGAAAACTCAGAAGATTGTCAAATTTGTGATGGCGACTTATGTAATTTTATGGTAATTGCTGAAGAACTTTGTTACATTTGTGACTCTACTGAAGATGAGAACTGTGCAGATGTTTCATCGTCTCCAGCAGAAACACTTTGTGGTGAAGTACCGTTCGATAAATCAGGCTGTTATCTTTCCATCTCTAACGGAGGTACGTAAATATTAATAAATCTACTTAACTGTGAATATGTAAACGATTACATTGACTGGCTGTGAATCGTAATTAAGTTGCTTGTATTTTATGAACTGACAACTGATAAGAAATATTTGCCGTGATATTTATAAGTTTTTTTTTGCAGATGGAAATATCAAACGTGGTTGCGTTAATTCATTATCTGATGATGAAATCATTGAATGTCAAACGGGACAAGATTGCAAGATTTGTCATGGCAATATGTGTAATGTTAAAGCTTCATTTCAAAAATGTTTCAATTGCAATTCTGAGATTGATTTAAACTGTGCAACATTGCAAGGTGGTCTAGCAGGAAAAGTTTGTGATGAATATTTAGACACATGTATGGTTTACGTTAAACCAAACATGACAACTCATCGTGGCTGTTCAAATGAATTACATGATAACGTAACTGAATGTCTTCCAGAATCAGTCAATTGTAAACAATGTTCTGATAACAATTGCAATGGAGAAATCTTTCCGGTAAATCGTTTAACATGTTTTCATTGTCATGGGAATGACAGTGATTGTCGTACAAATCTTGCAAGCATAAAAGAATTGAAATATCCATGTGAAGTTTATAATTTTCGGGACTCTTGCTACATGTACGTAACAGAAGATCAAGTCACACATCGTGGATGTTTAAGTGATTTAAATGAATTCCCTGAAATGTGTTTAGATGATCGCGAAAAATGTGCCATCTGTCAAACACCAAATTGTAATTATGAAAGTGTATTAAGAGAACCAACACTTTCCTGTATCGAATGCGATTCAACATTTGGCGATGAATGTTCTTGGGGATGGTTAGAAAGTTCTGCTGAAAAGTGTCAGAAGGAAATATTTTTCTACCAAGAAGAGAGATGCCATTCATTAGTTGTTTCAGATGATGCAATCATTCGAGGTTGCACACTTGACGGTAATGTTTGTACTACTTTTGCATCCAAATGTGACTACTGCACAACTGATGGATGTAATCGAGAAAATTTATTACAACAATATTGCTATGATTGCAATTCTGATGATGATCAAAATTGTGGTCCAAAACCTTATCATACAAAGAATGTAACGTGCTCTGGGATCGTTCAACATCAACATCGCGGTTGCTACACTAAAGTTGATTCTCAAGATAAAGTTATTCGAGGATGTTATTCAGATCTCAGCATGGACGAACGTATTCAATGTACGAATGAAGGAGAATTTTGTCAAAGATGTATAGATGAAATGAATTGTAACAACATACCGAAAGATTCAGTTTCTATATTTAAGTCTAACTTATTTCTGATTTTTGTATTTTTTATTGCTTCTCATTTTTTATCATAAAACATTGAAATAAATCTGACGAAATAAATTTAAAAATAAATAGAAATTTCAACTGATACAAAACTGCCTTGAACTTCTTTTCATTCACCTTGCAAATCAATGTGATTAGCGCAGGAAGTTTTTATTTTGATTGATGAGAAAGAGCGTAATGAATATAATTACTTTATCAGCTTACAATCAAATCAAAATATTCTAAAAATTTGCGAGGCATGATAAAAGAAATGAGATGGAACTTATAAATATGAATGAGATAATCACTCACTCGTACAATGAAGAAAAGAATTTTTTTGTTCGCACGACTTGCTTACTTAATTAAGAGTTTACTCTTATCAGTATTGATAAAAGTTCATTAAAATACCTTACACATTTGAACTCGAACGTATAAAAGAAGGAACATTTGAAGAGAAGGTTTAGTTGGCTATCTTCAAACTGTGAAAGGAAAATGATCAAATATTTAGTATTTCTAGCGCTCTGCGTTACGTTAGTTTACTCACAAGCTATTGGACCAGGAGTGCCTGACAGTCGCTGTCCTCCAGGGACACCATTTCCACCAATTCATCTCCCGGATGCTAATAATTGTGAAATATTCCACACATGCAGTGGAGGTTTAGCTTTTCCTCAAAGATGCCCTCCTGGTAAATATAAAATTTTCATATTGAACATCATCTTAATAATTTTTTTTTCAACCAAGGTCAACATTGGAGTGTCCAACATAATTGGTGTGATTGGCCAGAGTAAGAAATGTTTTAAAATAAATTATTTCCATTTGACGACTAAATTTTAGTTTTTCATTAGACGTGCCAACTGTGGAAGTGGCGGAGGCGGTGGCCCACCAAATCGTTGTCCACCTGGAAATACGGTTCCACCAGTGATGCTTCCACATGAATATGATTGTTCACGGTTCTACGTTTGGTAAATATCACACATTTTGAAAACAACAAACATCTACAAAATTTGTTATTTTATTGATTTAGTTCATGGGGTCAACCTCAACCAAGAGAATGCCCACCAGGGCTTTACTGGAGTGTTCAAAATAATTGGTGTGATTGGCCAGAGTAATTAATTTTTTTATTACAAATAGAAGTGCAAAAATTAAAAATAAATTCTCTTGATTAGACGTGCAAATTGTAATCTGCGTGGAACTACTACGAGACGATGGAATACAACGACGAGACGATGGAATACAACGACCACAAGACGAAGAGATACAACAACCACAAGACGAGGGAACACATCGACTACAAGAAGACGACGTTCATCATCATCTTCCTCTAGTTCTTCTTCAAGCGAATCCAGAGGAAGATAAAAAGCTTATTCCTGAATAAATACATGACGTCTGTTAAAGAAAAATAATTAATGCGATTATCAAAATAAAATAGATAACGGGTGAAATGGTGATTGTGTAAATTAACATTAAAGCTCTACAAATATAAATTATTTTTTAATCAATCATATCTATCATGGATTTTCTTCATTGTAAATATATTTAGATACGTCTTATTTTTTCTAATTAGAAAATGTTTAATAAAAATTCGGAACAGAACTTACCTATGATGCGTAGAAGTTACTTTATAACTTCACCTTCAAATCTTGAAAATCGATCTCAAAAAATTGTTACCACAAAATCTTCAGACGAGTTAAGTAATTTACTCGGTCTTCAATATCGAGAACGGAAGGTTGGGGATAGTTATGACTCTACAAAGCAAGAGAATACTCCAGAAATAAATAAAAAAGCAAAATTAGATGTAAACAGATCAAAGCCCTATGGCATTGATAAGAAGCAACCAAAGTTTAGTGGCCACTTTTCGAAATTAAAGAAAAAGCATCACGAGGAATTGAAAAAGTTTTCTGATGATCGTTCAAAGAATTGTGATTACTTGAAGTTGGAAGCAGAGATTGCAAAACTTCATTCGAAAGTTCAAGAACTTCGTAATTCTGAAAAGAGCCAAGGCACTGAAAGAGATGCCAAATCAACTATAAATAGCTTGCAATCTGAAGAAATATCAGAAAACGATGATACTGCGACTTCTAAATCATTCCTAATATTTTTTGCTTTTATAGTAATCTGTCTTCTCCTCTACAGTCTTAATTTTCATTTCCGCCCAAAAGTAATGAAAAAAGCATCTTATTTTGAATCACTTTTCAATATAAAATAAAAAGAATTACCTAAATGAAAAATATCTAAATGCAAATAAAATTTTTAAACGGACAAATAATATTTAAATTGTGTCCAAATGAACAGGCTCACAAGCCGTCTCAAGCGACATCTGTCATTAACTTTTCGTTTTCCAATCGCGGTGTTGTAAAAATCGCTATTTTCAGCTTTTCGAGTTGGTCCTTTGATACCTTGTGAAAAAGAAAACAAACAAATACCCACTCAATATGTCTGCATGGAGAGCTGCTGGTTTAAAGTATGAATAATTCACTTACGGAAGTAAAAAATCAAATTTTATAAGAAAATAAATTATGCAATCAGAAATGTTTTCCTATAAGAGTTTTCTGCTATTTTTTTTATTTTGGATAGTCTGACAAGATAAGAGAATAAATTTATATTTTTAGCTACATCAATTATTCAAATATTGCTGCCCGTTTACTACGACGTGCATTAAAACCTGAAGCTAGAGTAGCAGCTGTGAAGCGAGATGAGAGCCACATTAAATTCACACCATGGACGAATGGAAAGCCAGTTCGTAAGTATCAGCTTAATCCATTATCTTAATGAGAATCATTTCTTAAGCAAATGCTTAGAATGTCAATTGAGAAATAGATTTAACTCTCTTTCCCGATTGTGTGTTTTTAACATTTCTACAAGAAATAATTTTCAATGAAATCTTCAACCAATTCTTTAAAACCGATTCTGATGAAGTGTTTCACTTTAATGAATTTTACAGATGAAAAATAAAGTTAAAAACAATATTTCACGTTGTAAGTCATTTATGGACACAATGTCAATTTGATGTTTGCATTCATATTTTGAGTTTATGCATTTATTTCCTCCTAAAATTACCTTTAACAATTAACTTGTTTTGCATCTTATTTTCTAAGATATTTCTTTTGACAATTAACAATTGTTTGCCAAAATTATTTTAGCTTTTAAGGATTTTGAAAAGGGTGTTTTGTCTAACAAATTTATTTGATATCATTTAGCTTACACTTTTCTTTTTTATTCTCAAAAGGTAATCAACCGCCACCAACATCATCTTAAACCGTTACTGGTGGACATTTGAAGTCAGGATGAAATTTGAAAACAAAATCCATAAAATTTAATATAATGTTGTAAACGAATTAGGATCCAGTTTAAAGGCGATTTCAATAAATACTTAGTTCTGGAATTACTTTTTTGTTTTATTAATATGTTACTAAAATGCTCATCATACATTAATAAATCTCACGATTATCATTTATGGTTTTATCTTTGTCAACAAGATTAGTAATTTCGATGGAATTAATTCTAATTTGTGTTGTTTCCATTCGAGCAAAATTTATTCTCATATATTGCTTTCTCCTTTTCTTCTTGAAAACTGTTCTTGTATGTGACAAAGATTTCTCTATGATAGTGGCTTGAACATCAATAAGACCAATAGGAAGAATAGGACGACCGATGAGACTGAAATCTTTTGATCCAGCAAGAAGAACCTAAAAGAAATGCAAAATCAAATGAATGTAAGGTTGATAAAAATCAATTATAAACATTACCTTATCCAACCTTAGTTTGTCTCCGTTAGTTGGCTCCCATAAACCTTCAACGAGAATCACGTCTCCAGCAGTAACTTTGAACTGTTTGCCAAGTAATTGAATAACAGCAAAAAGCCTTCCAACTTCATCTGATTTGATTTTATCATTGATATTCTTAACAGGATCGAGATTTTCGTTATTTAAATTGACAACTTGTAAAGGTTTTGAAATCTCAAGCTTTGATAATGCGGTTGGTGTTGATGAAATTTTGCATTTTTGGAAAAATCCTAAAATAGTTTTGGTTAAATAAAATTTATGAAGTAAATTCAAATTGGTTATTCACCTGTCAATTGATTTATATTAGTTTGACATCTTGCGATACTAACTAATCTATTTAAAAGCATCTTACTGCATTCGTTGAAAAAAAGTTTTAATTCAAAATTTGAGAAAATGTTTCCGGAAAGGTTGCAAGCCGTTTTCTCAAAGGGGCTGCCGCCTGCCAGGTATATTTATGAAAAGTTAGTTACCCCTCTCAAAAAACATTATTCGCTACCGAAAACTAAATTTAACAAATATGCATGGTAGATTAAAAGTTCGTACAACAGCTGAAGAAGCAATTCGCAGGAAAAAAGAACAGGAGTTAAAAGCTAAAGCATATCGTAATGGAAAAGATAAAATTTTTGCTATGAGAAAAAGTGGATCTTTAGATCAAAACTTGTTAGATTTAACATCAAAAATTTTAAGTGTTAATCCTGATGACAGCACGTTATGGAATATTCGTCGTGAATGTATTCTAAAGATGACATCTGGAGATGATCCTAATTCAACACTCTTCGAACGTGACTTGGGATTCACTGAATTATGTCTGCAAGTTCAGCCAAAGTCATATGGTGCCTGGCATCATCGTATTTGGACCCTTGAGAACTCACCTGAACCCGATTGGAATCGTGAAGTGACTCTCTGTAATCTTTATCTTAAAAAAGATGAAAGAAACTGTAAGTTGATTTAATAATTATCAAAATAATTGCGTCATATTTGATGATTCATTCGTTCTTTACTCCGCAGTTCATTGTTGGGATTATCGTCGTTACGTAGTAGGAAAAGCGAAAGTTTCATCTGAAAAAGAACTTCAGTTTTGCGATGAAAAAATTCAGAAAAACTTCTCCAATTATTCATCTTGGCATTATCGTTCTCAACTCCTTCCTATTCTCTATCCCCACAAAACTGACCAAACAAGACCGATTTCGGAAGAAAAGTTAAAAGAAGAGTTAGAACTTGTAATAACCGCAGCATTCACTGATCCAAACGATTCTTCTGCTTGGTTCTATCAACGATGGTTATTGGGATATTCAGAACCTGAACTAGATTTTGCAGCAGTTAAATTTACAAAGACTATTGCAATTATTGCTTTCACAAAACCTGTTAATCTATACGATGACGGAATTGAAATTGTTATCAATGGAATTCCTGAAGTAAACGACAGCAAATTCCTCACGTTTTCTGGATCAAAGAGTAGCACTGTTTGGATTCAAAGAGGAACTTTTCGACTACCAGATGAAGTCAATGTTAACATAAAATTTGACAATAAAATCTGCGAAATAAAAACCAGGAGACTTGAGGGTAATTCATTGATTGGAATAAAATGTCCTTCATTTGGATACGAGTTTGGTGCTGTTGTGATTGATGAGTTAAAAAATCAATTGGAATCGTGTACACAACTTCTAGAGTATGAACCTGACAGTAAGTGGACACTTTTAACTGCTGCACTTCTAATGCGATCTATTGATCGATTTCAATATCACGACAAAACTCGGGAATTTCTAAAGAAATTAGAAATAGTTGACAGTTTAAGAGCCGGTTATTACAAAGACCTTGGCAGCAAATGGTCAATAGAAAACAAACTCAAAAACTGGATTGATAACAATGAATATTTGACTGGAATCATTGATTTAACAGATTTAGACTTAACAACGTTACATTACAATCAATATTTTGTGATTGCAAATGATATAAAACTTGGTGGAAATCTTGAACATAAAAAATTCTAGTTAATCGAATTTTATTAATCTTATTAATATAATTATAGAAAGTAATACTTTCAGCTTTGTATCTTTAGTAAATAATAATAAAAATTAAAGTTTTTTTAATTGAGAATAAAGGGGAAAACAAATTTTGATTATTTTAAAACTTCCCTCACGTTAATGAGAAATCTCACGTAAACCAAAATCAGCACATAAAATTTTAAAGGTTTTCCCTGATTGGCATTGACAGTGAAGGGAATTTCAAACCATATTCAAACCCCAATAACAATAAAATATTATGAAATTTTTTTAATAATTTTATTGTCAATATTGTCCCAAAGCTTAAACATTAAACTTGATTCTTGTTTTAATAAAACTTATTATGATTTCTTTTTTTTCTGCTTTTGTCTTTAAATGAAAGTTATCTTGAATTAAAATTTTTGTAACTTTTTCTTCTTCGTTCTTTACACATGATAAAATTAAAAAATTTTCGATTTCAAGTAATGTTATGCACATAAACTGATTAAACGCTGATCAAAAATGTCTTTGACTGACTCAAATAATTGTTCTATAAAGCAGATAAAGCAGATAAATCAACGCGCTTAACAACGTGAGCTTGACGAATTGATGCATCCAATAGAGCCTGGAAATTACGAAAGAAAAAATTATTTAATCATTTCAGTCATTATTTGTTTGTGCAATCTTCATTTTACCTTCTCCATTTTTTCCTTGCTTGCTCTGCATTACTCAACTCATCTTTAAACAGATATACTCGCATGCCTTTCATGTATTCTTTGATGTATTCTTCCCAATCAAGTGACTGCATGTCAAAGTAAAAAAGCTTTTTATCTTCATTGCTTAGATTGAGCCAGAGTGATTGAACATTGTCGTTTGTAAAGGTCCATTCATTGGTGCAAAAGAACGATATGACATTTGCAAATTTATGAATCTTTTTATAAGTTTTCAACAATCTAAATAATCGGAAAATAAGAATGAATGAAATACATGAAAGATTTTATTTTCTGTCGTTCTACTCACTTTGGTTTCTTGGCGCAGCAAAGAATAATAAAGTCGATTAAAAGTGCTGGTATGATATGCAAAAATATCGTGTAAAGTTTGTTCATGTAGAAAGATTTATGCATGAAAAAGCACATGTACCTTGGACAAGAAACATCTCAATTAAATTATAAAGCAAAATTCCTTAACTCACCATATAGCGCTTGAAAATGGATATTTAAATCCATGCTTGACATTTAAGTCTGTAAATTTACCCCATGTCAATGGATTTTGAACGGAAGATACGTAGTTGTAGATTGGTATCTCGTATGGCTTTTCATTTGTTTCCACATTTTGTAGACCTTTCTTTGTCGCAACATCATAAGCTGACACTATAAGAGCGTTAACTGTCATATCGACTGGAACGATGTTTGCATTGATGTTCTTATTGCAATGCCTGAAATGTTCATAATTCAATTATCTGCAATATAAAAAATAAATAAGAAAGAACTTTTACATTGTTCTTAAAACTCCAGAACCAGCGCCAGCTACAACACCCGTTGGGCCATAAAGATTGTCTATCCATGCGACAACTGGCTCTTGGAATGTCGATGTTACTGCGAAATAAATAAAAGTGTTAAGTAAATAGCAGAAAGTGATGACTTAACATTTGCGCGTGTTTACCGATAGCTGGCCGAAAAACTCCGATTGGCAAATCTCCACTGTAATTTCTTACCAAATCTTCTGCGAGAGCTTTCGTTAGCGTGTATGTGTTGGGCCATTTACAGAGAATTCTGAAGGAAAGTAAATCCAACGATTAATCAATCATCTTCAAGTAGAGACAATGAATAAGTAAATGATGTAAAACAAACATACTTCGGCGTAATCTCTTCAATTGCCCTGTCGTCAAGCTTCGAAATTATGTTCTCCAAGTGATCGTAGCCGATTGGATAATCGTAAAATTTCTCTTTGACTGAATTCAGATGGCAATTTGAGTATGCTGTTGATACGTGAATAAAAGACTGAAAAAGATACCATCGTGGATATGTAAGTTATGCTAAATATTATTTTTAAATCAATACTTTTAAGTTTTTCATCTCTTTTCCTAACTGAATAACGTCTTTCGTCCCATGAACATTGATGTCAACTGCAAGCTTTAAACTCTCATCGAACTTGATGGTTGCTGCGGCATGGAATATAATGCTGATAGTTGACACAAGTGTCTGTCGATCAGTAAGCGATAAGCCTAAGCCGGCAATTGAACAATCACCAGCGACAGTTACAATCTTGTGGCGGAATTTCGGTACTGATTCGCGAAGTTTCTCAAACAACTACAAGAAAAAATCTTTTTGAAAAAATGTTTTATTAATGAAGTAATTAATTTCTTAATTTACTGGATCATCAAACAGTTCTTCAATCCTCGTGTGAATATCTTTCCCCTTTTTCTTTCGTATCAAAAGATAAATGTTTTCAATACCCGGACAAGTTCGCAGAAGTTTGTCAATTAGGACTTTTCCCATGAAGCCTTGAAAAGTGAAATTTTTTTCTCATGAAGTTCATCGGATTTCTTACGATTACGACAGTAAAATAAACTCACCCGTTCCGCCTGTTATGAATATGTTCGCGCCTTCATAAAAATTTTGAACGACTGTGCTGCTTGACATCGTTTCTTTGTTTAAATTGTTCTTGGTTTCGACTATCTTTGATTGGAACATTTTGTTTTATTTCTTTTTAAATCTCTTTTAAACTTGTCACTTTTTATTTTCTTGAAGATATTTGCGTCAAATGATTCTAAGGAATTAAAAGAAAAATTGTATTTGAATTTAAGTTTATCTATAATCCGATTTCAATGTTCATTGATCTTTAAATCAGTCAGATAAATAAAGAATGACAAACTTATCGATGATGGAACAAGTCCAAGTGCAAGAATTTTTGGTGTCAATTTTAAAATATGTATGTAGCTCAAACAAACACAAATAGATAAGTCAATGTTAATCTTTAATGAGATATGCTTAAATATATACTAATGTTAATTTTAAGCTCTCAAATATTTTATGATGATTATGAGATATTTGCAATTCACAGAGAAGCTGAAACTGATCATTCGTGGACATTTATGTTTCAATTTTCAATGCTCAACGTTTCAAAGTCTTTGAACTCTTAAACTACATTAATCGAGCATATTAAATCCGCTTGCTGTTTGTAAGCTCGCGTAGACGCGTACGTAAAGAAAAGAAAAATAGATAAGGAAATACAAAATTGTGTAAAGCAACGAAAAAAATTATTATGTCATATATCTTCATTCATTTTTACACCCGAATATGTGTGCTTTGCTTACACGACGACTTGAAGTAACAATCTCGCGAGATGAAGAAAAGAAGAGAAAACTATTGTGAACAAAAGAAAGAAAAATAAAAAGCAAGAGTGAATTCATGACGACCTTAAAGATACTTAAAGTTATAACATGTTTGAAGTTCGAGATGAAGCTTTTTGATGTAGTCGTAGTCGTAGTCGTCAAAGGATTCAGACAATCAGCAGATGAAATGGAATCATCGGAACGTGGATTTTGAAATATTCACGAAAAACGCTTCTCGTTGCATAACAACAGCAAGCTTATGATTGAGATAAGAGATGCTTGCATGAAAACATTATTCGACAGATTTTTGCGAATATTGAAAGATTGTTAAAGACAAGCCGAAAAACTTTCAATGTCTGTGGCCAATCGAATGAAAGTAAAATCCATTACAGGTTCATTGTACATCAAATAAATCAGCGCAAAATGAAAATTACAAAAAAAGTTAAATAAATAGCTGGTGCCTTTTTTCGTTTAATTAAAAATATCTGTGAATATATACTTTATATAGTATTATATACGTAAATAATTTTTTTTCTCAACAAATATATTTACGCGTTCAACAGCGCAAGTAAAAAGGTGCTTAAGAAATGTAAGGAACTTGCGCGCGCTCGCTTTTCAGTTTTTCAGAGTTTACCAAAAATTAAATGGTAAATTTTTTTACATAATAACCTACTTTGGATATACTTACACACATAAATATATACGTATAAGAAACAGCTCTTTATGAATAATTTTATTACATTAATTTTTAACAGTTTTCTCTCTTTTTTATTGTATTGAATTATGTAATGATACGATTATTATTATTTTGTTTTTTCGGACAAAAAAAGGTTCAAAAAAATTATTTTTGGGGGTCTTTTAATGACGGATACGACGTGATTTTTGTCTTCGGATATTTTTACTTTGTTTTGTCTCTCTTTATACTTTTCTTTGCTTTGCACTTTCAGTCCACTTTCGTTTGATCTAATGTACTGTTATTTGCATATTTAAAATTTCTTATTCTTACGCTTCGCCTTCGCTTTCTTTGCCACCATTCAATATTAAAAACTTTTTCTTTCTTCTATCTGGGTTTCGGTGACTTCTTTAATTCTTTTTGAGAACGATTTCTAAATTTCCTTTTTAATTATTTTTTTTATATTTTCTTGCTTAAATTGAAAGATTCACTTTAGAATATTTTTTGGTTTTTCTCGGTCAATGACTAACGACAGCAGACAAAAAAAAAGTAAAGCTAAACTTTGTTTGAGAATTGAAATAACACACGGCTGAACACTTTATAAACGGATTAATTGATATTTCCGCTCTGTCACTTTGATCAGCTCTGAAGCTTCGCGAAAAACGCACTTTGACTCTTAACGCTCTATCGTGGAATACTTGACAAATTCAAATTTTGGAAATGGTTTTCTCTTTTCTCTTAAGCCTCAACGCAAACAGATTTATTTCCCCTTCCAAAAATGCTGATGAACACGAAATTTTACTGAAACAATCACATATATTGGGAGAGAGGACGCTTTAATAAACGTATGCTCGAGCGGCTTAACTACATATATATCAAGACTCATATCGTTAATATCATCATTCTCTAGAAGCGAAAGTACCAACTCATAAACTCGTAATTTTCATTTTATACACTGTTTATCACATTCGTATCGTATGCTTCAGTTGTAGGCCACTGGGTATGAAATGTAGATGTTCAAGCTTGTATTTTATTTATTTGTTTTCTTTCTTTATGACGAGGGCTCATCATTTCTTCTTTCTCCTAACATTTTTCTTGGTGTTTATGACCACAAACTAGTTTACAATAAAAGATATGACAAAAATGTTAAACCATTAAATATAGGTATGTTTTTTTCACTGATGCTCTTGATTTTACACGCATTCTATTTTAAAGTTTGTTAGTTAGTATTTTGAAAACACACTTAAAATCCACTTGCGACACGTAAAGTGACCAAATACCTTTAAAAATGCTTTGATCATGAAATATACAAAACGTCTGAATGTCTGATAAGATGCTAATATTTAAATGAGGTTGTGAACAGATTCAAGGGTCTTACTTAAATAAGCAACTTAGACGAATTACTTTTGAAAGCGATTGAAATTCTTCTTTTTTTAAAAATCTTTTGCTATCCAATAATGCATATCTAATATTTAATTTTGTCCAAAACATTGAATATCAATTAAGTGTGTCAACGGCAAATATAAGCCAAAATATTTGCTTAAAATTCTACTCACGCGTGAATCATTAAGAAGATGAGAAATTATTAATTTTGAGCTTTTTTCTAGAAAGCTTTCAAGCAAAGCTTTCAGATATTTCAAATTTTATTTGAATTATCGTTAAACTTTGAATAATCGAAAGTTGTAATTCAAAACCGTTGTAATCTTTAGCTTGCAAGTTATTAATAAGTAGGTAGATAAACGAACATTAAAAAAATTAAATAAGGCTAAAAAGCAATTGTTACAAATAACGAAATTTAAAAATTTGAAACAACTTTATCCATGTGGACATTTGTACATCCCCTACAGAAGTTGACATATAATTGATACCCTGTGGCTGAAAGAAGCACGTAACAGTTTTATAGTGCGATTGTAGCTTAATTATTTTAACACTTAATCCATTGAAAAACTCGTGAAATAGTGTCAGAAGTCATTATTTAAAAGATTTATATCTACCAGTTTTGCATTTACTGAATTAATGATCAACGGTGCAAGTTGGAGTGCAATTGGGCGAATAGATGGTAAGAAACAGCCGAACCGTCAATCAAATTGAGTTTTTTTAGAAAACGTAGTAAAATATTGAAATGAAAATATAAAACAAAATTTATTTTAAATAAATAGAAAAATTAATATTTTGTTAATGCGTGATAGTAAATTGTTAAGAAGAATCTTGCCATCATGTAATTATGTTTTAACAATTGATGCTAAAACATTTTAAAGATTATTGTAAGTTTCTATAAATCTGTTTTAACTATTTATAGAATGATTCAAATTTTTGATGCCATAATTAATACAATTTTGTAATAGCACGCGAAATAAACAAAGTTAGACTTTTTCGAAGTTCATTAAACTGTAAGTGGACTAAGAATGGTTTTTTGTTAACATAATTTGATGGAGGAAAGTTTTAATAATCATAACAAAAATAAATTTTTCTCCTTCCGATTATTTCATCAAAAAATTATTTTTTTCGTTCGCTCATCATCTGAAAGAAAGAAAAATAGATTTCAATAATGTGAGCTCAGCATGGCAAAAATAATTCATTGATCCTGTGTAATACTTCGGTTCTACTGTAAAATTACATAAGCTTTTAATTGTTCATCTTTGTTTTCTAAATATTTACAACTTTTCTTTCATTTCCTCTCGTTTTAGAAATTAAACGCAACGAGCATCGAAAAAGTTCCACTAAGACCAAGGAAAAGGTAAAGCGTGGATAATCAAAACTTGTTTTCATAAGTATTTTATCGCGCAAAAAATAACGAAAAAAAATTCCAAGTTCAACCATCGATTTCGACTACTAATGAGAGATTTATCTAGTGTAAGGTTTTAAAATCTGAAGATAAAAACAAGGCTCATTAGTAGTCATAAATTTATTATCTAGGTAGATAAAGAATTGAGTTCCTCCCAGAAAATAAAATATTTGTGACCTTTTTTCTACACATAATCCACATCTTAAAGACATTTGGTTTAATAAACAACAAATTTCGCATGAGAATATAAATAATAAGAGCGAGTGCGGTGTTTTGTGACCTGATTTGCCAAAAATACCGATCTTTATGAAGCGAACCTGACCTACGTAGAAGTTTATGAGTGAAGAAGAATAGAACTGGGTTGGTTGCTACATTTCTTCTACATCTGTCCAAGAAAAACAAACTTTGCAAGGTTTTGAAACTTCGAAACGACAAAACGCCTTTTGATAAGTGAAAATATTTCGTGGAATTTTTTTTCTGAATCATTTTCAAGTTGAAGTTATTTGTAAGCAAAAGCAATTTTATTTGTTTTAATTAATTAAGGTTTAAAAAACGATAATTATCTTAAAGTACTTGAATACAATTAGAAAAATTATCAAAGAACGTCATAACTTGCGAACCTTTATAAGTTTGTGTGTTTAAAGTTAAATTCCCCGGTCTTTACGATGTTTACGTGATAAATTGCACATTTCGTAAGACAAGAGTCGCAGAAAGTATTAAAAAAAATTAGTTCACCGGTGTTAGTTTAATTAAAAAAACCATTGGATTAGCAAAGCACGTTCTGAAATAATAATTTTAAAGACAGATTTTTTTAATCCTTCACAGAATCGATCATCATCGATGTTTTCTCCTAAGGTTCAATCAACACTTGATAAGCATTTTCCATCGAGCTTGCCATCAAAACGTCTTCACATAAAGCAAACCAGCGATGCTGCGTGCTTGACAGGTAAATAAAATTCATTTTTATTCTAATCTTCTTTAATTAAATTAACATTCTTCTTCTTTTCTTGTTCTCTTTAGATCTTTGTAGTAATTTAGAGATAGATGAAGTAGAAATATTTTCTTTAATAAAAGAACATATACCAAAATATAAAATACGTGCTGATAACATCACAACGTTTGCTGGTACAACTAATCAGGATTTTGAATTTGTTCAATTTCCTGCTTTAAACATCCCAGACAACATCGGCCTAGGCTTGAATCCCGACCAAATTCGTGAGACGCTCAATTATTTCCGTAAGTAAACTTCTTTTTTATTTGTTTATGTTTTCATTTCTGAAGTCATGAATGAAATGAAGTCTCGCGACATTTCTTCCCACACGTCAATTCGTGTTATGTCTTTTTTCAATCTTATTATGCGATCATTAACTTATGAGTAAGGGAAAGGCTTGTGAGAGTGAAAAAGAAGAAAAAGGAGAAAAAAGAAGAATTCTCATTCACTGACAACGAATGAAGAATAAAATTTTAGATTATGTTTCATTTGTGTTGTGTTGTGTAAGTCACTCGTCGCCATCATCGTTTGTGGAACACACTCGAACGAACTCGGGCTAAAAATAAAATAAAATGAAAATTTTTCTCTTTAATTTTCGAACGCTCACAGAGTGAAAAAAGAAAAAAATGAAATAAATGAAAAATGCTTTTTGTGCTTCAGTATTCGCTGGACTATCAAAAGTGAACGGATGAGTGTGTCTCGTCGTCGGTTCAATTCAAAACGCGTGTGTGAATAACGAAAACGATAAAAAATCTTTTGCTTGAGGGTTGTGAAAGTGAAAATGGAATGCGTAAATGAGCGTTCTAATTAAAATGATTTATAAAAATTAAGAGTCATCATATATCATTTATCAAGTGCTCGATTAGATATTTTACTTATTCTTCTCTTCCTTCATGTTAAAGGAAATACAAACACATTCACCACCTTCTAACGGGTTTGAAATCATTTATTTTTGGACTTAGAGTAAAATGTTGTTACGCAAAGAGTCAAACAAACAATTGCGAATAATATTTTTGCACTTGGCTTTGTGAAAGAGAAGCAGTTTCTTAAAATACATAAATGATTATTATTATTATTATTATGAAGTATTTTCAATAAAAGTAATGAGAGGACTGAAGAGAAGGTCGCAAAGAGTATGATCAATAAATGCTAAGCACATTTTTTTGTGCCGCTGGTTTGTGATGTTACGTCACGATTCGAAACGCACATGATCATCATCGGCATTGATTTTAAAATTAATAAATTCCTAAGCAGCCATAGTTGTCGAAAAAATATTGAATTCAATAGATTGTTGTCGCTATCATATCAGATAAGTTTTGTGTTTTTTTTCTTCCACTTCTGCCAATTGTATCTTATTGTAATTGAAATAACCGACGAGAAGTAAAAAGATAAAACAAATATAAAAAATTTTACGAGACACTTGAAAGATTGTCCGTGTGATTTTGTCCGAATGATTTCATTGTCCCTTAACTGTAATTAACTAGCTAGCTCGTTGACCGCAAATGAACATAGAAAAATTAACAAACAATGGAGAAAAGTATTTGGGAAAAATCGCCTAAAAGAAAAGAAGGCAAGATCGACATTGAAAATAGTGAATTGTTTGTTACGAAAACGCCTGGTAATTCGAGCTCCGGATATGCCAACACCTTTCGGATTCTAGAAAATCAAATAAAGCGAAAACAGTTAAAACATTCTAGTCTGTTTAGTATAAGTGAAGAAGAACCGACAACTCTCGAACTTGAACTTGCTGCAAGAAGTCGGTTGAGTGAAATGTGTGATACAAATTATAATAAAAGTGAAGCAATCGAAAGTCTGAATAAGCATCTGAAGCTTGATAATGTTCAAAATTTTATTTATCATGTGGCTAAGGGAAGAAACGGCACATTGTCACTTAAACCAAAGGTTCTAAGTCCAACGGCAGTCAACAATGTTGATGATTATGGTAATTTGTTGGAACATCGTTTTTATTATGTTTTTTTTCTTCTTTTTCTGACAACGACTCATGAATGTTGCAAACATCTGTTAAAAACATTCAAATGAAACATTAGATTTTCCAATTTTCCAATGTTTTAATGCTTCCCTAAAAACATTCAACATTCTAAGGAAAAAATCCTTTTTCGAGGTTGAACTTTAAGAAAAAAGTTTATTTTATTAGATATTTGTAAATTACCTTAGATAAGAATTATGTTTAGTCGTGTTGTTGCTAATTTCCGTAAAAAATCTAAATCATCACGGAGGTTTTTAAAAAGCTCAATATCTTCCCCAGAAATAAAAATAAATTCAATTGTAGATGAAAAATTTAATTCAAATGAGATTTTATCATTTGAAGATAAAAATAAGGAAATTGAAGCAATTTTTCAACGTGATGATGATAATCCAATCGTGTCTAATCTAGGTGACACTTATTATCTAATTAATAACGAGACTTTAAACTCATAAATTGTTTCTAATCAAATAATTAAATGATAAATCTTTCATTCAATTTCAGTTTTATCTGGTAAAAGGTGTTCTGAAATGAGTATAGTCTATGACGACATTCAAGCTGTGACTAGACTGTTACAAGAAAAAGAAAAAGTAAGTTAAAAAATCAATTTTCTTACATTTTAAATTAATGAAAATATTTTTCAAGGATTTGGAATTAACGGTGCATATCGGTAAAGAACTTTTGTCACAAAATAATCAATTGGAGAAGAAAGTCGCTGATCTTGAAGCTGACTTAAAAGCTGCACAGGAAAACATCGCTCAAATCAATCATGAGCTTCTGCAAAAGAACGAATTGATTAATATTCTCACAGAAACTGATGAAGTTAATAATGAAGTTGTGTCACCAACAGCCTCAAAGTCGCTCAACTTCAACTTCGATGTTCTTCAAAGGAAAATCAACGTGCTTGAGAATGAAAATCGAACTCTTCATTCAGAAGTTGCACAAGTTGTTAAAGAGACCGATGAAGTTGAAGAACAAGAACGTCGTTTGTTTATTGAGTTAAGTGAACAGTTGAGCTCAACGAATCATCAGTTTGAAGGTTTAACTCTCGAAATAGAGCGTTACAAAGAAGAAAATCGATTACAAAACGAACAAATTGTTAATCTTAGTGCACGACTCTCCGACACACAGCAACGTCTTCACGAACTCATCACAGAGAACGACGAGACAGCATCTGTGCTGAATATTACGAAAGAAAATCAAAATATGTTGGTATCAGAGCTTCAAGATTATAAAGAAAAGTACCAAGAAACATTAGGATTACTTCAGGAAACACAAAATCTATTGAGAGAGAAGAAGAAACGAGCACAACCGTTGGCAAGAAATTCTTACGTTCCAGGTCTTCCCGCTCCTTACAATGCAGAGTCACTTCAAACAGAACTAATGGAGTCATCACTTTTCTCTGAAAATAACAGTCTTGATAGTGGAATCCATTCAGATAATGGACAAACAAAGACTGTGCCGATGTTTAAGAAAGTCTTTGAGACAGTCAAGTGTGCTGGAAAATCGAATGCTTTTAAGAATTCTGATATGTTATCAATGTCGAACTCAACAGAACTCATCACATCACAACCACGCATGTCAAGTTCTATTTATTCATCGTCTTCAGATACTGAAAAGTCAATTGATAAACTCGGTTCTTACTCAATGTACAGTTCGATTTACGGGAATATTGGCGTTGGGTTGAAACTCGACGATAACTTTATATCATCAGATTCTGATGATGGTTACACAAATCGAACAACATCAGGTGTTCCTGGATGTCCTGGAGCTAAGGATCTTGAAACAGCTTTAAAAAATCTTTCATCAGCTGAGATTCTCGCAAGACGAACGATGTTATCGCATGCTCCAGCTGGAACTTACTCATACGATGATCCAATGACACCAGAAAGCATTTTCTCTCGTTCGACATCAACCACACTTTCTCAATATCGTTATCCAAAGAGACTTGAGATTGTCAAGCCATTGGAGGTAAGAGATACATCTTAATATTAAATTAAAATTTTCAAATTTCTGTGCCCTTCGTAATTCAAATTTAACGAATTTGTGAAAATCGATTGGAAAATCAAATTATTTAATAACTAAATTATTCTGTCATCCTACAGGGTTCATATACATTAAATCATTGGAAAGGACTTGCCACACCTGCAATGAGTGGTCTTCTTCATGACAATGAACGTGTTAAAGTTCGTGGAGAGAAAGGACTCGATGAACTCGGAATGCAACTTTATTCTCTGTTAGATGTCGAAGAAGATATTGATGAACTTCCTGGAAAACAATTTGATACATCGCCATGCATTTATACATACACGAATAGTTGCGTAATGCATCCTGACGATGGTACATCGAGTATAACGTTCAGTTTACCACCTTCGCAATTATCATCACGTGTAGAGTCACGACAAACGACTTGTCCATCAACACCACGTTCATTGTCAAGAAGAAATTCTTGCAGCACATTTTCGGTGAGTTTGGGATTGGCTTTTATGCTTAATGAGCGGGGAATCAAAGCAGTCACACCGAGTTGTCTCAATACTCCGGCGGGCGTGAATTTTTCACCAACTGTGACACCGTGCAACTCACCTGATGGTCGTTTGTCACCAATTTCTGGTCATTATGATGTGACAGAAACTTCATTGACAAGTTTTCTTACATCAAGTGCTGGTGTCTTAAGAAAAAAAAGTGATAATGGACAAGAATCGTCTTCAAGAAGTTCGATATTGCTTGAGAAGAGGGCGAAAATGCGATCAATTCGACTGATACAACAAGGAGAGAATCTGGGAATTGAAAATATTCTTTCAACTTCATCGAAGCTTGTGAGTCCACTTGCACTTCATAGTTCGAATATTTATACAAGATATAACAGTCCAATGGCACAGTTGACGAGTCTTAAGCATTTGTCAGAAAAGAATAAAAAGATTGATGAGAATGAGAAAGAAACGACAAATGAAAATATGTCAACAACAGATACGAGTGTTTCAACATCGAGTGCTGTTGTAAGATCAAAACAAAAGATGCAAAGATCAAGATCGAGAAGAAATCTGAATGGTGGACAACGAAGAGATCTGGGAACTGTCAATAATATTAAACGTGAGAAAAGTGATAACGAGAAAGTTGAAGAAGAGAAATCTTTAGTCGGTGGCTTTGTTGGATCGATAAGTTCGATATTCTTCGGACGTAAAGGCGGTCTTCTTTAACTTCATTACGCTTAGAATTTTTTTTAACTTATAGTTGATCTTTGTGGATATGTTTGTAGAATAAAAGAAAGAATATTTAATTTACATTGTACGAACGAATGTTCATTCGCTATGAGAGTCATCACACAATTAATTATTATCAGCATACCTTACATTTTTAAAAAGAAAATATTTATTTTAAAAAAAGAAAAAGAAATTTTGCTCTTAATGAAATATCAAATGAAATGAAATTTTGTTACTTAGTTTTTGCCAATAGGAATGTTTGCTTATCTATACTTAAATGCTTTACGCTTAAAGAAATATTTTGATTGTCATCTAATGCACAATTTAATTAGCTTTGTTAAATGTGACGATAGATATGAGAGGAGACTTGGAAACTTGTTTGAGTTTTCTTCGGAAATTGCCTTAATTAAAATGGTCATAGATAAATGATTAAATATTCTTTAAAAGCTCTAAGTTGATGATCAGTTATCTCTTAAAAATATATTGTATAATCAACATACGACATTGAGTTTGATAAATGTTGAAGTTTCACCTTTCGTTTGGCTTAGAATAGATGAAAGATTTGAAAATAAAAATAACAATTTGTTGATATTCTGAATGGAAATGAAAATTGTATATTTTTCTGAGATAATTAATGAAAATAATGGAAAATCAAAAAAAAGTATGAATAAAGTATTACAGATGAATAAAGATTTAAAACGAATTCTCATTCTTTTCTCAATGTTCCTTTTACAGTTCCACTTATTGGATTTCATTGAAACTTCCTCAGAAAATTCCTATCTACTTGATTTGCTTGTTTAAAAATAGTTTCAGGAATCTTAAGAGATTTAATTTCACTCAAGCAGACAGAAACCGAAATAACTCATGAACATTTATATGGTCACAAAATCTACTAAAAATCATCATCAGGTCTAATAAATTAAAAGAATTCTATAGACAAATATTCAGGTGAAATTTTATGACTTATTTTATATCTTGAAATATAAGATTGTAGAAAATTTATTCAAATGCATAGTTAAAAGCCGAATAAATTTTTAATAAAATGCAAATTTTAGTTAAATTTTAGTCAAATTACTTTAACAGGTGTTGAAGACCTGAAGAATCAAATGAATGTCAAAGAGTTTGCTTTGTTCCATAGTACACCCATAAAGAATATTCCGTAATTAATCACAAGAAGTTAAATTTGACAATTAGTAAATGCAATTTAGAGAAAGTTTTTCTCAGCAAGCAATTTTTCTCACAATCAATTAAATTATGTGGTGAACTAAAAGCTTCTCTATTTGTTTGTTCACTACGCTCTACAGTGAGAATGAAGTCTTCTGGATCATAATTTACCTTATATAACTTCGAGAATATTTGTGTAAATAATAAAGAAATTTTTGCTTTTATTTTCATGTAGGCAGGTTTTGAAAAATATTTCTAAACAGTTTAGAATTGTTTATAAATATTGTAACCATTTATAAGCATCGTCTCTTTTCTTTCAGATTTTCAAAAATTAACAACTGAGAAATGATATCATATTACTAAATATGTTTCGTATTGAGATGTCTGTAAGAATGTTTAAATAATTAAAATTGTTCGTTCTAAATTTAGCAACATTTCCTGATGTGTTTCCGATTTTCATCAACCTTCAAAAGAAAAATAAAAAAAGAGCGTTTCAAGTTAGTTCTCTGACAATTCGATATTTTTATTAAGTATATAAGCATACATCTGATTCATATATTTTTTGTGACATTTATTATTATTACTCTCAATGTTCTTTTTTATTTGTTTGTATAATTTTGTTTTTCATTCATAAATGGACAAAAATTCTTTTTTAGTAGATGTTTGTAGAGAGTTTGAGTTTTTGTAGGAAATTAGACACTGACAATGTTTCAACTTTAAACATGAGTCAGAAATTCAGGAGATTTAATTTTTTTATAAAACAATTATTGACGAACAAGAGGTCGAGAAAAAGCCTCACATTATGGCTGCTGAACTTTATTAATTATCCAATTAGTTTTCTATTTACGAATATACTTTTAAATTTAAGATGCATAAGACATTGTTCCATCTTTTATACCCTTATTACTCTTATTTGATATTAAAAATACATTCATGAATCATTTATTCGATTGAAATTTAAATTTCTTTTCCATTTTCTTTAAATAAGTTTTCATTTTCCATTTTCTCTTCTAGATGATTTACTTTTAAAGTCTTAATTTCTAAAGCGATGAGCCTTCATTTCTTCTTATTAGGTACTAGTCATAATATTTTCTCTGATTATTATTATTTATTTATTTTATTATTTAGACCAGATGATTTGTCGATTATGTTTGTGGTTTATGATCAGTCGGAAGTGATCATGAATTAAGTCAAAATATTATTTGAATATAACTAGATATTTACTCATTTAGAAAGCTTTTGATTTCGCATTCAAAGTTTCGAAAAAGCTCAATGATTGAAGAAGAAATTCATGTTTCCCAATAAGTATTAAAAGTCTTTCAATTTCAAAAGAAAATATTATTTATGATTGACGGAACCCATGATCAGTTCCAAATATTCTTTATCTTCAATTAAAAAGGAAGATTCAATATCTAAAGACGAAAGATATGAAAATCTATGATTGTTAATCTCTTACTTATCAGTGCACAAGAGTCAGACTAGATTTCAGTTTGTGTTTATGTTTATGTTCTTCGTTTTTGATTTAATTACGATTGGACAATTGGATGCCAACAAAACATTGGTTTTCTAGGATTATGAATCATGTCGAGCCAATGATCACGTCCAATGGTGTCATCTTTTCCAATGCTCTCATCTAAGCCAATTCCACACGATCCAATAGCGTTCGATTCGTCTGATCCATTCTCAAGAACATAAAGCTGAAAAATGAAAACATTTTGCTTAAATTTCCTCGTATAGTCAAAATAACTCACTTCAAGTCCAGAATTATTAAACGACGATGATGGCAAATTAAATGTAAAAGCTTCATTCCAAGTGTGATCGGTGAACGATTTTTTCGAAAAATTTGTCTTCTTCTTTTTTATTCTTTTACCATTTTGAATCAAATAAAACTTGACGTAAATTTCATCAAATTCCAAATTTTTGGCTTTCATAATGACGACAGTTAATCGTTCAGCTCCAGGAAGAAAGTTCAATGAAATAAGCAATTCGGGACGATCTAAATGGTGACGTTTGACACGAATGATATCGCCCCAAATTTCATTTGATTTCGTCAAATCGATGTCAACGATTGAGACTTTCAACTCTCCTGATATGTCACTTGAACATTTGTCTGCGTCGAGTACCTAAATAATTGAATTTATCACTAGAATTGGTCACCCAAAACTTTTGGGAAGATAACTCAAAAGACAATAAACTTACATGGAGAATCAATTCTTTCTCGGAAAGTTGATCCCTCGAGACAGGAAACTTAAAATGCTGATTGAAGTAGGGATTCGTGTCAAATCGAAAAATGTTAGTCTCACGTTTTCGTTGGTCAATTTCTGGTTTGAGTTCGAGACGAACGTACACTTCACGAAATCCGCCTTCTTCAAATGGACTCAAATTGTGAGCTTCGATCAAATGAATTTGTAAATCGCTACATTTTGAATCGTAGTTAACACGTAAATGAAGCTTTCCAATGCATGTGCTGTTTTCGGGGGCATTTATAACAATAGGACCAGCCTGTCTTGTATATAAATCGAGTTGCAATGCACCCAAAGGACTTTAAAATCAAATAAAAATAAATCTACAATTTAAACTTCATAAAATTCTAACTCACCTTGGAGGTGCTGGATTGGAAGTGCACGCGTCACTTCTCGGTGGAAGTAACAAAGGCGGGCGATTGATTTTCGATGATGAACTTGATTGTAGAAGATTCGACGTTGCGCCAAAGAAAAGATTCGCCTGCGATGGACTCGATGATTTAAGATTTGCATAATCAGACGGTGACATTGAACGTGCGTCAAGACTTATTGCTCTGAGGTCTCTCATGGGACTTGGTGAACGTGAATGCTGTAAGAAAATGTTTGTCAGAACCACAGGAATAAATCCAAATTTAATTAATCAACGTACAAGAAAACGTGAATCGTGACCATCACCAGTTGAAAGCCCTGAAAATCTGATTTGTGGTGATGAACCGCGTTGCTAATAAAAAGAAGAAATCATTAATAATTAATTCATTAAAATTCCAAACTTCTTGTTAAGAAAAAGTTATCTCACCTGATGTAAATTTTCTAAGCTGCTTTCACTTGATATACTTGACGTTCGTTGAAGGTGACGTGGTGGAAATGATTTACTTTGATGCTGCAAAACTGCAGATGATTGTGGTGAATTGGTCTTAACATTGCATTCCTAAATGTGTATGAGAGAAATAAAAAGAAAGAAAAAAGTCGTGGACAATGAACTAAAAATTTATTCACATAAAAAGATTCTTGAACCTCGAATGAAGAATTTGCAGACTTTTGCGATTCTCTTTGCATGGAGCCGTCATCAGACGATGTAGAAGTCTTGGAATCGGAGAGATTTGGTGTGGAATCTTGTTCCATTGAATCACCTGTAGCACGTTTCACTCTCTCCTTAGCCAACTTACTCCAATCATTCAAACGATGGGCGAACCACATTGGTGCACTCATCTTCACCTTGAAATTTCTTTTTCCTTATCTAATTTGTAAAAAGACTTTTTTCTCACTCGACTTTTTCTTTGGGGAAGAAGAAAAAAGCTTTTCCCTTGTGCTTCAATTTTTATTTTGTTTAAATTTCAATCTTTTCTAAAACTTTTAACTACGATTTTATTTTTCTTTAGAATTTTCCTCACGAGTGTAGTAAATAATAAAAATTTTCTTTCTTTCTGTTTTATTTTTTATATTTTCTTTACGCTATTACGCTTTGCGAAGCAACAGTTTACTAATAAACGCGACAATATAAAAAAGGAAGAAAGACACGAAAAAAGAAAAAAAAGCTCTCTGATGATGAAAAATTACTCTCCACTCATGCGTTTTTCAGCTGCTTTTCCTGTTCTTCTGTAGTTCGCTTAAAATTTTACTGCTTGGACTGTTTGGCGCATTGAGAAAATCTTGTTGAATTTTTCCTTTTCTTCCTTTTCTTCCATCACTGTATCACTAAATGACTTTGTGTAGCATGATTGGAGCCGTAGTGTCAACATCATCTGCGATTTATCACCGATAATAAAAAAAATCAACACAAAATCCCTTTAAAAAGTTTAATCAAACAGGTGTGTAATGTAACACAGACTCTTCGTTTTGTGCATTTTTTTTTCTTTCCTTCATCAAAAAGTAATAAAAAAGAGGGAATTAAACGAAGAGTCTGCGTAGTTATGAGTTTTGGAAGGAAAGTAGAAGCGACCAGGGTTGGGCGAGAAGTGGAAGCGAGAATGAGAGAAGGAGAAAGCCTTGAGAAAAGCACAACAAACAATGTCAAAACAATGTTTGAGAATGCCAGAAAATTCCGGAGAACAAAATTGCGGCAGATAAGTTCTACTTCAATTATTTCTTTGTAAGAGCGGCGAAACTGCAATGAAGGCTTTTGTATTTGCGTGTACCATCGACACCTTCAAATGCAAAAGCTTTCATTGCAGTTTTGCCGCTCTTACAAAGAAGTAATTGAAGTAGAACTTATCTGCCGCAATTTTGTTCTCCGGAATTTTCTGGCATTCTCCAATGTTTTCTCGTTATCAACTCTTTTTTATTTTTTTTGTCTCCTAAAGCAAATATTTAAGTTTTTTGGTGATAAAGAATTTATTCGCTGCTACAATATTTTTTTATTTATTTTTATGTGTTCTCTACATGATATCAATTTGTGTGTATGCGTTTTGATAAAAGCTTCATATTGGAATGGCATAAACAAACAATTTGCTCTTTAAATCGTCTTCTTATTACTCTCCGTTGGGATCAGATTTATTTTAAATACAAATATGCGTTCATGAAAAAGGATATGTTTTGACAGGCAGATTGATTCATCTATAAAACGATCATTGGATGCATTCATAAATTACGTGTACAGAATTGACAAAATACTCAACTTACCATCCCTGTAATATTTCTTTATTTAATCCTTTTCTAATGAATACTTTTTAGGGAAAAACACGTTAAAAAACTTTCGTGACGGAATTTATGAATACATTTTAGATATATAAATAAGGAAAAAAGCTTCAAATAAATACTTGAAAGCTTCAATAAATATTACAGAATCAAAATTATTTAAAATTTGTTACATTTCAACCTAAATTAAATCTTCAATGTAAAAATTGAACTTTGAAATCTAAAAAGTGCTTTTGAGATACTTTTGAATACAAATTTAAATTTTCATGCTCGAAAAGTTAAAATCCAAGAACAAAAACTGTTTGTTGTAACTTGCAATGTGACAAACAACTTTCTCTTCGTGGTGGATATTTCAAAAAAAAAAACAAATAAGAAACAATTGTTTAATTAAATAAACATAGTCGAAGATTATTTGAACTCTTTTTTATCTTACATAACGGGACGCAAGTGCTTCAATTTCTTAGAAGAACAAATGAATGATGAGGATGATCTCAAAGCTGTATCATAAATCTGGAAAACGATTTTCATCCTCGATGTAATCCGCAGGTATTTCAAATAAATCCGATTGAATGTCATCACGAAATTCAAAATCCTGGAAAGTGATTTTCGCTGATACAGTCGGCACCAGGGGAATGTCAACCTTAATAGGAAAGCCTTTCGGTAGCTTTAATGATACAAAATCGCGGAGCTTCGCAAAATGTTTGAATGGCGCAATTATTTCAAGGACGTTAAGAAGAATGTCGATCGAAAGTGGAAAGTCTTGCGACATGGCGATTGTGGCTTTGAGGGTCTTTTGTGATTTTTTAAAGACGAGATCACGTCCTAATGTCGGTGCTTCATCTGCATTGATATATTCCTCCCACGAAACATTTTTATTCGTTGGTGGCTTTAACGATGCTCTTCGTGGAATCTGAATAAACAACAAAAAAATCTTTAATAACTTTCTGACATGAATGAAATAAATCTCACTTCAACATTAGGATCAACTTCAATTGGTGTTTTCGTCAACGATTCAACAATTGAAGTTTTATTCTTTTGAAGATCTTCACGATTAAGATGTTCACGTCGTTTTCTCTGTTCCATCGTCAAACCATTAACATGATAAACATCACAATTGAATTGAGAAATTTTCTCTTTTTTGTCTTCACGAATAAACCATCCAGTCTTTGCAGGCGAGAAACTGATATTCTTTGTATTTAACTTGGCGTTAACGATGTCACTCATCATTAGCAAATCAATTTCATCTTGAATTTCCATTTCATTTTCTTGCGTTCTCACTGTTTGATAACATTTAGCTTCATTGTCCATTGCGGTGATCATGGAATCACTATCACCACGAAAAATGAAGCTAATGTCACCACGTTGCCAATGCATCTCATTGAAATCAATTAAAGTTGAATCGAGACGAATCTTTGATCCCGATTTGTAAATTTTACAAATGTCGTTCGGTAGGATTTTCGATAATAACGGCACCCAACTTGAGAACTCCCATTTGAGTTCAAGATAGAAATCAGCAATTTGATTAAGTGCCAAATTAAGTGATGGTCTTCGTTTTGAAATTGATTCTCTTGTTTGTTCCTTTAATTTCCTAAGAATTAGTTCAATAATTGCTCGGTCTCCACGAGATATTGCTTCCGCTAAAGGTGTCCATCCACATACATTTTTAACATTCACCGTTGCATTGTTTTTCAACAGCAGACAAACACATTCTTTAAAGAAAGATAAAATTATGAATACGTTGACATGAGATGAGTGGGAAAATGTTTGGGAAAACTTTTCAGATATTTCACATACCTTTCCGCCCAAGCATCGATGCTAAATGTAAAGCTGTGTTGCCGTGTTTATCCTTTGTTCAAATAGAAAATGGGTAAGTAAATTAGTGATTAGACACAAATTGATAAGATAAAAAATTTCTCTCTTGTCACCTTTTTATCAATCACATCCTTGTTAAACTTTATTATTTGGTTTAGCTTCTTTAAATCGTTATCGAAGATGCACTTGTGAAGCTCGAATTGCTTCTGATCGTCCTTCTCACCTTTTGAGCTTTCCATGATCAAAGCTCGAATTTTTATTGAATTTTTCTTTTTAAAAAAAAGATATTTGAGTCTTACAAAAACATTTTCACAACTCTGCTTCAGCACCACTTAACAAGCCTAATCATGTAGTTCCCCGGAAAGTAGTTTCAGGTGGAGAGTGTAGAAATCTTCGGAATAATATTTATATGACAAAATTTCGGAATTTTGGTCCACTTTGTATGAAAAACTGAAATCCACGCAAGTCGAAATCAACAAACCAGGGTCACCACGAGACCTTTATGCATGATTGACACCGCGCGAACGTTCAACTAAAGGGTACAAGAATGTCCACTGTGATATTTAAAAGATTTCAATCAAACTGTAACTGAAAAAAAGATTGCAAATCAAAACAAAACAATTTTTATGATTTTATGACAAGATTAATTGCTTTTATTGTAATTCTTCATCATTTTAGAGATAATGTCTTTATCATAGTCCATGAATTTCTTAAGTCGTACACCGGTCATGGGAAATTCTTCAGGATATTTTCTCAGCTGTAAATAATTAATGTGGTTTCGATTAGAGAAAGTAAAAAAAAAAATTGAAACATTTTCAATCGATTTTATTCAAGTAGGTATGTATTTAACTTAATTTTACTTACTTTCCTCATGATTATTAATTAAGTGTTTCTTGTCAGTTTGGTGAGATTTTTGCGTGGGCGTCAATTAAAGTGTCAATATGTTTATTCAAATGTATTTAAATGTTTTTACTTCTTTCAATAAATTAATATTGATACAATCTTATTACTTTAAGTGTAAATTATTATACTAATTACGAATTTTTATGTGATAGTGCGAGTTACATCCAAAAAAGCTTTTGTTACCAAATGTTTTCTTTCAACCTCCACCGACAAAGCATGATTGATTTTTATGTACATCAAATTTTATTGTTTATTAAAGAATTACTGTTAGCAAGAGAAGATGAATAAACTTAGCAAATGCTGTTTATTGTTAGGAAAAAAAAGTTCACGATGTTATGGAAGAAAATGTTAATTGAAGATCAGAAACATCAAAATATTGATTGCTTTACGTTTTTACTATTTTTCTCTTTTTGTATAAAAATAGCAAATAAAAGAAGGTTCAAGAAAGATATTGTGAAAGATTTCTAAAATCTAAACTTCATTAAAACGCTACGAAACTTTTTGATCTAAAAACTAAAATTTAAAGAATACTTTTGAAATATTTCTAATAACTAAGGTAAAAATCTAATCATTTAAATAACTATCAATTAAAATCGCGATAAGGAAAAATTCCTTTCATCATGTCGTTTTGGTTGCATGGCTTAAAGCCCTACATGTGACGGTATCTACAACGTCATTTATTCATCTAATCGTCTTAACTGTGATTTTTCTTTCATAAAGAAAATTTGGAGTAACGTTTCTGTAAAAAGAATACATGAAAGTAAATATTTTTTCTTTTCATTAATGTTGATGGTCATTAAAGGTATTTTTGCAATGTTAAAATGCAGCACACAGTAACTTAAAACTAAAGCAGAAAAATGTGGTTTTAATATTGCTCAATGTAAAAGCGCTCGAATGAATAAGAAATTAATTTAATTGGGTAAGATTTTCAGTGATGTAAATAAACGCGCCACTTTCAATGTCTTGAAACTTTCAACTCACCATTATTCTGTACTTTTCCTTGCATGCAAATTCGGTTTCATCAACATCTTGGTAACAATCGGTTTTGGCATCTTCAGGCTTTCCAGCACCTTCATATTCGCAAAGTTTATTCAATGGATGAGCTCTAGAGGATTACAAATTATTTATAAAAAAAAAAACTTTGATATTTGCAACTCACTTGACGATCATCTTGTCAATGCTGTATGATTTAAGTTGTTTGTTCGGGACTGGGCAGTAAAACATATTTGGATTTTTCTAGAAATAATATCATAAATAAGTCATAATGAATTTTTTCTAACTTAAGTGTTATTTTATGTTATTTCTTAAAATTATTTATGAAAAAGCTTTTAATCAAGCTCTCAATAAATCATATCTTCATACCTTATCATAAATAATCATCTTTCTCATCATATCTTTATCCTTCACTTTAATTGCTTTCTCTTTGGCAGCCGTAATGCTCACGGTGCATAAAATTACTGCCAAAAGTATCAGTTTCATCGCTGTAAAATATTAGTGAACGAAGAAAAGAAAGTTTTAATTGTTGAAGCTCAACATATATTGCGCAATAAACATATGTGGTTTAATTCATTAACATTATTCAGTGACTTCATCACACAAAATAGGAAATTCCATAAAATAAATACTGGAAAAAACAATAACAAAATAATTGTGTCGAAATACATCTTAGATCATCCCATAAAATCATTTTACAGTTGTGAAGATAAATTTAAATAATGAATTTGTATGTCTCAGTTCACTTTACTCATTATGGTCAACAAGAATACGCGACGAGATATTTTTTTGGTCTCTTCCCACTACAATGATATCTCGCAAAAACGGATAAACTGAGGTAACTTTTCAGTGTTAAATGCTTCACAATGTCCACGACTGAAGATTTTTTAAGTATTTTTTGTTCATTTATCAACTTCTAAGTTGTTGTAGGAGTTTTAATGAAGACCAATTAAAATATTTGTGCTAAAGTAACTGAAATATCAACTGCTACATTAACAGATCTAAAACTTGTTTGACCACTTTTCAACTTTAAAATTCTATCATATGAGCTCTTTATAGAGAATGAAGTAATTAATCGTCATGTCTGAATCTGCGCATTATGTGCACAATATATGTAACATTTTAATATCCCGTTAAGCACTACAAACAATAAAAACAAAAAACTTTATAAAAAAAGTGAAAATTTAGAAGAAAATGACTGTGAAAAAGAACAACAAAGCTTCAACCTTTAATGATTAATATTTCTTTCACGCGTTAACAAAGATATGTTGATTCAAGTGTGTGGTTTAAAGACGACTGACTTTTTTTGAAGTTTAAGATCGCGAGATTCAACACCAACCCATGCAAACATTCATTGTTTCTCTCTCACCAACATTCACAAACTTTAATCTCTTTGTACATATATTCATAGCTTACGAAATATGCGTCAAGCTTTTGAAGCTGAAAATAAATTAATTTTCAGAAAAAGAAACATTTTTATGATTTTGATTTTTTAAATTTTGCAATTTATTTATTCATATAATCGATTATATAGTTTTACATCTCAAAGAGTTGTTTGTATCATCTTTCATGACAATTCAATTGTTTATTTACCACCATCATCATAATCATCATTAATATTATCATCATCATCATTATAATCATATTTAGGATCAATGCATAATAAACTTTGTTTTTTTTAATTGTGTTCAGGATCGTTTCTCATTATGAATCAGCATAGATTTTACTTGAATAGAAATGAATATTTTTTTATGCTGCTAAGTAATCTTTTCCTCATGTACGTGTTTTGATTTGTCTTTTCTCAAACTGTTGTGTTAATTTTCTTAAACGATTTTTTTTAATTAATTTAATTTTCCAGAATAGATAATTTCTTACAGCATCAATTCATAATTAAATGTGGATTAAGATATTTAATTCTTCCTTTTTATTTTAATTAATGGCATATATTTTTCTTTCTTTTCTTTTTCTGTGGGGAAAATGGAAGTATGCAGATTAGATAATAAAATTTAATAGAGGACCAGCGAAAAGTATTTTCGTGTATGCATTGCAAGTAAAAATAGTGAATATTTTTTTAATAATTTTCTTTCTTGATTTTCCAAAGGAAATGAATTATGTATTTTAAAAAAAGCGAAGAGTAAAAAGACATTCATTTACTTAGTTGATGCATTCAGTTTTCTTTCCACCGTTGTTATTACCAGATTGAAATCCAGGTGGTGGAATTGACGACATCGGAATTGGAAATTTATCGTAGCTGTTATTTGTAAAGCCATTTGCCAAATTATTCATGTGATAATTATTGAGTAAGTTTGAGTGGGAAAAGACCTAATGATAAAAAGGCAAAATAAAGATAAATGTTATCAATAATTTCGAGACATTTACCTGCGCCGGGGATGTTTGCGACTGCATATTCATTCCATGATTCATACCAAAACCTTAAATTCATAAGATTTCTTTCATGAACACAACGTCTCTTCAAGTTTAATCTTACGTATATGCATTACCTTGCTGATTTAATTGTGACATGTACATTTCATTATTTTGCGCCTGCTGTTGTTGTTGGGGATTATTGAATTGTGGAAATTGACGATAAGACACAATCGCTGGATCGAGTGGCAATGAGCTCCAGTCTGGGAAATTGTTTCCAAAACCTTTAATTATTTAATTTCAAAGTATTCAAGATTCAATTACGAATTTCTCGAATATATATTTGTAATAAGTTGTCAGATACTTACCACCACTTTTATGTTGTTGTGGTGGTTGATTATTTTGATGTGGTGGAAAACTGCCATCATTTGAATTTTGATTGAAGCCCATATGCATTGGCCAATTATTTGGCGGCTGCTGCATCTGTGATGAATTTTGCATGTTTTGAACAAAAGGAAATTTGCTACCAGCTGATGAAAGAATGAAAAAAAAATTAAACTTTTCTCAATAAAATGAAAATAATTGAAACTTACATTGTGATCGTGGTGACGCCGTTCCAAAGTTATTGAAACTATTATTTTGAATATGATTAAAGCCTGGTGGTGGTGGCATTCTTGCTCTTTGTCCATTACCATTCATTTGTTGTTGCTGTGTTACTTGTTCATCATTTATTAATTCTGCCAATGCTTTTTGTGTCTCCTTGAATGGATCAAAACCTAGCAAGAAAAAAAGGGAAAAAAAATTAATATTAATTAAATTTTGAAACAAACCTGGAAATAAAACTTAAAAATAAATGAAATTATTTGAAGGTCAAGAGCTGGAATTATAATTAAATGGTAAAGTCCGTAACTTTTTCTTTCACGTGATAAATAAATCAGATAGGCAATAAATAAAAATTTTGCGCAACTCACCTAAGTCATCTTCAACTGATTGATTGACATATTGCGATGAATTATTATGCATTCGGTTCTGTTGATTGTTGTTTGTATTGAATGGGATATTGCTGCCATTATCGTATTTATTATTCATTAATCTCTGCTTTTGTAAGTGCGACAATCCTAAAAACATAAAACCAATATTTTTAATTGAAAACCCTTTCAAAGATTCATTAAGATTAAAGTTTACCATTTGCTTGTTCCATTCCACCAAAGCCTCCGCTATTTTGATTCATTCGATGATGACTATCAAGTAGATTTGCCATGTTTAGTTGATCAGTAAGATTGGAATTATTCATCATAAATTGATTCTGCTGTTGTTGCTGTTGTTGATTCTTATGAAAATCAAAGAATTTTGACATGCTAGGATGAACGTGATTCATATCAGGATTATTGTGATTCATTCTTTGCTGCTGTTGTTGTTGTGAATATTGTTGACTGAACATCATGCGATTCATTTCATTTTGTGCAAACATGTTGTCGACATTGTTTTCATCTAGATGAATATAAATTAATTTTTTGTTTTGATGAAGAAAAATACGAAATTGTGAATGCGTCTTAAATTTTGCATATTTATGAGGAAATTTAAGCCGCCTTCACAATTTATTATTATGTGAGAGAATCAATCGCGCTTCTTACTGTTGAACATGTTAAATTGATGTAATCCCAATCCACTAGATAATCCTGAATGCTTTCTTAACTCTTGACATCTTAACCATTCTTCTTGCTGTTGTTGTTGGTCCTCGTACTGTTTGTTCTTCATCAAATATTTGAAAGCCGATTCCCAATCGTCGTGAGTATTCTCACCATGATTACCACTCATTGAACCGAAACTACTTAAATTTTTCAACAATTGCTTTGGATCTAAATCCAGGCTCATGTTATTATTATTGTTATTCATAGTTCCATTGAGTAGGTCAGGAAGTTGAGCATTATTCATTGCTTTACTATGCTCTGTACTTCCATCAAGCTTTGAGAATGAGTTAAAGCCGCGTGAGAAGAAACTTGAATTGTCATCAAATAAAGCAAGTTTTGACAATCGCGCTAAAGAGATAAAGAAATAACATTAAATGGTCGACTCATGGTCGAAATCATTGAATTAAATCAACACTCACCTGACGTATCCGCCAAACTATTATTTCCATCTTTTATCTTCTCACTATTTCTATACAAAGATGTTATATCGTTTGTTTCGATAATACTATTTGATGATGGCGATGATGATGATGATATAATCGATTTATTTTGCTGATCATTTTGCTGCTGCTGATGTTGCTGTTGAACTTTGTTGACATTCATCGTTGGTTCATGATGTTGCTGTGATGACGATGATGAAGCCGCCGCTAGAGTGCTGGTTGTTGCTATAACATTAATTATGTTATTAGCTTGCGATAAATGATGACCAGGATGTACTGGATCAGGGAATGAACTTGGCGGTGAACTTTTGCCACTATCACTTTCACTTATTGTTCCACTATCAGATGTGCTGCTGATAGACGGTGTGTCGTCAGTGTCATCCGTCTCACCCAGCTCATCTTCGAGATTATTGTTACTATTATTATTGATTTGCATCGTAGATGTTGCTGACGTTCCCTTCACTTTATCGCGATTCATTTGTTTTTGACTCTTTCCTTTTATTTTCTCGGTCGTTTTTAATTTTTCATGTCGTCTATTCGACTCGCTTTTTGAATTCTCTTTATTGCCGCCTTTTCCGTTTGCTTTACTCTCTTTTATAGTCACTGGTGATGTTGATAAGCTCGGCCATGCTTCACTCTGATCATTTGTCGATTGCGTGTCTTTTTCTTTTACTATATCCGGTGTTGGATTTACGCATGCATTGTTGTTGTTGATGTTGACAACGCCACCCGGCACAGGACTTTCTGCTTGCGGTGAATCACTCAATGGATTTGTTGTAGTTTGTTGAGATTGCTGTTGCATTTGAGCAATGAGAGCATCGTGAAGTCGCTTTTCATACTCTTGATGTTTCGCTTGATGCATTTCTTCTTTCGTAAAACTCGCTTCAGCATCGCCAAGCTCATGCAGATACATACAATCGGGCTTTGGACAAACCTGATTTTTCATAAAGTGCGAACAATACTTAGTCGTGCCGAGACTCGTCTTTATCGATCGATTATCAATGGTGATGTTATTGACACTTTGAATGGCTCGTAAAGCATCGTTATTATGAACGTACGTGACATATGCCGAAGCAGATGGTCCTTGCACACCCGCATATGTCGTACTCGGATTAATAACGACTTTATGAATCTTTCCATACTTTCCAAAATATTCGTGTTTCTTGAGAATTTCAGCATCGGCAAGCCGTGGCGGTAATCCAACAACAAACACAAGATTCTTCTGCACTACTCGAACATTCGCTAAATGCTTCCGATTCTCCGTGATTTTTTGCTTACGTTGTTGATCGCGTTGGCGTTTTTCAGCCTTCAAAGCAGAAATCTAAAAATGGAGAATAAGGAAAATGATTGAAGGAAGAAAGAATTGGAAAATTTTATTGAAGATGCTCACCTGCTCTTGAGTTAAAGGCTTAAAATCAGCCGGATTCTCAGGATAGGCTTTCCTGCACGCAGGACAAAGTTCATTCTCATCCGTACGAATCCGATGCCAACAGAATCGACAAATTTGATAGCCACATGTACAGGGGAAGAAACTTAAATCATCCACTTCAAAAGGCTCCATGCACAGAGGGCACTCAGGTAAGTCATCACCACTTGTATTCATGACATTCATGATTACTCGAAGATGTTCTACTTTAACTCTCACTTGACAAATATTTTCAATTAAAAACACAAATGTGCTGAATAGAATTTGGATGTTCAAACGTTTGTTGCTTTCCTCTTTTTCCTTTCTTTGTTCAACTGCGAACTCCTGTTGTCTTGAGCGTAAAATTTGTTGAAATGATCTCAACAAACTGTACACACAATGAAATAAAGAGTAAGATGCTTTGTTGACTAAACTGCGAAATGAAACTTAAGCACTTGATCTTAACGTTGCTCGGAGGGAAAAAAGTAACACACTTTTTAAATATTTGCTGTTAATTAATTTATGTTTTCAGTTGAAAATGTTTTTCACGTCTGTGCGACTGGAAGCGACACTAAAATCTGAAAAGAAGAAGAAGACACCTTAATTAGAGTTATTAAAGTTGTTATCATTTCAATCTTTTTGCTCTTGTACAATTTGCAAAGTAAATAAAAGAATAATTTTCATTAAACCCTGCTGACTATTACGAAACACTGTAAAGATTCATTAAAATTGTGTTTAAATGTAAACAAAGCACTTTCATTTCCTTTTCATCAATCACGGAATTCAATAACTTTCGGAGCTTCGGACATTTTACGATTTGTGATGGTACGAAATTTGCTTCTTTTTTGACGTATAAAACAAACAGTCGACAGGAAATTTTCCAAATCGCTTTTTATCACACACTTCAGGTTTCTATTTTATTTTTGTGAGCATTCGTAAACAAGAGTTGCGAGATAATTTAAGTAATCAATTTCCAGGCTTACAAAATACACGTAAACATAGATTGTGAGAAAATAACAAAGTAAGTCGCAGAATACTATCCAGCTTGTTATATTCTATGCCACAGCTACTACTCATAACATTTGTCTGTGTATTTGCAGATCATTTGATGAATCACGAAAAATATGATATAAAGAAAAAGAAGAAATGATTAAAAAGAAGAACGAACTTTGTTGGTGCAACAAATTACAGAAATTGTTACTGACTAAAAGTTGATGATGATGATGATTTAAGTAAGGTCACTTCTTTCATTCGAAGACATACCAAAAGAATTGATCACTTTAGTACGAAGAACAATGTGAGAAGAAAAGCGCTAAAACTTGATTTTTTTGTCTCGCTATCATTGTGTAGAAGAGAAGAGAAGAAAAATATTCATTTAATGATCGCATATGACTGTGTAGTGGGTGTTTGTATAAGTTGAATAAATCTATTTTCCTCATTTTTTTCTTTCTTTTCTCTTTAACCACTCAACGGTATATTTTTCGCTTTTTATATTTATTACACAAAAGTTGGATAAAACTAATTCACTTTTTAATAAAATGAATAATTATTAGAAGACACTTTATTAACTTTTTCTCTTTTTCTCTCCCTCGTATGAAACTTTGGATCAAATTCACTTCGACCTTACTATAACACAATCATTTTTTTCCTTCCTATCTCAATATAGGTAACTTAAGAGTCCGATTATGAACAATAAAAAAAATATTCAGGAAATTTCCTCAGATATAAAAATAGAATGGAACTTTGTTAGATACATTGGATTTTTTCGCAACTCGAATTTTGGTTGCTTTCTCATAAAATTTTCCCGTAAATTAATTTATGGGAAACTTTTTTCTTTTAATTTAAAGATTTCCATCCATGCAATCTCTTTACATCAGCGAATGTTTAATGATTTTAGTGAAATGAACGGAGGAAGAAAAAAAATAGAAACGATTGTAAAATTTACAAATTAAATTGAAATAGTGAGACATCTTTTCTATTCGTCATGAAAATAGTAGTTTAATTTGATAGCGATATTTGCGATGATTATGAATGTGTATTTCTTGGGAACACTGAGCTCTCTCATCGATTGCTTACGAATTTTGCTCTATGAAAAAACCAATATGAATTCCGTCAGAAAAATTACTTTTCGATTACACCGATTAAATCGTTTCTTTCCTTACATATTTTGTACTATTTAGCTAATATCAATGCTTATATACGTGATTACACTATTAAATTTTAGTTTATATTACGATATCAAAGGAAAATACCTTTTTGAATGAAATTTTTATTCAACTTTACTTCTTGAGATATTTTTAACTGGAGTAATAGACAAATGGGCATTCAAATTTGTTTTGACGGTTTTTTTTATTTCAAAAATTGACTTCCGATCTTTGACCTTGCGTAACAAACAGGTACATCTAAATATCCACACATGTATTCAATAAAGACTAATTTTAATTCACGAATGAAACTTTCCAGAACAAATACCTTTTTATTCAGAAAATATTTTATTAGAGTAATATTGTTAATGAAACATGAAAGCTTTAAGATTCAACAAAAAGATTTAACGAGAAATGTGCACATTTCTATTTTCTTACATATCTATTAGGATATATTTAAACTTCAAATGTATTATATGTTTAATAATAGAAATGAATTTTTAGAAACCAAATGGTTTATTTGGATCTTGTTGATGTTGTTGTGGATGTGGATATCCTCCTTGTTGAATCTGTTGACCATAAGCACCAGGATAAGTTCCATAATTATAAGCGCCTGTAAATAGATATATGAAAAAAAAAATATGAAATAGAAACTTCTAGAAATATTTTTCTCATTACCTTGTGCTTGAGGTGCTTGTGGGAAGTTGAAATTATTCGGATACGGAATTCCACCAGGAGGTAATGTCGCGTAAGGATTAAATGAAACTGGCATTGGTGGCATATAATTATATACTCCCATAGGTTGTGGCATGCCTTGCATCTGAACAGGATAAGGAGCGTTTGGAGCTGAAGCGAAAGAAGATTGACTCTGAACAGCTGGAGGTGGTGGACGAGCTGGAGGAGTTTTAGTTGAATCTGAAATGATTATAATAATAAACTCAATCAGATTTTTAAATATTTCATCAAATTCACTCACCATGATGTGTCGGTATTGGTGGAATTGAACCAACAGCTTGACGTGAACTTTCAGTTGTCAAATCTTTCAACAATTCTTCCTTTTCAGTTTTCCTAGCGAAACAGAAGTCACTGACTTTGTTCTGAAAAACAATCAACAACTGCGTTAAATCATTGTAGAATTTTGTGCCTTCTTTCAAGTTATGCTGAAGTTCAGCGAAAATGTCATAAGCAGCTGCAAGTTGCGACATTAGTTGATCTCTTCGATTTGTTCCTGTTCCACATTCAGCAGTGAATTCTTGATGTGCGTGTTGAATATCTTGGACAAGTGTTTGCTGTCGAGCAATACTTTCAACAATTTGCTTCTGAAGTGGGCTCAAAGACTTTCCAACATGAGAAACCACCATGTTCGGGTCAATTGCGCCATCTTGTGCTAAAGCATGTAGGAATTGATCTTTCATATCAATTGTAGCCGATTTCAATTCAGATTCAATAACATCACGTTCAGCTTTCATTGTCTCAACAGCTTCCATCAGTCCCCGTAACTTCATTACAGCTGGACCACTATTGACATTCCCATCACCAGCAGGGATTGCATTGTGCAATTCTGATGGAGGTTTAGAGAGAAGTTCAATTCCATATGAGTTGTCTTCAAACTTCTGTCGAACAACTTTGTCAGCTGTAATTGCGTTGTTAATAATTTCACGATATTTCGAAGCATTTGAGCGAAACATTTCATTCAACTTTTCGGAATTTGTACGCGTCCATCTTTCGTTAAATTGATTGCGAAGTTGTTGATCTGATTCTTGTTCTTCCTTCAACATTCTTTCAGTTTCATCGAGAATTTCTTTATTACGTGTCAATGATTCGGGAAGTTCTTCAATCAATGTTCTGATCGACTGAATGCCTCCTTTTTCACGTAAATCATTAGCTTTTTCAAGAATCGATGGTGGTAAGCTTGAACCAGGTGTACTGACTTCAATTGCTGCAGGAAGATTTAAACTTGACAACACTCCATTCAATGTCTGAGTTGCATCACGAAGCTTCATAACTTCAGTGTTGACAATATCGTTCTTTTGTGTTTCGCACGCATTTATAGCTTGTTGTAAAGCTACTGGTACAAGATCATTAAACAAATCTTTGAAGTTTGCACTCATTGGTGCAGCAAGAGGTAATAACTTGGCCAATTGAAACTTTCCTGATGAATCTAAAGAGTCAACATTGGGAATACTTGCATTGTAGATGAAATCGTTTTCTTTCTTTGCTTCAACCAGATTTCGTTGAGCTTTCTTTGCATATTCATCAAACAAAGACTGTTTTCCCGAACGTGTTTGTGATGCTTTAAAAAGTTCAACAGATTTTTGAAGACAGGCAATTGATTCGCCAATCTTTTTTGCTGCATTGTAGGCACCAGCTTGGTAGAGCATTGTGAGTCCGTGGAAACCAGCTTGTTTACCAGCAATTGTTGGTATCCAATCTTTATCCCATAGTGGTTTCAAGGGATCCTTTTGCATATACTTTAAAGTATCTGCATACATTTCTTCGTTCTGACACGCCAATTTAGCTATGACCTGATCTTTCATTCCGTCTTTAATCGCTTTGATCACAAAGATTTCCTGAGCTTGCGCTAACATCAAAAGCGAAAGAACATGTAAAGTATCAGGAGATAAATCTGGTGTAAGTTCTTGACCCAAAGCAGGAGCAGCCGATTTTAGATAAGAAAAGATTCCAGCTGAGAGTTGAAAGTGTTTTGCTGCTGTTTTGAGTCCATCATCGCTGTCTAAACATTGAGTCGATGCAATGGAACTTTGCAAGGCAGCAGTGTTGAAGAGAACGCAAACTTTTTCATATGCCATCGAAGACAATGCTACGAATAAAAAGAAAACAAATCTTTAATTGAGATGATTCATATTAGCAAACAAATTAAATTATTTACTAAGTGAGGCACGTCCACCGAATATGGAGCCTTTATCAAAAGCATCTTTGTACTTAAAGGGAACTTGAAATTCATGAACTGGAATCTTCGATTCAAGAGCAGCTAGCTGATCGTAATATCTAAATGTTAAATAACAACAACAAATAAATGATTAATTCGATGACTCACACGTCAAATAAAATATAAAAAAAGTGAGAAATTTTATTCTAATGAAATTCTTACGCAGTGATTGCTTCTAAAGCTGCATCATTCTTTTCAAAAACTTTAAATACGGCATGATTACGCTGCTTGTTGAAGCTGTTAATTTTATCAATATTTTGAGATGGATCACTTTGTTTTATGTTAGATCCTTGAATAATATTCTTTAAGGGTTTCACCAAATCTACTTCATTGGTTTTTTTTAACGGCACTGTAAGGAGCTCCATTGATACTGTTTTTATCAAGTATAAGCACAATAAAAGTGTGTAAAAGATTAAAGAATTGCTTGAAAATAAATGCTTCAGAACGAATTGTTTTTTTTTCTGTTCACCCGATATGTCCACATGGACAGTTTCTCCTTTAAAAAGAAATTGGCAGTTGAAAATTATAATAAGAACATATTCTAAAACCCTGAAAAAGCTTCTTTTGTGACTTTCAAATTCTTTCCCCTTTCTAATATGTATCTTTTCACTTAAATAAAAGCTTATATTCATTAATGATCTTTCAGAAAGAAAATTCAAGAAAACGCAACATGACGATAATAATTTTAAAATTTGAATCTCAACATTTACACTATTTTAAATTAGCTAGTTGAAGTTATTCTTTATTTGTTGTTTTTAAATCGGCTTTACAGACAAAATCTCAGTTATTCTTTATAGGTACTTATTTAATCTTTCCATTAGCTTTATAATATTTCATACTTTCTTTCGGACATAACAAACGAAATAAATTGTTTTATTTATAATTGATATTTTATAGGCTTAAGGAATGAGTTATTAATTTATTAAAAACTCATAATTCAATAATGAGACAATTACAATCGTTTTCTTTCAAAGTTCAAAGTAAATTGACTATAAACCACAAATGGGGTTTAGACATCACGAAAAATAATAAAATAAATATCTTTATGCATTCTACTGTAGACAATAGATATTTTTATGTAACTTCAGTACTTTTTAGAAACCTTTTTTCTTTTTTCAATTCCAAAATAGAAATCAAACACGTTGGAAGTGAATCTATAAGTAAAAATTAGTTAATTTTCAAAGGAATTAATACATACTATTGTCATCCTTTTAAAATTCTTCTTAAATTTAAGTTCTAAATGGTACGATTCTGAAGTAACACATTTTATTTACATGATTATTATTTATGACTTCACAAGATATTCTGAAAGATGAATAAAAATTATTATATTTCTTTTAAGGGTTCTATAACACGTTCATTTTGTAATTTCTTTGAACGAGGCGTTACCTACCGATATATTCGTACTTTATTTACAATTTTAATGTTTGTTTTGATGGCTGCTTACGTGGCATTGAATTATTCAACTAATTTTGATATAAATAAAGCCCTGGAAAAAGTCAACAACTTATCTTTGATAGAATCAGTGATTGAACAAGAACCATTGGAACAGAGAAACTACTACGACCTGGAAGATGGTATCACAGATGAAGCAAGAAGATATATGAAAGAATTAGGTTTGGTAAACCCTGGAGGTAATAGTGAACCAATTATTCTATCTCAGAATATTTCTCTTGAAATAAGAAAACTTATGAATGAAAGCATAGAAGAATTTGGATTTAACGCCTTCCTTTCGAATATGATCAGTCTTAATAGAAATGTTACCGATTTTAGAAGTGACATTTGTAAAAATAAAGTTTATAACAAAAACCTTCCCAAGTAAGTTTTCTAAATGAAATTCTGATATTGATGACAGCTAAAATTTTTAATTAATTTTCTACTAAGGTGCTCTATCATAATAGTAGTGCATAATGAAGATTGGATGTTATTTATGCGAACCATTCACTCAGTTTTGCTTCGATCACCTCCAGAACTAATCGAAGAAATTCTTATTATTGATGACGCTTCAGATAAAGGTTGAAACCTATGAAATGTCGCAGCTGAATAATATTAACAATGCATTTTTACTTAATATAGAATGGCTACATAAGCGCTTAGACGAATATATTAAGAAGCTTCCAAAAGTAAGAATCATCAGATCTTTCGTTCGTATAGGTATAATTGGTGCTCGAAATCTGGGTTCATTAAATGCCATTGGTCCTATTCTTGTTAGTGTGAGTATTTGAATTAAAATTTTATTGTACTCCATAAACATCTTCTTGTTTTTTATTGATGTTAAAACTTCAGCTTGACAGTCATGTTGAAGTTGGTCCTGGATGGCTTGAGCCCCTACTAGATCGATTTGTTGACAATAAAAAAAGGCTTGTGTGCACAAAACTTACAGGCATCAATAAAGAAACCTTCAAACCTGGTTTTGGTTCAAGTGCTGCAAATTCAATTAATGCTATGAATTGGAGATTAGATATGAATTGGTAATTTTTACCGAATACATAAGCCTCAATATTAATGAATATTATTCGAAGGATTAACCATAAAGATGTTCAAGGATATGTTCCGAGACCAGATTTTGATCCAATTAAAAGTGTATCAACCCCTGGAGCTGGTCATGCCATTGCAAAGGATTTTTTCATGGATCTCGGTTTGAATGATCCCGAATATGGCATGTGGGGTGGGGAAGATGTCGAGTAGGTTTATTTATGTAATGCTAGCTTGTATTATTAATGGTGTTTTGAAATCGACAGATTGGGTTTGAAAGTTTGGCTTTGTGGGGGGGAAGTTGAACAAATTCCTTGTTCATGGATAGCTCATATGTACAAATCACATACGTATAAGGTGAAAGAGACTTACATATTTTTCATAACTTTTTAATATGTTATTTTTTATGTTTTCTGTATTTAAGACATATGGTAAAAGTTATAGATGGAACACTGGGCGTATGGCTGAAATATGGCTTTTTGACTACAANCTTTTTTATTTCATTCGGTTTCAACTTTTCAAGGAGATGGTATGATTTTCTTATAATTTTTATTGAGTGAAACTAATTTTAAGTTTAAATGTTCTCTATTACTTTTTTATGTATAAATATTATAAAATTATAAATTAGTAAACTAGAAATTCTTTTTTCATTTAAGGGTATATTAAATATTTTTAACAAACTATTAGCAAAGGTGTTTAAGCGAGGTACTTCGTGTAAATTTATTCGGTCCTTGCTTTTAAGTTTATGTCTTATAATGTTAATTGTAAAGATGGCATTTGACGTTGATACAAATTATCACCTGAGTAGAGCACTCAAATATACAAACAATTTATCTCTGATTAAACAAGAACCATTGGAACAGAGAAACTACTATGATCTTGAAGATGGTATCACAGATGAAGCAAGAAGATATATGAAAGAATTAGGTTTGGTAAACCCTGGAGGTAATAGTGAACCAATTATTCTACCTCAGAATATATCTCTGGAAATAAGAAAACTTATGAATCAAAGCATAGAAGAATTTGGATTCAACGCCTTTCTTTCGAATATGATCAGTCTTAATAGAAACTTTACCGATATTAGAAGTGACATTTGCAAAAATAAAGTTTATAACAAAAACCTTCCCAAGTAAGTTTTCTAAATGAAATTCTGATATTGATGACAGCTAAAATTTTTAATTAATTTTCTACTAAGGTGCTCTATCATAATAGTAGTGCATAATGAAGATTGGATGTTATTTATGCGAACCATTCACTCAGTTTTGCTTCGATCACCTCCAGAACTAATCGAAGAAATTCTTATTATTGATGACGCTTCAGATAAAGGTTGAAACCTATGAAATGTCGCAGCTGAATAATATTAAAAATTCATTTTTATTTAATACAGATTGGCTACATAAACGTTTAGACGAATATATTAAGAAGATTCCAAAAGTAAGAATCATCAGATCTTTCGTTCGTATAGGTATAATTGGTGCTCGAAATCTGGGTTCATTAAATGCCATTGGTCCTATTCTTGTTAGTGTGAGTATTTGAATTAAAATTTTATTGTACTCCATAAACATCTTCTTGTTTTTTATTGATGTTAAAACTTCAGCTTGACAGTCATGTTGAAGTTGGTCCTGGATGGCTTGAGCCCCTACTAGATCGATTTGTTGACAATAAAAAAAGGCTTGTGTGCACAAAACTTACAGGCATCAATAAAGAAACCTTCAAACCTGGTTTTGGTTCAAGTGCTGCAAATTCAATTAATGCTATGAATTGGAGATTAGATATGAATTGGTAATTTTTACCGAATACATAAGCCTCAATATTAATGAATATTATTCGAAGGATTAACCATAAAGATGTTCAAGGATATGTTCCGAGACCAGATTTTGATCCAATTAAAAGTGTATCAACCCCTGGAGCTGGTCATGCCATTGCAAAGGATTTTTTCATGGATCTCGGTTTGAATGATCCCGAATATGGCATGTGGGGGGGGGAAGATGTCGAGTAGGTTTATTTATGTAATGCTAGCTTGTATTATTAATGGTGTTTTGAAATCGACAGATTGGGTTTGAAAGTTTGGCTTTGTGGGGGGGAAGTTGAACAAATTCCTTGTTCATGGATAGCTCATATGTACAAATCACATACGTATAAGGTGAAAGAGACTTACATATTTTTCATAACTTTTTAATATGTTATTTTTTATGTTTTCTGTATTTAAGACATATGGTAAAAGTTATAGATGGAATACTGGGCGTATGGCTGAAATATGGCTTGATGACTACAAGAGATATTATTATCGTGCCACAAAAACTACTCCAGATTTCGGAAATATCACAGCAAGACTAGAATTAAAGAAAAAAAATAATTGCAAGCCATTCAAATGGTTTTTGGATAATGTTTATAATATTCCTATTCCTGATGAGATTAAGGACCCTCCAACATCTACATAAAAGCTAATTTTTATTTCATATATCAGAACACTGTCTGAAATAGTTTTAATTCATTATATATTTTCTTAAGAATATGGATTGTGTGTGTTTTATTATTTCAGATATTGACAATTCAAGCTGTTTTTATCCAACGAATTAATGAAACACATTTTGGTAATGTGTTCTTTCTTTTATTGTATTAACAAGCAAAACTTCAAAACTTTAATAAAAAGAGACATCATTTATCTGTAATATTTCTCCAGTCTTTATATTTTTTTCTTTTTTATTTCATTCGGTTTCAACTTTTCAAGGAGATGGTATGATTTTCTTATAATTTTTATTGAGTGAAACTAATTTTAAGTTTAAATGTTCTCTATTACTTT